TGGTATGATCCAAATGAATGGTTTTGATTGAATGTTGGACACACAACAGTTGTGTTCATCATACAAGTGTATCGACTGGACAAGGTTCACAAGAGTGGTTTGTAAAGTGAGTTCATGTCCATTACAGTGTCTAGTGTTGATGATACAGAGTTTGACCAGGCATAATGTGTTGGATTTGATGAGTGGATCAGTTCCAGTGGTTCAATCTAGTCCAAGAACAGCAATGGAGTTCCAAGAGTTGCAAGTTATTTCCACTCCATCAACAACAAAGTGGAAAGTAAGAAGTTGATGGTCGACTGGAATACCAACAAGCCTTTTAGTTGTCTCAATGATGGTGGTTGCGACCAAGTCAACAACAGGCTGTTGTTCAGCAATAGAACCTGTTGGCTTGGTCGCAGATTACAAGACAGGATCACTTTTGGTCGATACACTAACTGAATATCCACTCTGGTGGATCAAGTCGAGATCAATCACAACGCATGGGACTCGCTTGCTGCACTTGTAGCAAATGGGACTGTTGGATCCAGTCCACTCATCATCAAATCCAAGAATGATGTTGGCTCAAACCCAACAATCACTGGTTCATACAATTATTTCAAGAAAACTATCCAGATCAATGGTATCAATGTTTCTACAAATCATCTCAAAAGACCTGATCAACTTGACAAACTCGTATACTTGGTTTGAGTATCGGTTTGTCATATTGACTTGTTCATCTGATTCTGCAAAACCTATATTCATTAATATGTATCAACATAGTCTCAAACAAATGTCATTTGGATTTGTTTCTTGGACAAGATTGCACGACACTTTTGTTGGAAATGCATTGATTGTTCCAAACAACAACGGATAGAATTGGAAAAAGTAAAACTGTTGTTTCTTGATGATGCTCAACAGTAATTACAAGACACAAGTTTATGGAGACTTTTAATCAAAGCATCGCTGAGTTGGTTGTCATTAAGCATGCGATTTATCATTGCATCAAACCATCTTTTTGTTGGAGGAATTTCAAGTCCTGTTGAACTCGGTAGTCTTTCAGGTCTTGAAAAGTGATTTTCTACTTATTCCAGCCAAACTCTGTGAATTCCATGAATTTCTGGATTTACTCGTTATTGGGTTGCCAAACAACATGAGCAATGAGACCTTGAAACATGTTCTTGTAACGGAATGTGATGGTCTTGTTGGTGCGCTGTGTGTGTCGATTGATGATATAAAAACACAATGTCTAAACAACATTGAACCCACTCGAGCAGATCTACTACAATACTGTCTATCAAACAATTCCATGTTGGATATGACTCGTTGTTTTGGAAGCGACCATTCAGATCTGATTAGAAATGGTTTTAAACTGTTACTCAAGAAATGTCTGACAAAAATCATCGATTGGACAACTTGGAAACCCAACAAAATATGGAATCTTATTCATCACTCAAAAGGCTGGAATATTGATGGAGTCGCTCGACCTTGAACTTGCTTTTACTTTGCTGTTGGTCAAAAAATACTATTCAAATGGACATTCACAAACTGCTTTGCATCACAACATTTGTCTCTTCAAAAACTCGTACGCAATGTTGTCTCATCAATATCGACCAATGTATTGGAATCTGTTTCGTCATGCGGTTTTCCAAATGAAACAACTTTACAGCACATGTTTATGGAGATATTGGTTTACTTGACTAAACCAGACTGTTCAATCTAACCAAAACTATCAAAAGTATTTCCCAACAACTCGAATGTGACGGACACTATTGCTGGTGGAATTGATTATTATTTGGTCAATGGACTAGCAATCAATCAACACATTGACAGATTTGTCATCACAAATGGAAACAACGACAATCCAGTTGTAATCCATATTGAGCCTTGAATTCAAACAGTCGTGAATCAAATCATTAATAAACTACAAAAACAGTCCAATATGCCAACTCGCATTTATCCACAACTCGATATGTGATGTTCAAATGTCTAATATTCAGACTGTGCTGATTGCAATTGTAATTGCAATTGTGGTTGTGTGTAAATATCAATCCAATACTCGATTCAATACTTGATTCAACTTGAGCATGTACAGTTTTGTAGTAATCCATTTGATCACATTGACAGAATCAAGCAATGATCTGATTCAACAACACCAAATGATGCATCCATATCACTTGTATCAATCAATTGTACACAATCAGTCAATATAATCAACAGTCACTGGCATGATTGACATGATTGATTCAATTCATTCAATTTATTCGATCCATTTAATTGCATAGATCTGACTGGCATTGCAACTCATTGTTGTAAAATCACAACCTCACAATCCATCATCAATTATCAAGATTATACACCCGCTCATATATGTATTTGTTGTATGCTGCTGTGATTTGAGTTCGGTCACTTGTCAATTCATCTCGATAGTGTTTGGCTTTAGCTGGTGATTGAACACCTTGAATATACTGCGTGATATCATTCCACAGTTCAGGCGGTATGTGTGCCTTGTCAAGACTCGAGTTGTACCATTGTGGTTGTTGTGGAGCCACATGCGCAGTCGAAACAATCCGACGAGACGGATTCACTACAAAAAATGTCAAAATCTTGCAGTGTCCTGGTTGAGTTGGATCTGCAAGTTCAAATGATTGTTCTTTGTGTTGGTATCGATTGGGATAAACTACACACCGACCATTTGGTACTTCAAGCGATCCTATATACTGACTATGCGGTGATTCTTGATCAATGCCGTACACATCTTTCCAATACATATCAGATGCTACTTGATATTCAAAACGATCAACAGCCTCGCGGAAATCGAGTTTGGGTGTGGTGATATTTTCCACGTCGTAGTAATACAGTCCAGTTGCAACAATCGATTCGTTAATTGGACCTTCAATGTGCCAGTTTCCCTCGTTGTATTTAGGTTTGGATGGTGTCAGTTGAATGTTGGTGAGTTTGACAATGACTTGTAGATTACGACCACGCAGTGATACTGGTTTTGCTGATTCGTATTTGGGTTCAAAATGCTCCGGAAGTGTTGGTTGTCAGAGTATTTGGAGCTTCGTTGATTTGTTTGATAGTAAAGTAAAGTAGGTAAAGTATAATCTGTAACTGTTAGTAGTTATCAGAAGAGAACAAATCAGAAGTGTAAGAGGAAGTTGCACTTGAAATCAAAATCAACAGACTTAGTCTTTTCAACCGTAGTGAAAAGGGTTTGATAAGGTAGTTAGACAGATGAAATAGTTTGAAGAGTTGTTTATTGATAAGAGTAAGCGTTCTAGCTTTTATAGTAGTTGATTGTTTGTGTCTTGTGATACGAACAATTAACCCGTTAAATGATGAGAGGTTGTAAACGAGAGTTACAACCAATAGTGTTGATTTCTGGAGTTAGTAAATTTAATAATGGCATCGTCTACCCGTTTATAGAGAGCTCGAGTCCTAGAAATGAGTGTAATGGAGTTACTGTGCACATGGAATTTTTGGTGATGAAAGGATTTAACTTGTGTTTAAGTTGGCGCTTTTTAGAACTAGCTTTGCCACAGGTTACCGCTTAAGAGTATCCGTCTGGATATTCCAACATTGGTACATACACGGGACGAATGACTTGAGTGTCTGATTCCATATCATCATGATATGACTGACTTGACGGTTTATATCCCTTTGTGCCATTGCAAATATCAATATACCTGAACATTGGATCCATCGTTCTGAACAGACTTTCAAACATTGGGACAAAACATTTGAATATTTTGGCAATGCATTTGTACATGTCTCGATGCCATATCGGATTCAGATTGTTGATGTATGAGTTGATGGTCACACTGTCATCCTGTTCGACACGGAATTCACTCGGAAGACATTGAGACTTGAGTGATATAAACTCGGAATTGCCTTCAATGATGGGCATATCTGAAACAAGTCGAGTCGATAACAATATATCGCATGGTACCATTTTGGTGTATTCGAGTCGTATATCCAGTGGTGCAATCATCGTTTGTCCATATACAACACTGTACATTGATGCATCAATCAGATTGTGCACCATTTGATCAGTGTTGTGATTTGATCCATGTTCAATATCCGATACATTTGTCATCAATCGCGTATATACATTGTCAGGTATGCCATTGTCCAGTATATACGTCAGTTCAACAGGTCCTGGTACAATTGTGCCCAATCCATCACTGCCATTACAAACAAGCTGTTTGACAAAAACCCCGAGTTGTTCCAACGCAAGATTAAATGTTGATGGTGATATATTCTGATCGAGTGAGTCAGCCCTCCATTGCTCCACAATATGCTGGTTTGTGATATCGATTCACCACATGGGTTTGCAAAGTATACATTGCAGATAATGGATATACCGCATTTCGACAAGTGTGCGCACCTGTTCATATGGATATCCGGCCATTCCAGATTTCATATCAATTTCGGCATTGTCGTTGTATGGCTGAATGTCCGAACTAGCAGTCTGAACCAGATGCTGGAAACACGTTTCAATGATCTGAGCAGCAGCCCTTTTGTTCATGTAGTGAGTAGTATCCGATTTTACAATAGCCGTTAGATTTTCAAACATCCCGCCTTGCTCCAACTCGGTACGTATCGAACTGTCGGGATGATTGTCAGCAAAATCAGCAAGTGTTTCGAGTAGTTTTACAATATCAGGAACAGGACTGTTACACAAACGTATATCTCTGCGTGAAAGAATAGTGCTGAGTTGCTTTACAATTCCATATTCTTGAAACACCTTGATCATCTCGGCCTTGTTTGTAGATTTCTGAATCATGTCGTTGACATAATCAAACAGGTACAAACAGCCATTCATGCGGAGACCGCACATCAATATCGTCAATTGCTCAAAAACCAACGATCGTACAAGCGATACAGGAAAGTCGCGCATACCAGATGCAATTGTTCCTGCTATCCAGATCATGCGTTTTTTTAGTTCAAAGTTGTCGCTGTATCTGATACACAAGTCGTTCAGTGTTTGATCAAATCCCGATCTTATCAACTCGGCTGAAATCACTTCACAATCTTTATAGTCGCAAAAACTCTGAATAGCAGCAATACTTTGATCAACCACTTCTTGATCGACACTCCTGTATTCATGTCATGTCAATCCAACCATGTCAAATTCATCAATTGTAATGACTGAACATACATTCATGCATAATACCACATACCTGAGAATATTGACCAGTGCTGGAATGATACCACATTTCACTGCTTTTACTGGGTTATCACGATGAATATTCCAATACATGGCTTGGAGATTTTTGATAAAACCAACAGCAACTGAACCACTGGATGATTCCAGTCGTGAAACAAGTCTTGATACCACGATGCCAAACTAATGATATTGTTCAATGTCAAGTATACAATCAACAAAACATGACATGACAGGACACTGTCCAAACTGATCCAATATTGTATCATTGTAAACATACATTTTCATCGTCAATATAACTGCAAACTTGCAAGAACAGGTTAATCGCCAATGTGAACACTTGTTGATCGGACTCGTGAACAATAATATCAACCATTGGCTTAAAATCAAATTTACACTCTTCACTCCAGCGTTTATAACTGTAAAACTCTATGCATGATTTCATCGCCTATATGCATATTGACACTAGATGAGTTGAATGTCAATCATTTGATCGATGTGAATCATGACTTGCCGCCATTTTGACTTGACGGTTTGATGATTGCATGAGTTGTGAAAGTTGGTTGCTTAGTCGATGTGATGGTTTGGTCATCCAATACCTGAATGATCAACATTCTATCGTCATATTTGGCCTGTACTTGACAACCTGATTTGTCAGTTGTTTGTACAACATTACACAATCAATCATATTTGAATGCATAGCCAAGCGGCGGTTCAATTAAAACTGGGCTGTTATATAAAGGGTCATCTTTTCAAAATTCGACATTGATAACAAATCGCTACTAACCCTTGACAACACAAATCCCTTAGAGCGGTCATTCAAGGAAGGTGCTTTTAATCTGATCCGTTCAATGAGATATAAATACAGTCCAAAACCGACTCATCAAACAACCATTACAACTTGGCAAACCAGTATAATGAAACTTGCAGTCACAGTATTGACATCAATTCTGTTTACTTGCTCTTTTACTACAGCCAATCCAGTCAATCCCAGTGCAACTACAACTACAAGTGCTGAAGCTAGCACTTCAACCGTCATTCCCACTGCAACTACAAGTACTGAATCTGGGCTTTGGGCAGCTTCTAATGAAGAAACTACAAATTTAGTTGATATGAGCCAACTTTCAGAAAGTGATTTAAGCTTAATCGAAGGTTGCCTAGAAATGGAGCAAGAATATGAAGATATGAAAAAAGCGTATGACTTGGCCAAATCTGAAGAGCTTGATCAAAGGATATTAGTAGAACGGCTGAATAAGAAACATGCGAAGCTGTTACGTAAACCTCGGAAAAACAAGAATAATCCAGTATATAAAAAAGAGCTTAAAAATTCTAGACTGAAGCTTCAACAAGAGAGAAAAAAACTCAAACAGCTTGAAAAAAAGTGTCAAAAACTCTATCACGATTTTTTCATCCTTGATTTGAAATTGTATTCCAACAAAGAAAATCTTGCAGAGCGTTTGTTTGAAGATCTGGATTTAGAACTAATCCTTTCTCACATGCAATTTCTGGAATTAAATCGTGATTTTGTTCAAGGCATATACGAATCTCTTAATCTCATAATGAACCAACAGTCAGGATCTGAGCAAACCTCCACTAGTGGGAGCCAGAGTTCATCACAATATCATGAAAGTCCATCATCTGAGCCGCTAACTGAGGAACCGTTATTCGAGGAACCGTCATCCGAGGAAACAGATATACCTATAGCCCAGCCCGTTCAAGTAACTTCCAGTTTAGAGTGGTTATTCCAATATGTGGAAAACCTTTTAAATTTAGAAGTAGGGCAGCCCAGACGTGACGATCCATCCAATTGATTTGAATGCTAATCTGGACTTGTTTCAGCCGATTCAATTGTCATTTTATTTAATTTACAATAAAATTGGATTTGCATGCATTATATCTGACCATTGTACACAGTTTTGGTTGACATGATATCATATTGTACATTGACACTTGTATTTCCAATACAATACAGTTGATTGTATATTGCATAGTTGTATACATTGATGATGCTGACATGCATGTGTGTATTGTGTCGATATGATATTGCTTGACATGTCGTATTGACACATACAATACCAATATCAACAATAGTCATGTGTGTTGATATCAGATCCAACCAATTTGACTGGTTTGACTCGTTGATTGTGGTGTCAAAATGGTTGCATCAATAGCCTGACTGATCACACACATCAGTCGCAGTATCAGCTTTGTCGTGTGTCAAATATCCCATGTTGAATATAAACTACCAACAATATGGTCATTATGCACATGTTGATGTATCCAATGATCGTATACTGGTCGATTGATGCAATATGATCACACATTAATGGAATGTGATAATCATGATATTTGCAGCAGTATACCATATTCCAACAGTTGATATTGCGCATCCAATATCGACATGATCATCCAGATATACAGTGATGGATTCCAACAATGCATACCATGATTGATACACTTGGATCATGTGTATTCAATCAATACCATGTATTACTAATGCAATAGTATGCGTGATCATTGTGTACCAAACAACTACAATACACACTCAACTGATCCAACACATGCACGGCTTGAACATATCACACAATCAAACATGGACACACCACATTAAAAATACATATAGTATCAGTTTGTCACTAATGAATTGTATTCAGTCGAGTTTATTGAGAGTCGTTGTGTGACTCTTGACAGTGTGGTGAGTGTTTTCAGGTACGACTACTTGATCGTGTAGTTTTTGATTTCCTTCTGCGAATAAATGTGCCATCTGAACCTGAAGTAGTTGGTTTAGGCAATCTAACACTATGCATCAAGTTCATAATCAGTATCAATTGACACATCCATACATCAATATCAAACAACTTACCGTGGTAATGGCCAGAGCACTTGATCACTATTTAAAATAGTAGGATATTTGCTAGTCGAGACTTCGCATCCACATCCAGCACCAAACCCAATGCGTGTATGTGCTCGATCAAATGTCAATCCAAGTCGGCTCATAAATGACATGCCAAGAGTTGCTTTGTCATTTAGACCAGCTTTTATAGCAAACACAACTATAATCCAACATGCATATTAGTCAGGTTAATCAAACAAAACACATTGCATACAATTGTCAAATATTTACAATTTTTAGAATCAACTCTCTGTATATAGTCTCTAGGACCCAGTCTGATTGTTACAACAGAGTTGTAGTTGTCATCAGTCACGGGAGTTTCAGCATGCATTACAATCGAAAGCGACGGCAGCTTGCCCCAATTGATACTAAAGTATTTTTCAGGCATTAAATGGTTTTTCCAATATAGGTTTTCAATCTGCAGATTATTGAGCCTGTATTTAAAATTAAAAATGTCAATAGCAATTGCATTGCTATCAACAATGGCATCAACCAACGCAGCCACGACTACTTTAGGAAATTGCATATATGTAAAGCATGTTTCCATAACGGAGTACAAAGTACGTCCATGTTCCACCTTTTTTTGGAATCCAGCAGGCAGCTCCACTCGTTTGCCATTGACTAGTATACTCTTGATGTTGACAGTAAAATAATCGTCTGATGGTGATTGTACCCATGCAACACTTCTTCCATTCGTTCCGCATTTTGCAGTTACGTCCGTGTTTCCTATATTGATGAAGCTATCTGAAATCATTTCATACGGACATAGTTGAATGCCAATCTCGTTACTGGGAATGACATCACTGGTGTACAAAACATCCATCGCAGTGGCTGGTGGATGATGCTTTGACAACGAGGAATAGGCAAACCCAAATACTCCATCAAAATTTGAACTAATACCAACTAGATCTGCCGATTGTTTTCTAACTGCTAGTATTGGTAAACTGATGTCAGTTATCCTAGTACCCGGAATCGTCACAACGGCTGTAGATGTAACTCCTTTATACTCTTTGCCTTTGTAACCTATAGTAACGGGTTCCCCACTTGGAGTGTGTTGCGGAGCCAAGCCTATATCGCTGCTTGAACTAGGAAGTGGTACGATTATATCAGACATTGCTGAATCGACTCGTAAATTCAACTATTTTAAACACGACAAGTGTGAGATTGATTCAACGTGGTGCAAATTGATATCAAACTACAATGCATGACATGATACATACATCAGTTCCGTGAACATTAAATTTCATTGTGTAACATTGATAAGCATCACCACCCAATTCAACAGGTGATCGTTTTGACAGCCTATTGCTTGATTGACTGGAAGTTCCAGAAGGTGATTCTAATGCAAGTCGAACTGCAGCAACCGTCTGTAACGCAAGTATAACGCATTCTAGAGTAATCAGCATTTTATCGAGTATTGTAATGGAAAGCTTCGAGTCTGATACATGACTGCCATTTTATAATTACGGTAGCTTCAAGGGTGGCAGTCAGCAATTTCCAAATGAATATTTAGAAAACACAAGTATGTGTGTAGGGTGAACAACCCCAGAAACACCCTGTAGGGAGAATCAATATACAGTCATTACTGTTAGTGGAAAAAATCAATTTGACTAGTATGCTGTGTTGATATTCCCAATTGCGGTCATGTATCCAGTAACCAGGTAGTTTCAAATTGTCACTCTGATTGTGGATAATTATCATCACATTTACAATCCATTACTACAACATATACTGTCACTGTATACCAAATACTTGACTGATTGTTTGATTGGTCGTGTTTTGGATCACTCGAACACAACAGCATCAAACAGCCTGTTGCAGTATTTCAAATCATGACTTTTCCATTGGTATGACTGCATGGTCATTTTAGGTTAATGTAGACTGTATACATCAAACACTGCTGATTGTGTCACAACATGATCAACATCAAACTCGGCAATCTGTCGCCGCTACACTGAATGAGTGACATTGTACTATAATTGAATTGGAGATTGGCAGGTCGTTCAACAAACTGGCCGTGTCAACAGGTCAGATTGTCATCGTGGTACATGAACCACAATGGATGATAATGTCATTCAAATCAGCACACAATCTACTGATATATGCAATACAACACCACCAATACAAATCAATACAAACCCAATCACAAACGTGGTGTTGAATCCAATGCATGCGAGTACTTTTTAAACACATGATACCCACTGATGGTGATGGTTGCTGACAGTCACATTGAAGTGTACATGTCCAATAGTGTCCACTGTCATGTCGATTGTTGCTATCCGTGACATCCAACTGTACTTGTATTCACCAAATGTGCACAACATTCAAGACAATGCTGCAGTATATTGTGCTACAAGTAACAAGTACATTCACCTTGAAACATTCAAACTGTAGATTGTGGACATCTGACGGCATATCGATAGTTGTTATTATTGGAAAGTTTGTTACAGTAGATCAAAGATGTGAAGAAATGAACCAATGACTGATTGCGTTGTTTTATTAAGAGAGGAAAGAGAATGTGTTTATATAGTGGAGGAACACGGGAAGAAAGCTATATGAATCCCAGTTCAAATGTCATTGAGAGTTTCTGATTATTATAAACTATTCAGAAATGTCTACAATTACACACTACTAATGTCTCACAGTATCATGCAACTGACAAGTGATTGCAAGTATGACTGGTAGTTACAAGTAACACTGGTTGTTATCAGGTTATTGATGTATATGGAACAAACCGTGACAATGAACCAATCAACAATCCAGTAACTGTTGATATAATACCCAACACAGTATACACAATCAATGATATGGTTGTTGACCCATTCACGATACTCGACAAACATCAACACATCAGAAAGCTTAAATTTATTCAAAATCAAATTCATCGACACATCATCAATCTGAATCTGAATCTGACTCACCCATAAGTTTTCTTAGCTTTTGCTCCAGATATTCTACCCTTCTTCCTGCCCTTTTACATTTTCTTTCCAGCTTCTCTAAATCCTCTAAGTCGTAGAATGATTTCGATACACTTTTACCCCTTGTTAATCTTGACTGTTGTTTGGATACAAAGAATTGATGTTCACGATATTCTTTGCATACATCCTTTTGTCTCCTTCTATACTCTTTGATTCTTCTTTTTAGTTTACGAACAAGCTTCCTATACTTTTTTCTTGATAAAGTCTCTTGATCCGAATCGGTATCTGAATGGTGTCTAACAACTGAGTGTTTCCGGCTTCGACTGGGAGTGTTTCCATTTGTTCCTTCTAGCTGTCGTATCATGTAGTGTTTTGCTTTACTTGCCTTCCTACACTTTTCTTTCAATTCATGTTCAGTCCTTGAACTGTACTTTTTTCCAGATATCTTTTGACCGTTTGATTTCAACTTTTTCTGTTCGAGTCGAGTAGCTTTATATTCATAGTAGGAATTGCATGCGGCCACTCTTGCTCTTTCAGCGTTTTCAAGATTTATATCTAGTTGATGAGTGGGTCTATGTTTTTTGGCTGGTGCAATTCCCTGATCTGAATCAGTATCTGAATGGTGTCTAACAATTGAGTGTTTCCGGCCTCGACCAGAAGTGCTTGAGCCAGGATCATCAATCGAGTGTTTCCGGCTTTGTTTTGGAGTGGCTAATCTGGCTTCTTGTAATTGTTGTTCCAGGTGTTCTACTTTTTTTCCTGTAGTTTGCCATTGATTATCTAATCGACATTGATGTATTCCGCTATGCTTTTTCCCAATTATCGGTTTGCCCTGCGATATTAACCTTTTTTGTTCATATTCAATAACCCTATACGCATATGAAGCCTCGCATGCGGCTGTTTCTGCAGCATCAGCAGCTTCGAGTTCTTTCACTAATTGACGAATGAGCTCACGGTTTTCTCTTGGCTGTTCTTTATCAGATGGGAGTTTCCGGCTTTGTTTGGTAGTGCATGGGTTAGGTTCAATAACCGAGTGTTTCCGGCCTCGACCAGAAGTGCTTGAGCCGGGATCATCAATCGAGTGTTTCCGGTCTCGACTAGGAGTGGCTAATCTGGCTTCTTGTAATTGTTGTTCCAGGCGTTCTACTTTTTTTCCTGTAGTTTGCCATTGATTATCTAATCGACATTGATGTATTCCGCTATGCTTTTTCCCAATTATCGGTTTGCCCTGCGATATTAACCTTTTTTGTTCATATTCAATAACCCTATACGCATATGAAGCCTCGCATGCGGCTGTTTCTGCAGCATCAGCAGCTTCGAGTTCTTTCACTAATTGACGAATGAGCTCACGGTTTTCTCTTGGCTGTTCTTTATCAGATGGGAGTTTCCGGCTTTGTTTGGTAGTGCATGGGTTAGGTTCAATAACCGAGTGTTTCCGACCTCGACCAGAAGTACTTGAGCCGGGATCATCAATCGAGTGTTTCCGGTCTCGACTAGGAGTGGCTGATTCGGTTTGTAACTTTTCTCTCAAAAGGACGAATTTTTCTAATGCAGCACCCCACTCTTTTTTCAATTCCTGTTGACGTTGTTCACTATGCTTTTCTCCAGATATCGCTTTTCCTTTCAACGCTAACATTTCTTGACGGTGTTTAAGATTCTCATACCTATGGAAAGCATCAGCTGCGACTTCTTCTGCGATATCAGCTTCGTGAAGTTCTCTCTCTAATCGACGAATGAGTTGATTTTTTTTACTTGATGTAGTCCCTTGATTCGAGCCATTATTATCTGACTGATCTTTATCAAATGGGGTTTCCCGACCTCGTTTGTAAATTCTTGGACTGAATCCAGCAATTAAGCCAGATGCTTCGAACGAACCATTGCTACCAGTCGAGACCAGCATTGCATTAGCGGTTACTGCCGCACTCAATACAAATAAAATGTCGGTGATTTTCATCAAGTCTAATGAATATGTTTAAACAGTTGGTACAAAAGTAGAGTGTTGAAACTGGTGTCAATTCTAAAACTGAGCGACTTGACAGTACTTATATTTTGTATAGCAAACCAACCCTTTTAGGTTAGTCAACTACACATGGTTGCTTGATCGCTTGCGATGGGCTACTATCAAACTAGACAGCATGCTACTCCCTAGCCACAATATCATACTATACCTCCACGACCCTTTTATCAGATGTCTTGAAAAGCACCCTTCAGGAGTGTTGTGTAGCCTTGTAAACGCACCCTTTTACAACCGTGTTCATGTCAAATGGATCACTTTGATATTCATCCTGAAGTGACTGTGTTCTGCATTGCAACACACAATGGTTTCATATTTATTGTGGTTTCTTGATGGAAATTGACTATATTTTCAATTTTTTAATAATCACAATCAAACCATAATGTTGAATCTACACTTTGTGCACTTTTAGTAATCATACAGTGTACGATCAACAAGCTTAAACCCATATTCATATGTTGTGTTTGACTGGTCTGATGTCAATACAACTCTACACATTTGTTGTATTCTGAATCACAAATACGATCATGACACATGTCAGTAATGCAACTGTTTATCACACACCGACACTGTTATTTAGTGGTCCATTTACATCAATATGGTTGCAAGTTGTCGTTATATCACGTATTCTGGACATGGTTTTGATATTACGCATCCAGTTCCATCACATTGTTGCTGACCCATCATTGTAACGCTGTATGTATCCAACACTGGCATGTCCCCATAACCACAACCAGTAAAATGACACTCGAGTTGTTTACTGTGATCAGTATATACAACCCAGTTCGACTACACATACTAGATCCAGTCTGTTGGTTGTTTCAGTTGACATTGATCCACTTTTGACGTTTTGTCCGAGATTGACAATACAAATGTGTCAAGCTGAACCCAAACTACACGACTCGACTGTTCATGTCAATTGGATCGTGACTGAACTACGTGATCATGATATGGTTCATCAAACTAAATGTCTGGATTCCAATACCAAGTATTCAATTTGAACATCAACATTCCGATGTTGTCAAACCCAAATGTGATTGTATTCATACATGTAATGTCAATCAGATCAGTCAGATACAACACTTGTGCTATCCATTGTGTGTAATGTCCAACAGCACAATAATTCATGTGTAGATGTTGGCAAGTGGTTAGTATATGGTTTGACCGCTGATCATACAATGACACAATTACACGGTCGGTTGATTGGTGTCATGATTGTGATAGTGCGTCCATGGATCATGAACATTGTGTCAAGATGATGGTAGTCTACACCCGATATGATTGATACGCATATAGCTCAATGCACTCAAACTGATCAAACAACGTTCGGTGTACACAGAGTTTCGTGTGGTACACAGTGATATGTGTGATGAGTAGGGTCGACCCAGATGTAACGATCCATTCGATTGATTTGGATGCTAATCTGGGCTGGTTTCAAGACAGCAAACAAAAGGTTGCAATCGTTATGAAAAAAGCTCAAACAGCCATTCCAAATTAGTATCAATTAACATATAACAAAATTGTATATACATAGCTTGGGAAAATAGATATGCTCCGTTAGCTTAGTCGGTAGAGCGTTGTGCTAATAACGCAAAGGTCACAGGTTCGATCCCTGTACGGAGCATTTTTTATTTTTCATTTTGCAATATTATCAAGAAAACATAGTTTGATCCAACAATTGCAACATTCCAATCTACACAAATATTATATTTTTATAAATACCCAATAATCCAGCTTAAAAAAGCTGTCTTGGTCAGCACCAAACCAAGTTAAACCAAGTTAAATGCATATGCAGCACACTTGGTTCAAATATGCACATGGCTTTAAACCTTTGCAATCGACAAATCAAATATTTGCAAAACAAACTCCAGTAAGCGAGTAGCATTTTGCAACAGATGTGCTTAAAAGTCAAAGCAACAGGCGGAAACCACTTGAATCATTTGACACCAACAAGAGTAAAATTACTTTGCCCAATACACTTTATTATCAATACAATAGCATCTCTGGTTTCGTGATTTTCCTAGGCATATTGTGCCAATCAACTCCATATACACTCACGGCAACTATTCATATCATCAACAAAGAGTCTTGTTTCTAGCATGCATTCAAACAAAGTTCCTAGATTGAATTCACCCATTTGGCCACCCTCGACCTCTTTAGACCAAGTCAGCCATACTGCGAATAGTAGTGGTGTTGATCAAAGCCATAAGAACCAACCTTTGTCTGGCATTGACGACGAGATGAACGGTAATTGTCAACTACATAGTGTCTTGGCTTGAATGAATTGAATCATTGAGCCTCAATGACAATGCTCAGAAATTGATGCGAGTCTATCAATTTCTTTTAGGTGCTCCATTAACCCCAGTTTGCAGGTCTGCAAACGATAGCGAAATTGACTTGAGAAACAGTGCCAGTAAGCAAGGTATATTCTAGTGTATGCATACCATGGCTTGCAATTTAAAAAACCATATCGAATGCACGACTCTTCAATGATCCACCACATGCTTGATAGATTGAGTCCATCTACTCTTCCATAATCAGCTTCAACCATTGATGTTCAAGTATAATTTTACATGTGGACATATTGTTAACCACAACATATTGCTTGCATTCCCAATTCAAGAATTAAACGAGCCTCTTCTTCGACAATCCCAAGACAACGCTCAGCTACCATCCACTACATCTTTTGAATTTTCCAATACAGTCTATTCTATTCCACTGTCAACGACATTGTCCAAAAGCGAAACAGAGTTGGATCGCACCGTGTCGTTGTGGAGTGGCATTGCATTGATTGTGGGAGTGTCAATCGGATCTGGTATTTTTGCCTCGCCTGGTCCTGTATTCGAGTATTCTGGAAGTGTTGGTGGTGCATTGTTGGTTTGGATTGCTGCAGGATGTTTAGCCATGGCTGGAGCATTGTGCTACGCAGGTATTTCATTATGTTGCATTGAATGACTGTAATTTGTAAAATTGGATCAAACTGACCCTGACCCATTAGAACTTGGAACAATGATCCCATCATCTGGAGGAGAACACCCATACTTGTTGAGGGCCCATGGATCCTTGCCCGCATTTTTATTTTCTTGGACTGGAATCACCATTACTCGACCTGGAAGTTTGTCCATCATCACAGTCATATCTGCCGAATACGCATGTCGCTTGATATATTATAATGCCGATCCCACATTTTCATCTCCACCGTATCTAGTCAAAGCCATTGCTATAGGAATCATTGTAATCCTCACATGTATTAATATCTTGTCATCACGAGCGAGCACAACCATGCAAAACATTCTCACAATACTCAAAATTGGATCGCTAGCGTGGATTGGAGCTCTTGGGATATTACAACTGTGGCGGGATCCTTTGTCAAGTGGAAACTTTCAAAAGGGATTGTTTTATGGCGGATCCATGTATCCGGGAAATTATGCATTGGCTCTTTACTCTGCATTGTGGGCTTATGACGGATGGTGAGCTAAAGATGTAGACCAGAACGATTTAAACTTACTAGTAGATACCGTATTAATATCTCTATGATTTTATGACAATATTATACGATTAGGAATAATTTGAATATGGTTGCTGGAGAACTTAAAAATCCAGAAAAGAATCTGCCGAGAGCAATCATTGGTGGCCCGATTATCGTTACGCTATGTTATGTTGCAACAAATTTGGCGTACTTTTCCGTGCTTCCTGGATCCATTGTTGCTTCTTCAACGACTGTTGGAATGGTATAGTTTTTAAATGTCAATAGTTGATGCATACTTGAACAGTATAGTTTTGCTTACATCTATTGCAAAAGGATTTTGGTAAACGTGTATTTGGACATGTCGGTGGGATTATTATTCCCTTGATCGTGATTGGGTCAACTTTTGGAGCGGCAAATGCAACGCTGTATACTGGCTCACGGATCCTGTTTGTTTCAGCACAAACTGGTCATGCACCCAAGTTTCTTTCCAACATTAATTCACATACTCGAACACCCATTAATGCGCTCATAACCCAGTCTTTTCTTTCTATTGTTCTCATCAGCATTGGCTCATTTAAATCCCTAGTTAATTTTTACTCGATGATTGCATGGGTATTTTATTTCTTGGCTGTGCTGGGATTGATTGTGATGAGATTCACTGAACCCTATGCCGAGCGTCCATTTGTGGTATGGATTGGTGTGCCGATTCTGTTTTGTTTTGGAACAGTGTGTCTCCTGGTATTTAGTATTTGGGAAGCACCTATAGAGGCAGCAGCAGCAGGACTGTTTCTATTGGCTGGGATACCTATTTATTGGATTGGATCTAGATACAGCGTGACATGTGAAGGTAAATTATAGCTACTTTATTACATGACAGTATCATGCGTGCTGTCTATCACTACTCATGATTGTTATTTGAAAATATAGATGTGATGCATATATGCTTTATGTGGGCAGCAGCCGCTGTTGTAACTGTGCTTCCGTTTGACAATATCAAGGAACTATTGCAAAGACAAGAATACCAGCGACAAGCCGATGTGGACGACAACCAGATTGAAATGATGTAATAGTAAAATCAACTTGTCCAGATTGGAAGTTGGATTCCGTAATTATGACTTTGATAAATAGAATTCTTGGTATAAACTGGACCTAGCCAGAAACGATGATTACATGAATACTTTAGACGAAACAGTAGGTGACAAGCACAAGGTTTTCGGCGATACGATTTACAAGTGCTATTTTCCAAGAGGAATATTGACAGATATTTTATCGCCAAAAGCACCCCAAGAATTTCGTCGAGTCAGATAAACTGATAACCAGGCGGCAATGACTACCAGCCACACCAACGAACCAATGAGAGAGTAGATTGCATCTGAAAGTAATCATTATATGAATAGACTGAATATAGTTTTGGGTTCTATTGATGCAAGCGGGACTCACACTTGCGGATAACTGGAGAAAGGTTAGGCCGTTTGCGAATAGCAGGATATATGTATATAAAGTTGACAAGCCACAACCATGGCAGTCCAATAAATCCCAGCTGAAAATATCTACGAGCAAGCAAGATAATCTCTTGCTCCTTCATACGGTCAATGGATGTCCTACAGTTTACAAAAGTAGCCCGTCAGCTGATAGACTTTGCCAATGCAATACTTGTGTATCATCTCAATACATGGAAAAGGATAGACATGCAAAATGTATACCCAGAAACCTCCATGAACACTCACATATTAGTACTGGTAGCAAGTATGTAGTTGATGGTAAAACTTGCATCGTCATGACGCCATTCAAGATGAAACTGTGCGAGTCACCTGATGTCAGGTTACTCATGCAGTCACTATTTTGCATTCAAGTTTTTGTACTGCAAATTGGTATTCTTGAACCTTTATAAAATACAAACTGTAGTTTTGAGTCAGATTTCTTCTTTTTTGGTATTCATGCGTTGTTACGATTAACAAGTTTGAATTCTGTTGTTGTTAAACTCGAGTCTTGGACACGTTCTAATTCAGAAAATCAAGATTGTATAGCTACGACCATTTGTCTAGTCTGACTAAACTGTTCAGTTTATTTAAAATGTGAATACGGTCTCTTCAGCATTTTTCACCCATAAAAAATCAAATATCCATGCAACTTGCGATATCAATCCATCAAAAACAGGTATAATCCATATACCAGGAAAGTTGGTGACCATCATACCCCCTTCAATATCCCGCGAAGAATCTCTAAACTCAGGATTCATGATATTGGTTTGGTGTTTAACCCTAATTAAATATCAAAAACACGCTTAGTAATAAACTTTTGGCAATCTGGACTTATTAAATGACCATCACTCAACTTGAACATATAGTAAACAACGCAGGCCTCGACCATTACGACAAAAAAGAACATAATGGCCAACATGGAACAGTGTTTACAAACCGCCTTCATAATCACTTGAAGGCGTTCATAAAGCGTAATAGGTAGGTTGGCCTTGGCATGAACACTTTTTGCTGTATCGCACTGGAGCTGTAGCAATTTTTCGCGAGCAGACACATCATCGCAGATATTTTCATGCGCAAGAATATCAGCTCTCAGTTTGGTTTCAAACTGCTTCAATTCGTCGATTTTTTTGTCTGTATCATAGATACGGGCTTGCTCTTGCTTAATTTCAAGAAGGATAATATCAAGATCAATCTTTGACTGGTCCTTGTTTTTTGTCATACTGGCTATATCTTGTTCGAGTTGGTTTAGATTGGCAGTCATTTGAGATTGTTTCTCAGACTCTTGCTGAACATGATCTCGCATTACGGTTTTGAGCTCAAGCAAAACTTGACGCAAAGATATGTAAAGATCATCAGAGGAAGATAGAGACTCCAAAACTGACAATGTACTGGTATGTTTTGAATATACGGAAATAGAGTTTACAAGATCGAGAATACGATGCCATTCTGCATTGAGTTGTGGATTAGACTGAATATCTGGGCTAAAAGCAGGATCAAAAGAGAAGCAACCCTTGGCAGAGCTATAGTGAGGTATTTCAGGAATAGGTGTAGAAAATGAACGAGGCACACTGATGGGAGAGTCTTGGCCATTACTGGAGCTGTCTAATTGTAGATTCAGAGCATTTGGAGGAGATTCCAGATCCAAGTCGTTACCATGTGAAAGCGATTCAGATAGCCGAATGTCCAACTCAATACCTTCAACTAGGAGAGTGGGTGGAACTTCGTCCTGCAATGATCCAACTGTATCCTCATCCTTGGGTCGATCTAATTCTTCCAATTCATAGTCATCATATGTCTCGCCGACTTGATAGGATTCATTTCCAAGATCATCCTGATCTTGAACGTTTTGAATTTCGTAGCAACCATCACTTTCAAGATGATCCATATCCAAAGTAGAATCTTCCTCCGATTCATGAATAATGGTGGAAACAGACAGAGATTCGATGAATGGGTTTTGGTTATGGACATCAAGATCTAGCAATGGTAGTGGATGGTCAGAGTCGACAAGGGAGCTAGCCTCTGTAGTATTGGAATTCAGCTGGCTCTAATAGCAGAGTTAAAACAGAGTCTCTAGACATAGTAGATGGTCAAGATAATACCTTTGATAAGCGACTAAATTCCTTGAGCAGCTTGTGGGGAGTAAAATCTCTGGTCGAGACTGGTGGTCTTGGTCCAGCATGACTGATGGGAGTATACTGAGACTTGGGTAAGAAACTGGTCTCAGTCACAGCAGCAGGCGATGGACTCTTTCTCTCTGGGGAACGCTTTCTCTGGGTCATTGAGTTGGCAAAAGACAAACGCTTTGTTGGCCAAGTAAAAAATCATTACTTTTGTAAACCATTTGACTTTATTCCCACAATTCACTCCATCAAGGCTCTTTAATCACCACTAAATCACTCTTCTCATTAACCACTCCCGCTGCATGAGCTATCGACTGCATCGTCTCTGCCACTAAATAAAAAGGTTGCGGCATCATCACTGTCTTGTGCTTTCCATCTCTCTCCAGCTGCATCTCATGGTGAAAGTCATCATGCACTGCATCGTGCAGTCTTCCCAACAATCCCCACTGTACTTGATCAAACACTTTGTTCAAGGGCACTAGTGTCCCTTTTCGTCTTGTTGCCAAGCCCTGCTTGACATTCCATTGAATATCCACAAATGTTGCTGTTCGATCCTCGACTAATTTCACAAGCTCATATTTGAGTTCAAGCGATGCTGCTATGCTCGCTAGAAATGCCTTGCATGAAAAATATCCCTTACTGGTCCTACATCCACCATAACTGTTCTTGATTACGGGTGCTCGCATGGCCTGTGCAACTGTCACTCTTAATGGCTGCGTGTCTGTAATGCACATATTCGATACCAGTGTGCCTGAAAGAATCTCTTCGCCGTTCGAGTCTTGAACAATAAGTTGTGGGGATGCTTGCTCTTGAAAAACAGTTGCAAATTCTTGAAGAATCCGGTCTCGCAAATCATCCAGTGTCTGTAATGGATGGACGAGAATCGTGCTGCTACAGTACTTGGTACCAGATTGATGCACTACCACCCATGCTTCTTTAAGTTGATGTACATTGGTGGAATCTTGGTGTTCTGATATGCGCATTACGAAACGATTTGTACTCGATAGGGTTATTAATTATATTCGAGTATGTTTAGTCGTATTCATGTAAAATGAAATACTAAAAAGGGAGTCGTAATAAATAATCTCATGAAACGATAATTCACACCAAATCCACTAAACCTTTCAGTCTTTTTAAACTAAAATGTATCTGCAAGTCTTTAAGGATGTCAGTTAAAATGTCAAATGAAAAAAGGGATCGTTCCAGTTTAAAATCAAATATCGTTAATTTCTAGTAGGAAAACGAATGAATGTTGGACTATTCCAAAGCAAAATAGTGACTGCAAGATAAAGTGCTCCATTTTACCAATACGACTGTAGCAAGATGAGTACACTGCCGCAGCATCGACATCAGGCAGACCTGATAAAAAAGGAACAGCAGAGAATAAGACGGGCTGCTCAACAGCATCCACCACAGAGCACAATCTCACACTCTGGCTCAACTACCTTGCGACCTATTGGAGTGTCACCTCAAGCGAATGCATCGGGCTCTGAACCTACTGCACAATCACTCGATGGGTTGAGCAAGGCACCTCAGCTGTCCGAGATTGCTAAGCGATATTCTAAATTGCCTCGGTCGTCTCGGATTGGACTGAGTATAGGTAACCCAATCATGCTACTGTTGCTAAACCAAGCCAAAATAGACATTTAATCCTGTATGCCATGGCTGTAAACACTTGTTTGCTTTATGTCTGGAACTGTGGTGCATCACTAGGGCTTTTGGGGATCTCACTACTGGGAATCTATCTAACGGATCCATCTGAAGTAGAACTTCCCAAACCTTCTACACCTACTGTTTCTACTATAGTAAAAAAGGATCAATTCATCGAGAGTCTTGAAGCCGAACTCGAGGCAGTTGAACCAAGACTATCAAAATAAAATATTCATGATCAGCATATCAGATGGCCATTTATCTGATACCTGTGGGCGTTGAACCAATGCCGTCAAAAATTGACAAACTTTTAGTCCGCTTTTTTATATTTCAATACTCAATTAGCATGACAGACATATCCAAACTCTTGACTGAATATACTCCCAGACTCAAGGAAGTTCTTGCAGAGGCAGACCTAGAAGTCCTTTCCATTCGAAAGTTACGAACCCAAGCTGAAAGCGAACTCAAGGTTGATTTGACCGAATACAAAAATGCATTTCAAGAGCTGGTTATGAGTCTAACCCAAGACGTCAGTTGTAATGCTTCAAGCAAGGAAAACAATACGCAGGTCGATACTATGGATGAATCACTTGACAACTCCAAAACTGATACTGATGACGATAAAACCGATGATGATGCGATTGTGGAAATTAAAAGCAATATTAAATCTAGACGAAATATCCGACAACATTTGTTCGGAACCAGTAATTCTCTTGCTCAACTTTTGGGCACAACCGATCCTATTTCTCGAGTAAGTTGATTTTATAGTTACAATTTTCATATTCAATTCAGAATCCTTTTTTACCCACACCCTGATCGGGATATTGCCATCTTGTTGAACTGCTTTATGACATGCATCCATCTTTTCGAATCCTTTGCATGTTATCATTCGACCCTTACCTACTCCATGTGAATTCACAAAAAATTGACTTTGTACAATCTCGACACAACTACTAAATAACTGACTCGAATGTGTACAACAATATGATTAGATAGACCTTAATAAACAACTATGGCACTATATCAAAGAACACAATCTTCAAGACCCAATCGACAGGCGATTCATTTTGTGTGATGAAAAGCTAAAGGCGGTGATGAAATCAAAACGAGTCAACATGTTTAGCATGAACAAGAAACTTTCGAATCACCTATACAGTGATTACCAATTCATGCACAAAAAAGCAAGCTTGCAAGAACAACCCGTGGTTGAGCCCAAACCACCTAAAAGAAAGCGAGGATCAGATAGATTAAAATTAGCAGCAGAACTGAGCCCACTCAATGAACCACGTATACTGAGTCCTGAATTTGCAAGCATTGTTGGTGTAAGTGAGCTTTCTCGAGCACAGGCTCTTAAAGAGATTTGGCTATATATCAAGGACAAAAAACTGCAAGATCCATTGAATAAGCGAATGATTATTTGCGATGAAAAGTTTAAAAACATGTTCAAAGTAGATCAATTGGATATGTATCAAATGAACAGGGTAAGTGTTTTTACCTGGATAACATGTAGCTGAAATGGATAACAGTAATGGCTGAATCCATAACAATGTATTTTAGGGACTTGGAGGGCATATGGTCAGAAAGGAAGAATATTCAAAGCAACCCATTTCGGAATCGCACGTTGATTAAATAGACACAGTTGGAACTAAACAAGTTTGGATTTGAATTGAAATAAAAGTTCTTTATGGCCTAGTTCAGTTATGTTGGGTTCCAGATGAAACTCGATAGAATTCATGTGGATAAATGTAACGCGTTGAGACAGCAATCGAGACGTGCGATTGATTTTGAATATCAATGCAGAGAACAGTCTCACAAACAGTATGGAACCCAACTGCTGCTGTGTCAATGACAACGTCTGCATGGATATGCAAACTAGTTCAACAGTGTTGGATTGGGATATCATGTCTGATGAAACCGATTTGTTTCCCGATTTACTCCCCGACTTGTTTCCTGATGAGCTCAACTTGATGGATTGCAAGTCCTTACAGCCATGTGCTAATACTACCATTTCACCTACTCTGTCTGTGATGCTCATTCCAGTTACTCCACCTACCAAAACCCTTTTGGTAAAACATATTTTCAGTATTCTTGAATCTATCCAAAGTGTGATGGGCAGAAACCATATTCCTGCCTTGCAGCTTGTTTGTCGCTATAAATCCACAACGTAACTCACTTGATTCAAACAGTACAGTTTAAATATATTGCCATCAAAGCTAATCCAATTCAACTACTGACGTTAAACTATATTTGACATGCATGACAGGTTTGACTCGTTTACGGGTAAAAACTCGGTAGATTCAGCTAATCCTAAATACAAACTCATTAAACGTATCGGCAGATCCATCTCCACCTTTGATGCCATCGTATCCATTCTCAAATGCATTCATTCACTTTTATTCACCCAGAGTCGTTGCACAAAACGAGATATATACTATCGCAATATTCACCAGTTTCGTACCCAGAAACAAGTGGATGAAATTGTGGAAGATTTGGCTTGCTCATTTGGTATTTCCCGCGATCAGTTGATGATTGTTGCCGCCTCAAAAGGAGTCGTATATGGCCGGCTGTGGATTCATACAAGCAAGGGAGATATTCTTGACTGTTGTAGCAATACTACGTCTGGCACTTTGATTCCAAATGCAGATACAATCATTGGGTTTACAGTTGGCGATGGTGTCACAACGGTATTGGTGGTGGAAAAAGACGCTGTATTCTTTTCCATGCTACAATATGGGTTCTGGCACACGCACCCACACATTATTCTCATTACTGGTCGTGGGTTTCCTGATATGGCTACAAGGAGACTTGTCTGCATGCTCAGCCAGTCGCGCATGTATCGAATAAACCCAAGAACTATGTCAGATTTTGAAGTCGAGTTTGGCAGATCAACCGAGATTGAGCTGGGTCAAGTTTTAACGACTACAGAATCGGATTTGATGGTGTTAGTTCTTGTTGATGGTGATCCATCTGGATTCGAAATCTATTGTACATATAAATTTGGATCAAAGTCGATGGCTTACAACACGCTTCTTGCATGTCCATCCTCTATATGGGTTGGTATCCATCCAACCTCTTGGATGCTGACCATTGATGCCGACAGCTTAATTCCACTCACGCCACACGACAGATGCAAGGTATACCGACTTTTGGATCGTAACCATATTCGATCTTGCAAAGAATACCAGCGGCAGTTGTCTCGAATGGTGTTTATGAACTGCAAGTGTGAGATCCAGGAATTTTCAGGTGTATGGGTTTGCGAAGGGCTTGAATAGCAAGTACCGATAGTGTTCAAGATCAAATTCCGAAGTTGGATCATTGTTAATACGCATTAAATTTTTACTTGCAAGTGATGCACATACAAATCAGTCATTGCTTACTAAATATAAACCATCCTTGCAAAGAGTACCTTTTTACTATCAATAAATAGTAGTAAAGCGTTGGAGTTTGTATTTAAATTGGATGATTTGTCAAGTAGTGGCAATTCACTTGGTCAGCGACCATAGTAAGAATACCAGCATACACGCTGTCGCTCATTTATTCACGTTGATGCATTTTCAAAATCTTGCCAACTTCTACTTATTACAGTGCCGAGTAAGTTGTCAAGTCACCAAGTGCTTCTTGCCACATTTACACCCATATTGATCTAGTAGAAACCTCAATATTGATTGAATCAGGATTTTTAAAGACTAAAGCTAGTGTATACGCGGACCGAGATAAGCAGATATACGTTTCTTTAATCCTAACCTGTACTTGACCACACAAATCTCGCGAATACTCGACTGCAAGCATCTATATCTGCTAAAGTGCAGCCAGAAAAGTTTGGCATTTAGAACCAAGCTTATTCGACCCAAAATAGAATACATAATAGCACTTTGAAAGGCTTTTCATCAACCATGCCACAGCTGCAACGCAACTCGGCCCAGCTGGCATTGCAAACTCCAGAAATATTAACACACATATTGGCATTTACAGACGACCCATTTATTTTTTCAAAAACTGACCGTTCAACATTGACCATATCACGAAATAGCAATTGGATCATCAAGTGGGTATACAACCATCCTGACCAGGTCCTCAAATGGGGACAAGATTTTATACAAGGATACACACCACCCGTATTCAAACTCGACTGGGTGGTTGCCGTTGAAAGCATGAGAAAGCCTGTAGGACTAGGAAAAGTCGCGAAGCTATTTGTGAAAGGCGGCAGTCGAATGTGTGGAAAAGTGTGCGCTGCTGCGTTTGATATTCCCTGCAAAACTCTTAATGGAAAATTTATTTTCAATCTCAACAATGAAACCATTAAAGTAGAGGGTGATGCTGCCTTGGGTGCGACCTGGAGAGCAAAAATAGTCAACAACTCGAGCTTGATTCAGCAATTCACTTGTCTTCAACAAACCCTTTGGATCGTGTGTGCCTATCTTGGTGCTGTAGAAGTTCTTGAGCAAATATTCAATCTTCAAACCCGATCCTCAACTCCAACCTCTTTGACTTTATTCAAAAACTTTCAAATAGCGACTTCATTGGATTTACTCAAACCAACTGCGTTTGCTGCAGTTCAGTATATAAAATCCCCAAATCCATCGTTTTTGAAATCCATCGTGTCGCTGATTCCTGCACCAACTGAAACTTTAAAAGACTTGCATTATTTTTCCATGCGGGTGGGCCATGTTCCAAACGTTCAATGTCTTATTGAGCAATTCAAATATCAACTTGACTCGCATGTTGTACATCTTCTCAATTACGCTCAACAAAACAAAAACATCGCATTGATTGATTACATTCTTACGTGCAAGATCATTTCAGAGGATGTGGCAGAAGCTGTTGAAAGTTGGAGACACGCATTGGCAATTCAAAACAATGGAGATAACACTGAATCGATCGAACAAATTATTCAGTTGCTAAGTACACGAATGCATAAATGTATTACTACAATTCAGTCTGGAGCCGTGCCGGGATTACCAATGGCTACCACTGGAAGCACACATACTGACTCTAGCCTAAAAACAACGACTTATCAGCGTATAGAAGTTCTTTCTGCGCATTGGAAAGCTTTGCTTGAAATTGCTTGTGCCAAGGGACATATACTTCTTGTGCAGGGATTGCTCAAAATGGCACTGGATCCAGAGATTGCACTTTACAGACTTGAAATCACGGTAAAAATGATTGCAGTGGCATTGAACGGTGAATATGAAAATATTGTGGATGCGTTGGTGGATAGTATTCCTAGAGGATATGGCATGTCGCGACGGGTTAGTGCATTGAGTTCATTGATGACGGCTCAAAATGGAACTACAGGTGGAACTAAACTAGCCGTGAATGCCATCAATAACAATAGTCTTGTCACGACACTAGGAATTCAGTCAGCTTTCGACAAGGCTGGGTTAGAATTGTTGGGAAATCTACCACTTGGTCGGACTGAGCGTCGCCAGGAACTCATGTTTAGATACTGTAGTTTTTCTGATCTCAAACTATTTCAAGCCATTTTTCCCAGCTACTATATTTCGGAATTTTCAACGTGGGTCGAATCGGTCAAGGTCCACCGGATTGAAATGATTACATTTTTGTTATCGTCAGGGTTTTCTGGCAGTAAATCAGATGCATCTGCAAAAAAACAGTCATTACAAGACACTCAGAATTTGAAAGTAGGCGAACCAGCTAAAGCGGTTGAGCGTGTCACGCCTTTTTACATTCGCAACGATTGCATTTGGGCAGCATTTCAGTCGGGATTGATCGAGATTGCTCAGGTATTGCAATCAGCCGGCGGAAATCTTGGATGGATGGAAGAGCTATCCCAAGAGAATCAACAACCATCATTGGAGACTCAAGAATATTCACAGCATATAGGCTCTACGTCTCGATATCCCTCCACAACGCCAAAACGAACCATGCCTGCTTCTGCTTTGGCCGTGTTTTCAGCATATGGAGGGCAGACTGATACAATGGATCCAAGAGCTATAGCGGCCATGTCTAAATGTGGAGATATATCAGCACCAGGAACACCAAGTATTCGAGACCTTCTCAAAGCAAGTGACGAACACTTGTCAAGCATGACAGGTTTAGATCGTCTTGCAGCCGCGCTGGCTACTGCATCTTCAAGCTCGATTGGAAGCATATCTGCTCGCACTTCATCAACTTGCTCGTCGCGCGATGGTGGGTTTTCATCAAAGCGAAGCTCATTGCTGCTCAAAACCATGCATAATGCACCTATTTCTGGAACTGAGGATCTGACATGGAATGCATACTTGGCAGGAAACGCTGATGAATCAAACTATGCGCTATCATGGATGGAGCCACGAACTATAGCACCATCTCCTCTGTATAACCTGTTGAGTAATAGTAGCGGAGGGCTAGGATTACGAGCAGCGCTTGCTGCAACACGCAATGGACACGAAAGAAAATCTACTGGGGGTGTGTATGCAGGAGGACGATCTGGAAGTATGACCACAGGTGGAGGTAGTATTGAAGGCAGTATAAACGGATCAGTGAATTTCAATGGTAATACAATGGCAGATGCTGTGGATGCATACACAGTCTATGCAGCTCTGGGAGGAGAGCTCTACTAAAAAGTTTAAATTGACCAATATAAAGTTTTTATAAGAAATAAACTATAAACAGGAGTTTGACTATATTTAAAGAATTATTGAATGGTTTCAAGTACAAGGTTTGAGTTTTTTCATTGCAATTACAGTTATACTCATAAAATGGAATACGAATAAGGGTATCAAGGTGCATAAACAGTCAATTTTATGAAATGATTGTCAGTTTACTGGATAATCTTGTTTTTTTTGTGGTAATCCAAATAGAAACAACAATTGCATTAGCGAGATATACAATCTTGATTTTCTGAATTAGAACGTGTCCAAGATCTGAGTTTAACAACAACAGAATTCAAACTTGTTAATCGTAACAACGCATGAATACCAAAAAAGAAGAAATCTGACTCAAAACTACAGTTTGTATTTTATAAAGGTTCAAGAATACCAATTTGCAGTACAAAAACTCGAGTCATTTCTATTCTGAAGCAATCTGCAATACAAAAGTTTCATTTTACGTGAATACGGCTGTAACTGCAACTCACCATCAGTATTGTTGGTGAAGAGCATACACTATCAACTACTATTAGCCATGGCCAAGTGAGTGTATGTGATGACCACTGCTATCAATTCTACAGATATTGGGAATATACTCACCATGATTGCCATGGTTCAGTGCTCCTGTCCAAGACTTTATTCCTTCAAGCAACAGCAGTGGTAGAACGTTTGCTCCGACTATACGTAGGTCTTCATCCAGTCATAGTCTTCATGCCACCACTGGGTCTTTATCTGTAACTACTCAGAGACGACAGTCTAGCAACATTCATCAACCACGGCCTGTATCTGAGATGAATGCCAACCATTCCATGACTAACCCCGACTACAGTCAACGGCAGAAGAGTATGTTCATGTTACTATTTGGTAACAGTTTCCCTGTATACACAATCTATTATTGATATGCTTTCAGGATTACTGCGTATCCCAAGTGGATTCACTCGACTGGAATATCTAATCTGTACTTGTACAAGCATCAGATAGTAAGATTCGCATGATTAACCTATAATGATTAATATTCTATCAATATAGGATCTTCCAAATCTGGTCGCAACAGGACCAACAGGCGATCACAGAATGTCATCGAAGTCAGCTCATCTCCCAGCACTGCAGATACTGCATCTAATGAGTTGGATCGAGATGCCATCTCAGCTACTGGCGAGCCTAGTTCTTATCTTGTAGACAAAAGCTTGGCTGATCAGCCATTGGTACCAAATAAACGAGGCCAGGTATCGCTTAACCATCTCATCAACTTTTCATTTCCACCAAGACAACAGACAATACAAACAGTGTTGGGAGGCTCGTCATCGCCTTTGGGTGACAGTTCTACTGCCGCTAGACGCAGGAAAAAGGAATATATCGAGCCGTTCAACAAGCAACGGTTCGTGAATGCAAAGTAAGTTTTGCTTGTGATTTATTTACAGCCGTAACACTTGTTGGAAGTTGACTTGAATAGACACTCCATCCATTATATGATACATACAAATCAAACTATTACTTTGAATTAAAATCACTCCTTTCCTCATTCTTGACATAACCATGCATTGTACGATCATCAGATTCAGATTTTGAATTTATAAATACTTGTTTTGTTGACCACTTTGACAAACTGTATGAATTTTTGTTTAATAGCTTTCGATTTATCTTGACGCCCGACAACAACTATCAGGCACCACTTTCTGATCCTGATATTATTATTGAATGGGAAGATATTGATCAGGTTGTTTTACTTTCGTCTGCATTGGAAAACTCGTCAATTTGTCCAATATGCCTTTCTATACCAGCCGCTCCCAGAGTCGCCAAATGTGGCCATGTTTTTTGCTGGCCATGCATCAGACACTACTTGGTGCTAGGAGAAAAGGCATGGCGCAAGTGTCCTATTTGCTATGATTCAGTCTATGCACCCGATCTAAAAAGTGTTTGCTTTGTTGAAGGCGGAGATGCAATCTCACGTCGTTTTGGTCACAGCAGTCCATTGGGGTGTGCTGGTAAAACTGTGACGTTTACCTTGATGAAGAGAATGATAGGATCAACTATTGCGTTGCCGAGACATGCGTTTTCAAAATGGAATAACCGTGCAGCTCCACCTTGTGTCATGACTCGGATTCAATCCATGATTACAAAAGATGATGAACATGTAAACAGCCCTACTGATTCTACTGCTTCAATTACAAAAAACCAGGATGCGATGTTGTTTGGACGAATGATGGTATCTACTCCAGAATATATGCTACACGTTGCACAGCAAGACAGAGATATGTTGGCTCAGCTGCTCAAAGAGCACATTGAGCTGACAACTAAATTTAAGGGTACTCCTGGTATAGACTCTGAACGTCCGTTTTTAGACTCGTGTATAATGGATATCGAGGTAAAGTGCAATTGAGATGCGAACCTTGTGCTCATACTCTTGAAATACCAGCACTATTTGTAACCCGTATATCTAATTTATGATTGTATACAATAATCTAGAAAATCATTGCTGGAGGTGGTACTATTCGTGCAACCCCACAACCCCGAGGAAAACAACAGCCATTCATGGCTCGGTATCAAACTTCTGTATCTACACAGCAGCATCGGCCTCACCAAAGTGATCGTATCTCAAAAACAGAAAAGATATTGCCCACACCCAATACTCGTGCATCTACCACGTCACCAGTTCATTCCCAAACCAGCCAAGCGCCATATATGTACTTTTATCAATCTGCAGATGGTCAGCTAGCCTTTCTTCATCCATTAGATGTCAGGATTCTCAAGAGTGCATATGGCGAATATGAGCTTTTTCCTGACACGCTTACACTCAAACTCATCTCAGCACAGGAATCTACCATGACTACAGATCTACGCAAGCGGTGCAAATATCTCTGTCACTTGCCTTTATCCTGCGATGTTACATTTTGTCAAGTAGAGTTGGATGGAGTAGTTGAAGCAAGTGTGCTTGAACAATTTTCAAAGGAAATTGCAAGTCGGGCGGCAAGATTAACCAAGCATATTCAAGAAGCTGAGAAAGCATCTCAGATGATTGCTAATGCTTCAGGTACTGATTACAACACGACTGGAGTTTACCATTCCAACTCTGGTGGTGCTTCCAACCTGCAAGACTCGGCATGGCTGCAGCAGTCATTTGGTGGTGCTGAAGTTGTTGGTGGTTCTCAATCCGCAGATGGTAGTGATCGGAACATGGGTTCATTGTCACGGCCTTTGAATGGGGGATCATTTGCAGATATGGCGGCAGTTTCTTCTGCAAGACGAGCGACAGACACGCCATCATCGTGGTTGCCAGGAGATGATTGGGGCGTGGATGATCGACACGGATGGGCTGACAATCTAGAATCCCAATTGATGGATACACATATTGGTGAATCAAGCATCACTAGTGGAGGCAATCGGAGCAAGCGGGGAGGTAAAAAATCGGTTTTATTGGTTAGTAATGGTGGTGCGAGATCGAGATAGACGCAACTGTTGAAAATCTGTTTGTTCGCTATTAGTTTATATTTACAACTTCTTTTTATACTCGCTCTTGCTCAGATAGTATTTAGGATTTATTTAGAATAAATCCAACATTAATGTAGATTGTGTTTTGATATCTTGATGTAGAATTGATTTAAATCTCGACACTTGCAACTGAGGTCTAAGCAACCGTTTATTATTGCAATCCAATCTCTCCAAAACAATCAATGCAATGGCCAAACAGACTTCCAAGTCTCATGGAGGCCATCCTTGCCCATCTGCCTCTCCACAACCAAAACTCGAACAACAGCCTTTAGATCCAGTCCGCCATGTATATGAGGGAATGTAGCTGCTATCGTAGCATCTTTGACACCCATTCCAGCATCCATACAACCTTTTTGAACAGAAGGAGCCAATTCCCAACGAAGAGAATCTCCAGATAATTGAACTAGATTCACCTCAAGAAGGATCACTTGAGACAATGTTGAAAAAAATCGATCAACAGTTGGAAGTGCTTGAGCCTGAGTTGAAAGGTGAATGAAACCATCATTCAAGTCCAATGCAGTGCCATTCCATTTAGTGCTGATAGAACTGGATTCAGCGATTATAGGAATCATATCTTTGATACCATTGTACTCTTCAAATGTCAGGATCTTGTAGGAAACTGTTGGTCTTGTTGCTGGTTCTGCCATGTTTTATGGCTGGTAACAGTGAGGATGAAATGAGAAATTCTTGGCAACACTGGATGCTTTGCAAACATCAATTTGAATGGCTGGATTATTTATCGTTCATTTCTCCTGCAATATGGTGACAATCTGGCTTGCTCTTGTTCCAACACAACAGTTTCAATACTTGATCTATAGTCTGCACACTAGCTTGAAACAATTGTAAAGGTTTGCGATTGAATTCATGTCACGATACAACAGTCTATTCAATGTATTGAATGTTTTTAAAACAATAAAAGTGAATGATTGAACTATAAATATTCCCATTCCTTGTCTTGAGCTGTAAACAATTTGTAAACAAGTTTTTGTATTCATGTGGAAAAGCATAGTTTGGACGGTTTAATACTGACAGATTCAACATGTATAGGGCAAGCAGTTATATTCAATCTGCCGACTGTATCCAAATCTATACCACTCATACGTTTGTTCATGTGGTATTCAGAGTTTATTTCTTGGCCTTCCATTTGGGAGTTACCACAAACCATCGCTTCCTGCGTACAGTCTTGTACCCCTTTGTCTTCCATCCCCATGGACTACGAGGTGCTTTGTTTCCTTTACTCTTGTGACCACCACCGTGAGGATGCTTGTGTGCACTCATGGCAATACCACGGACTGCTGGTCGCCATCCCTTACGTCTGCGAGCACCTGCTTTACCCCAGTTGCGATGCATGTGAAGTTCATTACCAACAACTCCGATCGTGGCACAAACATCGGCAGGAATCAATCTAACTTCCCCACTGGACAAACGCACCTGCGCGTATTGAACGGGCTGTGGAAGATCATCGTTGGAATTGGCAACAGTTGATGAAAGCGTGGCGATTGGAGTAGAGATTAGCTGGCCAGAAGTACCGGCTGATCGACATAGCTGGGCAGGACCATTTGAATGCAGACCAATGCAGTGAATCAGTGTACCTACAGGAATATCCTTGAGATGTAGACAATTTCCAGGCTGGATAAGCTCAGACTTGGAAATAGACGGAACATTGGGGTCAGTGGATACAGGAATACCAGATCGATATGAATATAGAATCTGGCCAGGATCAACACCAGCAGGACGAATAATGTAACTGAATTCGTTGGTAGAAAGATGCCGCAGTAGGCACAGTTCAGCAGATCGGTTAGGATCGTATTCCAAACGAACAACTTCAAAACTTCCAGGAACGTTTCGGTTAAAGTCGACCTGTCGCACTCGTTTCTTGTGACCACCACCTCGATGACGGACTGTAATTCTGCCAGTGTTATTGCGACCTCCAGTAGATCGTTTGCCATAAGACAGACGCCAAACACATGAGCCTTTATGTAGATGAAAACGAGTGGCATGACGACGGTTAGTAGAGCCTGGAGAGACTGACTTGTAGATTTTCATCTTGCCAACAACTCGCCAGAACTTGTTTTCCATGACAGGAAAAGTCTGTTCAGGAATAGGTTTTCCTTCGGCCTTGAGCTGCTTAATCCAGATCTTACGCTTGGTATAAGCCTTTGTGGGGTTTTTACGAAATGTTTTATGACGAACTTGATTCAATGACCATGCATGATTGCTGATATTGTCGATCGACCTGAGTAATCCTGCAGTCGTCCTGTGGTGATGATGCCAAAGTGCTGCTGCTGGCTGTTGCAAATCTGTTGTTGAGCAATAGGACAAGACTCTTTTTCCAGCAGCAGAAAGAGACAATGCACCTTTACAAATCATTATTTTTAGTTCCAACTGTATTCTACTTGGTCAATCCACTACAATCTGATCTTCATCAGGAAAGAAAATCGCTCATGTTTTGCATTCAAACCCATTCAGATCCACGTGACTTGATAGAATTGTCAATCTTGTAATCAAGTATACTAAAATTGGTAAGCATTCACCAAGATATTCATAAAATAAAAACAATCGAATATTCACATTACTGTTTCACTCGGTCTCAAACTCTCCTTTTATTCAAGCCAAATATCGAGTAATTGGCATGTATAGCCGCATGATTGATTGTGCAATCTTGTTTTCTTGAACTGGATACTAAATATCTGAGATTTTAAAACGACAGATATTAACATTAAAATGATCGAGCTCAATATGTAGAGATTGTACAATATATGAACGTATCAAATGAAGAGAAAGGGGCAATCAGTTCAAGATCATAGTTTATTCTATAGTGAAATAGAAATTGTCTGCAAAATAGTATTTCATTTTACATGAACATGTTCTTGAATTGTGAAAACTTGCTTGGCTTCGGAGGCTTGAGCTTTTTTATTGTTTCCTTTATGTCCTTTACATTCTGTTTTGCAGTCTTGCAAACTTTTTTCAGCTCAATCATTTCTTCTTTCATCTCTTTTGTAAGCGCCGACATTCGGTTTTTATGGGATTCAAACGAGTGGTGAGATGTTTCGGAAGGCATAGGCCCGCCAAACAAACGTGTCTTTTGGTTCATGAGTAGTACCTTTTGATTTAGATATTTCTCGCACTCAACCTTCATGGTATGCTTGGCAACCTTTAAATCTTCTTCCAATTCCTCGATGCTCTTTTCCGTTGATTCCTCACTTTTTAAATCTTCACGAGGTTCTCCATCTCCATCCACAAATCCAAAATTCGTATATCCTCCGTGACCTGACTGATTTCCATCGCTTGAGTCGGAATCACCCACTTTCTTTTCAAAGTCTTTGCCAGGACTACGTTTTGACAAGTGTTGTGACAGAGTTGTCGTATCATGTAAAATGACTGCTGCATTGACAGTTGCAGCCAAAGTCAACACGGTTAGAAATGCTGTAAACCTCATCAAACCTGATTAAATCTAAACTGGTGATAAAAGCAATGAATACTCTGTATTTGATAAAGTTTGAACAAGACTGCTCTGTTCATTTATATCAAATACAGAGTATGTTAACGAGTGGAATTGTGTTCAATAAGGGTTAGAATACTGCTTGATATGTTACAGAACACACATGCTTGTGTTTGTGGTGACGATATCCAATACGCCCTTTAATGGAATAGGACTGGACACCTGGATAGTGGTATGTATTGTAGGGCTTTTTGTACTTGTAGGGTTTTTGAAATAATCATTGCCATATTGGAGTAAAATGAAGCATTATTTCCTCATGGCTGGCATAGAAACAACAACTGCATGACTGATTGTGTAATCTTGTTTTCTTGAACTGGATACTAAATATCTGAGATTTTAAAACTACAAATGAGCTCAACATTAAAATGATCGAGTTCAATATGTGGAGATTGTACAATATATGAATGTATTAAATGCAGAGAAAGGGGCAATCAGTTCAAGATCATAGTTTATTCTAGTGTTTCATTTTGTATGAATACAGTCGTAAAAACACCTGAAACCAAATAATAGAATACACTAGCAGTTGTGAAAAAAGCTCAGCATGCAAGTATATTTATTGATTGTCAACAAGTACGCCAAGACATTATCATGTTAGATTGAAATCAGTGATGAGATGAATAGTAGGCAAAATGATAAATAACCATAAAAGATGGTCAAGGCTTGAAATAGAGATAATTAAATGTCATTTCTAATCGAGTTTCAAGGTTTCGGACTCCAAAATCTAAAGGAGAGTTTCACCAAAAGCAGAGCGGACCAAGGAGCATCCCACTTGCACAGTCTGAGTAAGCAAAGCGTGGTCGCTACATAGAGTAGGGTTGACTTCCATAATATCCATCGAGACAAGACATCCAGTTTCGAATATAGACTCGCAGATAAAGTGACCTTCACGGAACGAAAGGCCGCCACGAACAGGAGTGCCAGTGGCAGGAGCAACACTGGGATCAAGAGCGTCGACATCAAAGCTGAGATGAATAGGGTTGCTGCGTCCAAGGTAATCATAGGCCATTTCCATGATCTTTCCAATACCATACTTGTCTACCTCGTGCATAGAGAAGGCCTTGATGCCATACTCTTTGAGAATACGTTTTTCTCCCTGATCAACATCACGCAAGCCAATGTAAACAAGGCGTGATGGTTTAATGCAGGGTTTGAGCCAGGAAAAGGCAGAAACCTTTTGACCAATGCCCATCAAGAAAGAAACTGGACATCCATGAAGATTTCCAGAGTCACTCGTTTCAGGAGTGTTGATGTCCTAAACATGTAGTCAATTATAAGCATGTGGTTACATCAAAGATTGGGTTAGCACAAGACTGGAATAGTGGCTGAATAAAATATCAATTCTCTGTTGTGAATGTATTCTACTTACAGCATGAGCATCAACCCAAATAACGCCCAGATTGTCATACACTGCAGCAGATCCAGAAACGGTGCCCATTCCAAGCGAATGATCACCTCCAAGAGTCAAGGCGATCTTTCCAGTAGAGCAAACATCCTTCACCTGGTGGTGGACAATCTCGGTGACCTTGGAAACATAGGTGATGTTCTTAAGCAGACCATGCGAAACTTCAGTTGCAGGACAATGAGCATCGAAATTAGGCAACGGTACTTGATCACCCTCAACAGTCCATCCAAGAGATCTCAGTTGCTTGCCGATGCCAGCCTCGAGCAGCTGGTTAGGACCATGCTCAACACCGCCTCTGGGCTGCATGTTGAAATTTCAGATCATTGCCAGTCGCAAACAAAAAATGCCAAGAATTTAATAATAAAATTTCAATTTAATGTGCATGACGGTAAGTATACAAGTCTCGGTTTGATCATCCAGCCATACCATCAGTATGCAACTAGCTGAATTACAAAACAACAAAAAAATGCAAATTCATCTTGCCTGACCGCCAGAGAAGGGAGCGAGAACCAGACTGACAGTGTGGGTTTTAGTAAAAAGTTGATCAGGAAGTGAAGCCATAATAATTGATAAGTTTGGACATTCGATCGGGTTTTAATTTATATGCAAAACCACTTGCATCACATGATCCACTGCGGATGATTCTAACATTCCGAGACCTAAAAGGACGCCGAGTTAGTTGGTCGTGTGTTTCTGTCATTGATTTATCTGCATCATCACAAGATCAATCTCAGCTGTGTTTTCATAAAATATTTTTATGTTTCACAGCAACCATTCTGCTCCATGATAAACAATTAGACATCATTTGACCTTTGCATTATAGACTGGCGTTTTCAATTTTCAAGCAACATCCATTGCATAATGCATGCAACTATAGTTTTGATTCGGATTTTTGGGGGTCATGCATTGTATGATCACCAATTTAAAACTAAATATGAGCCTGTTTCCAGGTCCGTACAAACTTTTATGCTCTAGAAACTCAGATACGTTCCAGCTCAAAACAGTGATCGCACCTTCAACAATGCAACAGTTGTTTCCATGCTGACCAAGAGACCAGTCAGCTACAGTTTAGGACACATCATTTCAGGAAACTATTTATTATGCATCGATTCCTTTTCTAGTGTTCCATTTTACGTGAATACGACTAAATATACTCCATTATAAAAACATGGATCAAAAAGTCCTTTTTATAAGAAATGGTAGAATAGCTACAAGTAACTGGATGATTGGAAAAATAAGACTAAAAAGATATGAAAATAAAAACTAGACAAGTTGCTGCTTCTCCTTCCATTTCTCAAGCTAGTCGATTGGATCCACTGACGCTGCCAGAATTGCTTCCAGCATCAATGGAGCTCTTGACTGCGGGAGCTCGGCTATTTGGAGGAAGATGCGATGCACGGGATGCAATCATTTGACGAGCATGTATGGCACGAGTGCGACGAATAGAGTTGACATCGACCACTTGAAGGGTTGTAAAATCAATACGTTTGGAACGGCCTGTTCGGAACGCATTGACAACTGACACAGTTCGGACAAGATCACGAACAGTCAGCCATTGTGATGAGGATGATGTTGGTGCAGTGGATGCAGATTGAGTAGCGGAATGTTCCGCTGTGTGTTTGTCCAAGAAATACGATCCTTGCTTACCATCTGCCCCTGCAGAATCTGCAGTTGTAGAATCAATCTTGGAACCTCCCATTCCAGGTGACAAGAAAGCTGAAGCTGTATTGAAGGTTGAATCCAAAGGTGGTGAGCGCATGCTAACGCCGCTTGGCGTTGCTGAAGTGGCAGGAAGATGAAGCGACCCAAACGTAGAAGAAAGTTCGGGTGGTGCAGTAGAAGTAAAATGATACTTTCCAGAAGACATGGCGCGGACACGGCTGCCCGCTGGTGCTGTAAAGTGACCAACAACGCGAAGTTGTATACGAGTCTTTTTAATGGCCGAATTCCATAATTGGCGACTGTTGTTGCGCTCAGTCACCGAGTTCAAATGATCAGAGTCTCCAATAGCAAGAGCACCAAACTCCTCCTTTTCTTCACCATGAATCTTTACGGGTATATCCGCTCCAGTAACAATAAGCTTTTCGGTATAGCTGTCCTTGTCGGAAGCCGGCATGATAGCACCAGCAGTACCGTCAGGTCTAAAACCGTCCAAGCTGGGTTTGGTAACCGTGACAGTGACAGGAGTATCGACAATAGAACCATCGACGCCACGACCAGTTTTCTTGGGCTGAGTAGGATACAAGAATTTTGGAAGTGGGAAATCAGGAAGACAACGGACTAAAAATCCAACAATAAGACTTCCCGAACCAACTAAAAGAGAAATTCCCCAGCCAACGCCGGTCAAGCCATTCGGACTAGTTTTGAAAATGACACCAACAAATTGAATGATGATGGCCTGCAAGAAGATGGTGAGGGCGAGAATACCGAGAAACATTTTGTTTGCGAAAAAGCCTCTAAAGATGTTTTTTTCAGCGCTTGTAATAGAGCGGCAATTGATTTCGTTGAATACTTGACAGAATACATACGAGTTGAAGATGATCGAGGCGGTGGTAATATCAACACCAGTTTCCTTGATGGCCTCAATTTCATCGATAGAGCCAGTATGAGTTCCCCACCATTTAGGTCCACAAAAGAAAAGCACCAAGCAAACCGCAATCTGATAAACGCCCTGACCAACAATCATTTTAAACATGTCTGGAGAAATAATGGATTCGGATCGATTAGATGGCTTACGGTTCAACAGGTCGGGCGAAGGTGGATCAGTGGCAAGAGCAAGAGCAGCAAAAGTGTCCATAATTAAATTAATCCACAAAAGTTGGACTGCACTGAGAACCGACACCACAGTTTTTGGTCCAGAAACAGTGGTATAGAACGAAGTAATAATAGTAAGCAAAACGGCAGAAACGTTGACAGTAAGCTGGAATTGCAAAAACTTGCGAATGGAATCGTATACACATCGACCCCAGATGACAGCCTTGACCAGTGAAGCAAAGTTGTCGTCCATGAGCACAATGTCGGAAGCCTCCTTGGCAACCTCAGTACCAGCAATGCCCATGGAAAATCCAACATCGGCTGCTGCAAGAGCAGGTGCATCATTGGTACCGTCACCAGTAACAGCAACCGTTTCGCCAAGACGCTTAAGATTGTTGACAAGAATTTGCTTGTCGAGAGGTGAACTACGAGCCAAAACTTGCAAGCGAGGGAGAACATCGTTCATTTCGGCTTCAGTGAGCATACGGAACTTGGGACCTTCCATAGAAAGACCGTCGGCAGTCAGAATACCGCAACCACGAGCAATAGCACGCGCAGTCTGAATGTTATCTCCGGTAACCATGCGAACAACAATGCCGGCAGACTGGCAGGAAGCAACAGCAGCTGGAACTTCGGGACGAAGAGGATCTTGAATACCGAAAATACCAATAAGAATCAAATTACTGTCATCGGGAATACTCTGTTCCTGCTCCTCGGCTTGATCACCACTTGGAATCAAATCAGACTTGCCATTGGCCGTGGTCCTGTCATCTATTTGCAAAGGACGAATGGCAGCACCAATGGTACGTAGAGCATTGGAGGCATAAGAGCTAATAAGTTCCGTATAATGAGCACGGTCTTGTTCAGTCAAAGGCTGGACCTTGCCATTAGCATCTACATAACGATCACAGAGTCCTAAAACAATTTCTGATGCACCTTTAATGCAAACCCAGTCCTTGGTTGTAGCATCTGAAGATGACATTTCGTTAGGAGCAAGTCCAAGCTGATTTTCAAGGTCCGAATTGACGGGAATACGCATCACGCAAGACATGCGTTTACGATCGGAGCTAAAAGGCTGAATCGCGACAAGCTTGGCAGTATCTCTGTCCTTTTGATATTCAAATCCAAGAAGTCGAGTAAACTCGAGCAATGCAACTTCTGTCTTGGATCCGTTAAAGCACAAAACACCTTCCTTGTCTTTGGACTCGCTGGCAGTAGAGTTGACATTAAGAGACATGGCAATGAATCCAAGCAGTTTTTCAACTGCCCCAACCGTCACGTTGGAAAAAATGCTCTTTTTTAATGTTTCTGGAATATCGGCATGTTTAAAATCAACCTGGAGCATCACACCTTCGACAACCGTCATTCTGTTCATAGTAAGCGTACCAGTTTTGTCAGAGCAAATCGTTGTGGCATTACCCATAGTTTCGCACGCAGCCAAATGACGCACTAAATTATTATCCTTAAGCATACAGAGCGTAGCATGAGCCAGAGAAATGGTGACAGCCAAAGGAAGACCTTCAGGTACAGCAACAACAACAATTGTAATGGCCAAAATCAAAAGTGCAACAATATCCTGCGATATTTGGAACGAGTCTTTTCCAGCAGGAGGAGAAGCCACAAAGTATGATATCAATAGAACGACAGTCATGCCAAATGCAGCAATTACACCAAACTTTGCAATCATGTCAGCAATACGACCAAGTTTTTCTTGCAAAGGTGTAGCTTCCGGCTCTACTTCCAAAGCTAGTAGAGATCGACCATTAAGCGAGTTGATTCCCGTGGCAACGACAATCATACGACCTACACCATTAACCACTTTGGTGCCAGAGAGCAAAAATGGATCACGAGCCAAATCCTTGTTGACCGAGTTGGGCTCACCAGTAAGTGTACTTTCATCGGTCTTTACTTGAAATCCTTCAACCAAAACACCGTCGGCAACAACAATGTCACCCGTCTCAATCATTACAATATCACCAACCAAAATATCTTCGGTTGGAACAAAAATAGTCTCGCCATCTCGAACAACCTTGGTTTCAGAAAGTGATTTGGAGAAATCAGAGAGTTGACGAAATTGATTTTGTTTTCGGTAGTCACTAATGGACCCAACCAAAACGACAATCAGCACTATTGAGAGTTTATAAAAGTAGTGTATCAGAATCAAATATTTCACATGGAAAGAAAATCATCCAACAAGTCAAACTTGAACTCACCAGCAACTACAATTGCAGCACCATCAATCAAACCGAGATTATCGCGCTTTCCAATGGGAGCAAATCTAAATTTGTAGATGCCAATAGCCATTTCGACAAAGGCAGCAACGCAGAGAACAATCAGTGTCTTGTCTTGCAAAGCATCCCACATGAATTGGAAAATGTTTTTAGATGCTGGCTCGGGAAGTGAATTGGTGCCATAAAAGTCTAAACGATCTTGATGTAAAGACGAATCCTAGAATAAATAAATTAGTATGTGATCTATATCATTGCAATCTAAAGGAATCCAAGCCAAGGTGGAATATTCCACTTGGTATATTACAGCCTTATTCACGTAAAACGGAATGTTAAATAGGGGTATCAAAGTACATGATGAACCGCCAGTCTCATGGTGGGCGTTTGAAAGGATTGAAAGTGCCCATTTCTATAAAGCAGAGAATAAGCATTGCTTATTCTAAAGCAAATAGGGCAGTCAATGCGAGGCCTCTATCAAGTACAGTTGTAACATTTAAATGGTGGATTGATCGAGTAGTCATCCAATGTGCAGTGAATCTCGTGGATAGCCAAGCACCGAATTTCAAACAGTTGAAGGGTGGATTTCGACACCTGACGAATTGGATGTCGATAAAGAATCGCCATATCCAAGCATCAAGCAAATACTCCAAGCAACAGTTGAAAACCAAGGACTTGTGCGATGACTGAAAACTGGGTCAAACCAGTACACAACACAGTAAATGGCATTCAGGTTTGAAATCCACATGTAGCACAACAGCTACATTCAGCTGAATGCCATCACTAGTAATGCTCATCATCGACTTACTAGTCAGCAATAAGAATTTGGTGAATAACTGGGCACCAAAACCTCACGCGACCTTAAAATAGTACTTGACTATCGAGTCAAAATAACCGATAGGCTAACCGCACTCTTGTGTAATGCTGCAGATATCCTACAATAACCATGTGTATGGATACAATGAATTAAGTCAAGCATGCTACAACATACTTTTGCAAGTCCGTTTTTGAGATCCGTTTGCAGTGATTTTGCAAGACCTGCAGCTTTGCCCCATTCTAAGTAGAGTTCTGGGTTTTTTGGGTCAAGCAAGTCTAGCATACGCTCTGGAGTGACTGAAAATGTTGAAATGGCTTTAGAAGCATCAGGGGTTGATAGAGGTTCAGAGCTGTTCGCCATGCCTGACACAACAAGCTCGGTAGAGCCGTCATTGTGCTTCATATTGTCACGCTCGTTGTTGGTAGAAGCCATGGCAAACAAGATATAGTGATCCGTTAAAAGAGCAAGAGATTATACTAGCAGAAATATGTACCAAGCTTGCTAACGGTTGGGAGTGGTGTCTTGACAGGTGGAAGACGACTATTTATAAGAGTCAAGTACAGTGCCAAGCTCGTCTTGTTAAAATATTGACTGCTGAGCTCAAAATACAAAATGCAAATCCCATTAAAGTAGGTTAGTCAAGTGACTCGGTTAAATCCGCCATAGATACTACCATAGATACTGCTGCATATCAACATCATGCAGTTGCATTCATGCAGCGAAACACATCTTGAAATAACGATTAATTGCATTTGAATAGCTATGAAACAAGCCAGACTTACTAGAGTATTCAGTATACTGTCTGGATCCTTTCAGGTAGATGAATTGACCAAAATAAATGAAACTGCTAGTTAATTGTATAAAACAAATAGACTACTTTTAAGCCAAGTGATGCCACAATCAGCCGATTGAATTAGGGCTATGTACGAGTAAGATGATTTACGTTCAAGTACTTGGTAAAAAGAAAGCTTGGTGATTGCGTCTGCAGCGCAAATCTATATCAAAAGTGTTGTTGGGCATCAGCAGCGGGCCGCATACTGAAACGACCCTAAACAACGTGTCAATCTAGTGCGTAGTAATAAAACTATGTCATTTACAGTCGTATTCACATAGATGAAACACTAAATAAGGGCTTCGATGCATAATAAACAGCCAGCCTCATGAAATGATAATTTCACATTTGCTGGGCAACAACGCGCTCTCTGAACCCTTTTTGAAGTTCACTGGTTTTCGTGCTCATTTTGTATAAAAACTGAGCAAGTGTTCAAAGCAGCATTCACATCTCTCTTTTGATACATTTCGCACCCTTGGTCGACTGGTATGGAAACTTGAAATGTCGAGTTTGGAAAAGAGGTAAACTGAGGCTGGACAAGTGCCAAGATACGAGCGCTGCTTTGAGTACTCGCTTGGGTTTTATAAGAACAAGCACATTGTGCGGTAATGTGGTGGGAACTGACATCAATCAGACATGTGTTATACACGCCAAGTTCTACTATTACAAAAGCCACCACTAAACCCAATCTAAATAAACCACCCCAAAAAATTGGATAATGAAATGACGATAAGAGTAAATCTGATATTATTAGCTTTGATCGCGTTTAGTCTGCTATGAATTGTACGACCATTATCATTGTTTATAAAAAAATCAAGTATTGAGTATTCAACGACGTCTCCATAGAGAGCGACGAACAAGGGATGCATCATTGCTTTGGTCGTTGCAAGGCTGACCATTTTTGGAAGTATCAGTCGAGTTTGTATCTTGTGGTTGTGATTCTGATGATTGACCGGTGGCATCATCTTGCTCTGGTTCATCGTCTTGTTCATTATCAGTATTGTCGTCATCACTTTCATCAGATAGTAATGTCGCTTCGGTTTCAAACGGCGCATCAGTGCTCTCGGTGCAAGGAGCGGTAGGGAAATCGGTCTGTGAATCTGGCTGATTAGTTTGTTCAGGTGAAATAGTTTCGGGGAAATCAGCTGTGTCTGTAGGGAAATCGGTCTGTGAATCTGGCTGATTAGTTTGTTCAGGTGAAATAGTAGTTTCGGGGAAATCGGTCTGTGAATCTGGCTGGTTAGTTTGTTCAGGTGAAATAGTTTCGGGGAAATTTGGAGTAGGTTCAGGTGAGTCGCTGCCATCTAAAGACCATTGAATAGGTATCACACCGATATCTGGATCTTCAAGTGCCTTGAATGCAACAGGAGACAAATCTAGACTAGTGGGTTTACATCCAGGGCAGCTATCAATCAATACGACTGTAATAGTTTTGCCTTTGAAGGTTACTTTTGCTTTTTTACCGCAAAAGCTTGGATCTGCAAATCCTTTAAACAAGTCTTGGGACACGGCTGCAATAAATTCATTATCGGTAAATCCCACACCGCACGCTCCTGGAGCACCAGGACGATTGCTAAAAAACGTAGCCTCACCAGCAAATGATTGCGCTGCAGTAGTAATGGCAAGCTGCAGGGTTAGAAGAGAGGCAGTAGTAAGAAAAGAAGCGGAAAGCATTTCAAAGTGTAAATGAATGTCTGCGAGTGGTTAAAAACAGAAAAGTATAGACGTTCAAGTATTAACAGCAAAAAATAAACAATAAATGCAACGAAACTCTGAGTCTGAATGAATTTACAAGACTGTGCAGACTGGGTCCTTTAAATACTTTTTTAACGAATTGGGTTGAGCCATGAATTTCAAAAGTAGTCCGCCTATGCATAGCAATTACATGCGGAGTGCCACTTTATGCCAGATGAAATGGCAACTTCCGTCTACAATCCAAGTTTACAATATGATTGACGCTAGCAATGCGGCGCAATTGAACTGAAGTTTTGTACAAACCAACGCGATGCATAATTTCATGTAGTCAATATGCTCAGCTCCGCTTGTAAAAGCTAATATGCGCGATTTTGCATTGTTCCTTTGCTGCATTATTTTTTAGTGCACTCGTGCTCAAGTCCACTTTGGTTTCAACCAGAGTCCCGCTTTGTTCAAGAATGGGTAGTAGCTGAGTAGCTTTATTCTCAGCAGTTGGACAATGAAAGAGGCTCAAGTTCCATTTTTCATGTTGAATACTTGTTGTTTTGCTTGATGGAATGATCGAGTATCTGGCGCAGTGTAAAAATTGGTAGCATTGGGTTTATCCGGGATTGGATTGCGACCTAATTGCTTTCTATGCATATCCCAGATTAAATTATTTGGCAATTGAAACCTTTACTTGCAAAATCAGTCTACTGCAACTGAGACTCGATCAACATGGAGTAGAGCGATGCTTTTTATACATCTGCTCGAGACTATTTCTTGACAAGATTTTGCAGGTATGGATACTTGTCATGTCTATCAAATGATTGATTTTTGCTAGTTTTCAATAGCTGATGCCAGAAATAAGTTATGGTAACACTAGAGTGGATTATTAGGTTTATCTTGTCATGAAATGTCGATTCTATTGTTATAGTAACAATGCATATTGACAACAAGGATGATACATTGGATTGTTGAATCGTTTCATCTAGGCATCAGCCCAGCGGTACATTAAACTTTTTATTCCAAATGGCCATTGACCGTAAACCGTTGACAATGCCATCGCATACGCATCTAGTATCAATGCATTACTGCCATATTCACGTGAAATAAAACACTTGTAGTTTATCTCGCAGGATTGTTCTTTTAGGATGACCATGATTGAATGTGTATTCTACTGCACTAGTTTTTCAATAGGCATTCTTGACTCGAATAAACAGCGTCCATCAATTCTTACAAACTGTAACTTTGAACCGAGATTATCCACTTTTGGCATAGCCATATATTGTAGAACTATCAGGCTCTATCCCTTGCAATCCGGATATTGGGTTCGATTGTTTTGATGTTGTCAAACTCTACCCTGTTGTATTTTAAAGATTTGGATATCCTGCATCCAGTCCAGGGAAGCAAGAATGTACACTCAAGAATGCAACTATACATGCCAATCACCCACTGTCAATATTTGATCGCCCAATGTTATAGTATTTAGCTTGGGTGAAAGGAGATTTGCTAGAGCTGTGTGGACATTCGTTTAGTTCTTTATACAAGAACAAGCAGATAAACCAATGGGATTTGGTCAAGGGTTTAAAGGGCACAATGTCGCCCAGTAAGTGCAAAGGCATTCATCGTGTCATGAGACTGGCTATTTTTATGCATTCGACACCCTTATTTAGGCTGTTTTATGAATACGGCTATAGTAGGTTTTTTAGCCCAACTTCACATACCAAGAGTTTCAAGACTGCAATGTATCAACAGTCGCACCAAGACGCTCTTAGGGAATGCTTGTCGCCTGCAGAAGGAAATGCATTAGACCATCTAATGCATTTAACACTCATACCACAACTACCCTCTCCATGTCCAACACCTTCTCCACCAATGCTGGGTGTGGAGTGTCAATACAGCGGCAAGCACTCTCTATTGTCGCTGCTACGCCATCATCCGTATGCACCAACGGTTAGTACCAATGATCAATCCGTCACTGCTTCAAATACATCAGCGAGCAGCACCCCACTGCGAAAGGCCATGGTGAACAACAATCCATCTCCAAAGCAGCAGTTTTCAGCGCTGGAGGCTTCAAAGACTACAGACCTGTCCCCTGCCAGACAACGCCACATAATAAACACTAGGCCAATTGGTGCTATTACCAATGGTACTACTAATAATCTAGGCGAAGTCTTTTCGGAAAAGCATATAGAGTTTGTGACTGTTGATCCGTCTACGTTTCAATCAGACAGGCCTTATGCTTATCGCAATCAGTCCAAACCCAAGCGGTTTAGAGCAACCAAGGACCAGAGCCACTTTTTATTGAATGCATTTTCTACTGATCCATCACCGGACTCGGCCACTAGAAGCTTGATTGCTGCTACTATTGGCATGCCGGTTCGTACAATACAAGTTTGGTTTCAAAACAGACGATCGAAAATGCGGTCTATGGAGCGGAAAACAAGTACAGACAGCAGTAACTTTGCCAGTATCCTGAACACTACCAAAGCCAACTCGGCTACTTTTTATTCAAAGCCACTGACAGTGAATGGATCAACCATGGACTCCATGCCAGTGCCTGACAGTATCAATCACATAAACCCCCGGGCCAGCAGCAATACAGGGCACTATAAGCAATATGAATTTTCCAAACCTACCTCCCCCACGAAGCACAATGGACAGCCCTCCATTGACATATCTAAACCATTAGCATTGCACACGCTCAACACCAATAGCCCTAGTATCTTTGAAGCTTTGTATTCCGAAACCCCACCCCAAACCGCTGTTGCTAATGACAATACATCTCATCCATCACTAGGACTGTTTGGTACAATGCCTGCACTACCAAACACCATGACATTTGACAATGCATTTCAACCCACTCCACTTCAACAAAAACCGGCACAACAGTCCTTTATAGGATCATTGGATCACCTACAAAATACTGCCAATGTTTCTAGCTTTATGCCTCAAATCATGACTGGATCTAGCATAGACATGGGCTTGCTAAACTCTTCGTCGCTAGACCAAGAAACACTCTCTAATCACATCAACTTGCAGCTGGCCAATTCAAACACTCCATCGTCGCTTTCTGTTTGCAACGCTTCTTTGTCTTCGACCATAGCAATGCCTGACCTATTTTCGCCCTTTCATACTGCAACCAACAACATGTTCAACTCAAATTTTACCAATCTAGTGCAGCAACAATCGCTGCAGCAAGCAATTATGGATCAAATGTCCGCCAATGTAGCACCGTCATTTCCTGTAAGCAATGTTGCCTCTATGACGCCAACAATGAATACCCAGTTGTACCAGCCGCAACTTCATATGCAGCTAATGCAAGACCAGTCGCTTTCTCTAGCATTGGCTGGAGCAGATAATCTTTCAAACAGCATACTTTCAAGCGGATTTGGAAATTCTGGACCTATGAACTCTACTTTTGATCAATCGCTTGGTCTACGCCAATCGTAGACTCTTTGAATTTCAACACCATCCAAGCTAAAGTGAGTGCTTCTTGGCAATGGATTATAATCGAGTCCTGGCATTTCATGATATTATACCGAATAGCCAAGCTCTTGTAGCACCAGTTCAATCCAACTCATCGGACTACATACTACTATTTTTGGACAAAATAGACCCATATTGTGAATTTTTTGGCAATAATCTTTCTTGGCACTTGTTCACCCATGAATGTCTGGAGTTTGCCCTTCACTTGTATACAATAAACTTTTATTTGATGTAGATTCAGTTGGCTGGCGAAACAAAGGTTGGGGTGTGGCGCATGAATGGGTTGGGGCAAAAAGGCAGTGATTGGCCGAAGCGAGAGAATATGAGAGTGCGTCGCCACTAGAAAAAAGCGCAGGTCGCTACTGCAGTAGCTGTGTAGCCTTTTCTCTTGGCTTCCTCCCTCGCTCATATATCGCACTAGTGTCTCACCACTGCTACCCATTACTCTCCACTACACACAATCCCCTCTTGATTTCAATATGGCACCAAAGCAAGCTATGGCTGGCACAAAAGTCGCTAAACGAGGAGACGACAAGAAGAAGTCTCGCAAGGATCCAGATGCTCCCAAGCGTCCTCTCTCTGCCTTTATGATCTTTTCAAAGGAAAACCGTCCTAGGATTAGAGAAGAAAACCCAGATGCATCCTTTGGTAAGTGGTCATGAATACTAGCGAATGTTGCTCCTATTGCTGGTTGGTTGGTGTCCCGAATCATACATGTCCGTATTATTGTTCGTATCCCTCCACATCCTTACTGCCACCTGCTCATACTAGCCATAGAGATGATGTGGATGTCTCCAAACCCTCTACAGCATGTACCAAGTGCTTGACCTGCATAAGCTGTCTGCATACATTAAATGCAAGACGGCATCAATGGGCCAGTGGCAACCCATTTATATCCTACTTGCCATCATCATCCCTTGCAAATTGTCTTGTGGTGGTGGACCAAGACACTCGTTACTCTGGATAACGCTTCCCTTTTTTCCCATATTCACGGCCCCGTGGTACTTGTTTGGCCGCACCCTCGTCCATGTGTTGGTGGGAGACTCGTCACTCCCACTCCAAACCAACCTTGCTTTCTTGTCCCAAAAACAATCGTGGCTATCACAGCTTCATCTATGAGCAACGAATCCTACTTTGCTTTTAATTCGCTCTTCATATTACCCTGTCTGATCCCACACTTGGACAACACTATTCTTTTTTAAAATTATGGCTCGAGATTGGACACTCAACTGTAGCACCCATTCCTTTCTAATCTACAAGTGTCTAACTTTAACTTTGTAAACTAGGTGATCTCGGAAAACTTCTTGGAGCGGCATGGAGAGAACTAAATGACAAGGATAAGCAGGTTTATACTGACAAGGCAGACGAGGACAAGGGACGCTATGAGCGTGAAATGTCGACCTACAAGCCAACCTAAACCTTTTTTAATTGCGTTGATTTTTTACTTCAGATTTCAGGAATATGTTTTGAATTGTTCCCAAAATACATCAGTTGATCGTTTTATTACTTTTGATATTTATCGGTTATTGGGCTTTCAGTATGTTGATCAGTTTGTAGTCTACTTTGACATGTTTAATAGACTCACTTGGCACCCGAGCCAATGGTATGCTGTATTAGTAACTACACATTGCAGTGGCTTACAACTTTATTTATGCTAATACAACTCCGCTCGCAAAGATCAGTTGGCTTGATGATCCAATTTCCACGAGTAGAAATAGTCTAGTCAGATCGTCGCACAGAAGACTCGCAAGCTTTTTGCGCACATCTAGACTTGACATCAGCCTGTGCAAGCATTTCACTAGCCTCGACAAGTTGAATGGCATTTACCACCTGCTTAAATGCCATTATAGGAATAGATATAGTAAAACAAACCATAATGAGAGACCATAAAAGGGCCGCCATACCGACTTCCAATCCTAGCTGCTTTGCTCCCCATGCACGCAGGTACAGCCCAATAAAGAAAAACTCGTTCCCCATGCATACACTGAATAAGACCGGCTTGCTAGTGTAATACATTCGCAGTATCCACGGTGCAGATGGCGACACAGTCTTATGGGACGCATGACCACACGTCAGGGATGCGTACATTTGCATGTAATGTGAGGACAAATCCAAAGCAGTAAGAATCTGAAGTGGAAATGCATAACCTGGATACTGTGTAGCCAAAAACACAACAAGAGCCGAAGTTGTGCTCCGGTCAGTAACCATATCCAAAACAGCACCAAACTTTGAACCTAAACCACACAAGATGATATCAATATTAATAAAATTCTTGCAACATCTCCAAATGAATAAAATAAACCTGCCATTCCAACAAGTCTAACTGAAAGGGTTAGGTCAAGTAAGATGATTTCAACACCGATCTCTACTGTTTTGGTCATGTCCTTGCACTTGTATCACGTCAAATACATCACTGTTGACCTACTTTGATTGTAACATCTAGCTGCATGTCCATCCACTGCATCCAGCAAGCACGATACAGCATACATGGACATGGACATCCATGGATTGTGTGCCATATAATAAAATGATAGAACAGCTAGTCCAATTCTGGCATATCCAATGAGATTGGGAACAAATAAAAAGACATTTTCTGATGGTGGTGCACATGAGCGACTGCTCATTGATGTCTTGGACATTCCAACGTCAATCCGTAATGTAAATCTACAGAATGAAAACAGCTATGGATGTAGAAATGTAATTGTTTCCACTATCTTAAAGTGAGTCGGTAGCTGATGTATTGGTAAAAAAATAAGAGTCTGCTCCACAAAAATAGGTTTGATGGATTATGCCAAATTCGGCAGTTTTATAAAAATAGCCCAACTGGATTAGAAATCCCAATTTAAACCTTGCAACATATCATTTGAAAGTATATTTCTTGATGGCTTTAATGGTGATAACATTGAGTGGATGGAATTCGAAGATTATGCCATTGCTGAAGCTCAATCCTTTTGACCCATTTCTCTCTCGACTTTTGCAGTATCGTTTCCTGCACGACACGTCTTTTGTAATCTTTCCAGCCTTGCTGCAATATCCATTGATCCTGCATGGCCATCACTGGGATTGAATACAGGATAGAGGCATCCAATAGGCATTTAAGCATGGACCATGTCATGATGCGTGCAAAATCAATTCGCTCCATAGTGATACACACAACAGGACGAGTGGCTGTCACTGTAACATAGGCTCGATTCATACTCAGTGCATCGTGATCATTGATTTTGGAAATCAGATCCAATCTCTCGGTAGTAGCAGATTCCGTCACAGAAATGTGTGTTGGAAGTGGTTCAGGAAATGACTGTCCTGGTCCAACCTCTGCCAAACTAACGCATTGAAGGTAGTACTGCTCTCCTTTAGCAAGTGTGAATGATGGATTAAGTTGTCCAGCACCAATCCGTGTATCTGGTGAGTTGTAAATCATATACACATGTACAGATTCAATATGGATTCAGATAACATGACCCGAGTCGCAGCAACGCATTCAATGTGCACATTCAACATACCTGTATCTACTTCTGGTCGTCGAAGTTGCCATTGCGATTTTCCTATTCTTTTTCTAATAAGAGGAAGATGTTTATCCAATCTACACGAACCAGAAGATATAAAAAACAGTCGTCGATTGGATTTGCCTTCTTCCTAGTATTCAAACAATAATATTGTGATGCAGATATTTACAAGTTGATGGTAAAACATCACATTAGAATCGTGTTAAATGGTCAAATAGAATTAGACAGTAAGTTACATCACTTGCAATTCATTCCCGATTCCAGTTTAAAATTCGGATGCTTTAAACTTACAAGTATAATCGTGTTTCGCTCAAAGTGATGTACCTGTGACTTGAGTACTGCTTGCTCAAGAATCTGATCATCTACATGTGAAAATACGGGAATTTCCTTTAACAGTTTTAAACGCTTTGACAAGTCGGATTGCGAGTCTTCTCCAATGAGAATCTTGCGATATGCATCTAAAATAGTCATTGTTGAATGGTATATACTATCAACGTAAATGTCTAGAATAAACCCCTCATTAAAAAGCACCGCAGCCATGTTGGCCAAGACATTGATTCCTGTAAAAACAACGTGTAGAATGTACCTTTATCAATTCGAAGAAACTCGCTTGGAGCAGTGCATACTATGCTGGTGGTTCGTCTTTCTTGATATGATCCATCCAAAGCAACTTCTCCAAAACAGTCGCCTTGGTTTAACAGATTTAATCGGAGTTTTCCAGTAACCCCATCACTGCGATCCTTGAGAACTTCAACTTGACCGCTAAGTATAAAATAAAAATAGCAAGGTTCATGTCCTTGCTGAATAATTGTAGCTCCTCTTCGATGTGCCTCATAGGTCATGACGGAACAAAATCGAATTCGCTGATCATACGGGAATTTGGAAAATGATGAAATACGAGTCATGAGCAGCCGATTCAGCATGGCTACATTCTCTTCCGTTTCAGAACCTTGCCAAACACAGCTCTGTGAAAGAAATTGTTGAATCTAGCATAGGTATATATCAGAGTTTAAAACTACATGACAGATTACAATGATGCAATGGATCACACATGAAACCTTTATAGCTAGTGTAAAAAACCATGTCCTACCTTTGTGGTCAATACTAAATCTCCTTGATATTGAAATGCTTTAAGAACGTGCATTAAGCTTCGTTCATTGACTCCGGGTGCATTATCAATTTTTTGCAATCCTCCATTCGACAGATCCGTCAATGTACTGTTGTGTTCTACTCCTCGTAGTAACTTTAAAACTGTCCGTATTGCAAACTGCCAACGTTTATTGGGTTGAACTGTGATGTTGGGCACATGCATACCGTCAAACCGTGGTTTACGCGAAATACTTGTCATGGGGGTTTGTACCTTGATCGCTTGTCGAATCAAGGTACCAATATCTAAAAACGAGTCATTATGGGGTTCATTCTCTTGTTCAGAAGTGGTAAATAAAGGATATGTCACTTTTCTTGTGTCATTCATGGTCACATTGGATGAGGCCGGTACCAAAGGTGGTTTTTGTGTCAAGTCAATGTGATTATTGTGAACAGTAGGATTCAAAGGGTCAACCTCGATACTAGATGTTGAACCCTTTGTAACTGCAATGGTGGGTGCATCAAATTGATCATCACCACTAGATTGAGTATGATTTAGTAACGTGTCCTGAGTTGATTCGTTGGAATAGGTTGAAACTCGGTCTGATGTAAACGATGATGAAGAAACATCAACAGAGCAGTTATCTTCTGGCACAGCATCAAATGTGCAAACCTAGTTGGTCATGTACGACTTTTTAAATGGCATTCTATAATCAAACAAATTAGAATCAAATGACTTGCCTTTTTTTTGGGCAAGGTTATCGAGGTTGGAACATTATGTTTGTATTTCAAATCCATTTCCGTATTGCGCTCCTTCATTAGCATTGTGATGGACATGACTGTGCTCAAGGATGCTTTTGAACCAGCCACAAGTGTTTTCATTAAATTTGATGATTCGCCAGTGTATTCTGATCTTTTTATATCTGGAATGGAATAAAGCGTGCCTGTATTACCTTTGATCAGAGTTGAAAATACAGAAATACGTCGTGGTTGAAGAGTTTTGAGCTGAGATCGTGTGCCATGACTTTCCAAGGTGCGTGATTGAACGCTTTGCGTAGTCGTAGTGGATATACTATCCATACTAGAATTAACTAGAAAAATAAATGAGTTATCAAGACTGCACTGACACTCGACCGTGAAAATCAGAAACACAATGATTTCCAATTAACCTATACAAGCATAACTGGTTGTTGTCTTGGAATATACCAAAGATATGTATATTGTTTTGCAAATTATAGTAGACATTACCCTGTTTCAGATCTGCCTGTGAATCATAGAGTAAATGATCTTTTGTGTGTTGAATATAAATAGTTGTGGATCCATTCTTTCGACTACGTGCATGATCCAACGCCAAAGTTTCTTTACCACATGGGTGGTATCCATCCATACGCGCTTTATGTTTTCGAATAGGTGGAAGAACCTCTGTTCCAGATTCACACAGCTCGGTAGATGGATACAGATTAGTTTTTAAAAAATGCACATGCTTTTTTTGCACCTGATTGTCCATACTCGAATGTATTTGGGGAGCAATCGTTTTAATTGTCCTGCAAGACGCTACTTGATTGTCAGTCACACTTCGAGCTGGATGTGTGCCAACAGGTTTCAATATATTTGTATGGCGTAGCGAATCATCCCATTTGGGCATACAGGTTAGTGAATAATCCGATCCCATTTTAGAAAACACATGGGTTGCATGTATAGATTTTAATGTCAGTGGCAAGTGATGTTGAGGATATGCGTGTCTAACTAAACATGTCTCATCCTGAATGGATTTAAAAGTGTTAATACAATCCATATACTTGATTTTCTTGACTGTATTATTTTTTGTAGAAAACCTCATGTGCTTTTGATGCTGTGATGGAGAATTGACTCGAGTCTGACTTTCAAAATGGTCCATTGGTGCTTGGATTGATCTAATGTAAAGGTTGATATTGAAACGTATCAATTTTGTTGATGTTTTTTGATTGTGATTGAGAGGTAGTTTCTAGTGTAAACTCGACAAGATGGTTGCCATGTCTGAATAGGTCGAATGGAATTAGGTTATTATTTGTACATGTAAGAATATTGAGCAAGTGATAACAGAAAATGAATCAAATTACATATATGACACATACGATACAGTATTTGCACTGAGAATAGTATAATTCTGGAAGATTGGATATAGAGCGAGCACCAAGCCTTTTAAAACATTAAAAACGCCAGATTTGTCTCGATTCACGTGGTGTAAAATAGGTTATTCAATCTGTCGCATGTACGAATTGTTTGTATGAGCAAGTGATATTGGCTGGATTTGACCCTTCTCAAGACATGTAAATTGAAAAAGACTTTTATTGAAAAATAGTTCATTACAACTGATTATCCACCTGATTGACTGTAGTATCAAGATGCAGATAGCCAAGAGCAATCACTTAACAAATATGGTTGCAAGTATAGATCAAATAAATGACAATTTTATGGACAAGGTGATTAGCTTTCAATAGATTGATTCAATATTGGCTGCAGTATTTAGCTGAGGTGAAGATCAATGGGCTCATGCGAGTCTTTAGAGTGATAGGAAGAGTGTTCAGGATTCCACACATAGACCATGCCTCGATCACACATGACAGATAGTCCCAGTGCATGAATTGTATCTAACCCAACGACACCATTGGCATAGACTGAGTTGGCAAAGGCAGAGGGGAGTTCAAATACATTTTGAACAACGACCTGCTTGTTGAATAGCATCAAACCCAAAGGAGACAGTCTAAAGTGTAGAGGTTTAGATGATTGAAATGGATGAGTTTGCAAGAGTTAGTCTTGATGGGAATACAAGACATTAAAAAGAAACCATATTACCAACAACCAGCTATTTACCTGTTGACTTCACCATAGCAGGTTTCTGCTGTTCCGATGGTAGATATGCTTAGCTTATCTGCATCCTTGCGAGAAATAAAAACTCCATCAATCTTACCGTTTAGCTTAATGTATGGAGTCATTTGAACAAATGGCTGTTTTTGAGTTGCGGAATACACGGCAGGGAGGGCACTGACGTTGGTAAGCGGAGATGGAAACAAAGGCAAGCCAGAGTCATTGCTTGAGTGATCAAGACAAACCTCGTTAGATTGTAGTTCGTGCAGACTGTCTAATGATGGGTTAGGTTGTACAATGGTAGTAGCAACTGACTGAGTTATGACAGTCTTTTCCAAGTCGGATGGTGGATCTGGAAATAAACTTGTAGGGTTAAAGGCCAATAGTGAATGAGTTTGAAGAGTATTAGGTTTTCCAAATGAAAGAAATTGACCAGTGGCAGCCATAGTGAATGTAAGCAAGACTGTAGTTGACCAAGTAGTTATGCTGTAAAGAAAGTTGAGATTAAATCGATATGTTGAACTCGATAGAATGAGATTTAATCTCAACTTGGATTGTCAACTTGACAATCAGTTGTATTATCAAAACCTTTTTATATAAATCCAATGGATTTTCTATCCAACACAATCAGATATTATTCGTATCGATTAACAATTGTCGATTACTTTTGAAACCAAATCTAATCGAAATAACAATCCATCGCAATATCTGAACATCACTTTACAGACGTGACTTTCCCCAACATCAGCTCACACAATCTTGTCTTTTTCAATGGTCAAGCGGAATCGACTGCATGCTGCAAAACCTCTTGCAGCTACTTTTTCAAACTCGGTGTCTGATATTCCTCCAAATACTACTCAGTTGGACACTGAATCTCTTGTCAGCAAACATCACAGTCCATCCTCACCATCACGTTTAGTAAGTGGAGTGTGCATTCGTTGGTCAGTTTCAAGATGTCCATGTTTTGGTACTCTTGAATGATATCCAAAGTCCTTTTTATTAGATATATTCTCATTAGTCTGCCTTGAGTCGGCTTGGCCATTGTTCCATTTCCGAGTGTTTCAGTTTATTACTATCCCAATATTGACATTTATACATCTGCCTATCAGGGAATATCTGCCAACCAGGTCAGTGGCAAGGAATTTGTTGTATCGCCTGTTGTCAAGGCAACCTCTAAATCCACCACAGCTAGAGGAAATCATTTATACGAATCAACTTCAAACGTGCATGCATGTCCGGACGAATCTACCCAGCCTGACAATGACTCGATTGAAAAGGAGAACGAATTCAACAACGACAAGAGAAAGCGAGTACCCCCTCGGGAATTTTGGAAAGTTAGAGATATAGACGATCAGCTAGACGATGATGACCAGCAAAATGAGTCTGATGTATCCGCTGGTATTCCCCATTCACACTCACCGACGCACTCCAATGTTGTATACAAGTCCAATTTAAAAAAGTCATCAAAAGTCGTTTCAAAAGGTATTCGTACATTTTCAAAATGAATGCTGGCTCCATCTAGTAATATCGGTCGTTCAGTAAATATATACTAACTTTACTTGATGTTGTATAGATACAGATTCCAATCAGGCCATGAATGACACTACATCCCTAACCAAGGTCCGTGCTCACACGGTCGAGAATCATCCTCATTTAGATCATCGTGATGTGTATTCAAACGATGAGTTGCTAGAAGCAAAAGTTCGCCGTAAGCGACATAATAAGCGAGTCAAGCATGTGCAAGATCCATCTGAGAAATCTGTTTTACTACCCGCCAACGAGACTTTACTAGACTCGAGCATTGTTAGTGAAACAAAAAGAAAGGCTGAATCTAAACCAGCTGCTATGGGTAAAATGGTTACTCAACCCCATGCTGGTCAATCCGCACTGAAAGGCTCCAATCTCTCAAGTGCAGAATACGCTGAAAAGGATGCTTGCCAAAATAGCAGTGCAATATCCAAATCAAACGGTTTAAAAACTAGTCAAGATTCCGTATCTGCATTGGATGTTCATGATGTTCATGATGCACATCAGCCATCTAGTCAATCCAACGCACCTTGTACGTCGGATAGTCAAGAGCACTGCAGTCATTGTAAAGATACCAAGACCACCAGTACACATGTATCTACTCGGTCGGATCATCCTGAATTACTCAAGGTTGGATATTTTGTCAAGAGCATGCTTTTCAACCAAAATGGCTAATCTTACCATTTAACATGTACTACACCAGATTAAAAAGGAACTGCAGATTCTTAAAAAGCAATACGACGAACTATTTTTGGTTGGAATTGTAGAAGCCAAAAAGACTTTTGATTCTTTTCAAACCGCTTCAAATGTTCGCTTACAAGGTAAATAATACGGTTTGTGTTATGATCTCTGGATAGAATGGCAAGTTAACCCTGTATCTTGGTATCGTATTGTGCCATATAGCATGTAACGAGCTCACAGAGCATCTTACTAGTGAGAATAAGCGATTGCTTGAGCGCGTTGAAACTCTATCCAAAGAAAACATTAAATTAAAGAAACCAGCTTCTAAAACTACTTTGGACACTCTGTCTGGATTGCAAGATCAGTCTCATGCGACCAAGCAAACGATAGAAACGGGAATATTTGAGAGATTTGTTAAAGAGTGGAAATTTAAGCCGGACAGTACTGAAAGCAAAGAATCTTGCAATACAGGTACATAGGTTTTAACTGAAATGATTTATTTGCGGTTGAATTTAACCTGTATGCAAATGGACTGTTGATAACATAAACTCAGTTGATGCTCTTGCTCGTCCTGTACAAGGGTCGGTGGAACCGAGTGCTGCAGAGGCTACTCGGCCAAAACCAACAGACGAGTATTTAGAGAAACTGGCCACTTTTGAAAAAATGAGCATGATCTACAAAGCCTTTACTGGTATTCACATTCTTGGTGTGGAAAGGGTTGTGCGTAGTGTGGATGACGATTCAGGATGTAGCCGAGATTTACCTTTTAACGAGTTTAGGTGCCAGCAGAATGGTCCCAGACACGGTATGTGTAGTAATGGCCATATGTTATTCAATAGGTTATTAAGCTATGTCATTTATATTTGTTTAATCTTTCAACATTATAGCAATGGAGTTTTCCTTTTACGCGCCATGCAACAAAGATGTTGCTATTTGCATGTTCAATCCCACCAAAGTGACCATGTTAAATGGAGGTATTCCTAATTTGCCCATGTTTCTGCAAGAAGAGATTGAATTTACTATCGACATGGCACAACGTTTCTTTTCCAGAATTGCTGCATATTTACATGACACTGACTCGGATGACACCACTTTAAAGGAGATTGTTGAATGATTCACTACTAAAGTCAGCAGTGCATGTGCTGTTTACTTGACAAGTAACTTGTTTTTAATCAACTATTAACGAATCTGACCACAATAAATATCTTGATGGGTATCGCAAAATGTTTAGAGTTGAACTCTAGGATTTGACCAATAAAACCATACTGAATGATCAAAGTCATTTAGGTTGACAGAGTGTATAGTTTGATATGCACTTGACATGACTATCAAGTCAGCAAGATTGATCAACAGACAATCGGTTACAAAAGGAATTTGGAAACAAAAACCACAACAAAGCAATTGAATGGATTTGACTACCGTTTGCTTAGCGCAATTCTTTTAGTTGACAGTGCCGCTCTAATAAAACAATAGAATGACAATAGAAGCCATGAGTTGATAAGCAAGCTGTGCCACTAGTGAATATATAAATGTTTTATCAAGTCGAGTTTGCATTCTTACTCCAACTTGACGGAATGACTTCTCCCGAACTCTTTGTCAATGATATGATTCGTTGCATGTCTGTCCTTGCTATTTGGTCTACAAAGAGATATCGCTGTGATATACATGAGATTCAGCGTAGAGTCCGTATGATGCATTCGTTGGCTATTGAACAACGTATCTTGTCAAATACTGCAGACTTGGATGATGGTATCAAACAGTCTGACAAATGTAATAGTCAGGATGCTCCTATGCTTTTATCAGATAATCAATTAATTGAATACTTGGCCAACGGACCCACTGTGTTTCTGATTAACAAGGCTTCTTGGCAGCTAAACTTTTCTAATCCTGGCCAGTACTCGTTGAGTGCTATTAGTAAACCTTCTGATACGGATGCATTGGATATTTCTGATGCTGTAAATATCGACGGTCGTCTTATAGCACTCGCCATTAGTGTTCGTCAAACCATTACTTCCAACCTTCACAATCATGCATTGAATGCATCCGAGTCAAATGTCAATGTAAAAAAAGATGGTTTGAAGCCAAAGTCGGATGGTCGAAGCTCAAAATCGCTCAGTAATGCCAAAGGTACTCTCAAGCCTCAACGTCAGATAAATCATCAGAGTGTCAAGGATGTTATGTTGGCATCCACCAAGCCAACTGACGATGAGCGATTGATATTGGAATTGGTTGTGTTATGCGCTGCTACTCTTTACTGGGCTCAAGATCGAACTCTGTCTGTTACTGATGCCACGACACGCACGCTGTCGCTCTACTCTCGATGTCTTGAGGAAAATGACATACTAACCGGTTCAAAGCTTTCAATGTATGAACGACAGAAATATATGGACGCTCTCATTCCATCTGGTGGTCTTGCCGAGTTTTTCTTGACTCATCCATATCCTGTATATGTTGATAATGCTGGCATCTTCCAGTTGGAGCTGGTATCTGACTGTAAAGAAGTTATACATCAAAATCCTGTTGATACTTCAGACATGCCTCAGCAACTAAGACTCCGTCAGCTTGCTGCAGACTGGAACTATGTGTTGCATACTCCCTTGACTTATGTTCCAAAACTGCTGCCATTGCTTCTTGATATGGCAAAGACATTCGAGTCAACTCTAAACAAATCGCCTTCAAAGCTTAAATCTAAAAGCAAACCTGAAACACCCATTCAAGTCTCTGTTGCATCCGAGGGTCATTCAGGTAAACCTCTGCCAAAAACACTCAAATCCCCACTGCGAACTAGTCAGGCCTCACCTTTTAGCTCTGCGTCTAAACCTTCAGTGCAAGGCAATTCTGTTTCTACAGAGCTCAACGTGCGTCAATTTCCCAAGATTCGTATCCAAGTCATTGTCTGTGCTTTGTGCGTCTATTTCGTAGAGGACAAATCCTGCTTTAACAATGACCTGGGAAGTCCACTACGAGATTTTCATGAGGCTCTCTCCAACTGGCTGCTCAAGACCAATCAAGAGGAAATTGAATCCCTGCCTAAGCTACGATCTCTTGGATTTTTAAATCTAATCGATCCTATTCTTGTTGTCATTCGCGGAGAAATCTGGACGCTATCTCGTTCGGCTCCCCTCAAGAACGGACTTCGTAAAATCTTTCTCAACATGGTTGTCAATCCAACACCACAAGAAATAGCCGATGCCATTCCAATCCAAGACAGTTGGGTCGATTTTGCTCAGGAGTGCTTTGAAGACGAATCCAGCATGTCGGATGAGGACACTATAGAACCGAATGACAGTTCTCCAGAAGCACTTGACCTATTGACTGTTGAGGCTCCTGCACCTGTACAAGTATACGATCTTGAAACAGCTCTTGATTTACAAAACTTTTACGAGGTAAATACCCAGATCCAAAGTTATTTGTTACTAATGCGATTTGAACAATCCAAGACTCTTGTGTATTAATACGTTGATAATAATGCTTGAATTTTGTTGATTTTAGGAGTTTACAAGGCTAGCAGGACAGCCTGATCGCCGTGAATTTGTTGATAAAGTACAAAAGATTCTTAATCAGGCATACAACAATACTGCACATGTGTATCTTTTTGGCTCGTCTGTCAACAATCTTGGACTCAACACATCGGATGTAGACATGACAATTGAGATTTCTCCCGAGCTGATTTCAAATCACAAGGCTAAAAACATGCATCATCTGGCTGGAATACTGCGAGCTGGAGGCATGAAAGAAGTCGTAGCAATCTCTCACGCTCGAGTTCCCATTTGCAAATTTTATGATCCCAAGCTCTGTGTGCATGCAGATATCAATGTTGGTCATAGTCTTGGTGTTTACAATTCTGCACTTTTGAAAGCATACACGTTGCTGGATCCTAGAGTAAAGCCTTTTATTCTGCTCATCAAACTTTGGTCAAAAGCCCGAGATCTAAACAATCCTTCAAGTGGAGGTAATATGATTATAATATTGCTATTCAGGCAGTCATCTTGATTGCAACCTACTAAATACCTATTTGAATATGTCATTTTTATTCAGGAACCTTGAGCTCGTATGCATACTCCATTATGGCTATAGCTTATATGCAAAAGCTGGGACTTTTACCGTCCTTGCAACTGGCCGTGCCGCCAGGAACAGTTTCTGTTGCGCATGTGCCTTGTCCTACCATTAGAGCAAGGGGCAAAAGAAACGAGTCTGGCAAAAAAGGTGCACCTTTAATGCGAGAAGTGGATGTTACTTTTGAGCACAATCTCGACAGCCCTCTATTACGAAAATATACCGAAGCAACCATGCTTCTTGGATGGGATAATGTCGATGATATTTTCAGATCACCACGCGGAGTTGTAGCATTATTTTATGGATTTATGAGGTACTTTGGCTACGAACATGTATACGATGCATCAAACTGTGTGTCGATTAAAGATGGAAATGGATTCAAAACTGTAACGACTGATCAAGCTAGCAAGGGAAAACGTGGTCGGAATGGTAATCTTGTTTTGATTGTTGAGGATCCATTTGAAGCGGATCGCAACTGCACTCGAAACACTACTACAACCAGCCTGATTCGACTATTGAAAGAGTTTCGTAGAGCTGCTGATCTTGTGGGTTCTGATACTCCAGGCGTGGTCAATGAACTGCTGGTTCCTGTTGTATGTCGTGAATTCACATCGAATAGGAATCGTGGAGGATATGGTCTAAATCGTCGTCAAAGCAACAACTCTCAGCACTCGGATGATTCCTATCAAAATTCTGATCGTCGTCGAAGTTCAGCAAGCTATAATGGTCGATACCACAACTCGGCCAATTCTCGCCAAAACGCCACAAGCACCAATGGTCAGTATCAATCGGCTGCAAACAGGAAACAAAGCACGACCAGTACTGGAGGTACAGCCAGTAGCACCAACTGGCGATCCCGATCATCTATTGCATCAGATCATAGCAGTACAAAACGTCATAGCAACCCATACATTGAAACTATTTCAGAAGCTGGTGTCATTGCAACTGCTACGTGATGAATCATTGTATTGATTTCTGATTCTTTTGTTCATACACTATCAAATATTCTGTATAATGAACAAGTCAAATCACTTGAGCCATAATCTTGAACTGGTATTTGTTTATTGAACATCTCTACAACCATCTCCACGTAAAATATTAAATAAGGGTGTCAACTCTTTAAAGTTTGCCAGTCCTTTTCTCGACGATCGGCATCAAGACAACCTGTAATCTTTAGTTTCTTGAACTAGAGCAAAAACATATATTTCACAATACAAAGACGACTTGATAGATTGTACACCATATAATGGATGTTGTGTTTGAAAGGATTGAGAATACCAGCTAAAGAATCAGTACAGTCCATTTGTAGTAAGAATACGCAACGGATATCCAATGATTTATTCCAGACTCAAATTACTGCAAGATAATACAGAAAATGGTTCATTGATGTGAATATGGTCGTAGATGCATAGTTTGATTTGAGAGATGAACTAGTCTACTGAATGGTGGATTTAAAAAGTAACGAATCAAAGCGCAACACTTGGCTTTGCCTTGAATTTCTTGCTGGCTCTATCTGCGGGACGAGTACGAAACTGATTTCCATACAAGGTAATGAGGGAATTGCCGACTCCAAACGTGAATACGTTGCCTTGTTTTGGGATAGCTACCACAAAATGGGCCGGCATAGCAGGGTTTAGATTTATTAAGCATGCCATTGCATAAAAACTTGACCCAAACAGCATGTACATTTAACTAGTGCAAGCAATCACAAGCTCACCTTTGAGAGTATTTTTACGAGAAATAAGATGAAACATATTCTCAGTGTCCTTGATTACAATTCCAGAAATGCCTATATTACTAGGACACTTTGACTTGACCACTAATGAAATATACAAATTAATATTCAATTGGATTGTAGTATTAACTACATTAGATGTATCCATGGCATGCACAGTTACCTGTAAGGAAAGCACCATGAAAATCAGCTTTGATCAGCTTCGCCAATACAGTTTCTGACTGTTCCAATGTTAGATCCGTAGCCATATCTGGTTTTTCCTCTTGCTGAGAGAGAGTCGCTTTATTTAATGGATTCTGAATTCCAATCACTTGGCAAATATAGCCCATCCAAAGTGTATGCAATGGAACAAACACCTCAAACTTCAAGTCCTTTTTGGGTAGACTCAACATACCCATTGCTTTCTGCTGTTTTCGACTAAACCTTGTTTCATGTTTGGCATGGAATCGTTTTTGTCGTGCTAGGTTTTGGACCTTGATTCGGGTGTCGTTACCAACAACTAGTTTGGCATCCAGTCGATCGATTTGAATAAACTTGCTCTGCACTTTGTCGACATATACTTGTTGTGCATCCCTGTTTCTCAACAATATCCATTGTCCATTGTTCTGCAAAAGATGTGGTTTGTCCTAGACTTGTAATCTGCAATCCATATTAGAAAATAACATTGAAAAAAGTGCAAGACCTACAATCCTCAATTCAACTGTACTTGCATTGGCTGCAGGATGTGTAATGCTTCCTGTAAGTGATTCAGGTAAGGGTGAATACCATGTTTCTTTATCAACGTTTACTTGATCTTTATTCGACGCCATGTCGATGAGTTTTGGAATGTTGAATCAAATCGAGAATGCCATTTTATTTTATTCGGAATCGCTAATTGATGAATGAACAATCGAATCGCTATGGATTTGTAAAGCAGATGTTGATGTAAAATAGAGTTGAATGGTTTGAAAGTGTGTCATTGCATGTTTTATTCGCCACAAAAATATAAATCAGTAATATACTTGCAAGGCTAGATGCTAGCTCGAGCCAATTGTGCTTTAAGTGTACAGCCTATGGATTGGCAGTCGTCAATATATTGATGTTGGCTAGCGAAAATCGCCCATGGACACCCGTCGATAGATTCTCACCATAGGCATACCCATCAACAAGTGTTTCATAAACTACCAATCGATCCCCTAAATTCAACTCAAGGTTTTGATCATCCGTGTAAGTCAGAGGTAAAATACATTGATAGATAGTATGGCCTTGATCTAGTTTTTCTTGGACATGGGGTTCAAGTGGCAGCTGTTGTAGACCATCGACGTGTGGTTCGTGTAGTTTTACACCTCCAAAATCAGATGTGGCAGGAAGCAAGGGTGGGAGATGGCCTGCTTGATCATCAGTGGATTCTATAGATGATCCACATTCTGCAATAGCTGCTGCAATGGGAGAAGCAAACGTATGGGACTCGGCCGCCGCTGTCGCAATTGGAGACGAGTCTTTGGGTAACAATACTTCGGGAAGCGATACCAAAATTGTAGATGCACGCACATCCTGCAATGATCGGTCCGCAATAGAAATGTTGGGTTTGGACGTGACATATTCATTGCGATGTCCGCTGATATGTCGAGAAGGTATAGATCCACGAGAAAAGTCTAGATCGTGAGACCGCCGAAGTGGTCCGTTGGATGGGGATTCACTTGGTGAAAGCGAGTCCGAAGAGTATACACTTCCAGGAAGACTGACCGCATCAGAATTGTCATACACCGAGTTTCTAAAGCTTTCAAAACTGCTGACACTTGTCATGCTCTTGATCCAACGAATACTTCGTTTAATTTGGCCTACTGGAACAAATTCAAGGTAGTTTCGACGGTAAATCTTGAGCAACGCGGCTGACGGTACATTGACACCAAACACTTCAGGCAATTCAACATCAATCTTGTGTAGGTCTTGCTCCACGGGCTCATCTGCAGCAGGTGATGGAGGAGGAGGTGGTGCAATGTCAAGCTTTGGGTTGCGAGTGAATAAACCGTACATGGTTTTGGTTTGGGCTGGTTGTTCTGGAACAGGCAAGGCAGCAAGTGGTGGTAAACTAAAATGCTGGTTGGCTGTTTTCTGTGAATTCTGAAGGGCATTCCGTCTCTGAGCAGCTGAATTATGAACAAACATGGCCAAGCCAGTAATGAAAATAGATACTACAACAACACCTCCAAAAATAAGACCGAGAGCACTTTCACAATTCGAACCAATTACTTTACACCACGAAGAATCGGACTGATCCAAAGCTGGAGTATTGGTGGCCTGTGTATGATCAGCTCTGGGACTAACCTGATTGGAATTATCATTTCCAGTCGAGGGAAAGGTGCTTGGAAAATTCAATGGGATATTAGGATTGCCTTGGTTAGATATGGGTGGAGTCGCAACACGACCACTGGGATTAGGTAGTCCAGGAATTGGCGGGCTCTGAGGAATGGGTGCAGGACCATTTGGCGTAGATGGAGAACCAGGATCAGGTAAAGGACCATTTGGTGTAGATGGAGAACCAGGTGCAGGTGCAGGACCGTTTGGTGTAGATGGAGAACCAGGATCAGGTACAGGAGCACTTGGGTCATTTGGCGCAGATGGAGGAGTACCTGGGTCCGGTCCATTAGGTGAAGGTATGGGAATGGTAGGCCTAGGAAAAATCGTAGCCTGTCGCGAAAGAGCGGTATGACAGCAGCGATCAAACCTTCGATTAATGCCGTCGCTACAGTATTCTCTCATGGCTGAGATTGTAGTAAAGCCACAGTTTTCAGAATTAGACTCGATACAAAAGGGAGCATAGTTTGTAATGTCTTGATCGACGAAATCCCGATCACGGCATTGCCGTCTATATAAATGTAGAGCATTTTGTCTACGTTGAATCAATGCGAAATCAAATGTTGGAGTGCAGATGGATTGATCGTTCAACTGGGTTTCGAAAGTTTTTAAAAATGCATCGCACTGGTACCAGCACAGACGTTGTGAGGATCGAGATGGGTTTGTATTGGGGCATCCACCAACAGATTCAGGGAGATGCAGCATTAGATTGCACACGTTGGCAGTGGTGTACCGAAGACTCTCCATATTAAAGTTGCAGTAAAGATTGTCTAGCGAAGCATAACTTGCATAAGTCATGGCAAAATAATCAAACTGAAAAACAGATGATGCAAAGGAAGGACGAACTTGGGCCCCGCTCCACCATCTGCAAACTGATGAACCAGTGACTGGCACGCAATCTTGACCCAATGTGGTCGATAGGCACCCTGCCAACAGCAGGAACGTCAAACGAAGGAATGCTGTAGGGATCATAGAATAAAACCGATAGATGTGTGCTATCTGAATAAAAACTTTAATCTAGTTTTTTGACCAAGAATTGGGCAAATAGAAGCACTGATTGAGCAGGCTATAGGTAAATCGACTTGCTGAATGTCAGTGGGGTGCGACAAAAGCGTTTCCAGGACGAACAATGATCTGCTGCAGTAGCAAATAGAACCAACGACGACAATATAACAAGACTATGTTTAGCAGAGATTAACGATTCAGTCGACCCGAGACAATGATATTTATCACAGGCTATTTCCAGGAAACGGAATGCAACTGAGGAGTGATTTGAAGATGAGATTTGCCTATAGTTAAAGTATCCTTGAATGAGTGATGAGTGCACAGTGGATAGCTTCAGATATGAACAATGTCCTGATGGTCGTAAGTGTACAAAGGCAAAAGAAGATCTTTTGTCGAGATACGATGGTTGACCAACGACAGTCCAATAGCGATGCAAAGTAGTGGTTTGAGTGGAAAGTCGAAGAAAATAGACAATAACAATTCCATTGACTTTGCTCGATGCAAAACAGGCTTTACTTGATACACATGCAGGCCACTTGATTTGCTGTTAAAACTTAATAGGGTCCGGAATTGTTAGGTTTCCCTTGACAAATTCGTTTGCTACTATTTGGTTTAAAGTGCCCAAGCAGAAAATCAGATGGGCAACCAGTAGACCCGGAATTTTCACAAGCAAACAGTTGAACGCGTCAATGCTAACCCTTCAGACGGCAGGTAGAAATGCCATGTGCACCCGTTAGAATAGCCTGCAATGTGTAACCGCTGACATTGATGGAATTTAAATGGATTTTAGTAAACAAAGTGAGGTGAATAAAGTGCTAATGATGACCAGATGTAAACTAAATCCTCAACCGTTCAGCCCATACCCTGACGCCATTCGTGTTTATGGCACGTCGAGTTTTGATCAAGTGCATACTTGAGCAGGCACGAGATAATGTACACTAATCATCATGATAATCCAAGTTGGTAAAAGACTATAATGTACAATTTTTTCAGCTTGGTGCTGCAGGTATTTCTAATTCATGAATAAATTTATATACCAAAGTGTTGGTAGTCTGTACTAGCAAGCCAAAGGGCAAATTCCATTATAAACGACTTGGTCAGCTACCACAGTTGGCTAGATGCTAATTCTATTTACATTTCTTGATTGCTGCAACTGTTCTCTTATTGCCGTATTCACGTAAATGGACCATTAAATAAGGGCATCGTAATACACAGTGAACAGCCAGTTCCATGAAATAATAATTCCACCAAATTTACTAGTCAATACTGTGCCCTTTGAACTCTTTAATTTACTGGGCTTTCCCCTCTGCTTACTTTTGTATAAAATACCAAACGAATGTTTAAAGCGACATTCACATCACAGTCCCTGTCAATCCTCGATTCTCTTTTGCAAAATGTTGGGTGATCGAGATGGAAACAATCGTTATATTTCCAAGATGTGCAATTGCTGTTTTGTCAAACTGAAGCACAAATATTTCGGTAGAATCAAAATACAACAAATTAGAATTTGTAGCTGTATTGAAAACAGCCAAATCCAATATCTGAATTGCAATGAATGAATCTACTGACCGTACAATATATGACTATTCAAAAAGTGAAGCAAGTGATACTCTGTTTAAAATTAGATTATGTGTATTATATGATGGATGTTGTGTTGAAGAATTGAGGAGGGTTTATTTCAAAGCAAAGTGGAGCAGTTGCAGAGATACAAATGTTCCATTTTGGGTGAATATGGTTGCAGATGTAATGAATTGTACGTTGCTTGATCCAAGTCAACCACAGGTTTATCATATATTCTTTAAATTTCAATCTAAATATTCCATCCGACGCATACTAGATTTATCATGACTTTAGTCAATATATTATACTAAACTCGAACAAAATGAATACGTTCGAATGAACAATCCAGGAACCAGTCTATGACAGAGAATAGCCAATTGACACTATTTTATCAAAGTTAAATTCAGATTGAAACTGCATTGCTTTACTGCAAATCACATTGTAACGCTCGTAGCAATTTAGCTGGCTAGACACGCTGTCTTGTCTAATAAAAACATGCTGTGAATTTATTGCGCCATTGCTCAAGAAATTCGACACCAAATCAGTGCAATAACCGAATTTATTTTTAGATATCCAACTTTGGCTTGAAACTCATCAACACCTTGTCTATATTCCCTCAAGCAATCATGGTTAGACTCTCTTCAAGTGATGGGCAGGAGTTTACAGTAGTAAAGGAAATTGCCTGTCAGTCAGTTCTTATTAAAAACATGCTAGAGGACCTTGGCGATGACGAGGATGCTGCTATCCCTCTTCCCAACGTTGCTGGGACTGTTCTTGCAAAAGGTGCCAACTTTCTATGTTCATGCTGAAAACATGGCCTTTGTTCATGATACATATCTGAGCTTCTAGCTATATTTGGCATGTATGCCATCTATTCACCATTTTGTCGCATATCCGAGAGTCTATTCTAAGCTTGATGGAAGTCATTAGCTTGCCCAATTCCATTAGATGATGGCTTTTTGATATGCAGACCATGCTGTCTGTCTATTCATGTCAAGTCTATTTGAAATAATGCCATACCTGCTTATCCAAAAAGCCCTTTCATTACAATGGGTGTTTGCAGTCTAGCTGTGATGCAATGGCTGTCGACCAAATGCTTGCAAATCAAACCATCTTTTGGCGATTCACCCCTTGTCGGCTTGCCTAGTGTCACAGATACAGTCGAAAGTCTGTTCAGATCCATGGGATCTGTTATGCCATATTTTAAACAGTTTGGTGTTGCCATAATTGCATCTACTGGTTTTCATCAGACACCCCAATCATGAGTGCTCCCTTTATGTCTTTTGGATTGCATCTGTACTTACGTTTTATTTCTGTCTAGTGATTGACTATGCAACCCACCACAAAGATGATGCTCCACTATCTCCAGAAGATGAGAACAAAAATATCACGAAATCTTCTGAAGATATTGATGAGTGGGATAAAGAGTTTATCAATGTCGATCAAGGCACACTATTTGAAATCATTCTTGCGGCAAATTACTTGGATATGAAAGGATTGCTGGATTTGGGTAGGGTTCTTGGTTTGAAGCTAGCTTTAATGACTTGGATCCTGGCTTTTATATTTACCGATCGTATTTCATTTAAAATGCTGAATTGTCAGGCTGCAAGACTGTTGCTAACATGATCAAGGGAAAAACTGTGGAGGAGATTCGCAAGGTAGCTAACTCTATCCTTTTGCTGCGGGTTATATCCGGTTTACAGATTGAGTGTACTATACTAACTTTGTTTACGGTAGACGTTTAATATTGTCAATGACTTTACTCCCGAGGAAGAAGAGCAGATTCGCAAGGTTTGTTTTTTCAACCTTCAACTGATTTTACTGTTTACTAATTTAAATCAATGTAGGAAAATGAGTGGTGTGAAGACCGCTAGTTGATTCAAACCATCCTATGGATGCGAAAATAGTGTTTCGTTTCCATTTCAACTTGGAATAAAAATCACTTTTGGACAAGTATTGAAGCTACAATGTATGGATGACCTGTGATTTTTAATTTAAATATGCTTGAAATTTATATTTGCAAGAACAGATCCGTACAAGATTCATGAAAGGCCAGATTGTTTGCCTTTTAAAGCAAAAACGAGATATACTTGATGCAGCATTTTAAAGAGTGATATGCAAGATACTAAACTAGAAATAGGATGATAAGCTAGGAAATCAACAAGACTACTGATGATGGTGATGTGTTGGATATTTACCAATGCTCTCAAATTGAATTGTTGCAGCTGTATTCACGTTAAATGAGATATTTGCCTCTATCTTGCTTTAGGATAAACAATAACTAAATATTTATTGTGCCTTCCTACTAGAAATTGACTGCATTGCTTTTTAAAACACAAGTCCACTATATGATGCAGTCTAATTTTGAACAGACTATCACTTTTGGAACAATCATACATTGTGAAATTGTCAGATTCATTCATTGCGATCCAAATATTGGGTTGTATTGTTTTGATGATGTCAATACAACTCCACTTTGTTGAAAAGTTTAAAATCTAGCGGGAATTGACGCCAATCATTCATGAAATTGGCAATTTATTATGTATTTTGGCATCCTTGTTTAGTGTTCAATTTTATGTGAATATAGCTGTGAATCGACCCATGCAATGTACATGTATAGAATCAAAAGATTAGTCGATTGATTTTGTTGCTAGTTGGACAAGAATACCACTCTTTCAATACATTGATGACTATACCTTTGGAAGTATCAGACTGGAGCTTCATTTCCTGGTGGAATGCCGAGCTGCTTGAATAGTCGGCAGGAGATTGTGACACAACATAACGTCTCCAGTGTTTAGTTTGCTTCTCTTTACTCTGGATATTACCATTTTCAGACGAGGACTGTGGAGATGAAGTACTGACATCCCCACGCGAGTCAATGGCATGGCTGTCCTTGGCTGGTGATAATGGATTGGGTTTTACAGATACAGTATCTGAAAGGTTAGACGGAGAAGGGATGATTTTCTGATCCAGCAGGATGGGTTTCCCTTCTGATTGCATGGGTTGCTGTACGGAGCTGGTGGGAGGCAGCTGTGGTGGTATAGGTTGTCCTGGCAACAGCAGTAAAGTACATACGATGATGGCAGTGATCACCAAAAGCGACTGGAGAATGACAATGCACGAATCCATCCGCTTGCGATTGACAAAATAAGCGATACTGACTGCAATAAACAGTCTGGGTGATACTCCAGCCATTTAGATGGTAGTTCAGAGCTTGTGGTATAAACTGATTGGCAGCAAAGAATTGCAGAAAGTTTGAATTTATTTGTGAGGAACGAAACCGAGCCACTAGTCGAATGTTTTCATTCTTTAGAAACATTGCGGCCTCGCATTGAATCCATGTTGTTACGATATTGTTTGTAAATGCATGGCCATGTCATGCCATTGCTTTTACTGCATTTGGACTTTGTTGCTGTAGTTTAAATCTACCACTTTGAGGCTCAATGCACAACTGGACCTATCCAACTCGAGTGTAGTTGATTGGAAAAGTCTAGTATTTCCAACAGTACATTCTCAATGACCTGCAAATATTCGGACCAAGGCTATCAAGCGGAGTTGCGTTTCAGTTTACAAAAAGCCTCGGTCAAACATTTCTAGATTTGACTTGCAAACAACGAATTCAACTTGGAAGCATGCTAAAGTTGTCGTTACCTCATAAAATGGCATCTATTGTATGTCTGATGCTGTTGTTGTACTTTTTGAATGCTCTGCCTGCCCATTCATATTTGTTCATCCGTCACTGACCTTGACTTGTTGCTCAATGTTTTATGTGTAAAATTAATCAACAATGTTGTAGCCTATATGGGTTATATTTATCGCTGCTACAGCAGCCTTTTATGTGCTATTTGTCGTTATAGAGAGCTCAAAACTCATTCCAGGTTTAAACCAGGCAGTACAATCAACTATAGAGGCCACGAGCTCCAATGCAAAGATACTCACCGAATCTTCATCCATAGCTGCGTTTATATCTCTGTTTGTTATTGTCTGCACAGGCATTGCTGGTGGAAAGTTGGCTGAAAGATTCAAACAGGCTCCCATGCTAGGAATGCTTATTGCTGGCTGTTTGGTTCGCAATCTGTTTCCCTTGCTCATAGTACCCATTCCACATTCGTGGACTACCAGACTGTGGGCAATTGCCCTCGCTAGTGTCGTTGCACGCGCAGGGCTGTCGATTGACCGCCACACTATCCATGCCAACCTCACCACCACTCTTGCTGTGGGAATTATTCCAGTCTGTACTGAGGCTATAGTATTGGCAGGGTTGGCATCTATTGTATTGAAACTACCAATTGCATGGGCTTTTACATTGGCATTTGGTGTGGCCTCGATTTCTCCTGGTGTTGTTGTGCCACTAGTGCTCAATATTGCTGAACGTCCAGAATGGAAAACAAATAGACTTCCTCCATTAATGCTTGCTGCATTGGGCGTAGATGTGCTGGTTTCTACTACTTGCTTTGGTATCGCACTTTCATCCGCAATGGGCCACTACCATGAACACAATGACTGGATCCATGATGCATGGTTTACGCGTGCACTAGAGGAAATCGTTGGCGGACTGCTTGCTGGTACTTGCATTGGGTTTATTGCATACATGTGCATGCGAAATCAGATTAGAGACTGGCTTTCTTTTTGGGTTGTTTTTGCGTGTAACTGTATCGCAACGATCATTGGCAAAACAAATGGGTTTACTGGTGCCGCGTCTTGCTCGACTATCTTGACCTGGGCAATCATTGCCAATTCATGGTCTAGACCAAATATAGAAGCTGCAGATACAAGGTATTTTTCGCACTGGATTTGGGTGTTTGTTATTGGTATACTGATACTTGAATCTATCGTCAAGGCTTAAACTCATTTGGAAAGCATTCAAGCCGTTCCTATTCCCAGTCATTGGTGCATCTGTTTCATTCAAAGAAATGCCACTTTATCTGTTCACTACTGCTCTACTACTGGTAACAATCTCTGTACTGGTAAAGCAAGTCTCGTGCTTTTGGGTAACTCGTGCCGTAAATCTTTCTGATGAGGAAGCTTATTTTTGGTGTGGAATGTGGACCGGCAAAGCCAGTGTACAGGTAATATTGGGTTTATCATGACTATTATTTTAAACTGGCATCCATCGTGATTTTGTTTGATCTAATGTACTCAACACGTTGGTGTTCATTATCAAGGCGACACTGTGCGGAGCTGCTTTAGAACTGGTCCACCATCAAGGATTAGAAGGCTCACCACAAGAAGCCCATGCGCGCGTGGTATTTTGTGGAATGATTTCGGCCATTTTGATTGGAGTGCCCTTTGCATCTGGCTGGGCATCGTCCTATGGTCCTGGAACAAGTATACCCATGCCTAGCACTGAATCAGGACTCTGTACTACGATTTTACCAGTGATTATACCGTCTCTACTGAGTAAATCGGAGCGTAAAACCAGTGAAGATTTGTCCTTGCGTTCTTGATACCATCATGGCTGATTGAGGTCTATGCTAGATATACCATCACCCTCTTATATAATTTATCAATATAGAGATCAGTCCATCCATTTGTAATAGTTTTGGGGCTACACATGCTTTTGATGCCAAATTTTAGTATCAACAACAGCTTGCAATGCATTGATTTGAGAATAACAGCAATTGTACTGGAATTATCAAGTCAAACTAGCTGTTATAGCTGGGAGAGAAGAGTTGGGTGACTAGCTTATACAAGAAACCGATTGCATCTATTGATAAATGTATCGAATTGATGCCAATTCTGCATGATTGAAATTGGGATCTTGTAATACTACGAGTGCTTTTTTCTATACTATTAGCAATATCCCAAACGAGTATGACTGATACGCTTCATAGTCTAGTAGACCTATCTCCACGTACTCAAAAGCTGTATCAAACCCTTTCAGACTTTGTAGAATATGAATGCATTCCAGCTGAAGACCAGTATCACCAGCAGCATGGTCATGGCATCGACAGATGGAAGGTAAAAGGCCAGGATGTGATCCAGTTTGATTTTAGATTTGATCCGCTACAGGTCGATGGCTCGACTCATTAATGTATAATGCCACATGTCGGTCAATGGGCAGGTTGTTCCTCCTATAATAGAGACACTCAAGACAAAGGCACATGCACTTGGACTATGGAATCTGTTTTTGCCAAAAAGCTATCCAGAAAGTCCTGGTCTGACCAATCTTGAATATGCGGTGCTTTGCGAAGTTCTGGGTCGCAGTATACTGGCACCAGAGGTAAGACACGCAATAGATGATCCAATGCGATGAATCTATTCTTTGATTTGATTGTGGCTAAGCTATTATGACTGACAATAGGCAACCAACACCAATGCTCCAGATACTGGAAATATGGAAGTTTTTGCCAAGTATGGCACGGCGAAACAAAAGGCACAATGGCTGGTTCCGCTCATGCAAGGAAAAATACGATCAGCATTTGCAATGACCGAACCAGGTGTTGCTTCGTCAGATGCCACCAATATCGAGACTTTAATTGTTAGAGATGGAGATTCGTATGTTATCAATGGCAGAAAGTGGTGGATATCTGGAGCAGGTGATCCAAGGTGTAAAGTTTATCTTGTTATGGGGCAATCCAACACCACTAGCAAAAGCAAATACAATCGACAGAGTGTGATCATTGTGCCTGCTGATACTCCTGGGGTTCGGATCATTAGACCTATGCTGGTTTTTGGATACGACGATGCTCCTCATGGACATGTTGAAATGGTATTTGAAAATGTACGAGTTCCTGTCGAGAATATGATTTTGGGCGAGGGTCGAGGATTCGAGATTATCCAAGGCCGACTCGGACCAGGTGGGGCTGTATTGTTTGATATGTGTGGGCAGCTGAATTCATGTCCAATGTTTGGCGTGCCAGTTTATATCATTTTTTGCTGAAACGCTTGGTTTATTCTAAATGTGATGCTTAATCTTGCAGGCCGTATCCATCACTGTATGCGTGCCATCGGTATTGCAGAGCGTGCCATTGACTTGCATGTTTTGCGACTGACCAATACATCACGCAGAACATTTGGCAAGATACTGGCTCAGCATGGTACAGCATCAGATTCAGTTGCACAGTCTCGTATGGAAATTGAACAAGCAAGGTTGCTCGTGCTGAGTGCTGCAGCCAAGATTGACAAGGTTGGAGCCAAAGAATCGATGAATTTGATTGCTATAGCCAAAGTGGTAGTTCCAACAATGGCTTTGAAAGTGCTTGACCGAGCCATTCAAGCTCATGGAGCACAAGGTGTGTCACAAGACACTCCACTCGCCGCTTTATACGCCTTTTCAAGAACATTGCGTATTGCAGATGGTTAGTTTATTGACATTACAGCATGATTGCATTGCGTAGTGGTATTGACAAGCATTGTCACTCTTGTTTGTCCAATTGATTGCAGCATTTTGATAAGCTCTAATTGTATTTCACTTTTTATTGTATGTAGGACCAGACGAGGTACATGCAATGCAGATTGCCAAAAATGAATTAAAAAGAGCACCTATTGTGTTGGCCAAGGTGCAAAAGCAGTTTGCTCTTGCTCAAATGTTGGCCAAGTTGTAATGCAAAGCAACTGCAAATTTAGCACAATGTTATAGTCAATAAACTTATTGCTTGATCCAATAATATGCGATGATATTGAGAGTCGGTGCCTATTCTGACTCATCAATTTAACCCAATAACTGAATTACAATGGACAAATTTGGTGATTGGACAATGTATGGCTGTGTCAAATGAACAGAAAGGACAGGTTTAAAATTATAGTTTAAAAAGTCAGGGTTGTTGATTAAACTGCTTGTTGCATTCTAATATCAGATGTTTGCACTCTAGTCCAAAAAACAGATTGCACATCGGGAATGCAACCGCCATCCCTATGCCAATCACCAGGGGCCAGTCAGCTAGAGCTATGACATATGTTGCCTAGTAGATTTAATGGAGACCATTAATTATGTCATAGGATCGGCTGACTATCATGCATTGAGTACCCCTATTTAGTATCCATTACGCGAATACGATAATGGATGAAGCGTAATAGCAGACAAGGCTGTGAACAAGGTTTTACTTGTATCCACGTAAGATGTAACTATCTTGTAGTCACTGCCTCTTGCTTTGAAGTAGACAATGGTTAAGCATTCGTTATGCTTTTCTCCTACAAATCGACTTGATTAGACAGTCAACTCTCCAATAAACACAGCTTTCATTATATAATGCTCACGCAATCAAATTATAGTTTCGAATTAAAATGATCTTTTGACATAGCCATGGATTGTACAATCGTCGAGTTTAAATCAGATTCATCTATTTCAATCCATATATTAGACGATTATTTTCAATACAACCCATCTTGTATTCTAAAAACTCGGATGTGTTTGCACTTTCAAGAGAACAAAGACTGGACATTTCAGCGATGCAGCAGCTGTCTTTATGCCAATCACTCAGTCTCATAATGATCGGTTTGAATAAAAGGAGATTAGAAAATGAAGAATTTATTGGAACTGTGATGTGGATGCTGCTTTAAACATCCGACAGCTTTTTACAGAGATAAGCATGGAGAAAACCCAGTCAATTTTGCTAATGAGTTTCGAGGGCATGTTTTCGGTAAATTCGGATGAATTTTCACCAATCATTTCATGAGACTGGCTTGTTACGCATTTGGCACCCTTATTTAGTGTTTCACTTTACGTGGATATGGCTGTGACTAAATTTTGTGCCACGCTTGTCTGTATTCATTTATAATGGCGTTGGAAGTATCTCGTTATTTTCTGCCTAAACATTTGTAAACAAGGTTAGATATTTGCCATTTGATGGATATTTCTTATCTGGATGTCCTACTTTGAGTGCTATATCCAATCTGTTGCTGCTATTTACCGGCATCCGAGTTGTTGATGCTACTTCTCTGAACACGGTCTAGTCCAATGCTTTTCCGCTGCTATTGGCAATCATTTGTAGCATATACAATGGTGTGGGGTGTTTTGCTGGACTAGCTGTTGTTTTACCTGCTTCTTTTTTGATATATGGATATGCTACAATCCGCCATGTTTAGAACCAAGTCTTGTTTGCCGTTTTCTGCTTAATCTTTGCGCCGTTGGTATCTGATACTAACAGCTGATATATTTGCTATCAAATTTATATTATTTCTCACGTCATAGCATCTATCCAACCATGCTCGCACTTTCCGCCACTATTTTTCTAGCCTCCATCTCGGTTGTATCCTCCCAAGCCGTATGTAAACCAGATCTTCTGGTTGACGACTTTGTCAAGGCCCAGTCTGCCATGGTTGATGGGGAGGTTCGCCCTGTCAATTTGCTTGGTGGCGATTATGGTGCTGTCGGCATTGAATGGTCTGTTGATACTGCCAAGAAGGCAGCCGTTTTGACCTCGACCAACTCTAGCAATTTCTGGTTTGCAAAGTTTGATGCCATTGCATGTTTTGACCTGACTGGCTACAGTGCTATTACCTTTGATTTGGTTGCCCCAACAGGCTCAGACATGTCTTTTACTCTTACTCAAAAGTCGGCCAATTGTGTTGACCGCCTAATCGACTCTAGTTACATGCCTCTTACCAAGTACATTAAACCCAATGGCTCCAAACAACACGTGTCGCTCCCTCTTTCTGACTTTGCCATGAACATCAATGGCGCGCCTTACGACTTTAAGCATCTCAAAGATTGGACTCCGACTAGTCTCAGTCCTGTTGGCGCTACTTTTGAAATTAGTAACTTGGTTCTCAAGGGAGGCTGTGGAAACGAAACCAGCACAGCTACGGCTGCAGCTACAACTGCCTCAGCCCCATCCACTGTGGCTGCTACTGCCACCGCTTCATCCGCTGCAACTGCTACTGCTGCTGGCGGTGCATCGTCTGGAACCGCCTCTGGTTCTGGAAGTACCGTAAAAAGCAGTGCATCTAGTATTGTTTCTAGCATCTTTGGCTCCATCATGGCTGCAGTTGCTGGTCTCGCCTTGTTTTAAATATAGTATTTAAACTACACGAATGGTTTCAGGCATCTGCTTTGCCTAGAACCTATTACTCTACATGTCTAAATATATAGTTTGCTGTAGTGAAGGTTTGTTGCCTTCAATTCTCTTGCTTACGTAAGCCTAATAAAAACGATTGAATACTTGTTGCATGTCATTCGATCTGGATCTGGATTGGGTTGCATCAGAAAAGCTAGCCAAAGCATTACTGAGCAGTTAGAATGACTGTTCAGCCCCGGATCATAAAATATGGACTCTTGGTACTCCAGTTCATTTATTGGTTGCGGGGAAAGGCTTGCAATGCCTGTTCATCCAGTCTACAAATAAGCCAGCCCTCCATTTCCTTGGCATCTAGGGACTTGTAGAATGAACGAGCTCGTTCATTCCAGTCCAACACTGACCACTCCATCCGTGCACACCCAGCATCTTTGGCAATACTGGCAAGACGATCAAAAAACATTGATCCAATGCCTGCTCCCCTATATGCCTCACGAATATACAGATCCTCCAAATAAAGCCCTGGTTTGGCAGTGAATGTCGAAAAGTTGAAAAAATACAGTGCCATACCAACAGGAGTATGAGTGGCAATCTCACTAGCAATCAAAACATGAGCTGCTCGTTGGGGAGTCACTTGGTCAGGGTTAGATCCCACTCCAAAGAGATGTTGAGCAAGAAGCTCTTCAGTGGTACTGCATGTATCGAGTAGTTTTTCGAATTCGGCAAGTTCTCGAATAAGAGTCCGAATCAGTGGAACATCTTCAATCGTCGCACTACGGAGCTCAAACCTAGTCCTTGCAGCTGTTTTAGTGGTGTCAGATACAGTTTCCATAACCAACAGTTGGTTTAAAATGCGGTGAGCAGTGACTATTTATTTAAAATCAGTCCAATGGAGATCTATATTTATGAAAAGCAATATCCAAATTCAAAGCAGCAATCTGTCGAATAAATTCTATTATGCTATTCATAATACTATAGCTATTGGGTTGCTGCAGATGATGCAATACTGACTGCAGTCAGTCTGTAAATACCATCGAGTGGCTTGCGATCAAATGACAGTTTGCAAAGTCAATATATGGATCAGCCTGGCATGCAGATGATCCATCTTGGCGCAGTATTCTAGCCCTTGAAGGAATCAAGGGAGTATTGTAACCGCTTGAAATGATATTGTTCTGGATCGTATTTTCAACCATATTATTGAATATTTGGCCAATATAATTGTTTTTAGCTGAATTAGGGAGGACTGGATTGCTTGTGGCATTGTGGCAATAGTTCATTGGCCGTGAAATCATTTGATACGCAGGCTTTGATTTCAAATCCTTAAAACTCGAAATATTCGCTAATTCAACTTTATTAGCAATACTCTTTTATTAGCCATTATGAGTTCTCGTCCATCCGATTCTGAAGCGGTTTTGGTAGAAAATGCCCCTCACGCAGAGCCAACACTCATGTCATCGCTTAAAGCCGTAGCATTTGCCAACTTTTACTTCAATCTGCTGTTGGTTTTTGTCCCCATCGCTATTATCGCCGGTAACCTCAAATGGGGTGATACAGTAACATTTGCTCTAAACTTTATAGCTATTGTGCCATTAGCCAAGATGCTAGATTTGGGCACTGATGAAGTGTCCAAGAAAGTGGGTCAGTCAATTGGCGCTTTGATTAACGCTTCATTTGGTAACGCTGTCGAGCTAGTAAGTTTTTAAAGATGTATTTATGCAAAATGGAGCACTGTCTTGCATTCATTGCTTTGGACTATACAGTGGTTAAATATTATTGCACTTTCCCATTAGAAATTGATTTGAATGGCCACTTTCAATGCCTAAAACAACGTCCACCATATAATACAAACTATAATTTTGAACCTCCCCTCCCCTCTTTGCATAACCATATATTGTATAGTTGACAGGTTTGAAACTGGATTCATCTGTTGCAACTCAAATATTGGATTTGGCTGTTCTGATGTGGTCAAACTACTTGTATCCTAAAACCTCGGATACATTCGCGTTCTAGTTTAACAAAGATCGCACATCTCGGGAATACAACAGTTGTTTGCATGCTGACTATCAGGAGATCAGAAACTAGAGAGTTTAAAGGACACAGTGTTGACGGAAAATGCGGAGACTGGCTGTTTATCATGTACTTTGACACCCTTATTCAGTGCTGCATTCCATGTGAATACGGCTGTATAGTGGGTAAAGCAAGAGAAAAGCATGCCACCGGATGCAGTGTTCTGTTTAGCCATTTATTACTGTAATCATCCCTTGACACCATCCTCCATTACGGCAGGTCAACTTATTGCGGGTGTTTGTAGGGTTGCTCATTTAGCTAATTGGTACTTTTGGTGCTTGGCTCAGCCAGATGTGTTGTGCTGGCTGATCACCTAGCAAATACACCAATCCGGGCAAGACTCATGAGCTGAGCAACTAAAACCATGATTCACCAATCAATCCTACTGTTTCTAACCCTGACTTGACATAGCTACGATAGTTGATTGCAATATGGGACTTGCATTTCAAGATTTCCCTGGCTTTTCAGTATCAAACCTCCATTTTTGGTGCAATTTACCATGTTCAAATTCATTAACAGTTTTGATTATGGTGTCTTTGTTTTATCTGGCTAGATTATTGGAGTCATGGCACTTCGCCAAGGACTGCTAACTGTCGTGCAGAGTTCACTTCTCGGCTCTATTCTTTCCAATCTTCTTTTTGTTCTTGGCTGGGTAAGTCTTGTCATTTTAAATCTAATATATGCCATACAATCACGTTGCTAACCTGTGTGATGTATCCAGTGCTTCTTTATTGGAGGCATGTATCACAAAACTCTTGTGTTTTCTTCCAGAGCTGCCAATACTGCTGCCACATTATTGGCTGTGACTATTTTTGGATTTCTTATTCCAGCTGCCTTTTCTCTTACGATCAGCAATAACGATCCTAATCATCCCGCCCACAAGGATTCCCGTCTAATCAATGTCAGTCACGGCACCAGTCTATTGCTGCTGATTGCTTACATTGCATTTTTGTATTTCCAACTGATTACTCATCCTCATGTTGTAAGTTCAACGCATAGTTTGTTTTTTGAATGCTGACATTGAGGTGAAAACGATCGCCCGACTCATTAAATTTTGATTTGATATTGGATGGAATCTAGTACGAACCTCCTCGAAATATCGAAGCTGCCAACGATCAGGAGGAAGAAGAAGAAGAAGAACAATCACTACTTACTATGCCCGTTGCAATTGGTGTTCTTGTCGTTTCTGCAGTGATTATTGGTTTCTGTGCCGAATATCTTGTAGATAGTATCGAAGGTCTTTCCAAAACAGTTGGTATTTCCGAAACCTTTATTGGTTTAATTATCTTGCCTATTGTTGGCAATGCTGCTGAACATGTGTCTGCTGTATTTGCCGCTGCGCGTGGCAAGATGGATTTGGCTATTGGTGTTGCACTTGGATCATCTATGCAGATTGCATTGTTTGTTACTCCGGTGCTCGTGATTGCTGGATGGTCTATGGGCATGCCATTGACTCTCAACTTCCCGATCTTTGATACTGTTGTTCTGTTTGTTGCCATTTTGATTACCAATCACTTGATTAATGATGGCGAGAGCAACTGTAGGTTTTTGAGTAGAATTGTCGTAAATGGATTTCCTAGTACATTCATGCCAGAATACTAACACTTGCATTTTGATCTAACTCACTTGAACTCGTGAATTATAGGGTTGGAAGGTTTCATGCTGTTGGTTTGTTACGTCATTGTAGCCGTAGCATACTATTATATCGGCGACCACTAATAAACCTTGCTTGCATTTTTTCAACATGATATGTTTCTTGCCATGCCAAAGGCACGAAAATCAAGGAGATTAGAATCAGATAGAGTGGTGTATTTTGGTGGGAAAGTAAAAGAAAAATAGATTCGTACAGCTGAACAGCCTTGCATAGCCACTCCATGTGGATAGGGTTGAATAAGAGATGCAGATGAGGTCAGTCGAACCAATGAACTAGAATTTAGACAACATCCATTCAGCAAAGTAGGTAGTGTATCAATGGTAATGTATGTTGTCTTGACTGCACGAATAGATACGATTACACTCGAACGATAGTGTGTCCAATGAATTCATGTTTTTATGAAATCAGAATGTAACCTGCAAGCGAGTTTCTGTTCCAGTTGGTAGTAAGCAACATTGGTGACCAACCAAATCGCTAAAAGAAATCAAAATGCTTGGTTTTACAAACTTTTCCTTTTATCATCGCTCGACTGTTCTTGCGTTTCACTCAACCTTCAACCCATCACTCTTTCTATACTAACTATGTGTGGTATCTTTGCTTATGTCAACTATTTGGTCGAGAGAGACCGCAAGTACATTGTCAACTCTCTACTGACTGGTCTCTCGCGTCTGGAATACCGAGGCTACGATTCAGCTGGTAAGTATTGAAGTTGCTGGGCATATTGTTCTATGCAAGTAGCAATAGTAGCAAAGTGATGGTATTTTCATGTAGTACTCGAGCCATGCAAGGGGAACGCCAGTATCTCTGATATCGGTGCCCCATTTGCTATATAGTTTCTCTACCCATCTACATGCTGATGCATGGCAGTTGCTATTGCCAGTTTTACTGTCATTGGTGTTGCATTTTAATTCATGATTTCGGTATCATCACATCGGAGTTGCCTAGCTTCCGCCTTGCTGACTTGCACTACTAGCATCTTTCCATCAACCCAATACACTGCTAGTGGAATACCCTGGACTAGTAGATTCAGTCTTGGCTGCAGCAGATCTAAATGAGTTGAAATTAAGCTAGTATATTAATAATGGTTTTTTATTGGCTACATGACTACTCTATAGGTATTGCTATTGACGGTGACACTGAAGGAAATGTAAGCTTATAACTGTTTATGCTCAACAAGTGACAATACACTGTCTTGTCATGCCTGGAAGAATGTGATATGATGAAGTTGTGCAGATACGAGTAGTATGGTCTTGTTTAACCTACTACTAGATTTGACTACCCATTCTTTCAAAGTGAATCTAGCAGTAGCATTTTTATATTGACTTTTGTACCAATTCGATGCACATGTAGGTTTTGCTATTTAAGCAGGTTGGCAAAGTGGCTGCTCTCCGTAAAAAGATTGAAGAACAAAAGGATCTTGACACAGACAAGATCTTTGTTGCCCATGCTGGTATGGCTCATACTCGCTGGGCTACTCATGGTGTACCTTCCGAAAAAAACTCGCATCCTCATCGCTCTGACCCAACCAACGAGTTCACTGTTGTGCATAATGGCATTATTACCAACTACAAGGAACTCCGCACTGTTCTTGAGAAATTTGGCTTTGTGTTCGAGTCGGACACCGATACCGAGTCTGTTGCCAAACTTGCCAAGTATATTTATGATACCCAGAAAAAAGTCATGGGCCCTGCTCTTACCTTTTACGGTTTGGTAAAGGCAGTGTGCAAGGAGCTTGAAGGTGCTTTTGCTCTAATCTTCAAAAGCACTCATTTTCCCAATGAAATGATTGCTGCTCGTCGTGGTTCTCCATTGTTGATTGGTGTCAAAACTGTCAAGAAGCTCAAGGTTGATTTTGTGGATGTAGATACCGAGGTTCCAGATCAAATTAGTGAGTATTGTTTATTGTGAAATGACTTGGTATCTTGTGCTAAACCAATAGCTTGTTTACCATGAATGATCCAAATAGATGATGACAGCCAGTTGCTCATGCCTGACCAACCCAAAATCCGTCGAACTCATTCTCGTGCTTTTCTTGGGGACGATGGTGTCGTGTGTCCAATTGAATTTATTCTTGCGTCGGATGCCTCGGCCATCATTGAGCATACTAAAAAAGTTTTGTATCTTGAGGATGACGATGTTGCCCATATTTGCGAAGGAGGTATGTGGAGTTTTTACACTGATTTGTCGTTGCATACCCTCAACTCTTGACATGTCCTAACCTAGTACGTTTGGTTTGAAATGTACTATAGATCTTCATATTCATCGTCTTCGCCGTGATGATCAAATGTCGTCTGTTCGCCCCATTCAAACTCTGGAACAAGAGCTTGCTCAGATCCAAAAGGTAATTTGTTTGGTTTATCTATTGGTGTTTGATTTCAACTGACGTTTTATTTATTTATACTTGCCTAATATCTATCCAGGGAACATTTTCTCATTTCATGCAAAAAGAAATTTACGATCAGCCAGAATCTGTCATCAACACCATGCGTGGTCGTGTCAACTTTGACGACTTCCGTGTTGTGTTGGGTGGTCTTCGGTCTCAACTGGCCAACATCCGTCGTTCTCGTCGTATTATTTTCTCAGCCTGTGGTACAAGCTTCCACTCGTGTCTTGCTGTAAAGTCCATCTTTGCAGAACTCACTGAGATGCCTATTGCTGTTGAGCTTTCTTCCTCTTTCCTTGATGAGCAGCTTCCTGTTTTCCGTGATGATGTTTGTATTTTTGTCTCCCAGTCTGGCGAGACCAAAGATACACTTCTTGCCCTACAGTACTGCAAGGAACGTGGTGCTCTTTGTGTCGGTGTGACCAATACAGTCGGCAGTACTCTTTCTCGTGAGACCCATTGTGGTGTACACATCAATGCTGGGTGAGTAGATTATATTTTTGCACATGGTCTTAATACAGGTAAAACAAAATAATGGGTTGACTAAATTTGCCATTATAATCATAATGCACCTAGACCAGAAATATGTGTTGCAAGTACCAAGGCGTACACATCGCAGTTTATTGCTCTTACCATGATTGCTCTTCAGCTTTCCGATGACAATTTCCAAAAGGTAGCTCGTCGTTCAGAGATTATTGAAGGTCTTTTCCGACTCTCTGGAGATCTTAAAAAGACTTTTGCTCTTGAACCTCAAATCAAGCAGCTTGCTTTGAAACTCAAGGATGCACGCAGTCTTATTCTTCTTGGTCGTGGATATCAATCTGCAACTTGCCTTGAAGGTGCACTCAAAATCAAAGAAGTTACATACATTCATGCCGAAGGTATTCTTGCTGGTGAGCTCAAGCACGGTCCTTTGGCACTCATTGAAGAGGCTATGCCCATTATTTTGCTCATGACCAAGGATCGCCATTACTCTGACTCGGAGAATGCTCTCAAGCAAGTGACTGCACGTGGCGGAAAGCCCATTATTATAGCGCACGACACTGACAAGACTTCACTATTTGATAATCTGGAGTCGTTGCGTGTCCCCGTCACAGTGGATGCTCTTCAACCCATTGTCAATGGACTCCCTCTGCAGCTTCTGGCGTACCACTTGGCTGTTGCTCGTGGTATTGACCCAGATTCGCCTCGTAACTTGGCCAAGTGTGTTACCACTGCTTGATATGAATGAAGTATCCATTTTCCATTTGTCTATTGACATAGATACCGAGTATTGAGAGTTGCGTCTGTCTCGACTAGCTTTGCTTGTGAATATCCACAAACCACGTGATAGGCTTGCCGTGGATTTGAAATGAAAAAATTGGCATTTTCTGCCATTGACAAATTCGAGCATTTTGATTCGTTGAGCTTCTGCTATCAGATCACTTGTCAGCTTCTAATCGAACATTCTATTGGCTGTGGTGGAGTGCTAATCACCTGGTGTTTCAAGGTACTGCTATCTATATACACATTGGTATTTTATCTACAGCATTATTGCTTGAATTCGCAGTCGTACATTGGTCCAAACTCCTGTTTTCCTCCTGTTGTCAATGTCATCACTCATCCATCTTGTGTGTATAGAATGAGCAGCAGTCATGGACAGCACTCCTCAAATGGGCAGCGAGTCCCACATAAACAGCAACCACACTATCAACAGGACCCGTTGCAAGGCTACTCCATATCACAATCTCAGTTGCCTTACAACTACACCCAAATGGTAACCCTAACCCATGTTATCACTGGATTTTGTTAAAAGCGAGGCTTGATAGTGTATTGATGAGCATTCATGTGCAATGGTCTAGGTACAAGGATTGAATGTCAATCCACAGATTATAGAGCACCTTGCAGGGCTTGGGTCCCAACCCATATTGGGAATCCAGGGAATGAGTGCACCGGCTTCGTTGGTGAATTCCGTCTCTGCTGCACCTGCAACTGTCTCGACTCCTGTTGTGGACACTCCATCTGCTCCGGAAGAGCCACTTTATGTGAATGCCAAGCAGTATCATCGTATTCTCAAGCGCCGGGATGCCCGGTCTAAATGGGAAATGGCACATGCTGCCAAACAAAAAGAAAAGGTTGTTTTATCCTACATAGGTTTAGGTTCATTCGTCAAATCGGACGTTGGATTGCCAATTTTTAATCACCTTGGGTTAATCGTAACATGTTTTGATTGTATTGATAGGGTTACATTCACGAATCTCGACATAAACATGCAATGCGTCGTCCTAGGGGACCTGGCGGTCGGTTTCTTTCAGCGCAGGAACTTGCTGCGTTGGAAGCAGTCCAAGGTGGAGTGATGGGTAATCCAAGTACTGAGGCGATCAATGCTGCTGTCGCTGCTGTTGCTGCTGCTACTGCTGCTGCAAAGTTGCGTCATTCCGTCGAATATCCATCCCACCCAAACTATCAAGACAATAGTAATCTGCATAAATAATCGTCTCATTTTTATCAACTTTTTTTTTGGTTCTACTTTATTAAAATGGCTAGAATATCGCATCTATAATCATCGTTTTTTAAAACCCCTTGATATGCTTTTCAATGACTGCTCACTACACAATCTAGTTTCAGCTGTTTTTCAAAAAACTTGACATATCATACAATCATTTCATTTGCCTGCACAACGCAATATTGTCACTATCCATTTTAAACTCTAGTTCACCGAATAGAAACATTTGAAACTATTTATTGAACAAGTATTGTAAAGAGAAATAAAAAAACCAAGGGCAGCAAGTGTTTGCTTATAAACATAATATACGGAAATAGTCTGGCTAAAACTAGAGCGTTGATCTAAATGTCGGATACGGATTGATAGATGAATGGGAACAAGACGTGCAGTTACAGGTTGAGTGAATCAAAGAGTGTCATGACTTTAGAGTAGGGATCTTCTGACTTGGAGGGTTCTAAAGGGTTTCGTTGAAAGGTATGCAGATCGGATCTTGGTGCGCGATGAGGTTTGGTTATGCCTTCCCAGTCACCAAGACCCACTTTGCTCTCAAAATGCTGTTGCGATCCTCTTCTTGCAGGATTTTTGGGTCCTACTGTGGGTTTGATACTCATTCTATTGACTGATAGGGGAGTAGTAGGTGCTGGAATCATGTACGTTTCTATTAGCGATGTATTTGCTGCAATAAGAGCAGCGTTGGTGTGTTTACGAGATGGAGTCAGGTTGTGAAGATGTGTTAGGGTATGATGTAGCACATTTGGAACAGTATGTGGTTTTGTTGCAGCTTTTGGGAATGGAACATGTTCCATGAGTGGAACGCGAGCAAGTTCAGGTCTTCGATCTTGAATAGGAACAAGAGCCATAGGTTTGGTTTGAATACCTTGGGATGCCTTAAGCAGGAATGTAATCCATCTTAGCAGCAGAGGGAGTGATTTAGTAGAAAGATGAACGACTAACATTTGGTGGCGAGAGACATAGGAGATGTGGAACGAGTAGGCTGCTTTGGCATGTATTCGTCCTGGACTGGGTGCAATATCAATAGCATTCAGATCGACACAAGTAAGTACCATCGGATACTAGAGCGTGGTAGAAAATAAGGCGTGAATATGCAGTCATGGTAAGATTAAATCTACACGTCAACTCAAGCATCAAACCAGCAAAACACTTTAAAAACTGACCTCTTTAGACGTAGTAATATACATGTATGATCCACGAACAATACACCATCGAAGCTCCCATACTCCATGATCTTCTATCATGACATGCATTTCTCCTTGAAAATCTGTATCACATAAATCCAGTATCGGCGAAGCATGCAATGGGAGACTAGTATATTGAGATCGAATTAGGCTTTCGGGTTGACTAAACAAGGTAGAGTTTCGTGGCATAGTCGATGCATGGTTGAATTGTGTACCATGGCCAACCAAAGGGTCTGCAAGAGGGTTAAAGCTTGATGACTGGATCTGGAAAGTTGTTGATAAACGTTTGGTTTGTAAAGGCTCCATAGCAGGTCCTGGTGAAGGTGCAGCTAGAGCATTGAATGGCAAAGTTGGAAGTGAACGACTCATAAACTCCAATTGTTCTGGTAACATGGTGACTGATGGAATGAACTCCTGATTGTTGGATTGTGTTTCTTGCAGCGCATCATTGACCAGCGCAAGTGATGGAGGTATGTGGGGTAGTGAACCAGGTGGTTTTTTAGACTGGGTTCGTGGAGGAATGACTACATTTGATACCGCCGGTACAGGAATGAACCGGCTGTGAGTTTTTGAAGCGTTTCGTTCTGAAAACAAGTGCATTGAAGCGGGTTTTCCCAGCATGACATCTTGGTGTGATTGCGCATCTGTCGCTGCAGAGTTTTCATTTAAACGCTCGTTATGCACAGCTGACCATTGAGCTTCATAAAACGAAGTTTGCACCATCGAATGACGGTACACTGCAAGCATATCCAGTGCTTCATCGAAATCAGAATGATCCGAAAATGCTGTAGATACAGCATCACTTGCATCATCGACATCTGTGTCTGATTCCAAACTAAACGTCATGGCTAAAAGTGCTTCAGCGCTTGCAGCACTTTCGTGACTTAGCGAGGAATCTAGAGTACTCACACCATCAGATCTGGGAAGAGAAAGATTGTTCCCCTCTTGATTACGATTTGCAAAAAAGAGAGCATTGTAATGAAGCGGCGGAGGGAAAATGAGATTTGTTGGAATCTCAAACAACACTGCACTCTAAATCGAATTATACAATGAATGGGAAGCGACATGAAATTAGACTGAATCAATTGTTGGTGTTTTGGTGATTTTAAAAGTGCGTACCTGAAATCCATTCACAATTGCACGGGCAACTGCATTTTGTTGAGCGACAGTTTGAATATTGTGCATAGCAGTTTCGAGCATTGACCCCGAGTAATCCAGTTGCTCCAAATAGAAAAGCGCAAGTGCCAGATTAAATAGAACTTCACAGATATGCAGGTCCCAAGGCACCATGAGTCCAGGAGTCGCAATAAAATTCAATGGCGGCTTAACATATCCAATGATTTTGGTCAAATCAACGACAGCTTCGGCAACTCGACCAAGTTTTAGATTGATAATACCTTTGTGGTAAAGCGCCAAGGGTGCCAATTCATCTGCTCGTGCAATCACTTGAGCAGTTATTTTAAGAGATTTGGTATAAAGCGATTGAGCTGAAAGTACAAAGGCTCGATTGAGTAGTAAAGTAGAACAGTCACCAGGTTGTTGCTAATGCATTGTGATTTCAAATGGCAATCGGTTAGATTCAAGTATTGGATTTAAAAATGCATGATTGATAGTATATACACATGTAAATGCAATAGTCAATATCATTAGACAAATTCATTACAGTGCCAAACAATAGCTCGATGAGTTGTGGCAGTGATGGTATATTAAAGCAGTTAATTTTAATTGGATACTACAGTCTAGATCAGACCAAAGGACTTGCATAGACAGGCCACTCTGATCAAATGATATGCAAGTAGAAAATTCCATCAATATCCTGTGACTGTAGTTCACTTGATTACTCGTATTTATAGACCACAGATGGTACTATTGGCTGATACCATCAGCTTTTGAACCGTCAAATTTTTTAGATACGAAACAAGATGTTAGAGTTTACCTGAAACAAGGAAAGAGCCATGTTATGTTTTCCCGATGTATAAGCAAACACTGCATCTTTCCAACACCTATCTGTCGAAGGATTGCCAGCCATTTTGAGTAGGATTGCTAAAAGTCGGTAATATCCAAGTTGAACGGCATTTGCATTTGAATGAAATTTAGTTGTTTACGGGTTTGTTCAGATTGTGGCGTGTTGCCAATTTGTTTAAATTAATCCACCAATCGCTCGTTGATCACACTCAAGACATGTGTTTTGCAACTGTCATCTGAACTGGCATTAGTTTGCCTGTTACATCTATTTGTGAAAATGAATGTGCTTCTGACTGGCACGGTATAGTTTCTGATTCCAAATTGGAATTCTAATAGTATTTTTATTTTTATTTCTTTAAATCGCGTTGATACTCTGTCCAAATATCCTCAATTGTAGCCAGAGCCGGAAGATCAAATACTTCCATAAACAAACTATTTTTCCATTTCCGGCTCTTTAAAAGCATATTTAGTTGGACAACCCGGCGCAGCTTGGTATCATTCTGTTGTTGGGTAAGCTGTCCATTCGAGTATTGCTGGCGTTTCAATAGCTGTGCATCATTCCAATCCAAAAAATATGCACAACGATCATATCCATCTTCCCAGCTGCCACCTCGACAACATCTCCAATGAGGCGGAGCAAGATTTGCATGTAGCCGAACATAGTCGGCAATGCCTTCAATCAACCAACTTGGAGCAGTATCAAACCCATTATACTGAATAACATGCACCAGCTCGTGCACCAACACTCCATTCAATTCCGATTGCAATTCTGTTAATTGATTATTGCGACCAGAGTACACGCTTGAAATATACTGCACAGAAATATGAATTTCTCTAGATTTGCCAGCATCGGCATGGATGGTATGGGCTACACCATCCATTTGGCGCAGAATCAGTCGCACTGTTTGAAACCATCGAGGTGCATGAGATGGATCAATATACAATAGCCGCAGAGCTATATCGAGACATTTGCGAAGCCATTCAATTGGATCTGGAACCGCACTGCGAAAAAGCCTTGCTTGTTGAGCATCTACAAGAACATGATGAGCCAGATGATAAGCGGGCCAGCCATCCTCATGATCTGGTACACAAACAGTGTGTATATGTGTTTGATTTATTTCCAATGTCAGAGAGTTCTGATATGCATTCCATGTGGTCTCGAGAGTTGATCCAACAAGTTGCTCCCAAGTCTTGTGTGACCATGGAAGAATCTGATTAGATTCAAGCTCATTGGTAGACCACATCTTGACTAGCTCATGCACCAGATTAGGTTTCTCATTGGTTTCAACCCAATCCAAAAAATACGCAGTGGTAGAATAGCCGTCTTCCCAACTGTTTCCCTCCATGCGATTCCAATGTGGTGGAGCAAGGCCTGCTTTAAGTCGAATGTAGTCGGCAATGCCAGATCCAAGCCAATCTGGCACTTGTGCTTCTGACAAAGGAGTCCATAGTTCAGCAACCAGAGCAAACACCATTAACCCTTCAAGCTCAGCCAAGGCTCGATCTTGTCCGTCATGTTCTTGTATTTCTTGCAGGAAACGCTGAGAAACTTGGATATGGAACGCAGGCTGGTCTGATGTAGAGTTAGTGGTTGCTGATTCTTTGGAAGCTACAACAAGACTGGCATCTTTGTCAATAGAGCATGTCACTCTGCCAACATACTGCTGATTGAGGAGTAAGGGTGAAAGACCTAATAAGCTCCGTATGGTTTCAATTAGAGGCCGGAGTCGAGCATTTCCATGAGCCTCCATCCTGAAATCAATACTAAAAGGTCGATTATAGAAAAGTGTCCAATTCAATCGTATTCGTGCAAAATGGAATACTTTATCTTGCAGTCACCGCTCTGAAATGAAGAATGAATATTCGGTATGCTTTCCTATTACAAATCGAGTGGATTAAACACTCCAATCAACACAACTCATTTTTGTTGTATTCTAACATCTCGGATACATTCTAGTTCAAGAACCTAATCTCGGGAATACAATGACATACCAATCACTCGATGCTTACTTGTAATGCCCAGCTGGAGATTTAACAAATGTGAGGTTTGTTGGGATAGTAATCAAGATTTGTCAGTTACACAACAACGAGCATACGGAAGATTAGTCAATTGTCAATAGACACAATATTGCTCATTAAACTCGGCCATTTCATAAAACTGTTTATTATGCGCAGACATTTATTCTTCCATTTGCGTAAATACGCAGTTGTAGTCATGCAGTCAATTGCTTGTTTTTCCAGATGGCTCAGCAATGAATGTGACAACTAGAGTTAGTGCCACCACACATTCCAAAACAATCGTTTGATGGCCTTCATTCCTATAAAATAATCATCTTGATCATCTATTACGCCCCATTATACTATTCATATACAGAATCATCGTAAACCATGCGCTTGAGCTCTATTTTCTACCTTCTTGGTCTTGCTTTAACAACTGTTTCGGCTGAAACAGCATGCACTGGAATTTACTGTGGATGCGAATTGGGATATTGCTGGAAAGCTAATTCTGCTGTTAACCCAACTTCATTCAGAGTGGATCGGTTTTGTGAACGCACAGAAGACTGTCTCAAGGGATGCGTTGATGGCTATTGTCAAGTAGCTGTAAGTTTTTTGGCTACCAATCTATTTGACTTTTCAAATACCATCGTTTTGATAAATTATACCAATCGTAATGCTAACCATGTCTTGATGGGTTTGTGTTTATTCTCTTCAACTTTGCATTTTGTAGGATTCCTCTCAAATCGGTCCTGTGATTACTGATATACAGTGTGCTCGAACCTCGGACTGCTACCATTACATTCCCACTGTTCAAATCAAACACTAGTATGTCAACATTTAAATAATGGAGTTGTTAAATGCCAATATGTCAACTGTTCAGACCGTTTTATGGAGATACAAACTACATTATCAAATATTTATGGAATTCTAACCCACAGTCCAAATAAACATTGATTCTTTGCAAGACACCCAGTTTCATCATTTTAAACATTTTGATAGCATTGGAAGATTGTTGTATCCTTTCAACTTAGATTCTCTGTAAAATTGCATGATTATTGTACGTTAGCGTACAGACTGTATAGGCAGAGCACCAAAGTTTCCCATCAGAACAAACTAAAAAGATTAATGTCCTGTATTGAGTCGAATCAAAAAACTGGTCATGCAAAAAAGCCAAAGTTGCCGTGGTATACAAAACACGGTCGATAGATGCTCATGTCATTCAAATCCACTGCCGATATTCGCAAAACATCAATAATCCAACTCTTTCAAAGCCTTGTTAAGCTTCAAAAGAAAACGTGTGGATTCGGTGATTACCAAAAAAAGACCAATACATTTCGAGTTTAAAATTATAGTCTTGTCTAGTAAATTGAGTGGGAACTGCGTCCATCATTTCACGTGACTGGCTGTTTATTATGCATTCTGCACTCTTATTTAGTGTTCCATTTTACGTGAATACAGAATCATACTATGCGATTCCAGAAAACCCTTTTAGTTGTTAGCGCTCTGTCTACTACCGTCTTTGCAGAAACAGCCTGCACTGGAATTTACTGTGGATGCGAGGAAGGATATTGCTGGAAAGCTAATTTGACCACGACTCCTGTGTCGTATCTCCAATATCGCTTTTGTGGAACTACAGAGCATTGTCTCAAAGGTTGCGTAAACCAAAAATGCCAAGTCATGGTATGTTAATCACTACACTCAATATACGTTTGTTGGTGTACCAACATCTTATTTTCCATTTGTAAAATGTCATGGGTGAAGGATTGCCTTTTTGTCGCGTTACCATGTTTATATCATTGTCAAATGGCAGTGCCTAGTAGGATCCAATAGTATCTAGTTTGATTTACATTCAATGTGTGTTGTGTAGGATGATATACATGTGATTCCGGTCGATACGGACATTTCATGCACTGTGAACGCTGACTGCTTTCACTACATCCCAACCGTGAAACCACCTCGTCAAAAGTGAGGTGGAGTAGATTCCATGGTATGTTTTGTTTGATATACACCATATGGCTTGCTTGGTATTAATACTGGTGTATTGTAGTTTTTGCTCAGATTATCGGTTACTATTGCAAGCAGTGATGATTGTAATCAGTTTTAGATTCAAGAATAAATATCGACATCTACTTTTAAGCCTTGTATTGATTTAATCAGTGAAAGTAGATCCTATTAAACTTTAAACCACAACCGAGTCAGTTACAACATTCTACTATATACCAAATAAGCTGGAAATGCCAGTTATTTTATTCAGAAAGCCATGTTTCAACAGGCTTGATAGGTTTGGCATAATCAGTCAACTCTAATCCAGTTTTAAACGCATCCAAGTTGGTGCTCTCGTCCAATACAATTGATCCTTTCAAAATAGCTTCGCCTTCTGGTCCAGTCTCCTGCCCGTTTTTTTGGCTGCGCATATGGATGGAAAGTTTGTGTCGAAGAGTCGAGTTTGGCGAGATATAACGCTTGAAAAATTCAATGACTTGTTCTTGAGTTGCATGCTGAATTTGTTCAGCATCGTGCAGATTCTGCTCAAAGTCGTAGTAAAGCGAGTTGATGTGGCTCCAGTATCGGCTGGATTCTTGTCCAATATTCTTTAGCTTTTCTAGCATTTTTGTCGTAAAAGCCGTTCGGTGTTTCTTGAAATCTTCTGGCTGCATGTCTGTAAGGATCGACTATTCATAATATACCATTAAACACGAGTAAGTAGGTTGAAAGGACTACAAGGCACATACGCTGATGGATGATTTAAAAACACCACCACTTTGCATACCTCAAATTTAGCCAAGAATGCTTCAATGCGATGCTCTAAATAAGCAGGATCCCTCTCACTTTGAACAACGACACGATACGACATCATTCCAGTTTGCTTACGCATGCCAGTGCCTACGAGATAACCTAGATAGTCGTACAGGTATTAATAACACAAAATTTGGCAAATACAAGTTGAAAATGCATGTGTGCTTTGACATATCATTCCACTTGCCTAGTTGCTCTTTGGTACGAAGTTGATCGAATGCTGGCTCTTGACCAATCTGAGAAATCAAACCTAGCATAATGCGTACTTTTTGATCAGTAATCGACCCAATCTGTAAAATATACTCGATTGCCGAATTCAGATTTTCGGCGTTGGGTACGTTGCGAGTATGAATAAACAATTTTCCTATTTCAAACAATCGACTACTGTTAGATTCACGCATCTACAATTGCAAGGTACAGGATCGACACACCTTCAGGAATTTTATAAGTTGGCATGCTCCAAAAACGCTGCGATTCTGGCAGTTCAGTAGGCGCTAATCGGTCAACTAATATTTTTCCAATATCAATTGCATGCTAGAATGTACGAAATAATAGGTAAATGGTTTGAAAAAATACGTTGGTTGGATTCATCCATTTCAAATACTGCCGAGTCAAATGTTACCTGCTTGGTGATGTTGCCGTGAGCCAGCTGCTGGATATGGATTTTCTGAAATAGACTGGGATAAAATGCCTGCACATCTCCGGATGTAAGAGGCTCGAGTGCTGCAAGTTTTTGTTCATTGGAAAACATGAATTGCTGGGTTATCTGAGTAATTCTGTAAATGGCATGTGTATGCGGTGACTCGCTATCGAAATTTCTATACGATTTTGCCAGCTATTATATAATGGTATCAAAGTAACACGTATCAGCATGGTGGATAGTGTAAGCAAGCCAGATACCAATGCAATGTTCAAACATCTTAATACGACTTGCCTGGTCTTTAATACGATCAAAGTGCTGTTCATCCACAACAAATTCTTTGAGTTTTCCAGCAATTTTGTCAAGCAGGATATGCATCTTGTCGTTATATCCATGGATGGAAAGAGTCATGCCACCAGCAGTGTTGTCAAAAAGATATTGCAACCCTGCAACCTCTGCATAGTATGAAAATTCATTGAGCTCATCTTTGAATAAATCAGTAAATAGCCTTGTGAGAACACATGATTTTGCATCTTGATAGGCAAGTGGTGTAGTAATGCCAAAAAAGATGTTCGCCTTGGGAACAAAAAAGGTGTCATCTTGCTTGTGCCATATGCGAAGAATTGGCGAATCCATAATAATCATAGGATGGGTGCTGGGGTTTTCAACAATCTTTTTCTCAACAGTAAAGTCTTCGGGAATAAAGGTGTTTTTTTCTGGAAGACTCAGCTCAGAGTTCAACTTGATGTTCAGAAGACGCTAGATTTTCAAGTTCAAAAACATTATGACCGTGTAAAAAGTATAAAAATAAACAAGCAAGAGTTGTGGTTGCATACCTTTTTGAGAGACTCGGTAAAGTCCTTGACAGAATACTTTGTTCCATAGTAATTGGCTTCAGTCCATCCAGTAGTGTCAAAATTTGGTGAAACAATCATAGTTCTGTAAAAATACTAGTTAAAAGTCAAGTTTTTAAGATAAACATACAACAACAAAGTATGTATTCACCTAAATGAATCTGGCTTCAAGAAACTCAAATCCGCCTTGATTGCATCGCGGTCAAGATACTCCAACAAGTAGCTACCAGAAATGACATCTTGAGGCTCGTAGAGTTGAAGGTTCTTGGCAAGAGTGCTAGCATACGCAAATGGAGAAGACTTTTCTTTGAATCTAAAGGCAATGGAGGTAACGGCTTGTGCCTGTAAACCAAAAAAATAAATATTATATATTAAAGTATAAAGCTTGACAACAACTCTCAAGTACTTACTTCGTGGAATATCCACTCTTCAATAGGAGTGCTTTTGATCAAAGCAATATACTGGAAAATGATTTCAATAATATCCTCGTAGTTTTCTAGCCCAAATGGAAAGATCATCAAATTCTATTAGCATCAATCCAGACACAATACATGCATTGATATTTGATATCATACCAAGCCCAGTTTCAGTCAGTTCAACAATTATTCTCATAAACTCAAACCCTCGAGCGCCCATACCGCTATTTCCAGCGGTAAGTCCATGAGCCCATCCTAAAATTACAACAAAATCAATATACAAGCGTGCACTCTAATATATTGAAACCCATCATCTTATAATTCTATACAAATACCTTTTTTCTTAAGGAGAGACAGAATTGAGCCATTGCTTTCATGGCCAATTAGATGGGATGCGTATTGCGATGGCTGTAATTTTATGGTTTAAAAGTAGATGAGTGTACGAAAAATGCCGACAAGCATGATATTTATCCCACTTACAGAGCACTTGTAAAGTTTCCTTGTGTCAGCACAGGGAAAGGTTAAAGTTAGTGTGCGAGTCTCCTTGACTGGCTTGACAAGAATTTCTTTTTGAAGTTCGGCTGCAGTAAGTGCATCATTGGAAAAAATTGGTACATCAATGGATTTGTTCTTGACATCCGAAAATTTGGAAGCTACCCATTCCACCAACGTCTCGATGGGTTCTAGTAAGCCAAACCAGAAACAGCGCACATGTGTATATAATGTCGTATTAGTATAAAAATAAATAGTAAACAGCTGAGAATCCGCTATAGCAAATCTTACCTTTTCCAACGACAGCCAGTTTCATAATATTTGCACTGTAATATTTATCATGAAATTCCAAAAGCACTTTTCGAAGATTCATTCCTTTACTGAGGGGAATATCCTTGAGTGTTTCCAAATTTCCTATGTGCATGATTTATAATCAGGTGATGGTTCATTACATCTTAGCAAGTCAATATATAATCACAGTGAAGCTTGATGGTTTAAATGCTGCGACAATCAGATCAATACCTGTCCCAAATTTAACAAAAGGATGCTTTGGATTACATAAATCTTTCTGGAGTTGGTAATTTCTCCAGGTATCAACTTGTATGTTCTTTTTATGTTCAGAATCAACAGCATTGAGTTCACGATCTGTGCCCGATTCAGAAAAAAGTGGACAGATGAAAAACTGTGCAAATCGGTCAAGAGCACCTTCCAGATTAGACGCAGAGACCTCAAAATGATAGTCTAGAATTAAGCCAGAGTTAGTGGCATGCACCAATGAGATCTGTCAAAACACATTCAGCAAGAGTCCAACAAAAATGATGCTCAGCAATTGCAGTAGTATCGTACTGGTATTTTCAGCACTGGTGAATGCATTTGATTGTCCGCCATGCTCAGATAGAAACTATCAAGAATATTCAAAGTAGAAACAAAAAGCGAAATTGTTGAGTGCAACAAGTTTAATCATTAGTGCAGCTAGTAAAACTACCTGAGAGTAATCGTTTTCTTGCGGATACTATATATTTTAAAAATGCTATTTTATCAGTATTTTGTTTTAGTAGCACAAACGAAGCCATGACTGCACGATATACATACTTTTTCAGTGCCCTGCAATTGAATTTTGGATTAAAAAGATTATATAAAGATGATAATTAGCACAAACCAAAAAACAGTTTAATACACGCCATCAAAGAAGAGTTGAACATGCAGCCTGCCAGACACTCAATTGAGTTGAAGTAACCCTGGCATAATAGAATAGTTTCTTGCTGGGTTCAAGTCAAGCAGATCATTCTATTGATGATCAAATAAATAGATGACACTAACCATAAATACTAATATAGAAATACATGAACAAGTAGGTTAGATATAACGAGCATGTCTGTAAATATCAATTGGCCTTTTGTTAGCCAAGCGAGCAGTTATTCAACTTACGTAAATGTTCACAGAAATGAGCCAGTCCAGCTACACCTTCAGGATCGCATAGATGTCCTACATGAACATCCATAGCAGCAGCAGCCTTGTCCGTAGAAGGGTCTGAAATAACAACAGCTTGTAATCCATTGGCAAGAGTGATGATTTGGTAATCTCTATTGTCCTCATCTGGTTTCAACACATTTCCTGAAAAGAAAGTCGGAGGTTTAAACGATGTCATTGAAGAAGCTATTTATAAGTATCAATGTGTTGTTTAAAAGAAATATTCCAGATTAACTAATATTGAGTTGAAGATCAATACAATGACTGCAGTACTATCGATTGGTTACAGTTGAAAAGCACTAGCGTGAAGTAAAGAAAATTCCACTCAAGAACACCAAAGTTGACCAGCGTGAAGTTCACTAGAAATACATTCATCGAGTAATCGACGGTGTTGCGCTGAACAGATTGTAATTTTCTATATTTTGATTACCTTGAACTGAGTTGGGTTTCCCCGCTTTCAGTGAGTAGTTTGCATGACTTTTACGGTGTATTTGACGCACTGCTGACAGCCAGTTACTGCTCGTAAAACTCCATCGATTGCATGTGTGGATTCTCTGTAAACTTGTAGATTTAAACTGCAAGTTTAGTACTGAACAAAACCACTGTTTTCTATATGTTTTGATCATAGTAAGAGTCATGGCATAGGCTTACTGCTTTCCATTGCTACGTATCATCCTCAGGGTTACTCTCGCATTCGAGTTTTGGTTTTGGAGTGTTTTCATGTCAAATCTACATGATGACCAACTGCCATTCTATTCTCGACATTCTTCGCTTGTTTGACAATTGCTGCTCAAAAACCCCCTCAAATATTGCTCTCATCGCTTCAACTCATTCAATCTCCGACACTACTGTCGAGATCACTTATGCACAACTAGATAGTCTTGTTGGTGTGTTGGTAACCCAGCTCAAAACAATCGGAGTCAAGCGTGGTACTTATGTTGGTACTGTCCTTGGGCGAGGATTGCCCATCATTGCATTGGTTTTGGCTTTATGGAGAATCAAGGCAGTTTTTGTTCCCTTGTCAAATCTCGCAATGGATCGACTATACATTTCAAAAACAATTGATTCAATACCCTCTTTAAAATATATCATTGGCATGCACAATCAGCTGCATGAAATCTGCTCTGGCAACAGTTTTTCAACAAGCAACATAAATATGAGTGATCAAATAGATTGCTTATCTGGATCTGAGCTTTGTGTCGCCATTGATACATCCAAGACCTGTGGTTAGTCTGTAGATACGACTGTTTGATTTAACCAACATCTAATCAATGGTGTACTAATATTCATTTTTGATCAAATATGCTCTACAATCCAAAAATGTTTTTAGATCAGGAATCAACATATAATGAGGCCGAGCTAGCTTATGTTATCCGAACTTCAGGAACTACACGAGGTGAAAAGGGTGGACTTCTTGTGCGGGTTCCCCGTAATACTCTATCTACAAATGTTCACGAAATAAGGTATATTTTATTTTCAAACCACTTTTAATCAATACTTTATTGAGCGTGAATTGACTGGATTTGTAATTTCATTCATTCAGTTTACGACTTCAACTCCAGCAAGAATCATCAATCAAAAGATTTATACTGATCTCTGCACCAACATTCGATCCATTTATGATTGAATTGCTTTTGCCACTTACCACTGGTAGCTCGTTAGTGATCGTGCCCGATGAATTCATACAAACTCCAAATCTACTGTACAACTATATCATACAAAATCGAGTCTCGTATTTTTTTGGAACTCCTTCACTTTTTCTTCGATTCAGCAGGCATCAGCAATTCAATCTTATTATGAGGCATACTACAGTTTCAAATATTATTTTAGGAGGCGAGTCTTTTCCAGCACAGCTATACGATCTTGTTCAAGACTGTAATACAAATCATGTTTCACTTTGGAATATTTATGGGACTACAGAATGCAGCGTGTGGACTTCTCTTACTCAAATCGATCTATATCAACCTGATCTTCTATCTTCAATACATTACGTCTTGGACTATACCGTGATGAAGTTGCAAGATGTTGAACCAGATATAGCTAACCCAACACAGGAGGATAAACAGTATGAAATATATCACGGTGGTTCAAACCGAATTTGCTTTGTTGGCGACGAGACCATTCCAAAAATGTATGTGATTTGAATCAATTCTTGATTGTAAACCACCAAATTTATTCAAGATTTTTTAAATAATCATTGCAGAATGCGGCCAACAGGCGATTTAGCCTTTCAAAATAAAAGCACTGGACAAATATCAATTATTGGACGTACTAATAGACAAGTCAAGCGTAGTGGATATCGTATCCATTTAGATTCTATTTCCCATACTATTCAAGCTGTATACGGGGTTTGTCGTTGCGAGTAAGTACTATTTGTCTATATACTATTGTCAGCATTGATATAAGTTGTTGTATGAGTTCAATTAAACTTGCTGATCATTTTAATAGAGTTGTTATGTTAAAGGACCCGACAGATGTGAACATGGGCATCAAATCCATTGTGGCATGTGTTAAAATAGACAAGAGTGAGTTGATAGGGTTGAGTTAAAATCAAGCAATGCACCAACTAATCTATATATTTTAAAAGCAAAAGTGGAGAAAGTGTTGACTCAAATTAAAGATCATGTATCAAGCAATCTCCCATTTTATGCTCGCCCCGATAAAATCTGCATTTTAGATGAGTACCCAGTCACAAATCACGGAAAGGTGAGTGAATTGATTCATTTTGACATGCGTGCTTGGATTAGATTGATCTTGGGTTTTGAATATTAAATGCATTTTATAAATACGACTAGATTGACTATCGGAGATTGGAAATATGTGCACAAGATTGCATTTCTCAAGATTCAAACATTCATAACATTGAATCTAATTTAGATCTCTGCACCATGGTTAGATCTGTACTTGAACATCACTTTTCATTCAAGAATCCAGATCAAAATGTAAAATCAAACACATATTTTCTTTCAGAAGGCGGGACTAGTCTTACGGCACTTTGTGCCTCAAAGGAACTAACCAATATTTCGGTTCATTTACAATCTAAAGAGTCAAGTTTGCAACAGTGGGTTTTCAATATTTTAATTTGGTAATTCCAGTATTGTACAATCTAACCAGATCATTTTGATAGAGATATACTTGGTATAATACTTCATGAGCAGCTGGATATAGCAGTGGTCAAAATTGCTGATTTACTTTCTCGCTCACCAAGTTTATACCCATCAAATTGTAAAAAAAGACCAAGAAGTTTAAGCCACAGTGACAATGGTTTAAACCAAAGCTTAATTAAAACACTAGACACGACTTGGGATCCTACAGCCACTTTGTGCTATTCTTGGGGTCGTGCATGTCAAATACCTTGTATTTCCCCCATGTATGAATTAGCTCAAATAACTTTGGATTGGACAGTAGATTTCAAAAAATGTATTGATGCATCGCCTCTTGTTGTATTTCTTGACAGCACAACGTCAAATAGGTAAGCCATAGTGCGGTATCATGCATCAATGACCACACGGCAGCAATTTTCCATATATGCAGTTTTATTAACCAATACCTTTTTATAAGCCACACACGTCTTGCAATTGTTGGGTCACATTCTGGAATGCTTGCTGCTGTCGATATAGATAGTGGTGTGGTGTTATGGAAACGCGACCTTCCTGATCGTATTGAAAGTTCGGCATGTTTGTGGACTGGTTCTGGTCATTTTTCAGATCCATTGCATAGTTTAGTTGTTGTCGGTAAGTTATAGTTTGTATTACAATATAGCTAAAATGAAAGATCAAGTTTTATATTTACCTGCAATGATTTGAAAATGATAGGCTGTAATAATGGTATGGTATACGGTGTAGCGATTATTGATGGACAAATTATAAAGCAGTTCAAGGCGGAAGAGCAAATCAAGTCATCACCCGTGGTTGATAGTGTTACTGGATTTATACTGGTCGGATCTCACGATCATCATATATATGCACTGGATTTTTCTAGTCATTCAGAGCAATCTGATTTGATAAAGTCTCATGCTAGATTAAAGTGGAAACTCAATCTTGGAGCTGCCGTATTTTCATCACCTACTATTGATACTGCCAATCAATGTGTTTATGCCTGTACATTACAAGGAAAAATGGCTCGAATTGGGATGGATGGACAATTGATTTGGCAAGTGTATCTGACCGATACGCATAAACCGATATTTTCATCACCTGCTCTTTCACTATGCGGTGATACGATTGTTGTTGGTTGCGTTGATGGATATGTATATGGAATAGCTTCGAATTCAAACCAAGTAAGTTTATCAATTCAACAGTATGGACGTTTCAATCTTGTGCAATGATCTGATTTGTTGTCAACAACGCATTAGATATGGCGAATCTACATGAATGGACCAGTATTTTCATCACCAAGTATTTTTCAAATTGAAAACAATTGTTTTGCATGTATTGGATCTCACGGAAACAAAGTAATCATTATAGATATGGCATTGGGTGAATGTATTTATTCGAATACTACCACTGCACCAATGTTTTCCAGTCCATCTGTCGTGGCATCTGGAATTAAAAACTGCATGCAAATAGCGATTTCATCTATAGATGGTCGTGTTAATATCTATGTTGTACAAAAAACTGATAGCGGTCTACTGGTTTCCAGACCCATTCAGATGGATTTACCTGGATCGCTGTTCTCAAGTCCAGTATGGACAAACTGTCATTCGTTACTGCAGGGATCCAGATCCAATCAATTCCATCATTTCAAAATTGAATTAAATTGAATACAAAATGTTATTCCATTTTATTACTGTTGAAATAAACACGATTTGGCGTTGATTCAATCCAAAGATTCGGGCTGAAACCACGTCGGCAAACAACTCGAATCTTTTCCCAACAAAAACAATGTCAACGCGGACGGAGCGTCAGGATAACAAGGCTCTTAATGACAAACATACCAAGATCCTCAAGGAGCTGATGATGCAGAGTGATAACAGAAAGTGTAGCGACTGTCGCAAACGAGGTGGGTTTAGTTCAAGCTGCATCACTGCATGGCTATGAATCATATTCTCCAGTAGCTGTTTGATGATTCGCTGCTGTTAATCATGTTATCGAATCCTGGTTAATACAAGAGAACATTGCCTTGACAATGGGTTAAAATGAACTGAATCAGCGACCATTCATAATACTGCTTATGGTCTTGCCATCTTATTTGGATTCAATGATGGATGCTTCTTGCGATTGGATAATGTACCAAGTGCCAGATGCTCTAAAAACTTGGAAAGCTTCCACGATTTTCAACAAGTAGAATCTGTATTGCTATTCAAGACCAGCAGCATCTGATATACTCCATGATTTCCTTCATTGTAGTGGATGACACTGTTGCTGGTTTCGTATTGCACTTGTGAATTAGACTACTCACTGTTGGTTTAATCTCGTTTACAACTAGATCCTCGCTGGGCTTCGTGGAATCTGGGCATCTTCTTTTGTATTCGCTGCAGTGGAATTCATCGATCTCTTGGTACTCATATCTCCAAGGGTATGTCAGAATTTTCATAATTTAAGCCATTGTCTACTTTAATTGAGGTCGATATACAATGATAGTGAATGCTTTACCAAATTCATTCGAGGTTGTGACTTTAATATCTTCACTTGCCTGATCTTTCACTTTAAATAGTCAAATCTGCTGATTTGGATACCTGGACACCAGAGCAGATCGAGGTAGGTTTATGAAATATTTATTTTAAACTTTAGATTTAATTGACGCAACACAATAACCCGCACACCAACAATTGTACCGAACCAATAGAACATGAAACGTTGGGGAAATGCCAAAGCCAAGTAAGATTGATTTCATGATTTGCGAATAGTTTGAAATATTGGATTTAACCTGTGACAATATAATTGATATGGATCTACTAGTCTGTACTGGGAACATGATTGGCCTCGTGATATGGAGCCTCCAGAGTCAAACATTGATCAGTTTATTCGTGCCAAGTATGAACGCAAGCAGTATTGCATGAAGGGGCCTATTCCCGATCCAGATACGCTGGGTGTTGGCAATACTCGCAAAGATGTTGCTGTTACTGTAAGTATCTAATTATTTATCAATATTTTTATATGATTGGTAGGTTTAATGCAGAGTGAATTTACCAGACATTTGTTTTATAATTTGAAAGAATGTCGTAAAGCCGAGCGAAACAGGATCTGCCAGTTTCGATCTACTCGGTACTGGATTTCCCTCAACCAATCAAAAACCTGCTCCGACTACGAGCTCTTCGTCAGCATCCCAGCAATTATTTGATGCGTTTCAATCTGCTCCTACTTCATCGAGTCAACAGCAGCAGCAGCAGGCTCAAACCTCGATGAAAAGCTCGATCCTGTCACTTTATGGAGCACCATCCCCTGTTCGAGCTGCTAATATGGCTACTTCTCCCATGCCATATTCATTCCCAGCTAATAGTGGCATGAGCGCACAGATGCCTGCTCAGATGCCTGCTCAACCAGCTTCCCAAAATTTTGCTAGCTTTGCTTCTATTCCATCTCAATCTATCCAACCATTGCATGCATCTCAATTACCATCTGGATCAGCATCTTTGTTTTCATCGAATATTTCAGCGGTTGCTCCACAACCCGCTACAATGAAAGTAGGCTTGGGATCTGGAATGAGTCCATTGACAAACCAGCCTACAATGACTCCGACCAATGCATTTGGTGATTTTTCCAACTTCTCTTCCTCGAATAGTGCTGCAGTTCCGCCAATGCAAACTTCGCGATCATCATTTTCCGATTTTGGTGGCTTTCAATCTGTACCTGCTATACAACGTATTGTCGATCTCCCGTCTAACCCAGTATCCACACACGCTGCACCACCAACGCAGAAATCAAGCGGTATCCCTGACTTTGCCGGATTCTCTATCCCATCAAATGGTAGCAGTGTACCCAATGCCAGTTTTTCTGTATCTAAACCCATTTTTGGAAACTCACCTCCTCCACGAGATACAACTCAGGATGAATGGTCTGCATTCCAATGAGGCAATTCTATTGCTCCATGTTTGTTTTGTTGGGCTTGAGCATCCATATCCAGCAATATTGAATGGCTTGTCGTTCACAAAATTAGCTAAAATAAAATTTTGGTTTGAAATCTACACACTTCAAATAATACTTTACAAAAAACGATTCAAAATGTGTTCATCTATTCATTGTTCAACTTTTTTAATTCGTAAATTCGTCCCATTGCAAGAGTTGTTTTTTGGTGTACTCATTTACTTTAAATTATCATGTTGATATGATCACATTTTTGATTACGATACCATTCCAGTCCTTGTTGTCGTTTATGTGTATCTGGCTGCGATGGATCATCGGACGACACACATTGATGGGCAGCTCGCAATACAAATGCTGATTGACACAACGTGCAACAGAATTCTATCTCAGTGACTTTAGTATTGTTTACTACCAGTGTTTTCAATGCAAAGACTAGTGTTATACATATGCAAGAGTCAGTAACGAGAACAGTCCAACATTGGACGATTTGAAATGAAAACCAAGACGCGTAGAAGATACGGATGGTTGTAGATAGCCAAAGCTGCAGAGTCGATATCATGTCAAACACAACCCTTTAGCAAACCCATTATTGGACAAGTCAATCATACCTATATTTTCGTCAATGCATGGGATGGTCGTTGCATCGCTTTCTTGGTTTTGGTTTTGAAGAGGTGGAGTACATTGTCGATTTCGTTTATGTGGAGAGTTGAGTGGTTGTATCTGGGACGGCTTGCCTAGTACTTCCCAAAACTGTCGTAATTCTGCTACATTGGGACTTAATTCCGCTACTTCAAATTCATCAGTGCTGGCTTTAAGCATTTGAGTTTGTTTTGGTTGGTTATCCCAATCTGTTTATACAGGAAAGTTTATAAAGACAAAATGAATGAGAACGGGATGAAAAATAGTCGTCTTTATTTCAACTCGATTTCATCATGTTTTTCAAAAGCATGAATTCTCCATTTGTAAAACTGCACAATTGGTTTAGGTTAGCCTACAGACTGTATAGATGAGATGTCAAAGCTCTCGTGTCAGAACAAATCCACCACCCAACTCGGCAAATAATCGTTGCTAGATCAAATAGGTGACATTTTACTGTATTGAATCAAAAGGAACAGCAGACTGGTTGTGTTGAGTCCGATTGTCGCCGCGGTACAGGAGATACGATTGATAAATGTTTATGCCATTCAAATTAGCAACCAATCTACCAATATGTGTAAAAGAGCATCACCAAGGGTTAGGGTTTCTGATAATGCTCATCTTTTCATTTTCATACCCATTGTCGCTACTGCGATGAAAGCATAAAAGTTTGAAATGCCAATGTTCGCGATTGTTGCAAGTTGGATGATCAGCTCGGATTTGACAATTATTCTTGGCTTATTGGAATCAAATACTTCATTATTCATGACGCATATCTTTAATACGAAACTCATAGTTTAGAAATTGCTAGGAGAAGTGGTTTCACAAAATAAAACAACTTTGGTGGATAAATTCGAATAACCCTGGTTTACTGCCAACGTCGCAGTAGCATTCAACCTTTTCGATTTTTTCATGTTCTCAGTGAGCACTTTGAGGACTAATGGCATGCAAGAAAAAAGCATTGCATGTAAAGATTAGTGAATATCAAGTCAATCATACAATTCATAGACTCAAAAATACACACCTTGATAAATCCAATTCTTGTCGCAATATACCAGTAAGAACCACCTCTGTGGTATATAAATCTACCCCAATCTCTCGCAATCGTTCACATTCGGAAATATCTTGCAAATCTGCAATAGCAATTGTACTACTAACAACTTCATCAATGTCTGTAACCAGCTGCAATGGATTCCAAAAAATAAGTTAGCATAAACGGAAAATGTGGTGATTTCGTGTATGTGTGGTTAGTGTCGAACTTACCGATCCACCAGCTGCATCCAAAATCTCACGAAGTTCGTCGTGTCCAGGCTTGACGCTTGATGTAGAAAAAACGTTTTTTCCAGAAAAAAGTTGATCATTGCCTCGTTTCCTAACAACAGCCAGCGTCTTTTTCAATGTAAACTTGTATAGTTTCTCCATTTTGATATCCTTCAAGATATACTTTGCCTCGCCTTGTCGTGGCCAAAACCATAATATAAGTCCAAATGCAAAACAGGAACAAAATTCAAAACTATATTTAACTACCTGCAAATTCTCCTTCCTTTTTGGATGCCTCGAGCCATTTCACGTCCATAATATGTTTTCCAGCAGAAACAGCACATAGAAATTTGACAGTGCGTCGAATACGGTCAGTCACCAAATGCGTGCATTCACTCCACGTACTCACGATCGTTCCTCCAAGAATATCCACAATCTGGAATATTACAGTTAAACAATGTTAGATTGATTGGCAAAACAACAGTCGTAAACAAGATATGTACCTCTCGACGCTCATCATTTTCTGGAATACCAGTAAACAGTACTCGAACCTGTTGCTCAGGACTCTTGTTTGAACAATCTCTCATCTCAGCACTATCATTCTATAGAATAACATATTTATAAGCAGTATCAATCCATGTTTTCTAAACAAGTTTCAAGTTAGTATAACTTACCATAGAAACAGGATCCAGTATAGAAGATAGTTTTGTTTGATCGTGTTTTGCCTTTTTAGTAGGCTTGAGTGGTTTTTCAACTTGATCCTTTGTAATGGTATCATCTACTGAAAGAGTGCCAGATGGCTCTTTTAACGATCGCTTGGAGTTTTTCCCCAAAGAATTGGATGAAACGATTGCTTCTTCGTCTAATAGCAACTTATTTTTGACAGGAGTCGTTAAAACGATGCTTAACGAAGATCGTTTTGAACACGGCGATACTTTGTGCACTATTTAAATTAGTGGATGATGATCCATTCAAATAAAATGTAGTGAGAAATATATAGTTCATGTACATGCTAAATCATGGTATAATATGCCAAGCTTACATGCAGATTTTCTTGTAGAACGACTTTTTTTGGAAGATGTAGTTGAAGGAGCTTCTGTATCAAAAAACTGACCCACATTGTCAATATCAACAATGGACTCGGAATCAGGCTGAAGCTTGATTGCTTTACGAGACTGCAAAGGTTTCTTGGGAAGTTCTTCTGGAAAAGCAAATAAATCAAGTTCATATTGATCCTCTACTTTACTGTCAGCTTGCACTTCCAATGGATTGGTTTCTACTTTAGATAAAGATCTCTGTTATCATGACACGATCAAGAAAAAATAGTTTAGGTTATCAGTATGAATTCAAATTAAAAGTGTTGATCCAAATGTATAATCAATATGGTTATACCTTGCTTCGTTGTGGACGACTATTGGTTACAGATGGCTTAGACGCATCAGATTTAGATACTGGCTCTATTTCAACTTCAGATACAGCTACGGCTACGGCTTTAGACTTTCTTCCCCTTTTGCTTTTCGCTTTAGTTACTGCAACGTTCCCCACATCCTCTGCTGGTTGTGGCAAAGACATTATATTTTCTTTTACGGTCTTGAACGTTTTTGAAGTACACGTGGCAGATTCCATCGTATCATTCAGTCCAGACACTGACGCAGTAGAATCCGTTTTAGTATGCGAAAGATTATTCGAAGCAACAGCAGGTTCTGATGTATTCAATGAACACGTATCTAAAACCAGTGGCGATGGATCTTGAATTTGAAGCGACACAACAGCTTCATGTGGAAATTGATCATGATCTCCCTGTTCCTCTGAAATATTGTGCAAAGCTCTCTGACCAAGCGTAAACTGTGTTTCTTCATCGATTAATGGTGGAGAAAGTATACTTGGTGATAGTGGCATTGAAGAAATACAAATGTCCTGAGATAAACTATACTCTTTTGATTCTTCCATTTCTGATTCTTCCATTTGAATTGGTTTGGTTCCATCAATGTAATGATTTTCAGTGTCTTGATGGACGGACATACAAATTTCTTCAGTAGTCTGTGACGAGCTGTGCTCGTCGTCTTCTTTGTTAATATGAAATTTAGATTCTGTAGCAGGAGATATGAGAAATGGATTCGAGTTGTTAAAAGACTGTGGATCATGTATCGAAGCAGTCTTTGCAATATTTGGATCGTTGGCTGGATCATAAAAAATGTCTTGACTTTTAGATATAAGATCGCTTGAGATGTGAGTATCTCCAAGCGGGATATCAGCCAAAGATGCATCGCTTTCAGACTGAACAACAGCGAGTTTTTCCTAATCAAAATCAAATTGCATTAGCAATACATTACATACACTTTCCAACACGCAGCTTACCATATCAGATTCATGAGCTATGGGGTTGAGTGAATAGTCAATGTGTTGCATACACTCTTTTGGGGCTACCATCTCGTAGCGGCATCGAAAAGGTCCAAAACTAATGATTTTGTTGTGTGCGAGCTGGTATAGTTTATTTGGAAACAAGCTATATTGAGTTATTCCAAGCGAAGTCCCGTTGGTGGAATCCAGATCTTGAACAAAGTGCTCTGCGCCATCCAATGATACCTCTATATTGATTGAATGTAACGATTTTATTACAATTAGTTTTCTAGTAAAGGATCAGCGTGAAATTGGCATCAAGTATGCACATTTCAAACGTTGAGATTGGTGTAAAATACATAATTTTACTAACCAATAACCGCATGCAATCCACTGACGCCGGGAGTATCAAGACAAATTGTGACTGATTCACGAGTTGCTCCAACAAGATTGATTCCAGTCTTGACAGGAATCAGCAGTTGGTTTTGCTGATCAAAAGACTGCTTTGAATCAATTTCATCCTCGTTAGGAATGCGTCGTAGATATGCAATCTATGCAGTAAAAACAATTGAATAATAGATTGAATCAAATATGTTCAGCTACATTGGCTCAATCTTGCGTCGATCTAATTATTTCAATGGTTGATTCATGTCAGGATGAATGAACAAGGAATTTACCGTTCGTTTTGCCGTGGAAGAAATGTCTGTCTTTATTCGTTCATGTACATATTCCTGTTTTTCTTGAAGCAGTAGCTTTTGTTTCTGTATCAGCGGTGACTGCTGCTGACCAATGCCGAGCATGTTTTTGTCAAGTTGCGGACAATCAGAATTTGTCCAGACACGCACATGGCATTTACCACGTGATCAGATCGATTGCGATCATTGAATTGATGTTGAAAGAATGGTCTGCAGTTCTTGATGAGTATGTGGCATTCGTTGGGTGTTCCACCTTCTGAGCTCCGTATCACCCGATCGCTTCTTTGTGGACAAGCGTTTCGATGGGTGAAACTGAGCGACAATATCTGGGCAGGTGTCATTCTTCAGAATCTAGTTTCACTTCTTCAAACAGGTCAAGTTGGATTGCAGCAGTTTTTGTTGGAATGAGTTTAGCTGACACTTTTCGATTTTAGATACCGATGTGCTGTTTCATTTTTACTCGGATACCATTTCACTCACTGAAGCCAGACTTATCCTATATGACTATTTTCAATTGGGTTCAAGTCTTGAATTGCTTTACAAGACCTGGCTTCTTGATTCAAACTTTGCCAAAAAAGTAACGGCTCAAAATCTAATTGGGTTGCGAGTTCTTCGTCAAGACCCAAGCGAGAATGTGTTTTCATTCATCTGCTCTTCGAATAACAATATTCCTCGTATTTCATCCATGATCAGATCGTTGTGTGCAGAGTATGGCACACGCATCGATTCCCTTCGAAATGACAAAGGAGAGCATATTGTGTTTTATACATTTCCAGAGATCAAGGCATTGGCCGGCGATGATGTTGAACAACGATTGAGACAACTTGGATTTGGGTATCGTGCCAAATTCATTGTTGGCAGCGCAAAGCTGATTCTTGAAAGAGGTGGATCAAAATGGTTGCACTCTCTTCGAGATATATCCTATCAAGCCGCGCATACTGAGTTGCTGAGCTTGCCTGGGGTTGGACCTAAAGTTTCAGATTGTATCTGTTTAATGAGGTATGTTTTGATGGGATTGTTGATTAAAGTACTTGATTTCTGTACTGATTGAATTCCTATCAATAGCTTGGATAAAATTGGAGCAATTCCTGTAGACACACATGTATGGCAGATTGCCCAACGAGATTACGGCATGGTTGGATCATCAGCAAAAACTATCACAAAGTCGCTGTATCTGCATATTGGCGAAGCATTTAGGGAAGTATTTGGAGAGTATGCTGGATGGGCACACACCGTTCTTTTTTGTGCAGATCTACGCAATTCTCTGCATTCATAAATATATAGCTCTTGGATGGCGAGCTTTCAGCTGTATTCTAGATCCAAATAATGGCCAGTCTTGATCACACATTTGATCCAAATAGTTTTCTGCCTTTATGTTTCAACATGTGTAAACTCAATTTGGGCTGCAACAATGTCTATCAAGGCAAAAGTTGGTAGACTATTTGAATCAAATTACAGCCGTATTCACGTAGAATGGAATACTATCTTGCAGTCATTGCTCTGGAATAAACAATGGTTGAATATGTTGTTTTTCTACTAGAAATTGACTTTATTCTCAATCCTTTGGCGTTTAGAATGGTTCAGATAAACCCATTCTTTATTACACTCGAACCATTTTCTGCATGATTTCAAAAATGCATCATATGCAACTCTAATCTTCATGCCGTTGTTGAATGAGTGATGGACCATATTTGATCAGACGGCTGTTTTATGGAATGGAATACTGTTTAGAACAACATACGTGTTTGAAAATGGTGCCTATCGTTGTTTAGAGTTTGTTTGCATAATCATCAGATTCATACATTGTAATCCAGACATTTGGATCTACTGTTATCAACAAAAGCCTAAACACATGTATCGTTGCCAATCTGTCCAACGCTCACAAGTGTTGGTTTCCATGGGTAGTATTGTTTTCAAGATCGTTGACATTGTGACCAAGACACTTGCAACATCTCATTATTCAAGTGTTGACCACAAGCAACTCGTAATCCATCAATGATGTGTTTTCATGGCAATATACTATAGAAAGTTTTGAAACAAAAGTAGATTCATACATGAAAGGATGTTTTGAATGCTAAAACCATCAAAAACTGTTTCTAAACGATGATTTGAAAGGACACAATGTTGCTCAGTAAGATTAACATTCATCAACATGAAACTGGCGGTTTATTTTGACTCTTATCTAGTGATCCATTATACATGAATACGGCTGTAATAAAGTGATGCTATAGTTCAACTCTATGTTGTAGTGTTATAGGTAAGCCCGCGTAGTATCCACCCCTTACTATGGCCGTTGTAGATGATGTTAGATGGAATTGTATGAGGTGGATATAAACTCTACGGCGCGTGTTTAGATTTCCACATTGCCACTAGCTTTTAAGGCAAACAGAATCGCAAAAATAAAACCTTGTTTTCTCAACCTCTTACTGCTGATAGTGTTGCATTACAATCGAATATTGAAACCATGACCAACGAAACAGCAATCAAGTCAAAGAAAGATCTCAAGAATAGCGCCAACTCTAGTGCGGCAACGACTCCAAAGGTATGCAAAAACAAGCCAACAATTGCAATTTTAATCATGATACTACCTAGAAAAAATACCCAGCATTTTTTACTAGCTGGAATGCTCAATGATTTGGTAGTTCAGAGTGCTCTATCCATATTTAAATCGATAGCTGAAACCACGCACACTTGGATTGATGCAAGAGATGGATTGAATGCATATTGCAGTAGGAACTGCAAAAGCTTGAGTGTGTTGGTGAATATTGCACACGCAGACTAACACTCGATTCACTCCAACAATCGACTGCAACCACTCGACTTTTTTGATCTGTTGAATCATTTATACTAGCAAAACCATCGTAGCTTTAATGGTAAACAAAAGGACGTGCAGCACAAAAAGCATGCAAAGGATCATCTGCAGCCCATGAGCAACAGCGACGAGGCTCGTCAAAGCCGTAAAGCCGATCGCAGCGTATCCCCTTCAAAGAGTGCAGACCCAAATGCCAGCATAGGTGTAGGAGATAAGCCACTGGAGCTGGAGAGAGACCAGCAGAAGCCCACGGGTAAGAATGGCTATTGGTTGTGGTGGAAGCACTACGCATCTATGGCAGGGCGAGTCCCTGCACACTTGGCAATGTGGCCCTTTCGCAAAGGACAGATCGTATTGAAGCATTCTTGAATCAATGTTTCAACCTAACCTATTTTTTGATTATATCATGGTTGCTCTAGACAAACGACAACCATCTTCATTTAAAGACACGAATGGTCGAAAAGCCGTAGCCAAGGAACAGCCTAAACAAGGTGAGGTATCATGAATAGGCTTGAAAAGGTTGATGAGCCAAAGGAAAGCCATTCATGGCAATCGCATATTGTGTTTGGTTCCTATCCATCAACAATTAAACTATAATATCGATGAATGTCCATCATTTAAAGATTCAACTACTATTATGAATAGACTCAACCAACTGCAGTAGGCATGGATTAGTCTTGTTCATACTTTGGACTGAATTAAGCTACTCTTTAATGTAATGTCTTGGTTAATCATGAATGTTTTTGACTTTAGACACAGCATCTACCACGACAACCAATGGTCATACCAGCAGTCATACCAGTGGTCATACCAAGACAGATAAAAGTTCTGGCCAAGAAGTGTCTGGCAGAAATGGAGAAAGCAAAAACACTAGTGCAGCAATCGCTCACTCCAAGTCGACACCACAAACCAAACCAATCGCTTTTAAGCGATTGCAGGTTGCGGATATGTTTAACCAGGGTTATGTATGTGAACATGATGCTATGCATCCTGACAACGAAGAGTATGAATGGATAAGGGCGTCGTTGATTCATCCAGAATACTTTCCTGCAGAAGGTTGGGCAATCACCATGCCTGTAACTCCAATTCCTATGCCTGTAACTCCAGTCCCGTCGACACAAACGAGTACCAAGTCCAATACCATCAAGGCTCCACTGTCTTATGCACAAGTGGCTACCAAAGCTGCAGCGATCCCCCAACCATCATCTCCTGCTCCTGTCAAAGCACAGACCAGATCTTCTGCTACCAAGTCTGCACCACATACTGTAACACCACGTACTGCTACCCCATCGTCATCCTCTACAGCTCCCATGAAGCCAACCGCTTCACCCAAATCATTGTCTGCAGAACATGCTGCATTGTATTCTGGATCGCGTTCATCTTCTAAATCAGCTGCAGAAAATGATGCCAAAAAACGCACATCGGAAGATGGTTATCTGTCACCAACCATGCTCGTATCTATAACAGTCGGATTACTTGCAGTGGGTGGATTCATTCTACTCAAGAGTCTCAGATTAAAGTAGTTTATTGCTTGAATGGCACGAGTTGGAATGCATTGACTGACAATTGATTGCTTCAACTCTCATTCTATTTTATCATTTTTTCAGTAATGAACATCAAACTTTGAAGTGGTCATTTCAAACCCTATTTTTAATTTATTCTTGAAATATTGAGAATAAAACCATAACTGTCGATAAGCTGCATTCTAGCTCAGAATGTCATTTTAGTGTCTTACAGTTTCGACTTGGGTGAACCAAACCCTTCAATAAACCCAAGCTTCTCTGACTGCAAGTGTGTCGAGGTTGTAATATACATTTGAGTCTTTAGATATGTATACACATCGCCAGCAAGTGCTTTGGAACTCCATTTCCGAGCAAGATCTTTTGCAACTGCGACTGTCTCCCGTGAGGATGGAGCTACCAGATCCACCATCTGATTCTTTAAAGCATCGTCTGCAGAAAATCGATGGGCTTGAAGAAGAATGTTTCTTAATGTAACTGCATTGGGAACTTTTGTAGCAATGATGGATGTCATGCCAGGAGAGAGCGGACCTGGCATATCCACTTCGTTCATACATAGAAATCCACGATCAGATCTCATCACTCGGTAATCATGCGCCAACGCAAACATCTGAAACTCTGTTAGATGCACAACTATCAAGCATTTCTTATTCTAACATTCAATACTTACCAATCCTCCAGCAAATGCATGTCCAGTAATAGCTACTCAGCAATCAATCCATAAGCCAATATAAACTTGGTGTTTAGATTACAAATTAAGCTGAACAGATCGACTACAAAAATGAATTAAAACATACCAGCGACAGTCGGGAGTTTAAATGTGAGCAGCTTATTCAGCAAACGCTCATACTGGTAAAAATATTGATATCCAACCTTCATAGCAATGTCCAGTCTCAACCCATTACTGTATATCTTATCATGCATCGCTAAATCAACAAGGAATCAAGATGTCAGAATCACTCGACCAATGATGCTCAAATTCACCACTAAACAACAGAGTTTTCATTGCACATACAGTAAGTAACAAGTGCTCCTGGCTCTTTATCAGGATGGGTTGCAATAATATAATCCAACACGGCATCAATTGCAGTCATAAACGGAATGTCAAATCGGTTCTCCTTGTTATGCATAGCAAGAACATAAATATTGCCATCTTCCACTGTTAGCGTAAGAGTTTGGTTAGAAACCTGTGCAATGGTTGTAGCAGATGTCATGAGTAGATTGATACGGTTCAAAATGGTTTTGAAAAGTTTCCTTCAAAGAATTTGGATTTGTAGATTCTTCAACTTGTCATTGGGATCTTCCAGTGTCTAGATACTCAGACCTGCTATTTGATTCCAGGATTTGAAATACGCTATGCAAAGAATATCAACTACTGAAAATGCGCAGATATTGAATCTGTGGGTGCATGATGAACGATACTCTCATCTTGATGTGGTCATCAATCCAATCTGGTTTCCTGGTGTCCAGCTGGGCGACCTGTTTGAGATTTATCCAGCTGAGCAGACATCTGGTACTACACAACCATCTTCCAATGTTTCTGGTAGTTCAAACACTCGTAACAAGAGTTTAGAAGGATTAGGTACTTCACAACTAGCTCAGAAATACACCGATTCTAACGTATCTTCAGAAACTTCATTTCCACAAAGCAATAACTTGGAATTTCAGGATATATTACTCAAAGCAAGATCTTGAATATATATTTTCAAATTTATTTTGACTGGGTTTGTATAGCAAACATTAACTGGTTTTTATTTTGATATGTAGAATCGATTGATTCTGCAAGTCAGTGCGATTGATCAGGAATTGGTTGCCAAACAACCACAACTACAGGAAAGTGCTTGAACAAAAGATCTCAAAAACACTGCAATGTATTTCCCATATCAGCAATACTATTTTCAGCTAGATTTGATTTATTCTAATACGCTTGTAAATGCACTTTGTAGATTTCAGTTGCACAACACATTGCAACATTATTTGAATTAAATGCAAGAACAAATGTTGTTGCTCGCAAGGTAAACAATCACTCACTGGTTTCAAGACAATGACTATTGCTTGAATTATTTTAACAAAAATGCACTTTATGGTTGTGGATTGTTTGATTTCAGGTAGACAAGGAATCAGTCACAGCATCGTTTGTAGAAGTCACTTTTCGTGATCAGTATATTGGACGAACTGACATGTGGCGGCTCAAGATGTCTTTGACTGGAACTGCATTGTATTATGGAAAACAGGTGTTGACACTTGGCATCAGAGGACAGGTCAAAGATATCATCATCAATGGTGGATCGGTAAGATCTATATACATGCAGACTACACTACTCCAACAACAGTCTCACACTCAATCTCGATAAATTCTACTGCTCATAATTTCATCATTCTAGGCAAAATGTTGCTATGTTAGCGACTCCACAAAAACAATTTTTAGATCGGAAACAGCCAAATACTTTATATTTATTCAAATGAGCAGAGAAATGTGGGAATTTGACGAAGACGGCGAATTGTATTTTGAAAAGTGTGTTCATGGCTTTTTACCAGAACTTTTTGCTCGGTGGAAAGAAATAGGTGCCAACCATGTCGTGTCAATTGTATTGTTTGCTCGTATTCATCAAGTAGACATTGCAGCGTTTGATTTGAAGTCAAAGGAGCAGTCTGTGCCAATTTACTATAGCGCCGATGGTCAACCATGCCGCGATTACTACCGTGTGGTGGTTGATCGGGAAACTTATACAGATTGGTCTCAACTGCTTATACCGCTGAAAAAAGAGTTTGTCCGGTTTCAAAGAGATGTACTTGAACAAAAAGATGCTTCTGGTACTACAATGTTTTCAGGCACAAATTCCTTGGCATCAGAAGGCAATATTCTCGAGGCAATCAATCTAGCACTAAATCCATTTGACAAACATTACGTGGATCGCGATCTTATGCGAACTGGTCTCTCAATTGTTGTTGTCACACCTGGAACAGGGTACTTTGAGGTAGACAAGCGGTTGTGTCGCCTTACTTGGCAGCGTATGGTGGATAATGGCATTGGGTTAGATTTGGTGTGTCTTGCAAAGCCTCCATTATATACCGTACCACTGTTTCAATTTGCGTCATATGAGGCTGTCTCGAGTGTAAATCCTAGCAATCACTTGACACCCATGACAGCAGCTTGCCCCTCACGAGTTTCACCTTCTTCGTTTGTCGGAAGTCGAAATAGTCATACAGCGAATCCAAATGATCTTGACACTGATCAGCGATCTATACACACAAGCGGCAGTGCAGCTCGATCCGACCGGTTTAATTCCGAGCCTGCCTATTTTGGCAGATCGTGTGGTTCTGAACGTAAACCAGAAGTATGGGATCCTCTCTACAGTGATGAAGATTCGATTCTTGGGGGTCGGCTTGGATCATTTTATACGGTTCCAAATTGGGTAGATTGCAGTTTTTGGAATAGAAGCAAACCTAAACAAACGAGTTTGTTACGATCTGGCGACGCATCATTTGTGTCACGATGCAGAATGTATGAAGTGCAAATGATGGGATTCGTTGAGCAAGTCGAAACCAAAATCAACGTTCCATATCTAGATCAACATTTTGATGGACTTGCCATTCACCAAAATGGCGACATGAATAGCCCCAAGGATGTCGGGATATCCATTTCTACATTAGAATCTTTTGATTTTGCACAATATGATGCTGGTTTGTTTGTTGAGCACCATGATGCCGCTAATTCTGCAATGACCACTCCAACCTCAACTCAAACCCAACCGCAGCAGAACCAGCATCGTTCAAATTTTCCAACTAATTCTCAAAATGCATCGCTATTTTCGTTTACGGATATGCGATCGCAACAAGGCCTGAGAAGTCGACTCAGTCCAGACCCCAATGGTGATTTTAGTCAATCTGGTTCTCGTAATATTAATATTGAAACTGCACATGAAACGGGCGTGGGAAATGGCACAGATGCTCTGTACGATTCTAGACATCAACCTCACTCTGGCTCGATGGTTCAACGCATGAGTTTGACACGAAATTCAAGAGCAACAACTTCTTTGGCACCGATGACGCCCATACATTTTTCACATGGTCCATCATCTCGTTTGGAGTCGAGGGATCGTACAATGAGATTGTCTGGTAGTCTTAAAGATCGTGAATATGGTCGCAATTTTGATAAGCATATGCTAGAGCGGGTTAATCGAGGCGGAAATCGAGAATCTAATCATGCTATACCGGAATTTACACACTTGTCAATAGTAGATCTTCAACCCATTCAAATTCGTCCACATAATCAGTTAGGCCATGCAAATTACACTGGAACGAGTGCTACAGGAGATAAGACTATGGGTTATGTAAGTGGTGCCCGGAGTAGTTATTCTGGATCTGGATCCTACAAAGAGATCAATTCGCCCGTGTTTGACAACAGTAAACACTTTTCCAAGATATCTCCTGGTAGAAGCATTCATTTTACCAATCGACAAACTATGCGGCAAAACTATGTGAATCCATGCAATCCAATCAAAAATGTGATTCGTGCAAGTAGCCAAGCAAGGCGGTGGGAGCATATTTTCCCCAAATCAGTAATGAAAGCCAGAGATGTTGCTTGGACTAATTGGAAGCCATTGTGCAGACCAGCGTGTATGCCTCTCACGACAGAGTTTTTCCCATCTCCAGATGAGATATTGGAGTTGTATCAAGAGTACACATATACTGTCTTGCCTGCTGAGGATATCAACTTTCATTCAAGCACTGATGAGCAGCAAAACAAAAAAGTGGAAAATTTACTGATTGAGCTGATTAGTCAACGGTTAGCGCAGGGGTTTCAACTGGTTGTATCTACAGTTCAAGATGGGCCACAAAAATTTCCTGGCACTCCTGCACCAGCATCCCGTGTAGGTGCTGTCAATGGTAACTTTTACTTATTTTTAAATTAAAGCTTTGATAAGCAATACTAATCTACTATTTTTGGTTTTGATTTGCAAACGGTTAGCCTTGACCAATGCTCAAATGACTGGAGGACCTCGATCTCGAGCAAGCTGGTCGCCACATAGATCTGCAACTTCATCGTATCAACACGTATACCAGCCTACGTTTACATTTTCAACCACCACGCCATACTATGTCAGTCTTGGCGATCATGTTCACCGTCTATTTTATGATGCATTGGGAAATAATGTTGAGATCAAGCGATATATTCGAAAGATTGGATACAATACCGAAGGTATTACCTATCCCTGTGCCATTTGGTCCAAGCATCGGTCAGGATATGAACTCAGAACTGCTAGTTTCACGTATCCTTCTCTTGCAACGTATAATTGGAATTATCTTGATCACTTGGTTGCCGGATATCAGGAAAAAATGACTGATGCACTTCGATACTGGCGAACGCGGTTTCTACTGATTCCTACCGAAACACTTGTGACGTCGAGTATTTTAATGAGCGCAAATAATGATACACTCGATGAAGAGGAAGTACGAATTGCAGCATTCAATAAATTTATTGATGCTTTGGAAAAAGTACGATGGGTTCCACCTTCCGAAACTGTATCAAATGGCAAGACAACACGGAGTATTCAAGTTCAACACACTTCATTTGATGCCTCTGCATTTGTCAAGAGCGAGCTTTCTCGAGCAGGCGATACTGTATTGACAGATGTGGCATCCAACCGCCGCCGGACTTCAGTCTCTGCACTGTCATCTTTCATGTCCATGACGTCCATACCCATATCGTTGACAGAGCGTCTCAACAGATCATGCTCGCTTTCAGAGATTGCTATAGCAATGCAGCAATCAAATGGACCTTCGTTTAAAGATAGACGCTGGCATTTTACTCGTTTTGAACGAGTGTGTGTTGGTAGCGAGTTTGTAGATTGGCTTGTGCGGTGTTTTCTCGATATCAATACCCGCGACGAAGCGGTTCAGTTTGGCAACTATCTTCTTGAAAACGGTGTCATCCAGCACGCGTATCGAAAGCACAAGTTTATGGATGGATTTTACTTTTACAATGTTGGAAAGGGTTTTGATAACGAAGCATTGCATGAAAAGATACTAAGCCAATCAGGATGGTTTGGAACCGGCAAAGGCAATGTAGCAGTCGCCAAAACATCAAGTATAGACTTGAGTGGTGGACTGCCTACCATTGAATCTATTGCTGCTTCATCACTCTCATCTATACAAGCTGGATCGGTGCTGGCCCAACAGCAATCCATTTTGGTCTCACCCTTGGTAAGTCATGCATCAATACCCTCACCCGCTCCACCAGATCAGTTTTGTATATCCAGACAGATCAATATAGATATGGACCCGCAACGTAAATCTACTCGCCAGGAACGGGCAGTTCTTCACTATGACACGACGCATAATCCCAAAAACTGCTACCATATTCAGCTGCACTGGCTCGTATGTACACCCAGACTTATTGAGGACATGCTGCGCAGTTGGGGACGCATTGCCGAAAAATGCTCTCTAAAATTGGTAGAGGCACCCATGGAACAGGTACTTTTTCAATCCACACTATGCGTTTTATCAACCCTAAATACCAATGTTTAATCTGTATAATGCAACTGTTCCAACCGATGCCTTGATGTGACTAAAACTTGCTTTTAATTTTCCAAATCAATCAGCCGCAAATGTTTTCAGACGATAATCCTTTCCAGTCAGTCATATTAGTACCATTATCGTTAATGCCGCCTAAACTTTCTGAAGTGATATCCCGACTTGGATTAGATATAGATGTTCCTCCCATGTGGTTTGAGGCTGAGCTAGTTCGTAGTCAAAATTTTGTGCTTGATATTGAATCTGATTTGCTTTTCCCAAAAGACAAGATACTTTGCTCGTTTACTCCATTGCCTTATCTCCGAACACAATACGTTCATCGCAGTGGTGTAGCACTAGTACAACTCTGTGAAGAAGGCAAATTTATGTGGGCGGAAAATCGAGTGTTTCTTGCAGGAAACAGCAACACGAGCGGAAGTGGTGCAACCAGTCGAAATAGTCCAGATGCATTACTGGCAGAGTTTTGTCGGATATGTCAGGATATCGAGTTTTTAAAAAGTTTCTGGATCGAAGCAGAAAAACGACTGCAATCACTCTCCCAACCAGGAGAAACGGTATCTTGTATAAAAGATTGATTCTATTCAATGAATGTATTCACGTAAAATGAAATACTTTCTGTATTTATCTTGCAATAACTCTATTTTGCTTTGAAGTAGGCAATGGTTACATGTTTGTTGTTTTACTACTAGATACTGATGATTTTTATAGAGACTTTGTTGTATTCTAACATCAGATACGTTTGCGCTCTAGTTCAAAAAGCAACGATCGCACGCTTCAGGAATGCAACTTTACATGCCAGTCACCCAATGTTTGAAGGAAAGGAAAGTTGGAGATTGAACCAATGTCAAGAATGTGGAATATACTGGAACAGAAATGTAAGCATTCGCTCAGTATTTCTGTACAAGAATGAGCATCAAAACCAGTCAATTAAAGAGTTCAAAGGACACGTTATTGTCTAGTAAGATTGATACCAAATATGAGACTGTTTATCATATAGTTTGACTTTGGTAGTTCATTTTACGTGAATACGGCTGTAATGAATGTATGGGCGATTGTTGAGCGTCTTGACCAACAAAATATTGTCAATCTCGATTCAGTCATTTGCGAATAAAACAGTATTACTATTCTAGCATTTGAATTCATATGCCTAAAGATACGCATCGCCATCAGTCGCCATCTACAGGATCAACATGGCCATTGGGAAACAAAAAGAAATCCAATTCACTGAATACCGATCGTTTAAAACCAAACGCTATACAAACGACTGTATCTAAAGCATCAATCGTTGATAAACCAAATGCTCCAGTGCCTGTGCGAACGGTTGCTCACATTGAAGGAAACTGGGCAACGTATATATACATACCAAGTATGTGAATGGCTTGTCTTGAATATCTAGTCTAGACTCATTATGAATTGATACCATCCAGTTGAATTACAGGAAGACTTGCAAGCTGAATTAAAAGATTGGATCAAGCAAGCAACAACCCAGTTTCCATCCTGGCATTCTCATATCCAATTAGATTCCAATGACTCTCTTGGATTGCATGTCAGTCTTTGTCAAACAGCATATTTAAAAGTATTTCAAATTGATCGATTTATGGCTCTGCTAGAACAACAGATTGGATTACAGTCTAGGTATTTACTTGTGTACACTCTGATCGAGTACTGCCGTCACTGAGTTTTAGATCTAAACTCTTCATGTTTAGATTCACAGTGTCGTTTAATGGTGTTTCAAGCTATGTGAATGACGAGCAAACTCGTAGTTTCGTTGGCATGGACATTGGACATGGGCATGAGGAAGTAAGTCGAACTATTATTAAAAACTCAACTTGCAAAAACACTCGACTAATATTATACTATCATGACTACAATTGCATGTTATACAAGCTACTTGAGTTGGTTCAATGCGTAGATCTGGCGCTGACAGCATTCCATCAACCGCCATTCTACAAGGTATTGAATGATATTTCTGTGAAATGTGTCATGTAATGGTTTGGATTAGTTTTTGAGCTTAAGCTTGTTTTGGCAAGTAATTTCAAAAACTGATAGCAACTGTTTTGATGTTTTTTTGGAAACTGTAGAATCCTCGATTTCATGCGTCAATAGTTTGGAGTCCAACAACTCGTGCATCTTCATTTGATAATCCGATCGAGTCTATCCCCGATTCACTGCGTGACATTCCAAAAAAACTACACAACACCTTATTTCTAGTCCGTTCAGTTGTTTGTAAATCCGGAAATAAATTGAAGCAGTTTGATTTATAAATATCCAGCCTTGTGCATTTCAAAAACACAAGTTTTGTACTTGTGTAGCCATTGCTTGGAGTGAATTTGTCTAGCGTCACGTTTTGCATTTCATATTGTTCAGCTAATATTTACAAAGTTTTCCTTATCCAGAGCAATTAGAGGTCGCGCTACTGTAATTCTCTCACTAAAACCATAGAGCAAGGTGAAGGCAACATCAGGAGTCCTGGCGCTTCCTTTACTATTGCTATACATCTTGTCAGCTTAGAATAATTATCTAAATAGTTTCGAGTAGAGTTCTTGCAAAGACATTGACTGTTTTTGTCCCAAGGGTTAAAATTTGAATTGGCAAGGCTGTATACAAGCACTGGAGAGCAGGACTTGAATCCAACGCCAACTTGTCATTTGTCCAATTTGGAAATTAAGCCTGGACCCTCCTACCTATTGTTAGTCATAGTTTGTATTGCTCTTTGCTTTATACATGCTTTTCTATACTTTATTGTCGAGTTGATGTGACCTGCTCGAATATCTTTGGCTAATCTTACTCATCTGTTGTCATTCAACCATAAATGTCGGTCAGACGCGTCCGTAAAACATCAATCGCGACCATAGACGGTCATAGATTTGGGCGTTTCTACGTGCCTGCTTTGCAGGCTCGGCCAGAAATCACTGCAATGAAAAAAACAACTTTTCAATTTCAAAGTATGTCGTACATTGATTCTAAAAGACTGTATTCGCCTAAACAAACAGTATATGTGCCGGACTGTACCAAATTACCTCATGCCAGAATGTAATGTTCTAGATGGTTTAGGCGTTTGGATTCATTCGACTATTCACCGTGACTAAATAGTCCAGGTGTTTAATACAAAAATGCATCTTTTGGAAGCAAAAGTACATTATTTCAAAATAACCATTTTCCCAGTCTATGTATCTTCAGTCCTAGTTTCTACACCCCACTAACTTGTTTTTAAATGGCTGTATATTCAGGCGAGAGCGGGTTTGGTGGATCAGATGTCATCAAATCACACACAGCAGCACCACGTAGTAATACAACCACACTCTCCTCTATTATAGCTACCAACAGAGCCATGCTACGACCTACTTATCTGACCTTTAAACAACCCGACTTGGAAATGGAATTTGGACGCTACTTTGTTAAATATAATCTTATTAGATGGCAACGCACTCAGCACGCTCTCTTTGCGATTTTGACCTTGCTGTACCTGTACTTTTTTATTCAAAATACTTTTGATTCGGCCTATTGGACTGCCAATTACTCACCTAGTGTCAAGGGCTCTATTACGCCTGATATTATCGCATTGTTTTGTCCTGCTGGATGGTACTGGTAAGTTTATCAATTTACATTTAAAAGTCGGCAATGTACGACTGCTCTTGGGCGGACACATTACATTTTTTAAACTTTTGTTTTTTGGTATACAATTGAAATTCTTGCATTGACTATTGAATAGTTTTACATGCAACCCAGACATGATATGCTCTTCGTATATTCTTGGATTTGATATCGCATTTTGGGCTGTAACAGTTTTGGTTCCTTATGTAATTGGAATCGTTGTATCCAACTTCTTTACCAGTACTTATTTCACAGAGTACAACGATATGATTTCAACCGTGAGCCTATCATTCATGACACTTGTTGGCGTTGGTATTCGCTACTATATAATTGAATACGGTGTCTCCTTTATGCAACCGACACTCATCATGAACATGATTCTTCTTCTTGGGTTTTACACGCTTCGTATCCGTTTCATCTATGCAGTCATATCAATCTGGTGGATTATATTTCTTTGGATTATAATCAATATTCCTCAGCTTTTTTTGCACAAGGACGTTTTGCATGCTACGGGAAGATCGTACGGTATTGCCATGGCATGTTTAGTTATAACCGGATTGATCATCACGCTTGTATCCTACGAAACAGAATATTTTCATCGGATGCAGTTTCTCATGTCCAAAGAGATGAAGAAAAACAATGCAAAATTAACCAATCAGTTGAAATTGCTTGCCAAGTCATATAATAAAAAGGCTGGTAGTCTAGACTCTCCACTTGAACGCAGTGTTATGGTGATTCGATCCGTTATGGCCGATCCTGTGCTGAGCTCACAACATTTGATGGCTTTGGGCCAAGTTTTGGCGCTACTGAGTTCGTCAAATTTACTGACACCTGATCTTGAAGGAACTATTGGCGATTCGTTGGACAACGAACAAGAGGTATGAGTTGACTAAAACATGTTGGGCTAGTATCAATTATGCCTGATTGATGAACATGTAGATACTGACATTTGATTTGAAACTAGGCCTGGTTGTTTTCAGAAATTGCTGCGCGACGACGACGTGGTCGTGCCAAGTCCGAAGCAAGAGGAAAGGTATCACTGGCAGCAGAGATTTCAAACAAAGCCGAAGTACCCATTATAGAGCAACTATCCTTGCCTAAAAACATTGCAGAAGAAACAGAGCCATCCATTCAAGTTGGAATGATGAGATTTGAAGAAAAGTTACCCACCAAGATTGAATTGGTTGAAGATCTCGGTGCAGCCTATCCACCCATTATTGAAGGCATTGCTCCACTTCTTTCCCGGTGTGTTGAATACAATTGGCCAATTTTTGATCTCACACAGTTGACTCAACACAACACGTTGATTGTTCTTGCACATCATCTGTTCACCACATCTAATTTATTTGAAGCATTTTCTGTTCCTCGCGACAAATTTCGATCGTTTATTCGCACCATTGAACGCGGATATCATGAGGACCTTCCTTATCATAACGCTATCCATGCCACAGACGTTCTACACTGCATGTCTTTTCTTGCAAATGATGAAAAAATCAAACAGATTACTTCGGATGTTGAAGTATTTTCCATGTATTTGGCGGCCATCATCCACGACCATGATCACCCAGGATTCACCAACAATTTTCTCGTCAATACCAACGATCAAAAAGCGCTTCTTTACAACGACAAATCTGTATTAGAAAATCATCATGTGGCATCTTCATTTAATGTGCTTCTACAACCCGAAAACAACTTTTTGTCTCATCTGAGCAAATCTGATTTCAAAGCCATTAGGGAAATTGTAGTTGACTTGGTATTGGCTACAGATTTAACCCAACATTTTACTTTGTTGTCAATGTTTAAAGCTAAAGTTGCTAGTTCGGAGACGTTTGATCCGTACGAAACTCGCGAGGATCGTATGCTTCTTTACAAAATTATGATGAAGTGTTCGGATGTATCCAACCCATCCAAAGACATGCAATTGTATGAGAGTTGGTGTAGACTGATTTCGGAAGAGTTTTATCGTCAAGGGGATATGGAAAAGAAACTGTGCTTGCCCGTATCACCATATATGGATCGTGATAATGTCAATATTCCAAGTTCGCAAGTTGGATTTATTGACTACGTCGTTATGCCACTATTTGATGCTCTAGACAAGTTTCAACCTATTCCAAATATCTTGAATCGTTTGCAGAAAAACAGAGAATATTGGTGAGTCGAGTTTTGATTGACATGTGACGGATGATTTTATGTATAATAACTGAATGGAATGCTTGAAATATGCTCATGTTACACCACTACTTTATATAGGGCCCACCAAAAATTGTTAGGAATTACTCAGCTTCAGCCTGGTGGGACGACAATCTCCACATCTACAAGCGGAGGAAGCACTAATCATCAACGAACATCGGCTCAGCCTTGTGCTTCGCAATCACAAATTTTGGGAGGGTATGCATACTTGTTTAAACAACGAGTTGTTTTGAAATTGTATGTTTGAATCTAATGACTTGTTTTCATTGAAATATCCTTTTTGATACATAGTTCAAAAGTAGCATTATCATCCCTTCCACCTACATCCCTCACAGTCAAATCACTTTCAGAAGATCTTATCGCTACAGCAAGCCCTGACAATTTTCAATCAGCAATCAAAGATAATTTAAAAAATAATCAGTGACATCCAAGAGTAAATCATCAATGGGTTAAAGGTGTGAACTATTTCTATTATGCTTGAAGACTGTTATAAGCTATCGTAAAAATCATACAGTTAGGATACATAATTAAATAAAAGCTACAGTAAATAATGAGTTGAAAACCATTTATGAGTGTAAAATGTTTTGAAATGGCACTATTGTACAATGCAATTGCTTTTTTGGGATTGTTTTTGATAGTGTTCTCTAGCTCCATGTGGACGCTGCGAGGGTCTAGAATTTGAATTCTGATTATTGTCCGAGGCTGACGACGCAGTTGCCATTAAGCTTTGCTGCTGAACAAACTCTCGGTGACGGCATTCTTCTTCGTGTTGCAATGACAAGGCAAGAGCATGACTAATAAGATTGAAGAATAGTGATCCATAACAAGTATAATCTGCATTAGTTTTTCAGACACAGTATACCGGTTTTGTGGTGAGATACCACAAGTAGTATTTAAACCACACGTCCAATAGCATTGACTTACTCGCGATCATCAGAGGGAAATGAAGCCATATCTGTCGAGAAATTGCCAAGAGGCAAGTTTACAGACGAGCCAGGTCGATAGATTTGAAATAACTCATCTAGAAATTCTGTATTTCCATCAACCCTTGCCATACTTTCCCAAACAATACCAGTTTCTTTAGCAAATCCTTGATCGGTCATCAACACAAATAAGCCTTGTTCGGGATGCTTGTACATGGTTGAAAAGTGGTTATTTCTGAAAAACACACAAAGTTCACCGGGTGCGATTGTTGCTTCAATCAATTGTAGTCCATAATGTGTCAATTGTGTTGCGTTTGCGGATAGAAACTGCGAACAAGTAAGACCATCGGTGACCATGGTTTCAAGATCTGCACAACGTCGAGTCAACTCCAAAAGCATTGGTTCATTTCCGGGAAGAGTAGAAGATCGCATTTCTTCAGAATTGTGTAGTTCAGCCAAGGTCACTCCAGCAGTATCGCCCGCTATAATAGTTTCAACAGCACGATTGTAGCTTTTGTATTTTTGAGCGACAATAGTGTAGGCAGGCTGCTCGTCAGGATCGCACACCCATCCATGGACAAGTCTTATACCAAACATGTCAAACAGACACAAGGCAGATGTCAGTTCAAACCCCAAAACAGAATTGAAATGAACATTCACATCAAGACCAAACTGCAGCATTGGGATTGCAACAAGAATGTCATCCATGGTGTGCTCAAATGTGAGTTGTTCTGATGTTCTAGAAGTAGATGAGTCCCGTGCAGACCTACGCAGCAAGTAATCACCCAGCAACTCTAGTAGTCGTTCGTTGCGAATGGTGGTCAAGTCTGAATGAATGATAATATCACCTCGCAGGATCAGCACATTACATAGAGATATGAGAGGACAAGGACCATTGTTATTTTGAGTGATGATGCACAGTCTCTTTTTCTCTCCAGTTTTGGTATCTTTCCACAACAACGGCTTGAGGATGTAAATGTCGTTGTGTTCCTGTTCCTGCTGCTGAGAATCTGGAATGGCAACAGACTCTGCAGATAATACTGCTTCTGTTTTAGGATCCAAAGGCGAATGGGTGGGCAATGCCAATTCTGGTTGTACTGCAGGCAATTGCTCTGGCTCAATCGACTGATTCTCAATAGACGAATCTTGTAGCTTTGGTGAGCTTGATTTGGCACCTGCAGTAGTGGAAGAATCGAGTTTAAAAGCGTCAGTAGGCTCAGTCTGGACTTCTGGAACACAAGGCATGCAAGCAGATGGATTCTCAACCAAATTCGTATCAATGGAATGCTTCAATGGTTGCTGTAGTGGCATGTGAATGGAATGAGTAAAGTTCCTTTGGCTTTGAATGTGGATTTCTTGGTCATCGCTGCACATGTAAACTCGAGCCATTCACAAAGTATTCGTTAGAGCGAATTAAACTTTATTACTTCATTTCCCCAAGAATGCCATCCTGGATACAAGTTTCTACCAAATAATTCCAGTTTTCCATTTGCTTGCGTTGTTACAAACTGCTCCAGTAGATGATGGATAAAGGGTTTCTGTGAGTGATGTTTGGATGGAACACTCACAATCACTTTGGATGGAATGGGATCTACTTTAAATTCTTGATCCGTATGACTAGAGTCTTTCAATACTCTGGATGGCTTCTTTCGACCAAGAATCAATATTTCAAACGGCTTGCGATGCGCACTAGATTTAAAAAAGCTTAAGTACTCTTACTTGTAAATATTCCCATCATCCATTTACCTTTCAAGATCAATGACCAAGTCGCCGTGATGAGTGACTTTAAGCCAAACCCATTCAGTAACAAACTCTACTCCCCAAGCTGGAAAAAGTCTGTTCAATACCATTTCACGTACTTTAGACTTGTTTGTAACCCATACAGCAACAATTCCATTGGGTAAAACCAATTGTCCAAGCGGAATGTTTGAAAGGCGATAGCAATCCATAGATGCATACTGTTTAGCTCTGAATAAACGTGAGTTGTTTAATGGTTTACTTGCACATGTCATTAGATAATCAAGTATGAATACCTTTTTACACTTTTATTTTCCCATGGAGGATCCATAAGCACAAGTGAGAATCGCAAGGGTTGATCCAATAAACCTAAAGATTCAAACTATAATAAGCTTTTATAATGGGTTTGAATAGTTTTTGTGATGTATAAAAACTTACATTTACATAGTGTAGACAGGAATGAAAAGTCAGACATTACAAACCATGAATGCTCTGGAATAATGTATTTATGACCACAAATATCCAGCACAACAGGCAGCGATCCATCTCGATTTGAGATTTGAATATTGAATAAATCAGCCAAACCAATGGAATGGGAGTTTGTTGAAAGAGTGATGGATTGGACTGTTGATAGAGTGGTAGGATCAGCAAAGCGAGAAGATACAGCCATAGATGCCAGCTCACCCATTTGAACAAAATCAATAGTGGAGGATGCAGTAATAGCAGTAACATCTGATACAGCAGTTACAGCAAGTGGGAATATTTGAGTGTTGGTAATGAGATGAGTGATGGCAGACTGAATCAGAGATCGATGACAGTCTAACAGACAAAGGAGTTGTGCTGCTCCATTCGATCCAGTAGTAACACTCTGTCTGTTCTTGCGTTTAAACCCAGTGGTTTCCTTGAGTTTATCTATTTCACAACCAGTTGTTTCTATGGACTGATTGGTGGTATTACACCGAGTGTTATAAGGCTGCATTAGACTGTAGTCAGATTGTGTGCGAGTGTAACCAGCTGCTATACACACTCTTGAACAGTCTAAAACCCATCCAACTGCATGTGCAATGAGCACTGCAGGATCTCTCTCCAACATCCACCTCAACTTGTGTAAAAGTATTTTATTCAATCTTGTTCAATTTGGATACAAACATGTTCAGTCTTGTAGAATTACTCTTTGAATGAACCAAGCTCTCTTCCTCCCATAGTCATCATTCCTATTGAATTTCGTTTCACTGGATAATTCAAAATATCTGCTTCAAGCACTCCTTCTTTTAAAAGTACTTCAATAAGTTGATCTACTTGATCCACACAAGAATCCATCTGTTCACTATCTCTATCGGGTTGCATGAGCATCCGTCTTTTGGCCCGCTCAATTCGATCTGTCATATTCGCACGCTGATGGACAGCTTTTATATATGAAGGTGGACCGAGATCTTCAGCAGTGCGTTTACGAGATCCTCGTGATACTATGGCAGTTTGTTCTGTATCGCACTGTGGATCAAGTTTAAACCGTGTAGAAGGGCTAGAACACGAGGCATTCGCACATGTCAGATCTGCTTGTGTAGTCGAGGTTTCATTCGATAATGCATCCAAACATTCCAATGTCTGTGGGTTTGACACATGTAATGTTGAATCCATTACAGACACGTCTTGAACTGTGGAGGTGTGAATGGATGAAATGGCTGTATGTGTGTTGGTACACTCTTGAATCCTCTGCGTACCATCTTCAGAAATCGGATGATCTATTACCTGAATGATATCGCTTGCCTTGTCAAGTATATCTATTAAATACTTGTGCAAATTAAACTTTGTAACATGAGAAAAATATGGCATGTGGTGTGCATACTTTAGTATATGCTGTTTAAACTCTCGGAGTCGAAGTTTGGCTAAATTAGGGTTGCATCCCGCTGCACTTGACACCAGATTGACGATTCTCAATGAACATGAGTTTGATTTCATAGCTTCATAGGCTGCGAGAATTGTAGATGCTTGAATAGACGACTCTTTACGTCCCACATCAAGCCATGCGTGTTTGGCTATATTCAAAACGGTTGACGCAAGTGATTCAAGACGAGTCCGATTGGCCAAATCTAAAGGATAAACAGCAAGACAGAGCCGCGGAAGAAAGATTCTGATATCAGCTTCAGGCAATTGAACAGCAAGAATTCCAGTGATTTTAAAATAGATTGCCGAGAATCGATCAATGCAAATGTTGAATTGAAACTAGAAAACTTGTTAGTTGTTCCATCATCAGAGTATATAACATAAATCAAGGTGCGTTGGCCTACCAATACTTCGGATAGAGTTCGAACAATCCGGCATTGCTGAAGAACAATATAAAGACATACTGATAAACAAGTTTTGGCTTTTGGTCCCAAAGTAAGTTCAAGCCTTTCAGCAACCAGTGAGAAGTAAGCCATAGTTTGATCTTTAAGACTCATGGGCAGTTGAAGTCCTTGTAAAACACCTTTGAGAACTCCAAAAAGGTGTGACTAATACAATACCAATAAAAGTCGAGGTTTGTATTCAGTAATCGTCACAATCAAGACTCAATACTGCTTCAATGTACTTACTAATTGCTCATCTCCATTGGACCACTTGCCAACCTTGAAACCATAAGTCAACGTAGACTTGTAAGCCATATTTGTATGGTCATTCGTATTGGCATTTCTATTATTCATCATGACATTATGCAATGATCCGTTTTCAATGTACTCTGCATCCGCTCCACTAAGAAGAGAACATTCGCCAGCAACCACACCGCAGTTGGAACATACAGTACTAGAATCGTCTACTGTGACAATAGATGGAGTTGAACAGCATGCAGCATTGTTCTTCATATTCAACCACAGAAAACTGCTTGATAATGAATGTGCACTATGAATCCAATCGCAGTTGTATTCATGAAATAAAGCAATTTTATATCTTGCAATTACTATTTTGGTTTGGAATATAAAATGGTTAAATATCCATTGTATCTTGTTATTGGAGATTGACTGTTTCAATTGATACTCTCAACTTCAAAATATCAAACTATAGTTTGAACTGTGATGATCTTTTGGTAGTCATACACTGCACAATCACAACCATCCAGATATTGGGTTCAACTGTTGTGAATACTACTTTAAACATTGGTTGTGTTGCTTGTAAAAAATGAGCACAAAAACCATTAAACTAGAACTCAGTCAACACACTATTGACCAGTAAATCTAATGTAGATTATCATGAAACTGGCTGTATACTCTTATTAATGATCCATTTTACGTGAATATGGTTGTAATAGTCTTGTAGACTATCCAACTTTATTCCATTGCAATCACTCAAACCTATTCTCAAAATAACCTGAACCATTCGTATTTTCATTTTACTATTTTCAAAATAAATCAGCGCATTTGGCTCCAAACGTCGGCTCTACAACTGGAAAAAATAAATTGGTCTAAATGCTACCAAAAACATAGTAGCATAGTTTATGAGAATCAACCAACTGATGTAGCTTCAAGATTGAAAACGAGTAGGATCCAGCACAAATCATCGAGTTAAGAGGAGAGCTGTGAACTTGGACAAAAAATCCCGACTCGTTCCAAAATATACGGTTAGACAGCAGTCTCGATGGCATTTCGGGGTTTGAATGGAACTGGATTGTCAGTTGACTGGATAGATTGTGCTCGCGTTGCTTCAAGTTTAAGCTCTTCATTGGTAATCACACGAAGAACTTTGCCAATTCCTTTGGTTCGGCCTGAAACAGTACAAGATTAAACACAATCTCAAAATACATCGATACTGATGAAATTCTTGATACAAGCAGCATACCTTCACGGAAAAGCAACTTGGCACCAAGCTTGAGATACTCTGGGTATTGCATGAATCTAAAACACAGACATCACTGTTCATCTTACTGCCTAACCTTACTCAACTCGTCAGTGCATAACAAATATACCTGAATCGAACCACAGCACGATCACCAGTACGTAGAATCTGTTTGTCCATGCCAACAATCCGTGCTGTTTGACGCACACCACCACAATGCAGCATGGCTTGGTATTTGTATGCAATGGTTGTGCTGTGATACAAAATCAAAATTTCTGCCTGTATTTCAAATTGAAAATCCAACTTTAATACTCATATACATCAGATTTAAAGCAGTAGATGCCATCAAGCAAACTTGCCTCAAACTCCATAACTGCTTTGGGATTCAATGATTTGCTAGTAATGAAATAATAAGCATCCAGTAAAACAAATGCATCAATATTTATCGTATTTCCGTTACCAAATATCCAACTTTTAGATATATACATACTTGATCATAATCATGCCTTTCCGTAATCCAGATCGCTTTACCTTTTTGAGTCCAAAACTAGCACTTTGACCTGCTGCAGCACAAGGTGTATTCACTCTTTTTCGTTGAATACTCTTTACTGTAACGGGAACAAATTGGCCTAGGAAATCTGGACCAAGCATCAAAGAATCACCAGTATGAATAATTCCAGAAATCACAGTACCGCTGACAACGGTACCAACACCTGGAACTGAAAATGTCTCGGTGATTTGAAATTCGGATGGTGCTTTGACGTCATACTTGTTGCTTCCATTAGAGTGAAGGATATTGAGAAACATTTTGAGTAAATCTAAACCGCTTCCAGTAACATTAGAGACTTGAAAGATTGGACATACACGTTCACTGACAAAGTTGGCAGAAGTCATAAGAACGTCGCCTATGGTTCGAATAAACATGGGAATCTTGCGACATCCAGGAGACTTGAGAATCTTGACCAGTTGGTTAATTGTACTTTCAAGAACATTCTTTGGACACATGTCAGTTTTTGTAATCACAATATATACTGGCACTTGTAATGCCAAAGCCAAGCCAAGATGCTCTGAATGCATCGATACAAGTTCAAATAAGTTAAAAAAAAAGAGTAGCTAGAACACCAGCTGCATTGAACAAAAGCCTCCAATATGCTTTACCTTTAGTCATGCCAATAATCCCAGCATTGGCACCCACCCTAATACGGATTCAACCGTTTGTACGAGTGAAGAAATAAACTGTGAATACATACTCATCAGATTTTATACACTAGATTGAAAACAATGTATAGCTTACATGAGCATGGTATAATCAGGAGAGCAACCTGTCATGCCAAACACGGTGGTTTTCAAATATTTTTCGTGACCAGCAAGGTCTAGAAATGTAATGACCTAATTGAAACCATAGTGCGTTTAACTAGACTAGCTTGACATGATCAAGCATTTAAAAAGTATACCTTGGAAGCTTCAAGACAAATATCATTCCAGTTCAATCGTTGTTTACCCAACATGGAGGGAGTGACAATCCGTCCAATAGAATCATAACCCATAATCTCAGTTCCAACTGAGCTTGTACGACCACTTTCGATTTCATGCTTATGACGAAATAGATTAACTCGTGCTTTACCACGTCCATCATCCAACGCATCTTTAGTCAGGACGCCAAGAAGGGTAGATTTTCCAGCATCTACATTTCCAACAACGCAGATGCGAAGTTCCATAAGATCTTGTACCTTGCCTGCACGCTGGCGAATAAGAACGTGGCCATAACAGTGACCATGAGATTGGGGAATTGAATCTGTATCATCGGTCATAGTAAGTTGCTCAACCTTTGCCGAGAGAATATACTCGGCGTCGCCATCATTGTACTCGGTAGATGTTCGCAACGAGCTTGAACGACGTTTATAGAGGACAGTTGTGTCAGCGTTTAGAGTATCTGCACATTGACGGATACGATCAAGTGCAATAGTAAAGTCAGATGCAGACAGTTGCATAGAAAGCCCGTCATCTATTCGAGTATAAATGTATTCAATTGGTTCAAAAACAGGGGTATACAGGAAACAGTCGAGTAAAATCAGTAATGAATCCATTGCACACGCAAGTGTTGGGACCAATAAGCAATGAATGGATTGAATGTAAATCCCAGATTCATGCGATTGGATCAAAATAATATACAATTATGACAACAGTTGGTTAAGCAGTACCTTCAAGACCGAGTTCCAGGAGAGTTTCACCCATATTTGCATCCAAACGAGTCTGAATCAAATCAGTCAAAGCAGTTACAGAATCATTCGAGTCGCCAAGTAACAACGACTAATTTGAATGGTCATGATTTGAATTAGATGAATTCAATGATTGGGTTGAATGAAACCAAGCCAGTCAATACCTTGAGACTAGGAGTTTGCACACCGCCCAATGCAAACTTGTTACAGAGAGCATCGAGTTCGATAGCAGACAAGGAAGTGGAGTTGGTAGAAGATGAAGCAACACAAGGCTCGGTAGAAGTGCACGAGACTGGTTTATGGGTTGATGTCGTAGAGGTTGTCATTGCTATTGAAGACTGTAAGATGCTGTCAGGCATATTGCTAATTACTGTCTGACTAAGAATGAAAGTTTATAACTTGAATCCTCAAAATCGAATGCTTTAAACAATTAGCCAAGTGACTCATACACATCACTGCAGTCAATTTCAAGATGTTTAGTCATAAAAGTTTTATTTATCAATTTGAACTTGTTGAATGGAAACTGTCATGTTCGGCTTGTCAAAATGACGAGATCGTCGTTTGGTAAAAAGTGTTTGGCTTTCGGCAGTCGGCCCATTGGCCATTGTAGACGCTGTTCGAGGTTTATTATCACGCTTGTTATTACCATCTTTGACATGATTCGATCCACCACGACCTCGACGACCATTTCCTCGGTGAGTACGAGCTTTTAAAGGTGCATCTACTGCAGTCTTGGCATCAGTTGGCGGCTTCGTCGCTGTATAGTGCGGTTGTGTTGGTAATTGGGGTGCTGAAACGCTCTCGGCTGCAGATGCAGCAACGCTTAGTAGTGGGTCGTGCTTGGATACTTTGTCTGCATCAGACTCGGGAATCAACTCTTGAGAATGTACATCTTGTTCTAGCTTTTTATCTAGTCAATAGCATGTATACCAGTCACAAGGATAACGTATCGTTAGTACTATTTCATATCCAAAATTACACAATGGTAAAACTTTCAAAAAGACAAGAGTAGCATTCAGGATAATATTGCAATTTGGAACCATTATAGTTGTCTTGAAGACTAATCGTTAAACATCATTATGCTACTCTGTTGAACCTATCGACAAGACTCGATATATAGAAAACAACAAAATTGACTTACCCAAAACTTCTGATGGAACCAGAAAATTGATGCTTATCTTATTGCCTCGCGAGATTAAACCAGGTCTCTTCAAAGCACTTTCATCTACATGGCTGGGTTCTGGCTCGGCAATTATCTCTTCCTTGACATCATCCGCAAGATCTGCCATCAGTGTTGTACCAAACTGTGGAGGTGGGGGTGGAAATATCAAATCATTCAATAAGCTCCCAAGGCTTGCATAAGTCAGTGATGACTGGGGAAAAAAAGATTCAGATTGTTTAGCAAGAGCCTCGACATGAAGTTTGGCAGATTCAATATATGCAAACACTCTAATAAATAGTTAGTAATAAAAAACATTTAAAGATGGTATTACAGCCATATTCACGTAAAATGGATCACTAATAAAAGTATACAGCCAGTTTCATGATAATCTACATTAGATTTACTGGTCAATAGTGTGTTGACTGAGTTCTAGTTTAATGGTTTTTGTGCTCATTTTTTACAAGCAACACAACCAATGTTTAAAGCAGTATTCACAACAGTTGAACCCAATATCTGGATGGTTGTGATCGTGCAGTGTATGACTACCAAAAGATCATCACAGTTCAAACTATAGTTTGATATTTTGAAGTCGAGAGTATCAATTGAAACAGTCAATCTTCAATAACAAGACATGATGGATATTTAACCACTGTATATTCCAAACCAAAATAGTAATTGCAAGATATAAAAGTAGCGATCCATCTCATGTGAATACGGCATTAAAAGAAAAAAAAAGTGAAAAAAACTTACTCGGAACAAGGAACACCTTGACCACCAAGAGCAGCTTTAAGCAACAAGAGAGCCTCTATCTTTGGAGCAGAAAGAGAAATCGTCGATGTTTGAGGCAATGCAATATTTAATGCATACCAGCTGTAAAGGAATGATTCGAGCTGTTTATCAAATACAGACTGATTGCAGCGAAAACAGATGTTCAAACAAATCAGTTTATATAGTCCGTAACAAAATTAAAATTCGGTCATTTCAATTTGGCCAAAAATCGGCTTACCTTGGCGGCAACTTCAGCAGCAGCAATCTGGACAGCAACTTCCTTGCACTGTAAGACTTCCTTTTGTTTCAATAGTTCTGCATTCTAATGATAATTTCAATTACGGAATTGTGAATATAATTATAATTTTCCCAGTAGAATACTAGTTCCAACTGATGATCTACTCAATACAAGACCAAGTGCATATATGCTTGGACAGTCAATTGGTAGCATCAGCCCGGCGGAGTTGGTTGCTAATGTCTGAAAAAGTGATCATATGTCCAACAAGCAATTCTGTTTTACTAGAAATGCAGCTCTAGTCTAGAGCCTCGATACATTTAAAGCATAGCTTTACATTACCTGGTGGTCTATAACAGCGATTTGAGCACTAAAATCCTCCAGTTCCTTGATGGCTATCACAATCTCGGGCTTACGTCGGACAGACAAAAGCTGATCTGGATTAAGGTCGTCTGGGTTAGACTGCTCATACTTGACTATTTTGAGCTAAAAAGCATAGATTTACAAATGATTAGTATTGGTAATCCAGTAATACTTCAACGCTGTCCAGTACAAATGCAGCAGTTTTATAGACAATATAAGAATAGAGCCAATAAATCATATTTGAATGAAATTAGCAATTCTTTGGATAATAGACTAATAATATAGACAATACTGTATGGAATAGTAAAGCTGTCATTATGACCAGCACTTGCCAATTTCTTTCTTAGTGTGCGAAGTCGTTTATTAACAGCGTCAGTATAAGCAGACTCTTTGTGCGGGGCTTCATCATGAGTGTCTGGCTCTGCAGTAGTAGAGTCAGGAACAACGGCAGCAGTGAAATTAGTGACAGATGGTTCAGTCATGTTACAATTGGAGATTTGATTTCAAATTGATGGGATTAAATTGCAGTTTGAAATTCAATTTACAGCCGTATTCATCTTGCATCGACTTTTTTTATTTTGCTTGGCAATAAAAACGGTTATGCTTTCTTACTACAGCCATATTCACGTAAAATGAAACATTACACTAAAATAAAGTCATGTTTGATGAGTACCAATCTTACTGAAAAACATTGTTTTATAAACTCATTCTTGTACAAAAATACAGTGCAAATGCTTGCATCTCTGTTCCAATACATTCCACATTCTTGGCATTGGTTCAACCTTCAACTTTCCTTTTCCAAACACTCGGTAATCATCATGGAAACATTGGGTGATTATCATAAAACCAATCGTTGCATTCCTGAGATATATTGAACTAGATTTCAAACATATCTGATATTATAATAGTTTCAATAGAAATAACAACAACGAATGGTTAACGATTGTTTATTTTGGAGCAAAATAGTCATTACAAATGTTTCATTTTACACGAACGCGACTGTAAATCAACATGGTTGACCCAGTCGTTGATATTTATTCACTATTGTTTTGTTCTAGAGTTTACCCCTGTTCAAGTAAATCATTCCCAATGAGTTTCTTTGGGCTAAATAATGTAAGTCTACTAATAGATATGCATTGCTATCCATCAGACAGTAGTGTGGTGGAGTATTATTGAAATGCTTGTTTGTCAAACACAATGGTCTAGATACATTAGTATCCCACTAAACCGCATTGGTCCAGTCCTTGACGGAGCATAGGCTGGATTGTAACAGCCATAACACTTGTTGAATGTTCATATTTTATGTAATCTACTCGATACATCTTTTATTGTTGGGCTTGTGGTCCAAAACCTTTGTTATTTGACAGGCTTATTCAGGATACAGAATGCATTCTGAGCACTAAAACTCATCCATATACTGACTACTATGATTAGAGCAAGACATTTAAACCTAAACGGAGTATTCCCGAGGGCTCCAAACAGGCCGAGCTTAAAAAGTTTGCAGAGGCTACACTTGGATCGGGCAATCTCAAACTGGCAGTTGAACTTCCACAAGGAGAAGATCTGAATGAATGGCTAGCAGTCAACACTGTCGACTTTTTCAACCAAATCAACCTATTATATGGAACCATTACAGAGTTTTGTACTCCCCAGGACTGTCCAATTATGTCTGCTGGACCTAAATTCGAATACCATTGGTGCGACGGAGTGCAGTTCAAGAAACCTGTCAAGGTATCTGCTCCAGAATATGTGGATTATTTAATGACATGGGGTAAGTAACACTGCACTATTGAACCAATTCATTTTAGTCTACACGCTGATAAAACCACATAAACACTTTAGTGCAGTCTCTGCTGGACGATGATACAGTATTCCCGTCCAAGATTGGAGTTCCATTTGCCAAGACATTTCAATCGAGCATCAAGACGATTCTCAAACGACTCTTTCGAGTGTATGCACACATATACCATTCACACTTTCAAAAGTTTGTCGATCTAAAAGCAGATGCGCATCTGAACACTAGTTTCAAGCATTTTGTCTATTTTATAAACGAGTTTTCATTGATTGAAAAAAAAGAATTGGCGCCGTTGGAAGATCTGATCAAGACTATGATGGCCCAATAAAGTGTAAAAGTGAAATCTTCACGTGACCGTGTGGTTTTCTTTTGAAATATTTGTCAAAATTGTTGGCACTTGGCTGGTAGTGGTGCGTCAGGATGTCCTGCTCGGTGTATATGAAGATGGCTTCAAAAAGAGCTTCCACTGCTCTGTTTCAAACTGTCTGGAAATCTCCTGTTGTTCCAACATTCGCTTTAAATCATCTTCGAGCTTCCATCACTAGAGTGCGTTGCATGTCATCTGAAGATACATCCACAAACATGTCGCCATTATTCAAGGCTGCTATTGAAGAAGCAAAGACTAGAACTGCTCAATCGAAATCCCCTTCCACATCTACTGCATCTTCCACTTCAGCTGATACGGCAGATTCAGCTTCAGTAGATATTCACGCCATCTTTCAATCTCGTACAGAAGCTGCCAATCGTCTTCCGTTCTTTACTACAGGAAACATGCGAGCATCCCCTCAAAAGATGAACCATCTTGCTCGTTTGATCCGTAAAATGCCCATCACTGAAGCTAAAAGACAAATGGCATTCACTCTTAAACGTCGCGGTATATCAGTTGTTCGGCTTCTTCATCGTATCGAATGCGCGCTGCGTCACAACTACAATCTCAATCCTGACGACTTTATTATACACCAAGCCCTAGTAGGCAAAGGAACTTATTTGAAACGGATCCGTATTCATGCTCGAGGCCGATTTGGTGTTATGCATCGACCACATGCTCACATCAAGATCAAATTGGGTCCAAGGATGCCAGAAGGAACTGCTAAAGATAAAGAGTTGAGAATCATTGCCAATATCTTGCGTCGCAAGAAACTTTATATAAGTTTGGAAGACTCTAAACCAATTCAACGGCTGCATCCTCCATGGAGTCGTAAACCTTGGAAGTATGTGACTTCTCCAAGATGGACCAATCCTGATCGTATTTTGATCAAGAAACAATAAAATCAAACCATCATTGCCTGTTTTACTAAAGATTGCCCGATTTAACATCTGTTTACAAGGTGGGAGCTTTAGATGGTATAAATGATGGTTATAGCAATAGTAAACATCTAGCTAGATTGGTTTATTCAGGTTTCCAGATCACAGCATTCAACTATCAATCAGGATAATATTTACCAAATATCAACCTTCCTTTAGCAAGCAATTCATCCTCCATCTTCTGCTGCTGTTGATGATCGCTTGACTGAGATCTAATAGTAAGTGACGTGATTGGATATGAAGGGTTTTCTGATGAATGCATTGACATGGAAGCCCCGTCATTCAAATTATCTGGTAAACTGTCATGATCTCCACTGATCTCGAGGTTTCCCAAATCGTCAACATCGCTATTACTCGATTCATCTTTCCTATCCATCCGTCGCATAAGACTTTTGATAATCCCTTTTCCATTGCCAATTCTGTCGCGCATTCTGCGTCCTGCGTGACCATGTCCATGAGTCGAAACACTATCTTCGCCTGAATAGGACGACTTGACTGATTCACTTCGTCCAAGATGCAGCCCGCCATCAACAGGATAAGAAACCGATCCAAACTCTGATGGCTCAGTAGATGAGGTTGTACCAGTCTGCGATTCTATACTCGAGTGTGTTGTCGAATGCACAGTCCCAGGTTTTCGTTTCTGAAATAGCTTCTCTCGAACAAGTGCTCCCGTATTAGCAAGTGCTGCACGCATCGTATCTAGTATTCATATACACACACCCAAAAATCGTTATACATAACATATTGCATTGATAATACAGCTAGTCAATACATACCACGCTTTACTGCATTGACAAATTCATACCACGTCCAGGTTTTATTCCGATACTCTAAAGTGGGTAGGTAGAATTCAAACATGTGTAGATCTTCTAAATTCTTTTCCTTGAGTCCTCGATAACTCAAGCAGTGCAATACACCTGGAAGCTTGATATAGATAAACGATCGGTTTTCTGAAGCACGGGCTTGCATTTGTTTAAGCTCAGTGAGAGCTCGGCTTGGACGACGTTTTCCACTACCTCGTGTATGAGTAGATGCACTGCTGCTTTTAGCAACAACTGCCGTTGCTGTCGTTGCAGATGAGCTATTTGTCGTGTGTGTAGATGACCATTCGTTTGTCTGCTTGCCACGTCGAGATACAGATACTGTATCCAACGTATCCGGTGTTTGTGATCGAGGTCGGTCATTTTCATCAACAGACGCTATGGTTCGCGCATAGGGAGAAGATGAGTGAGCATCACCTGATGCAGTAGCAGTACTGGAAGCTGGTATATTTTTCTTATTGGGGAAAATGTATCGCATAAACTGCTTTCCCAACTCATATGTAACCTGAATGGATAGTGGAAACATATCGATTTCAAAATGATCCACGACTTGGATTCCAGCAACCGGTGCAAGCTCTCTCAAATACAATCGTAGCATCTTATTCCGTTTAAAATCTACACCGTGTCGATCCGGTATATAAGGAGAAATCGCATCTTTGAACTCGCTGGTCATCACATGCAAGTTTTCTACATATAGTGTTTCAATCTCGAGCGTGTTGATTGAAACTTGATCTTCTCTATGAACCCACATAATTGCTGGGTTTGTAAATGTACAACGTAAAAATGGATCATTGTTTTCAAGCAACATCAGCCATACAAACTTGTCCATTTTGACGCAAAGTTGATAGGACAATCCTTCCGAATTACGCTGCTTTTCAATTTGTTGTGTGCCTTTCAAAGCTTCCATCAATACATGGAGTTCATTACGACCTTGAATAAGGGATCGACGAAGTTCTTGTTGACGCTGAGAATCAGTGGTTGTATTGGATTTTACAACCGAATCCGTTTGACGCACGCGTTCCTGGAGTGACAGCACCATGTCTTGCATCTCTCTTAAATCAGGTAGCTGCTCCAAAGCAAGCATCACTTTGCGCAACCGTTCAGCCAACTTTCCTGCTGCAGGATCATTGTAAACCAGTAACGAAGTGATCACTTGATGTACAAGCATGTACTGAGCCGAGTTCATTGCAATACAAAACTGTGGAAGTGATAAAAAGTGCGTATCAGTCTGTTGTGTTGCGAATGCTGACGAACGAGTAAAATACAAAGGGTTCATTTTATCACGATGAAAGTTGGCCGAAGCATGTTCAACAATCCGAACAAATCGCGGATCCACTGAGCTCGTGTCAAGAAAACATTCAAGTGGAACCCAGCATTGTCGACTTGCGTTGTACTGACTGTCCATATCATCTTGACCGTTACGAGACGGGTAGGCAGTGTAAGACATTGTGTCATGGTCGGTTTCTTGTCTAATAAAAAACTGAGCCTCGTGAACATTGACAATTGTTCTGTACTTGACAATCGCATCATTTCGATCCTTATCTTCATATCCCTGTCTAGCAGCAGCAGCCACCTCGTCAAGAATCGTCACCAAAAGAAGTTCCATGCCTGTTGATGCAACAATCACTGACTGGACAGTAAGTGGATCAGCCACATTGACTACTTCATACGCAACCTGTGGATTGATGAGTGTAATCACTGAATCACTTTCTACCATTTGTCCAGGAGCCAAATAGTCTGGAGAATTAATATCAAAAGAAGGTGTATATCTGCTGATTTTGCGGAATTTGCTATTGAGCTCAGTTTTTTCCGGTGATGGTGGAACATAGATATGATCAAACTCTGCCTCGGTTTCGTTGGGAATATTGGTACGAATCCCTAAAGCAAGGTCATGCAGCAATTGATCCAACAGCTGCGCCATGGACTCTGAGGAATAGTTGGTGAATGTAGATTGCTTATTGGCCGTGTTTGTGTCGTCAGATTTCTTTGACTTGGATCCTGGCAAGGTAGATGCTGGAGTAGAGGCTTTGAGCATGGATCTTTGCTCGCCAATCAGGCGAATTAGCTCTGAAACAACCTTGGCAGCAGCGTTGGACAAACAATACTTGATTGCAAAGTTTTTTGTTTGCAAATCAATGAGTTTAATGATTGCATTTCGAACAGGAACTTTCCAAAGAAAGCATATATTATGGAAAACGTAATGATGTTTAAATACTTGCATATCCTGTTTGGCTGCAGACTCTTCTATGAATGTCGAATTGTCAGACATCTCTAGCGACTCGATCAAGTCCTTGATAGCATTTTGAATCAATGCTCGTTTTTCATACAGCATTGTGAGTCGATCAACCAATCCTGCCGACTCTTTTTCAATTGAGGTGTCAAAGAAAACTGCCATTCTTGATTCGATTCCCTTCTGCTCTTCCTTTAAAATCCATATAGTAGCCTCGATTTCATGCATACGAGCAGTCAACAACGCGAGCTGCTTATCAAAAAAGTCTTTTTCGTGCAAGTGATGATGGTCACTACTGGTTCCGCGACGAAAGTAAAGCAGACGCGGTGACCAGAGAAATGGAGTAAACTGCATGACAGAGGCATCAAGAGTATAATAGGCATCTTCAGCAAATGTCCAAATCTCGTTATCCATAATACTTGCGGCGTCTTCATCAGCATCAACTGGGGTTGCTGAGCAGTGCCCAGGCTCACTCGGAACAGTATATGTCAATGTACATCCTTCAATATCTTCAAAAGACATTTGGCTTTCTTCTAAATCCCATCGATAGGCGGGACGTCTAGATATAGATATATTTCCATCATCTATATGCGTGAGTTTATGCTGTCTAAACAACACATCAGATTCCATATGTGTTGTTCGTCCTCGCAACCCAACACCGCCTGTCAGATCATCTTGCTCAGCAATTAATGTGATGACCAACGGCTTGAGAGTGGTAACAAGACGTACAGTGCTTAGTGCTCTGCCTAGCTTGGGTTTAGGACTGGTGGGCACGCCTTGATGCACCGGTTTAGTGAAAAACATGACTCGAGTCCGAAGGGGAATACTGGTGAGAATCGATTGGTATACCATAGTCATAATCTGCACCTGACTAAAAGACGAAGAATTCATGCACAGATGGCTGCTAGGAACCACTAGTCCAGAAAAATACGGCTTTGGGGAAGTGATCTCCACATGCATATGAATAAACTCGGATCGAAATCCATGAAACGAGTCCCACACCTATCCATCATTTTGAATGGATCAAAGCATGAGTGTTCCATCAACACATTTAAAATACTGGAGCAAATAATAAGATATTTGAAAATTACTTACTTGTCCAAGAGATGGCGAATGACAGAATTCTGGCGAGCGCAGGACAATATCTGCATGAGTTTTCCATGGATGCACCTCAATAGGTGGGAAATTTGGCCCATCTACTGGTCTAAACGTAGTAAACCTCACACCAAAAGCGATTCGCACTCCACCGCTGAATTTGGCCAACGTATCATTCATTTCCTGTGCTGCACCTTGTGCTAAACTCTTTTTTTGTGGCAAGGCAAACCGTACCTCACCTGCCTCCAGCAAAACTATATCATTAGATTGTGGTGCACCAATGTTAAAGTGAACACCGCTGCCAAGTGAAAGCTCAATGCCATCCATACCAAAATGCTTTAAAGGATCGTAGTATGGTGACATTGAACCCAAAACGCGAAGTCGTAATTCGCCCCCACCAGAAATACTGATTTCATTCGTGCCGTGAAGCATCAATCTTAATTTGTCCCACCATCCAACGGGTGGACTTGGGTCAGCATTAGGTTTGGTAAACGAGTCAATCACTGATACCAAATCACTCAAACAGGGTTCAAGTGATGCTCCATAGTAGGCACAAATAGCAGAATTGCATTTAATGACGGTCGTGGTGTGAAGATAGATCTTGGTTGGGCTGACGGACCGTGTTACAATTATTGGGTCAATACTCAAATCTTTCAATGGAAGATAAACAGTTCGGCGTGATTCTACTGGGAGAAGAGGCTCGGCGATAACTAGCAATCCTTTAGTCAGCCATGTCGTTCCACGAGGTGATGCTGGTACTTTGAGCAATGAAAAGGGATAATCACGTAACCGAATATCAATAGAGTGAAACCCAACCGAGATATCGCGAGGAATCAAGTCATCGTAAATGAGTTTGGAAGGTGTATTGTAGTCCAGCGTGTTCAAGGTTTCCTCGACTGTCAGTTCAAGCAATGATGGAGCAGATACAACTATATCAATTCCTTCCAGAACAGCTGCCAAAAGATATACCTCGTCATTGGCATCTTGGCTTGACTTATTGATTGCCTCAATGTACGCACGGCTATTGAACTCCTCAAGCAACTTCCATGCTTTGTCAATCTCGTTGGGATTAAAAGTGCCACTATTTGTATAAAACACACGTCAAAAACAACTCTACTTTTCAGTAGTATTGGGAAATACAATCAATGCACTTACTCTGATTGCTTGGCCTCACGCTGCTTGGCTTGTTTCCAAAAAGCTCTTTCTCGTGAAATTCTTGAGAAATTTTCGGGTAATCCTACACGATAATTTCTTGATAGTCGAGAAACAAACGGATCATCTTCAATATGGATCGTACACATTTGGATACAACACCTGATATTAGGGATTGATTCTTTAATGATAAAGGTGCGTCCAGGATCAGACGAGTTTGATGGTATATGTCCGAAAAATGTACGAAAAATAGATTTCAGTGCACGGACAAGGTTTATGGCATTCTCGACAATCTCTGACATTTCAAAACCGTATGGAATCGTGATATCCATTTTATTCGGTGCAAAAGATATGTTTGCTGCAGTGGCTGGAGCAGATGGTGTAAAGCCAACAGTAATGTCTTGAACTAGAAGGAGCTGTTTGAAAATGTCCGAGTTTTGAAGATATACTTGTGCATCCATGGATTTAAGTTCAACTTGGCCGGTTCCACCAAGATAGATTGTAGATTTAATCTGGTCCAATGTGCCTTGAATCTTGACCTTGTCGGGAAGTTCTATTTTGACAAATATCGAGCAAATAGATATCTTTGCAAGTGGGATTACCGGTCCCAGAACCAAAGAATCGGGTGTTTTATCGCGAATAGCTTTAAAAGGTGTAACAAGTGTCAAAATCTTGACCACATCGATACATGCATTTAAAATAATAAAGCAGTGTACAAAAGAGATATCCACAAGACATTGTGTTGATTCAACCGATATAAGAGAAAAACGCCCAGATTCTGGTATTGATGAATCCGAGGCGGTATGTAATGGAGATGCCAAATTTAAGCTGTGTTGCATCATAAATTGGATTTTTTGAATACACAAGACAGAATGGGTTGGCAGAGCACCATCAATCAACGTGGAAAAATCCTTATAGTGTAGAAATGTCAGCAGATCAACTGTTTCGATATTTCCAGTGAATAGTTCGATATTCCAAAGACTGGTATCGTCATATCTCGCTTTTGCGTTGACTGAAGCGGCTTTTACAGAACCTATTAAACCGCTCTTGTCCACCTGTCCAACCAAAATGACGCTAAGTTGCTTAAGAACAGCTGTAGAGCTAACTTCTATTTCAAATAGTGATATGAGCGAGCCATCTGCTGAATTATGGGGCTCGGGTACATTTGGCAGTCCGTCATGTTCAACCAAATTTGACTTTTTTATAAATGTTCCAAGTAACGACCAAAGTGCCAAGACAACAGCAAAGTAATCGAGTAAACTTCCTGTGGCCAGCCATGATAGATCAACAATGATTGATTCAATGTCAACTGCACTTTGCACGGAAAAGCATCGATCTGAATACTCTAAAACCAGATTTACAGCCATATTTGTACTTGACACTAGAGTTTCCAATGACGACAATGACTCTGTTGTAGGAAAAAGTGCAGAGAGTCTTTTTGATGTTGTACGAGCAAGTTGGGTATGTAATCCAGCACCTGTAAACAACACATCGATTGTGCTTTTGCAAAGCTCGATACGATCAACAGCAAGATGACTGGATGAGATCGCGGTAGAAAGCAATAGCAAATGCATGCTAGTAGATATCGAAAACAAGTCGAGCTTAAATGAAATTTGTGCAAGGTTAGACTGTTCAATATGATCGGGTTCGCCAATAGGTACTTGAATGCCAATCAGCACATCTGCAATATTGACAGTGAATATAATGTCCAGTTGATTTAACCCAAAAAGACTGCCTGCATCCATTAAAAAGATGTTGCTGAAATCCGGTTTAGGTTTTGTGTGTGATGGAATATTGATAGATGCTTCAGAGCAGACATAGATTTGAAAAAGATCAAGCACATGAGGATCCAAAATGATATGTGGGGACATGATTCGAGTAGCACACTTCAAAATGCAGATTGAACTATTTTCTTCATGACCAAAGCTTGCATTAAAACTAGCTTTCTTTACAGAGAAAAAATGGGACACTGACTTCTTATTGCAATCAAATGACATCAAATCACCGATGCTCTCCTCAACAGATGCACGCATTTCAATTTTAGGAAACACTCTATTGCGACCTGCATCTCGATCGATTTTAGCCAAAAGTTCAATGAGTTTGAATGAGAAGAGTATTGTATGTGAAGAATTAGGTTTAAAGCTAGCCGTGCTTGATTTTGTATCAAAATCTATTTTAGAATTGTCTAAAGCATTTTCAAATACATGGACAACTGCTGCGTGGTTGATTTCTATGGAAACTCTTGGAGCCATGCACGTCAATGCTTCAAGGATATCTAGAGCTGCTTTTGTGGGCAAGGGAATGTCTGTGGATGTTTCTGTGTCGATCAATGCAGTTTTTTGCAGTTCAGTGTGATTGAACATGGCTGAATCAAACGTAGATCCGTCCTGCAATGAATCTGACGTGTGGTGGGTATATTGCTTTAGTATATTCTGAAACATGGCAAGTTCTAGAGTACGAATTGTGGGATGATCGATATTGATGTTGGCAATTAAAAATGCATTCCAAGATGATCTAACTAGTGCAATGGAAAACAGTGTAGGTTGCTGACACTCGAAAACGGTTTCGCCAGAATAAGCTTTAAAACGATATGGTGATAGCGCAAGTAGCATTTCAGCACCACATTTTGAAGCAGATGGTATAAAGCCTTTCTGGGTGAATTTAGATATGCAGCTAGACGGTGCACCATCTAGAATTGAGGCAATCTCTAGTGAATGAAGCTTGGTTTCATAGATGCAGATGCCAGATACGTCTTGAATGGTTACATGAACATCAGTGACATCGATGGCGACAAGTCGCATTATGTATTGGACCAAAGTATTTGACAGAAAGGACCATACAGAAAATATTTGTTTATCTAGCGACAAAGTAGTTTTTACACTAGCATTGCTATGGGTAGAAGTAGACGCAACAACATCTTGAATTGGATTCATCTTGACAACCACCGCAACATTCTGCACAAACACACACACAAGAGCGTTGGAGTCGGGACGACGACCAAAACTGACGCCAACAGTGCCTATATGAAATGATTGAACAGACATCATTTTAATATGGAGTCGGTCATGGGAGATTTGAATACCATTCAGTCGACGCATTCCCACTCTCTGAATAGTCACTCCGAAGCGTTTAGAAAACCGGCGGACTGCACTGGCAATGCCATACCAGAACAAAATAGTGCAGACAAGTAACAGTATCAACGATATCCAGAACGATGAGACCATTATATCTAATGAATAGATAAAATAATTTACAGCCATGTTCATGTAAAATAGAACACTTGTATTGATATTGCAATGGCTAAATAGTCATCGCACTTTGTTGCTAGAAATTGGTATTCTTGAACACAGCGTCCATACAAATCAAACTGGTTTTGAAATGGAATTATTCTTGCATGTACGATCATCAGACTCGTTTAAATCCAGATATTGAGCTCTGATACAAGATTTATCAAAACAGATGTGAGCATTCATTCAGTTATACAAAGATCAGTCAGTTGAGTACATTGTCATGAGATTGACTTGTTTATTGCTTCATTCTATGTGAATGCGATTGCAGGAATAGCAATCATGCAATCTGTTCAAAACAAGCTTCAGTTTATTGATAATACTTTGTAATGATTCAAGATTCGCATTACAAAGTTGGTTTTTCTCATACAAAATAACAGCAATTTCCCATGTAAGAGCATTTGGTTGTATTTCTGTCTTGTAGCAATACTTGGTTATTGCTGTCTTTATACTCTTTTGACTGACTGGTTTGTTTTTGAAACAATGATAAGACATTGCTCAGATGAGTACAGAAATGACTGGTGCTGATGATATAGTTGCGTCAAAAGAATCCTCTATTAATAATACAGATTCTGCTCTTTCGCTTGGTACGAGTGTTATTCATCTCATATGCTTGTCACTTGTTCAACATCGGACAGCAACTTTAAACCTGTTGACAGCTTGCATTCTGGTGTTTATTGTTCTATCCTGTCAAGCCTTTTGAACCAGAAAGACTCACATAGTTTATCCATGTATTAGAACCCAAAATCTCAATCAAAGTGGCATTTGGAAAGACAAGCCATGTTATTCCATTGACTGGTTCGAATCTGGTCAAGGATCTTAAACTCGCACTCTCGGAACTGACTGGTATTGAGCCATCCATGCAGAAACTCTTGTTCAAAGGTGTCCTCAAGGACGACCAAACAATTGCCGAGGCAAATATCAAGGATGGAAGTAAAGTCATGATGATGGCATCTACAGCCAAAGATCTGTTGAATATGGCAACTGTTGCTACTACGCCTGCTAGTCCATCTGATTTCGTATTCGCTCACAAAACCGCACTGTGTACATTAACAGTAAGAGTAGATTATACATGTGTTTGTTATACTGTAGTAGCACGAGTCTATCATCTATACTCGGGATGAATTGCAGTTGCAAGTATTTCCAAACCTAAAACTACCAGCACGGTAATAGCATTTAACCAATGTCGATACATTTTAGGAACACAAGAAGATTATAGACAAGGGCAAGCCGACAGATGCCGAAAAAGGAGTATGTGGTCTGCATCTTCCAATTCCACCACGAGGTGTATCGGGACTATTAAACTCGCGCGGTGGAAAGACTCGTCTAGTATTCAGACTGGAACTGGATGAACTATGCATCTCTACCAACGACAACACTCAAAAAATACCACTTTCATCCATTGCAAAGGTTGTCTGTGAGCCTATTATTGGACATGATGGATACAGTATGATGGGATTCCAGCTCGGACCAACTGAAAAGTAAGAAATAGAACTCGAATCATTGTATTTAAAGTAAATAGATGCTTACTGTGTATGGTAGATCTACGTACTGGGTGTATTTTGTGCCAGATCAATTCACGTTGCATATTCAGCAGGCAATCTCGTGGTGACATGTGCTATCCATTGCAGTTTTAAGGAAATAAAGTATAAACTATTTCAGCAGTCTACACTGAATGGTCCAATGGCTAGACCTGTATATTTTAAACAGTTGAATCCTGAACGTGATAGATCGACCGACTGCATTCATGAGCAGCACAAGCACAAGACAGAGTCCAGTATTCACTGTGTGCTGACTATCAACACTACTTTTTCTGTGCGTAATCATCGCAGTTTGAATCTTGTCGAGTATGTTGCCAGCCACTGCGTAAACCGCCAATAAAAATTGCTTTGCTCGCATTTTAAACATTTATCGTTGCCATTTAGCAGTTCTGAATAGTTGGCCACAAACTGGATTTGGTTGATATCAGACCAAAGCACGGCCAAGAATACTGCCATTGTCACTAGAAACTTGAATATTTTATTGCTACTCTGTTCTAGATGGATTCAAAGTTGCCAACTCACGACGATGATGCTTCTGGTAAGCCTGGAATGGTTGGATGTCATTCGACTGTTGTGTGCAGTTTGCATGATTTATAGCAGCACATGTACTATGGCTCATCTTGAGCATATTTACATGTACGCAGCATGAGTGAATTCATAAAGATATCATGAATTCACTATCAGGCCATCACTCCTGTTTTGTATTTAAATAGTTTCAGCCTATTGCTGCCCTAAACTCATTTTTTCATCTTCATACTGTTATCATGACAATGCATTCAGGCTTCCTTCCTCAGCAAACGCTTCATGATGCAACATCTACACTTTCCATGACTGTCCAAGATTCAACGACTAGCTCGATTCAGCCCTCCTCACACACACCTCCCGCATCTACATCCACCATGACTGGGTTTACCAATGGAACAGAAACGGAATCTCATGAAAGCCCTAAACATTCAACCGTGCATGGACCCATATCTGGACAGCTTTCTCCTAGCCCAACTGTCATTTCAAATTCTCATCCAAGTGTTTCTTCTATAGATGCAGAACGAGTGGAACGCATCGCGATGTTGATCCGCCAACACAAGGAAATGCATATCAACAAATCGACTGGAGTTGCTGCGATCCCTGAACGTAGTTTTTCATCTACGACTTCTCCATCTTGCGGCTCCACTCCTACTGCCATATCAAATGCATTTCCTTTAACCTCTCCAAGCACTGGCGCACTTTCCCAATACGCCTCTCCAGCAGCCATATCTGCATCCAGTCTTGACTATCCGTTGGAAACTTCAACCATAGACTCAATGATGGATAGAGATGCTTTATCTACACGTACACCTTCTCCTGAAATGTCCTTGACTAGCGATAGTGAGTATCATCTATACAACCGCAGTATAAGTTCCTTGGGGAGTAAAACCTCGTCATCATTGTCAAAACAATTTTCAACTTCCACATATAGAGCGTTAGACAACTCGCAAAAACACCCCAGCCACGATGTATTCACCTCATATAATGGGCTACGTGCACCGTCACCTACTCGGTCTTCTGCCAAATTTGGATCGCACAATGCATATTCTACCGAATCGCTATCAACTATGCTTACTCCATCTGAGCTATTCAAACAATACAAGGAATGCGATCCAAACGATGTTGGTCGAATGCTGTATGAAGGGTCCTTGCCTGGCTGTCGACCAAATGATATTTCACTAATTATTGGGAAAAGGTGTATTGTGCCGCGAATCATGTGGATTGTTGTAACAAATAATTTGGATGCATTATTGACATGAATATTTTATTAGTGATGCGTATCATACAGTTGTTCGTACAAGTTATATGGAGTGCTTTGATTTTTCAAATATCGGGTTAGATCAAGCGTTTAGGTAGTCTTTTCAATCTGCCATGAATGGGTTTGAAACACCTTGTGTAGTTGTAAACAAAATGCTAATTGGATATTTAACTAGACAACTGTGCAAGAAACTCTATCTCGCTGGCGAGACACAAATGGTTGATCGTATTCTTTATCAATTTTCGAGAAGATATTGGGATTGCAATCCTTTGTTACAACCAACATTTCGAAGCGACGGTAACGAATTTTGCTTCAAGATATGCACTGTTTATTTATGACAACATGGGATAGTGTTGTATCAAACAACGTATAACTGACATGCCAATATCCATTTGTGTAGATATTGTATACGGTATTCTGTTTTCGCTTGTGCTTTTAAATACTGATTTACATATTGTAAATGTTGGACCCAACTCGAGTAAACGCATAGCACGGAGAACGTTTTTAAAAAATACAATGGAATTGGTAGACACCATGATTGAAAACGATGATAAATTAAAAGAACAGGCTGTGATGGACATTGAAGCAGCACGAAAATGGAAAAAGGGATTGGAACTGATTTTAAGAGTAAGCTTTTACACCAAGTGCATACTATACTTATCGTACATGCACTTGTCTATTACTAATAATACTGCTACGTTTGCCATGATAGGATTTATATGCATCTATTTTCAGACACCGTATTATGCAATTGACAGCTGTTCCTATTGGCTCCAGTGATGAACTGGCAGCTTCTGCCAATCCACAGGCACGAGAATGCACAGGCCATGATTCGTCAAACTGGTCCTTGTCGTCTTCACAATCTGTTGGGTCCATGGCATTACATACGGACACTAAAGAACGCGGAAGTATATATTCTTTGGGACACTTTCGTCGAAAACATATGGCTCCTGGCGATCGGAGTTCTATTATGGGATTTATTCGTGCTGCAACAGACATATCTGCATCTATTGGATCAGGGATGTTTGAAACAGCGACAAATACATCTACGGATCGCACTACACCCACTACAACAGAACACTCTGAGCGAGTCGTTGGTTCGCCTACACGATGCACTGGAGTTATTTTAGAAGGTTTGTTAATTCGCAAACATATTTTGGAGATGGGCGGTACACGTGCCAAGAATAGACGCTGGTGTAAGTTTTGGTGCATTCTTCGTTCCCAGCCAGATGGTATGATTGAATTGGTGATGCACAAGCTAGCATTGCCCAATCAACCCGAAGCATTTGAACCATCGGAATTATCTGGAAATTCTGTTGTAGCGTTTGACGACCACTTTGAATCCAAAAGTACACCTACACTGGTATCGTCATCAACTACACCGACCACATCGCCTCGTACGTTGATTCAATCTCCGTCAGGCCACACAAGTTCTTCTTTTTTATCGCCTAATATTTCAAATTTTGGATTTCGATCCAGTACATTTCAAAGCCGTAAGCAAACGCCATTAACCGAATGTGTAGATGAAGTATCAAGTCTGTCATCTACGCCTCCAGATCGCCGATACAGTGCCGAGTTTCCAACTTCCACTCCATCCGAAGCACCCGTCATTCGACTTGCAATGCGTGAGCCTGAAGTATTTCCACTCCTTCATGCTTGCTGCAGCATTTTACACGCAGCCTACTCAATAGCTCGTCCTCATGTTCTAGCTCTTAAACTGGCTAATGGCAGTGAATACTTTTTTCAATCGCCAACCCACGAGACTGTTACTGAATGGTCGCATAACATCAACTACTGGGCTGCACGCAAAAGCAAAGAGCCGATGCGTGGATCTGCTAGTTCTATGGAATATGGATGGACATGGATCATTTGGGAAAGAAAGGTATGGCAAACTGAAGGTCCTCAACCTCCTGTTGATGAAGATATGATGGGGCCTCTGTATTATTTCCAAAACTTGAGGCTTCGAACAGGGTCTGTAGACACGACTGCAAGTGCAGCTAGAACAAGTAACGCCAGTATGGCATCCAGCGAGCCTTTAAAAAGCAGCAGTACAAGTGTGCGTAGCGTTGCTAGTACTATGAGTGATGGAAGTGCAACCACTTCAAATTTCACTCCCAGTACAAATGGTACGAGTGTGATTTCGTTTGGTTTTAGTGGATCTAGAACAGCAAAGCATAAAAGTAAGCCCAAACCAAAAATCTCGGAATGGATTCCGCCTGGAGGGCTTGGCCATATTGTCAGTCCTTTTAGCGAGGTGAGTTTTAGGCCGTATAACCATGTATTTTAAAAACAGCTAGCAGTCTGTCAAACACGTCTAGATTCAACACTAACTATACACTATTTCCTTGAATGGGATCATCCAGGCAGTACAGCTTGAATCCATGCAGCGACAAGTAAATATTGTCAAGACTGAAATTCTCGAGCATTTGAGTTTCAAGGAGCCGATGGATAAACACTTTGCGGATTCTCCCAGTACACATAGCAAGGCGTCATTGAATTGGAACCGGCGATTGCGTTATCTTGAAATTGAGTTACAAAAGTTTACAACGTATGTAAGAGTGCTGACTGACGGACGAGAACACAAGGAGCCGACCTATTTAACTGGGAGTGTGATGGCTGCCATGTCAAAGCCGGATGAAGAGCAATTGGAAACGGTTTCGCAAGAGTCGGATCTAGTTTTAAGTGTGAACCACTGCAATGGCGATGATAGTGTTGCGGATCAACCCATTGCATCACATGGCGATCCTGTCACGATGCAAGATAATGCGCAGATTCTGCCTAATATAGATGGTGCGGGAGTTGTGGCTGAGACCGTTGAGCTGAATTGATTGGGTTCATCATTTATTTTTTGGATAGTATGAATGCGCTGACTTGCGATACTAGTCATTCTGTTTAACCAACTCGCCGTCCAGCCTTTTATAAATCACCTTTTAGCCACTAATTTTTGGTTACTATACATTTTTAATTTTTACCACTTCCATTCTCGATTGCCTGAATAAATACGAAATTCTAAATTTAAATCCACTACAGTTGTATATTCGCAAAACGAAACACCAAGGGTGAATCCAATGATGGTACAATACATGTCATGTCAAATGAGGACAGTCAGCCCAAAACTACAGTTTGAGCATCATGCAATGGACGCTGGAAGAATTGAGAAGGTTGATTGAAACAGCGTAATCAATCTCTAATAGCAAATAGAAATGAATACCTAACAATCGTTTATTCCGAATCAAAATAAAGTCACTGCAGGATGAATACGACTGTAGATTCATAATCTGGCAAGAGTAATTGTCTTGATGCAAGTCGAGGGTTTAGCCTGGTCCAACACGAGGGATATCATGATGTTCTGACAAGGATTCCAGATATGCATTGAGATCCTAAACCATAATCAGTCAGTTTCTACATCAATGCAGTTGAACCCATCAACCATGGCATTTCATTATAAATTCATACTTACAGCTACTCGTTCTTTGTGTGATTTAGAAGCAATTTTTTCAGCCTTTGCATCCAACTGTATTCCAAGTATCAGAATATTGAAAGTCAGTATGTCACTATAATCCTGTTTATCATTGAATGCATTTTAAATCCATGGTGCTAGCAAGTTTCTTACTCGTTTGCGCTGGACTTCTCTGAATTTACGCTCAGCTTCCGTCATTCCAGAATCGACAGACTTTTCTTTTGACTCGGTTGTAGTATGTGTTGTGGAGGTATCATTGGATCCAGGAGTTGTATGTGAAGTCTTTTTGGATTTCTTGTTCTTCTTACTACTGTTGGTTTAAGAATCAGAAATACTTCAAATCTGTTACTGGATGGGTTTGTGTACTTACATTTTTGATCCAGAAGTTGTTCCTTTCAGTTTGAGTGCACCTCCAACAAACCCATCCATATTCAGCGACTCAGCGTTTAAATAAAGTTGAATGTTGAAATGACTGGCAATAAATTATTCATCCAAAAACAGAGATTTTCATTTGTGAACAAATTAGTAAGTTGACATCAAAACTAGAGAATCGAATGGAACAAATGTTGAATGAAATAATGGATTAAATGGCTCTAAGCAAACTGGAACATGATGGCAATGATGGCCGAGGCAGCAAGTGCAGCCGTAAAAGTATTTCCTACTACGACTGTTCCACTCTTGTCCTTTGGCTTGTCAGCAGTAGTACCAGCCTTCTCCTTGGCTTGAATAGCTTCCTTTTGGAACAAGTCTGAAGCAACCAAAACCTGGTGGACATTTGCCAAGTTGGGATCCTCAGCAGTAGCCTTCAATCCTTCCGAAACTTGCTGTTGAGCACAATACGTAGTTGTATGTGTCGGATCCATAAAAATGGCCGTCATGATGGATTGGAGCGATGATTGCTGTTCCAACTTGTCCTTCACCTCTTCATATTGAGTTCGTAAGCAGAACTTTGACTTGTCCTCGGTGCGAATACATCCTTGTTTTTGACCCAATCCAACATAACTGGAAATCGACGAGACAGTAAGATCGCCAGTTAATCCTTCAACACTTGGAGCATCGTCTGTAGAAAGACGAGCCTTGGGTTTAAATAGTTTTTGATCCCCACATACAGGTTTGAGAGAAGGACCAAAACTGCTCACAGCACCTCGACACATATCTGAACAAAAGTTGTCCAAAAACACATCGTCTTTCAGGATTTTAGAAAGATCGGGTTTATGGAGAATCTCGGGAGTAAGACCTGGGCATGCAATACTGAGTTCCATTAGTTTCACCTGGAGACCTGCCAAACACAAAGGAGTAAGAGAGGGATTGAGATCCGGACCAGAGCTTGAACCAGAGCTTGGACCAGCAGCGGCAGCAGCAGCAGCAACAGCAGCAGCAGTAGCGGTAGCAGTAGCAGTAGTAGCGCCAGTAGCGGCAGCACTCTTGCTGAGTTTGGCTACACCACCACCTGGTGCTTTCTTTCCATCCTTCTGGGATTCATCTCCAGCAAAAACTGCATTGGCAGCAAGAGCAATAGACAAGGCAAGAGCAGTTTTAATATGCATTCCGGAATATAAAAGTTAATTAGGAGAGCGATATGCTGAGCTTACTTTATTTATGTAGATATACTGGTTCGTACAACGGTTTGTGAATAAGGGAGAAGGGATGGATGGCCCAAGAAACAAGAGCAAGCAATATGGCTTGTATGAATCCCTGCAAGTGATAACAGGGCCGACAAGCTGTGTCATTTGATATTACCTTACCGTTACATTCACGTAAAATGAAACACCAAAAAGGGCTTCCAAGTACATGATAAACGGCCAGTCTCGTGAATGGTTTGCCAATTCGCACCCAACTTACTGGACAATTGTTGATTCGACTTTGGTTTCTGCTCATTTTTATATAAAAACATTCCTGTCCTGATAAACACAACATGATTGACACTTGTTGCTAATACAACTGTTGTTTACTGAGCATTGGGTGGCTAGTATGGAAACAATCGTCGCATTTCTGATGCGTGCAATCCTTTTATTCAACTAGAACGCGAATGAGTTTAAAAAACAGCAGCTTCAATATCATGGTCGTGTCAGATATCCTTTTCAAAAGGCCGCAAAGATTGAATTGAAACCAAAAAAGGACTCCCTACACAAGCCACGTCCAGAACTGTGTTCATTATTGGAAACGTTGATTTACACAAGAATTGTCCGGCATTACCATATTAAAAAGACTCTGCCGCATCCTAAAACTCCATACATTTGCATTATAGTTCAAAAAAGCAGTGATCGTAGCCATTGGCATGCAATCTCTTTTTTCACGCCAATCACTCAATGTCATGATGCTTGTTTTGAAAAAAAGGGTTGAACAATTGCGGATGCATTAGAGCAGTAATGTAAACAGAGTTCAAAAACAATATTTCTAGTCAACTGACACACATCATTTCATGAGATTGGCTGTTTATTGTGTATTTTGTAATACTTTAGTGTTCCGTTTTGCGTGAATATGGCAGTCAAGGAATGATTGCAATTCAAGCATAGAATCAATGGTTGTGAGATGACAGTCAATACAGCCTCAATCCATTTAGAAATTCGGTCATCAAGTTGGAGTATAAATAAATCAGTGATTTTTGTTCCAAATGGCATCCAATAAAACAAATATATTAAAAAGCCAATCCGTTTAAATAAAAAAAAGAACATGCAAACCAGTGTAAGATGATATTGCATCCATGTCAAAAACTCGGTATCCTATTCAAACAAATGTGTAGCAAGCGTTTCCAAGGATGGACTTCCAACCGATTCTCCAGTGTTTATCCGTACAGCAGTCTCTAGCACCGACACATCTAAAGGTCGTTGGCGCGTTCGTTCATTCCAATGCAAACACCTCCTTAAACTTTCAAACCAATCACTGGATTGATCCTTCATACATACGCTTGGCATCGGCCACCGAGACATGGTAACAGCAATGTAGTCACCTTGTTTGAGCTCGATGCGATGACGGCCATCAAAAGAAGCCCATGCCGTGTTTCTGGAATCCAAAGGCACTTGAACTTTGAGTTCAATTGAGTCTGGAAGAAGCATGGGACGGAACGACAATGAGTGTGCACAAATTGGTGTAATGAGAAACGATGGAACTTCTGGGTGAACCAACGACCCACCTGCTGACAACTAATATACAAAGAGTAAATGTTAGTTGGGTACTGTAATGATTTGATCATAGGAAATTTCAACTATCTTGACGTGATGTACTTGCCGAGTATGCAGTACTTCCAGTGGGTGTAGAAAGCACAAGACCATCGGCCTGAGCCGTTGTCAAGTGTCTATCATCCACAAACAGTTCTAGCTGACTCATGTAAGCACTTGGTCCACGATCTACCACCAAATCGTTTAAAATCTGAAATGTTTCTGTCAATACAGCTGGTTCAAGCTGCAGCGCATTGCAGCTATGATCAGAGCGTAAGTGCTTAAAAGGTTGACGCGATTTGGTCGAGTTGTGATGGGTATCATGGACTTTGGTTGAATCATCGTGACAGTCATTATTACAACTAATGTTATGGATCGAGTCTTTTGTAGCATCACCTTGCAAAGGAAGAGACTCGACTGCAGAAACAGTAGGTTTACTTTGAGCATATACATGAGGTCGTACTGGTATACTTTGAGATGTAACAAGATCAGAAAGAGATGTGGCTTTTAGACTTTTAGACAAAAGATCCAAAGGAGATCCAATGGTGTCTGTCGAAACAATGTCATCTGTTTGTATCTCCAAGAATTGGGATTGCTCTTGATGAGAGCTAGGATAGCTGTGTGAATTGGTAGACGAGACCTTGTGGGTGCTTGCGGATACAGTACACGTGCTGGGCTTGTCCAGTTTTGTATGACGATAAACTGCACAGTTTAATCTCATTCGCATGTTGACTCGAACACCTTCACCGACACATCCAATAACACGCTCCAACACATGACGAATGTCTGCAATATCAAACACAGTGAGGAATCCAAGTGATCCCAGGTGGAAAGGAATGATTGGAGGAACTTGAGCTTTTTGAAAAAGCCAAGATGCAAACAGAACTGTACCATCACCACCTAAAGTAACAATAAAGTCGATGGTATCAGCATTAGATATGCATAGCTCAGGTGTCCAAAACTTGAGTCTGTCCTTGATATATGGCTTGCAACTCAACAGCTGTTCGTATCCAAAAACAGGATGATCTTTTAAGCTAGACTCTACAAATCTATTTTTATTGAAACAAGGCGAGAGGGGTTAATAAAAAATACAAAACAGCATGCAGGGTACATATCAAACCACATACACAGAAAGACCCGAAAGACCGATACAATCGCGAGGCGTTTCCATCAAATACAAGGCTAGATGACGGGTGAACAAGACAAATGCAGAATCAGCAGCCCGAGCCACAATCATGGCAGTATGGGGTCGCTCCAGTTTGACAATAGCTCTTCCTAGACTCCCAAGAGAATAGATTGGTGCAATTTGATATATCAGGGTATACAATTCATTAGTATATCAGACGAGCGTGACTAGAAAATCGATTCCATGCAGATGTCAAGGGTACCAAGCAACCTTTTACAGCCGTATTTGTGTAAAATGGAGCACTAAATAAGGAAACCAAAGTGCACAAGCAGCCAATCTCGAATGATTCATGCCAGCAAATTTACTGGACAACATCCTGATGATCAACATGAAAATGACGACTGCATTTCTGAGACATGCAGCCTTTGGTTTCGAGGGTTAAAGCGCGAACGTAACTGATATTAGAAGACAAGGAATTTGCAGACTTGAAAGCAGTCCAATTCAACATCTGGGTTGCAATGCATGAAATTGATTCAACCCAGATGGTCACTGTTTTGACAATGGTATTGAAGCAGACCAACCAATTTGTAGGAGTGACGATTTAAACATTTTGCATGTCAAGACAAAGTATTCTATTTTACGTGAATACGGCTGTAGCTTGAAACAAGAGGGTCTTGATGCAATAAAGATATCAATACCTATCCACTTTGCGGCATCTCTGACATGAACAGCATTTTCTGCCAAACAGTGAGTGACTGAACGAGAAGTGACTGGATGTTTAAGCGGAATAGAATCTATCAAACAAGACGAATTAGTAATTAGATTGACAGTAAAACGAATGTCAAATCCAGCCAACCTTTTGGCATGACAGCAACACAGTGCGTTTAGAATTCAATTTGCATTTCAAAAGTAAATTAGTTACACGTGACTTGATGTTATTTTTGTTTGTCGTTTCAAACTCAGAAATGTTCATAAATGGCTCGTCAGCACACTCACTGGCTGATGAGCAATATGTTTCTGTTGCTGCTGCTCACCATGCATGCATGGCTGCTTGTCTCTGCTCAGTCCGATACGGTTAAATCTACTGCCGTGATTGCAACTACTTCAATATCCTCTCCTGTTCATACGTGCACTTCCAACAGCGACTGTCCCGTCTCGGCTCCAAACTGTCTAGCTGGCTACTGCTCTGTCATCCTCTCTTCTACCACAAACTCTCCTTCAGAAACTGTCTTGTCTCAACCCACCGATGCTGCACACCACCCGTCCACCAATCAGCAATCGGCCAGCCCTTTTACTGGCTCGGCCGGGTTTAATGTTGCCAATTCAACAGCCACACCAAGAAATTGCTCTCAATGCAATCTGCCTGATATCTGTGTGAACAATGTCTGCCAGTCACCATTCACCCACTCGTTCTTTACTCCAACTGTAAGCATTGTTTTTACATGTGTCTTGTCTAGTGGATTCCTCTACCTGCTTCAAAACTTCATTTTCGGAATCTATGTTGCATTGCAGAATCCTATTCACTCTTTTATAGACTGAATGGGTTGTAAATGTATCAATTGTAATTTGATTTTTATCATGCATTACTTTGAATGTATTCATCTATACTTGTAGTTTAGAGATGGGTTGACCTTTTTTGTATAAAGCCACCCATTGTAACTAACCATTTCAACATTCTTCCATACTAGGTGATTCTGATTACTGCTGCTATATGCTTGGTTATATGCGGTTTGGGTGCCTGTCTGATCTGCTTTTGCTGCAAGTGCTGTTGCTTTTCTGCTCGTACCGGAAATAAATCGGGCTCGCTTATTCCTCTTAGTGCCCAAAAAGCTTCCAATGATTCTTCTAAAAATAACCCGGAAAAATCTAGAAAAGGCTACCGTACTTATCATGGAGGTGCAAACAAAACGACAGCCATGAATGGACAATTGTCTGCCACCACTACTAAAACTTCCTTGAAAGATGCCAATCTATCTGTTACCACCCCTGATCCTGTCTATACAGCCTTTGCTCTACCTCTTCATACCAATAATAAGGATACAAAGGGTCCTGCGGCATTGCCTCCAAACTACCAAAAACCTTGCGATCTGTTGGATTTGGTTGAAGAAGTTGTTGAAATCGTCCCTCAACCGCAGCTTAAACCGCAATTATCACAACGATCTCGGCAGCAGCAGCAGCAACAGCAGCGCCAATACGAACATTACTTGCAGCAACAGCAATATGAGAATCTTCAACGAAAACAACTTGAACAGCAACAATATAATACGCAGCAACAATATAATATGCAACAACAGCAACTTCAACACATTTCTTTGGAGCAACAGCTGCATCCAGCATACGAGAATCAAAAGATTGTCCCACAACAAACTATGGAACAAACATCATATGATAATCAATCCTTTCAACAAAAAAGCATCAATATTCCATTCACTCCTGCTAGTGCAGTCTCATATTCCCATATACAACATCAGCCTGTCATACCATCTGAAATTGGCCCTGTTATGTCTGATCAGTTTAATCCTCCGTCTGCACCTGGATTCTTTGCCTTTTGGGATAAATATGGCTGGTTTCACCAAGGATACACGGACAAGTATGGCACAATTCACGGCGGCATATTTGACGATGAGGGTCGTTTTCACTTTGGTTACATAGGCGCTCAAGAACCTGTTGAAGTGGAACTAGACATGATGGCTCGTTCAGAACATACTGATGAATCTTACGATGGTCAAACTCTTGTCAGCTCTAGTAATAGTAAGCGAGAACTTCCCATGACACCGCGTGATTTAGATGACCATGTCTTTCAAACCGTTAGTCGTTTCAATACAACTGCAGGCCAGTATGGTGGCAATTATTTGACTTTAAAAGTAGAGTTGGATCAGTCAGATGCAAATCGTGTATTTGAAGACGACATTCCACATTCCGCTACTATAGCAAATGCCACACATATGCCAACAGAATCGGAACCATCTATATTGAAACAATCGTCACAGCAGCAGCATAAAATGATGTCCTCGGCCATAACAGAATCAAGAGATGCCATAATTGATTCAAACACTGTCTTGAATCAGCAACCGCCTTTGTTACCCTCTCAAAACAACACTTTTGTACCAAAAAAACCATCTGAAGAGCCAGACACATCTGGATATCAGTTGGAACCATCACATAAGCGAGTAGATAATTTAAATCGTAGTTTGTTTACACCAACTGCTATTGGATCATTGGACGTTTACCATGATCGCAGCATTAACAACAGTGACGCGTATAGAGGATCTCCATGAGTTTTATCTTTGTTCATAATAAATATCATGGATGGAAGGATGCTCTGCGATGGATGAACTCTGTGACTGTTTTACTCACGGATGAATGTGTAGGGCTGTGCATACGCCCGAGTATACTCTGCAATGAGTTGATTCATCCTATTCAATTCTTTTTCTTTTCTAGAAATATGTATTTGTTCTATACGACTTGTTTGATCATGAACTTTACCAATGTAAATCACCAATAAAGTATTATGACTTGATTTGGGTTTGAACAGTTGATGTTGACATGAGTCACAAGTGGAGAAAGCCTGAGGACAAGATAATTTTGATTGCTTTTCAACACTCGTTGAATTTGCTATTTCTGCAAACCATCAAACTGCAAGTGGCCATGGTAAGCTGTGTTTCTCTTTTGTAAAGAAACACTTTTAAAGTATTGCTTTAAAACAGACTTGTAACATGTCTGAGTACTGACACGACCATTAACCTGTGTCAAGCCTTGTCATTGTCAGTCCATCTAACCCAATTTACTTTCTCTTTTCATTTATATATTGTATGGGTTATTCGGACTATAATCTAATGGTTTATTGACCGCTTTGGACAATCTATTCATGTACTGATTTTGGGCCGGCATCAGTCGAAAGATGCTTTATCAACAGATTTATCGTCGCTTGGTATGTTTTCCATTACATCAGCAACACTATTGTCATCTTCAATCACTATGCACAACAGCCTTTAAAAACTGGCACTCGTTGCATTCTGTATAAAATTGAATCAAGTATTGATTTTTGGATACCTTTGGTTCGACTTGAATCTAATCTTAGCTTTTGGTTATTGGATATTGTATTCTCCGCCATCCATTTATCATTTTCAATTTTCATTAGTGATTGTACGAGATTTTGCATTCGCGGCAACAGATGCCAGATTCAATGGAAAATCATCAGCTGCTTCAACAGATACCAAATCAAAAAAGAACGATGCTTTACGACAGTCCAACACTGCCGATAACGAGTCCATGTCTCATGGTCAGGATGCCATGCCATCGTCTGACGGTGTGTTGCAAGGCGATTCCGACACCCATCACATGGATGACTCGGATGGTGAGGTAGACGTGGCCGGCCAAGGATGGGAGTGGAAATGGAGTTTTCGCACCTCAACCGCCAGTCATAGAAACAGCAATACATTTGGCTCTACCGGATCGCAACGCAACTCTGCCTTGGAGAAAAAAGGGGTTGATGCTTCTATACCCACACCTGTTTTGCTCTCGCTTAAATTGTCTGATTTAGATTCGATCCTGTTGCCAACTCTTGTACATACACTTGAAAAAGAACTGGGATATATTCCAGATGTTACACCTACTGCATCAACTACACAATCATCAGTACACGCTCAAGTGGTCGACACACCCGTATACAGATTAAAGGTTCATCGCATGCATGCCGTGTTTCCATTTGTCAAGGCTACTGAATATGAAATGTCAATGGAGAGTGGGGACGAGCTCATTATTATTTCAAAGCACGCTGGGGATGTCAAACCGCATACAGATGACGAGTACTTCACGGAGTCGCTTGATGCGGTCATTGTAAAGGATACTGATACTGCTATTGGAAAAGATACAGATGCGATGGAAACCAAAGACTCCAACAAAAAAGTCATATCTGGTCGATGGACTTCAATTGATGAGTTGGAGGATGTCGACACACTTTTAGGTGCTAGATCTAGTAGTACATCCACCACCCCATCAAAATATCTTACTCGTGAAAACATGACCATCACTTACTCTCCAGCGGTAGATGAGCTTTCACTCAAAGTACAGGAATTTTTGGATTATAATCGTAGCTATGGAGCTGGGTGGTTGACAGGGCTAAAGCTGCGTGTATATGGCAAATGGGAAGACCCTACCCCTGCTATCGAGTCACGAAAAGCTATCATCACCATCCAACTATGTGGAATTGGACTTGTTCCTGGAAACTACTGCGAAGCTTCATAATATTGATATCCAGCCCTTCAGATTTCATATCCTTTAACCTCAATAAATTTTCAATATCGACATTTTTTAAATCCACAATGAATAACGAATCATGAAAGTCGGTCCTACCCAACCCGTTTATTTCTAAAAACAACAGCATTAAACATCCGACTAGTTTTTAATTTACCAATATCTAAATCCATCAAGACTTTTGGCTGTTTTTGGTATTGAAAACGCATGACACGACAATCACTCGATGGTTTCAATTCTTTTTTCAAATACAGCGTCCATCAATAATCAAACTATAGTATTGGACTGGACTAGAATGATTGTGGTTGGGTAGTCATACATTGTACAGTCAATAAATTCACTACAATCGCATATTGTGTTTGATCCTGTCAATACAACTCTACTTTTTGTATCCTACAAACTCGTATATTTGTGTTCTAGTTCAAGAGAACAATGATTGCATGGTTGTCATGCAACTATTGGTTCTATACCCATCACACAATATGTACCTGTAATAAAAGGTAAATTGAAGGTTGGACAAGTATCAAGGATATGGAATGTATTGAATTTGAAATGCATCTGTTTGGTTTGTGTTCCATCTCACGCGAATATGGCTATAAAAAGCTTGTCCAAAAAGCATAATCACCAGCACTCTTGCACATTATGATATTTGATACTGTTATATTGTCATGAATGAAACGATTACTAAAAGTATAAAACTTGCATGCCAAGACCATTCATGGGTATCACTTTAAACACTGTATTTTATGATATTTAACACTGGACAACTAGTTGAGCCATGTTGAATGCTAAAAAATAATTTTAGTCATGATAAACACATCCATATACTGTCTTTGTATACAATGTGCAAGGTTGAATCTATTGGAGTGTAAATGGATAAAATTGCAGTTTAATTTATTAATACTATTAAATTGAGTAGATTCAAAAGTCTAATATCTGCGACCAAACTGACGATGTCCAAACTGTTGATGTCCAAATTGATGATGTCCAAACTGCTGATGATGCCCAAACTGTTGATGTCCAAATTGGTGATGTCTAAATCTAGATCTACCATATCCTGGCGATCGCTTTTGGAGATCATTTCTGTGAATAGCTGGAATAACCGTGGCACTAGCCGTGGCGACGACAGCAAAAACCAAGAGAGTAGTGGGATGCATAACTGATAATAAAGGTGATTGATTTTAGTTGTAATATGGTAGAATATGGATTAAATTATTATGATGGATATACGAGCATTATTTATAGACTTTGAGTTGATTCTATTGGAATCATTACACCACAGTGTGTGTTGTATTTTTGACTAAGCTGCATTAATTCCAAGGACAGTTTACATGGCATAACTGTATAGCCTGATAGGTACTTGGTGTATTATTTGGTAGGCCATTTCGTGTTTTCAAGCAGCCAACACATTTCACTGAGTTGGTTTATTGTTGGTGTAATCCGTATTTGGACCTGCCAATACACAATTCTACAGCGCAGTATCTAAAATTCGTACACAAGGTACAGAAATGTTTTGACTAGTATATCGAATGGAACTCCCAGCCATCAAAAAGTATTGATATCTATGCATACACATAAACGGATATACCAGAAAAGTTTATTGAAATTTGGATCCAAGACAAGTGCCGAAAAACGAAAACAAAAATTAATTATAGTATGTGCTTGATGAGCGTTGAGAAAAAGGTTAAAAGCTCATGATTGTATTGGGTGCCAAGTTACTTTGCGATGCCAGCAGTATCGCATGCTCGATCAATCCGACCCAACGCTTCGTGTAGTGTTTTTGACAGGATATTTTTAGATCTAGCAACCACATCAATGCCATCCATAATTACACGATGTGTCTTGGTATCCAGTTGAACATTGGTGGTTTCTAAATGATCCAGGCTTGATGCATTTAACGATGCTGCATGCAGCAGTTCAGGTTTAACAGTTCCTGCTCCAAAAGCATCTAGTAATAGCAAGAATGCATTTTGAGCTGCTACAGCCATGCCTGCGACTACTGCCGCAGGTTGTGATGAGGATGCTGTGATATGAGTAGCAGCAAGCGAGGATTGCAGCTGAATGCGACTCTGCTGAGATTCCAAAACAAGGCCTGGCGGTGCGAGTGCAAAAGGCTTGATGTCGTCCAGTCGCTCCAGCATGCGCATAATTTGATCATCAAGCATAGCAAGTTTTTTTGTCAACTGTGGTAATGTTAATGGCATTTCTCCGATCGAATTTGACAGACTGGTATGAGTGGATTGTTTAGAGACGAATGGATCAGCAAGCCCTATGTTTCTGATTCCCTCGTGAGATGGTTTTTGTAAGCATGAAGATGCTGTTTTGCCCATGGCAGAGCTTGCAGACATGGTTTGTCTGCAGACAGGTGATGACAGTTTTGCATTCAGTCCAGCCACAGCATTGGGACTGTCAGGAAGAGGGGAGAGAGGCATGACTTGGACAGGAAGGGCTTCTCCCATAGACGCAGGCTTTGATACGGTAGTAGAGGGTTCAGGTTTAGTAGCAGACAGCAGAGTAGAACAGTCAGGATTGACAAGGACACAACTGCTGTCGCTGATCTCATCATTGTAGTTGCTTGGCTGAGAAGAGGCCAAACTAGCTGATAAAGATACAGGAGTCTCTGCAGCAGGAGATATAGCCATCAATAGATTTACTGTAGCAGCCATAGTCGATTGGGTAGAAGCAGCCTCAACCATCAGTATCTGTGGAAGGATCTGAAAAAACTCTGTTTCGATGGCTCGCAACAAGGCCTTGACTTTGCGGTAACGCAACTTGAACTCGTTGCGTAAAACTGTTTGGTTGTGGTCTCTCAGCAGCATCGATGTAGCAGCAACCACAACTGCTCCAGTAGCAACTGTGCATGCGATAGAAATGACTACAGTCAAACTCCAGTTTGCCCAGCCTCCGGCTCCTCCAAGTGCAGGTATCATTTGATGAGTACTCGGATGAAACGCTATGATAAAAGTAAGATGATAACCAAGTTCTGTAGTATCCGTTAGAACACAGTGTTTTCTCCAGGGAGTCGACTAGGGCGAGCTAACAGCGTTTGCAACCACTTTAATTTCTAAACTCACAAAAGTTGGATTATTTTTTTATAACAATTTTCACGAAAAATGACTTGATTTTGTATTGATTATTTTGGAATATTCAATTGTTGAATATTTGTTATTGGAAATTCTATTCTAATATCAAATACGCTCTAGTTTAACCATCTCAGACATGCAATTATACACGCTAGTCACTCAATATTTGAAATGTTTGTTTAAAAAAAGAAAAGTTGGAGGTTGACAACCCGTCTCTTGACTAAAAAATATTAGTGTCGAGTACCTTGTATTATCTATTCATCTGATATTTCTCTATTTATTTGATGAATGAACTGGATTTTTGTTAATCCCAACAAGTATCCAGACTATATTGATGCAACCATGTTGACGTAAAATAGACCACCAAATAAGGATATTTAATAAACTGTCAATCATGGAATGATGAGTGACAATATTATATTTTTGGTCTTTTTCTTGATGATTGGCATGTATAATTCATTCCTATGACTGCATGATTGAACTAGAACGCGAACGTACAAGATTTAGAATATAAAGTAGACTCGATAAACCCAATATCTGGTGATCGTACAATGAGAACAATCTCGATTAAAAACTGTAATTTATTAAAGAATGTCAAACAGTCGATTCTTTAAAGTGTAATGTTGAATTGTTTGAAAGCAAAGCGAACGACAGTCACAAAATGTGACAAAAAAGAATGCAATTGTTGCGTTTGCACTTCAACTAAAAAACAAGTGTTAGGTGTCATGAATTGCTATAGTCGTATAAATTGAATAGAAAATGCATGCTAACCACTTGAATCCATTCTGTTGTTGTTATAGTCATGTCGGTTGATCCATCCACTCTGCATCCACTCTCTCCAGAAGTCATTTCTCGCCAGGCTACCATCAATATTGGTAAATTATGTCATTCATGAATTGATTGTTAAACAGACTGCTTGATCCTCAATGAGTCGGTATTACTATGTGATTTTTTGGGCTGGTTCAGTTTGGGTTCTATTCATCACTGCAGCACTACATGGCTGATAGAACAACTCGAGTGATTTTGACCTGAATAAAAATGCTGTATCGATCTACTGGATATTAAAACATGATTTATATGTATTAGGCACTATTGGTCATGTAGCTCACGGTAAATCTACTGTCGTCAAAGCCATTTCCGGTGTGCAGACTGTACGCTTCAAGAACGAACTAGAACGTAACATTACCATCAAACTGGGTTATGCCAATGCAAAGGTGTGGTCTTGAATTATCACTACCAATTACTGCGCTGGTTTACAGCAATCGTTATTTATTGTTTGGGTTGTTGATAGATATTCAAGTGTGACAATGAACAATGTCCTCGTCCTGGATGTTATCGCTCTCACAAGAGCGACAAGGACGAAGGCTTTGTTTGTGAACGATCTGGTTGCAAAGGAAAGATGCGTCTTATGCGGTAAGAGTCGATTCTATCGACCGAGTTAAAGTCATGTTATTCGATTGTATTCTAATCTGACTTGTTAATATTAAATATGTGTACAGTCATGTTTCCTTTGTTGATTGTCCAGGTCACGATATTCTTATGGCTACCATGTTGAACGGAGCTGCTGTCATGGACGCTGCTCTGTTGTTGATTGCTGGAAATGAATCGTGTCCTCAGCCACAAACTTCGGAACATTTGGCTGCTATCGAGATCATGAAACTGCAGCACATTATTATTCTTCAAAACAAGATTGATCTTATCAAGGAATCAGCTGCCGAGCAGCACTATGAAAGTATCCTTAAATTTGTTAAAGGAACTGTTGCAGACAACGCTCCAATTATTCCTATTTCCGCACAACTAAAATTCAACGTGGATGCCATTTCGGAATATATTTGCAAAAAGATTCCTATTCCTATTCGTGACTTCACAGCCGATCCCAGACTGATTGTCATTCGTTCTTTTGATGTCAACAAACCTGGCTCAGAAGTTGTCGATTTAAAGGGTGGTGTTGCAGGTGGATCTATTCTCAGAGGTGTTCTTAAAATTGGCGATGAGATCGAGGTTCGACCTGGTGTGGTATCCAAGGACCATGAAGGACGTACAAAGTGTCGTCCTATTTTCTCTCGCATTGTTTCGTTATTTGCTGAAAATAACGATCTCAAGTTTGCAGTTCCTGGTGGCCTCATTGGTGAGATGCTATTGCTTTGAAATAGAATACTGTCTGTATCTAACCCATTTTATAACCATGTGTGGGCTTGAATGGTTTGCACTATAATAGGTGTAGGCACGCTCATTGATCCAACCATTTGTCGTTCAGATCGACTTGTTGGTCAGGTTCTTGGTTCTGTAGGCACTCTCCCCTCCATATTCACTGAAATTGAAATCAACTATTTTCTTCTTCGCCAGCTGCTTGGTGTAAAAAGCGAAGACAAAAAACTCACCAAAGTGCAAAAGCTAGCTAAAAACGAAGTGCTCATGTTCAATATCGGCTCAACCTCAACTGGTGGTCGTGTGATTAGTGTCAAGGCTGATTTAGCCAAGGTGGTTCTGACTGCTCCAGCATGTACCGAGGTAGATGAGCGTGTTGCCCTGAGTCGTAGAATTGATAAGCATTGGCGATTGATTGGTTGGGGACGGATTAAGCGTGGTGCAAGTCTCGAGCCTGATGTTGTCCGTCACTAAACGTTTTGTATCTGAAGAGAACCTCGTGTACTCGTGTTTGATAGTTGGAAGCATCTAGCATTTTATCATCATGGCTTTGTGACTAAATCTGGCTGCTGTTGTCAAGCCCTGTCCGCCGTTTCTCATTTTGAATGTGTTGAATCAAAAATAAACCCAAATTTATCTTTACATTTGGCTTAAGCTTTGCATTGTACCAATAAATGGATTGAATCGTTGTTTGAAATAGCTTATCTCTCCATACCCACCTCTAAAAACAAAGGTAAAACTTGTTTATGTAAAGAAAAAAGAATGAGATATGTAACAATCAACCAACACATTCATATGAATAGTATCACAAAAATGTGCCATGAATCAAGGCTAGTTGAACGCAGAATGAGGCCACTCTTCCGCAGTGGTTTCCTTGCTATTCAATGACCCATTACGTTGTCGCTGCCAATCTTGCATGTCATGCGTAGGTTGTGATACGGTGGGTGATGCCAGTCCAGTTGACAGGGTAAGGTTGCCTGGGCCTCCTTGAACGCTCTTAAACCGGTCAGTCAGGGATGAGATGGGATCGGGAAAAAATGCATTTGATGTGTAAAGATCAGTATTGCCGATTGTGGGTGAAGACTGACGTGGTGGAACTCCCATTGCTGTGGATGGATGTCCCTGTGATATAGAAGCAAAGGTAGATAGACCTCCTAGTGCATTTACCCCACCTCCAGAATTAACCATAGGCCGTTGAGAAAATGTCGAGGCAAATGTCGGTGAAGGACGTCGTGCTTGTAGTGGTATATCTAAGAACAAGATGAGTCGTAAAAATATGAAAAGAAAGCAATGTCAATCACCCCGGTTATGAAATATCTCAAAAACAGTCAATCATCTCAAACAATGTCGTGGCAACCAATATCACAGTCGAGATAACGTACCCCATACGTGATTGGCAATACTTGTCGGCTCTTGGATTATAGACAAGTACGCATTCACATCCATATGAGAGTTTATTCGAGCTGTTGGTGCACCTGGCATGACTAATCCTAATCCAGAGGTACCACGAGCCAACTCGGTAGAAGCGCTCATCCCTAGACCAGGAGGAGGACTAGCATGAAATGATGCATTTCCTGGCAACAAAGATTTGATTCCAGATCCAACAGTCACCCCATGTGCAACAGGGATCTGAGTTGCTGTACTCCATCGTGATGGCACAGATACAGCCGTTGTGGTAGAAATTGCATTGGATTCGGGCTCGGCAGCAAAAATGCGATGCGACCCTCTGCGTTGCTGAAATGGAAATGCCGGCAGTGGTTGTTGCTGCTGCTGTAAAAGTGGCTTGTTCATTCCAATTGCTCCAAGACCGACTCCTTCAACACGATCTAGCCGAGAAAACTCCTCGCCTGGCGAACCAAATGTATTTAAATGTCCATATAGCCCGCCGTATGAAAATGCATTACCAGGAGCAGAAACAGGAGTGTTTGATGCTCCCCATGCCTGTGGTGCATTTGCGTCATTCATAAGACTGGGATTAGATAGTCCAGAAAAATGGTTAGCACAAGGTCGTTGGATTGGCGCATGTCTCATATTCGAATTGCCTGAGCCAAGAATATCTATACGCTCATTAAGCGACAGCGGCTGCGGTCTAGTATGCAAATCGTGCTGATCAAAACGCATGTCGGGATGTTCAAAAGATGGCCCAGGAATAAAAAAACTCGACTGATCATGTAAATTTGCAGTGGGCATCGTGTCAGACAATCCATTTACACTCATATGTGGCGGATGAAAAGTAGGTTGGATGGGATCGGTATGACCAAAAAGAGTTTGAGATGGGCCTGAAGAAACATGAAGTGGAATAAATGGTGTCTGTCTGCCATGAGTCGAATCGGCAGGAATATGATTGCTATATATATGGGAAAAGGCCGAAAACAACTGCTCTGTACCAGGCGCGGTTGATGGTATACTGGAAGAAACAGGTTGTGTGAGTGTTGCTTGAGATTGTGCGTGAATTGGTGAATATTGGTGCAGAGAGCGAGAGGAAATGGATTGCGACAGTGGTGGAGCAGGACAAGGCGAAACTTTGGTATCTTCCAATTTTTGCGCTAGTTGAGATATGGTTTGATTTAAAGTAGCAGAAGCTTGTGTTGTAGGAAGTGGACGAGCCGAGGCAGATGAGAGTTTTGCATTTTGTCTTTGATTTGATCGATTCGACTGATCTCCATTAGCGATAGTAGCTGTGGGCATTGGCTTTGGTGGAAGTGGGTGTAAACCAACCAATGACTTGGCATGTTTGCCTTGTTTACCTTGCTTGCTCCGCTGAAAATCGACAGCGCTGGAAGGTGGGCTGCAGTGAGAAGTCGGAGATCCAGTGGAGAGTGATTTTGGTGGCTCAGTGGTTGATGCACTGGAAGAGTTTACTGATGAGGGAGCCTGAGGGATCGCGACAGGATCGTTTTTGAACTGCTTTCCAGTAGTTGGTGGAACACTGGTGGACAAGGCTTGACGGGCTGCTACAACAGCTACGGCCACATCAGCAATATTCTTGACAGAGTTTGCAGCAGCCTCTTTGCGCTCACGCTCTTTTCGGTCCTGCTTCTCCTGCTTCAAGCGTGCTCGATCCTGATTCAGCTTTTCAGTAGCTTCACGTTGCCGCTGTTTGCGACTTTCTTCCTCCATCTCCTTTTTCTTCCGCTTCTCTTCGTTCTTGCGTGTACGTTCAACTTCTTGAAACGCCCTTTCCTGTTCTATCTGTTGCTGCTTTAGCTCAGCATCTCGCTTGGCCCGTTCAGCAAGCAAGAGTTGGCTAACACACATAAAATACAGAATCGTCAGTGAAAAATAATCATAAACCCTCAATTTTCTTGGAATAACTGCACCATCTGGTCATTATGCTGACAACGTTTAAAGACATACCGTTCTTTTTCAACTCTTTCCTCTTCTGCGCGCTGTTGAGCCAGCCTTTCCTCTTCGAGTCTTATCTTTTCCTCTTCCTTTTTCTTTTGAATGGCTCTATTAATTTAAATTACGGTATATGCCATAAAAATATACCTAAAATCAGTGATTGGAAGCAAGTTTTCAAACAAAGCCAATATATACATACTGCCTCTGTGCCTTTTTTCTCTCCCTTTCCTCCTGTTTAGCCCTTTCTTGTTCTTGCTGCTCACGCTCCTCAGCTTCTAGCTCCTCAATCAAACGGTTCTGGCGCTCCTGAGAAAGCTATACATTTAAATGTATAAATGTGCACGAGTAAGAATTTAATTGGAGTAGCTGGTCAATTAAATCATTATTCAACTTACTTTTTCATGATATGCTGCTAGAACACGCTGCTCAAACATTTTGGCAGCAAAAATTTGAAACATGCGACGACCTTCTTCCTTGCGCTGTTGTTCCGTTAGATAGTCCTAGTTGATTGAAATCCAGAAAAATTAGACCTTTATACATCCAATTAAAGTAAGCGTAGCAATCAAAAATATAACTAACCGGTCCATCAGCCGAAAATTCATCCTCATCATCTTCATTGTAATCGTCATATCCTACATCATTGGGTGGACTCATCCCAGCAAATTCGTCCTCTTCGTTTGAAGATTGAAGTCGCCTTTGAGAAAGCTGCTCCATTAAATTCAAAAACTTTTGTCCATCGTTTTTAAGAAAATCGTCAGCGACTGTTAAGATCCCGCCTGTTTGTATAATTCATCATTCAATGAAAATCAGCATACCGAGCATTCAAAGCAGTCTTGAATACTAAGCCGTCATTATAGTATCAAAATAACTCACCCTTGACAGTTAGACTAGTTCCAAACTCAAGAATACCACTATCGTCGCTTTCAGCATCACAATTTTCATCATGAATATCGTCTTCGTTATGGCAATAAGAAGCGTGGTGGGGATGCTGCTTGCTCGGTGTTCCTGCATTATGATCGTTGGCAAACTGCTGTAGTTCGTTATAATAAGCATCATAAAGTTCCTCTAATTCTTCTCCAAGCACCATCCTATTGGTTGAAATCGTATTATACAGCAAAAAAGTTGAATGATGTATGTGTCAGGTTCGCCTTCTGCTCAGCTGGTTGCAAACCGACATGAGCAATAAATATATCTATATAGTCAAAATTACCTCCGACGTCCGCATACATGGCAAGAACAAGTTTGTTTTTGCTGGTCTCGAACTTTTTTTAATACAGCTTCTTTTTCCAATTTGACCAGTGCACCTCGGTCTTCTTCGCTGAGTTGTAGCCAGAAATCTCGTAGACGTGAGCGTTCGGCAGCGTCCCCAGCATACCAGATATCATCTGGTTTACCACCAAATACACTATTATTGCTAGAGTTATTATTAGGGTGTTGATAGGGGTGGTGTAGATGATAGTGATCTAAACTGGCTCCTGGATGTGAAACTTTCCCCTTCTTTTTCTTACTTCCACTTATGTTGGATGAATTATGCACATGATTATGGTCTCCATAACTAAATGCATTCACTAATTAAAAAATAATCAGTGTGAGTGACCAAGTGGAATTGATCCAACAGTAAAGCCTTGTATTCAACTAGACTATGAGAGTGTTGGAAAAAGTATAACAAACCATCGTTATGTATGCTATGTGGCCCAGACCGATAATCTAACTGGCCGTTTGAATCATTTGCTACTACGTTCTTTTTCTTCTATAATTCATCAAAGATTTTGGGTTGACAAAGGATTAGTACATCTATACAATTTGATGAAATCAGTAAATTGAGAATCAACAAGATATGAATTTTTGGAATTGGGAAAAACCAAACTTTAACGTTGTCAGTATCAGTCAAGTGTAGTATTTCAAATCCATTTGCACCGTACAAAGTCGGTGAATATGAAAGCCTATGACATGAATGAGCGTTCATTGCATACTTGATATAGTTGAAAGCACCCATTCCAACAGAATTCCAGTTTAGTATGTGTGTAGACGACTCAATCCACAAAAGTCGCTTATTTAATTGGGATTAGAGTTGTAACGATTTGATTGAATTTCAAATCACAGTCAATAATTCATGCTGCACAAGTACCCAAAGTCTATTAAAACAACAACCACAACTAAACCAAAAGCACATTTGCTCTACAGATGAATTGATAATTTTTGGCAAGCTTAACCATAATCCAAAGTAGATCAACTTTGAATTGGAATCATCCAGTGCAAGACATTTAAACGAACACATTTCGGAAGATGATCAAAACATGAGAATCAACCCAAGCTTTGTATATTTCCAACAGCAACAGCTTATGGCAAACATTGAAATGCTCTACATGACCAAATGAAAAAACTGATTGTCGAACCTTTTTCTTTCGACCGGTTGTAGTGGTTGGTTGAGGAGGAATAGTTGAGTCGAGACATGGCGTTGCAGTAAGTTCCGACAGGAATGGAGAATGAATTCTGGAAGACGCTTTAGAAGAACCGACCAAAGCATGAACTCTGGAAGCAGCAGTTTTCAAGTCCAGTAATGCTGGTGAGAGTGATGTGTGAGCAGCAGATGGGGATTGACTAGGATGACAAGAAGCAACTAAAGTGTTGTTATGTGCAGTTGAAGAGTTGCTCTGTGCAGTTGCAGCAACAGCAGCTGCTGCTGCAGTTGCTACTCCACCACTGTGGTGAGTTTTATTGGAAGAAACACTCTGCATTAGCCAAGTCAATCGTCAAAGTGCAGTAAGTGTTTAAATAAAGAAATCCATCAATTGGCAACTTTATCAAAATCCACTCGAGATTGTTGTTTTACTGAAATGTCAATTTGGTTTCAATTTTGATTCCAATTTGATTCCAATTTGATTCCAATTTGATTCCAATTTGATTCCATTTTGGTTTATTTTTATCCTTAAATTCCAATTAATGAAAAAAGTAAATACTATCACGAACTTGCTGAATATCAAAAGCTCCCCGTTTGGGCAATTCATCAAATGCAATATCTACCCATGCAACCACACTACTTTCCTTTTTCTTTTGTTTTCGTCCAGTCGCTAAAAGGTGTTGGTTCCACATCTCAACGTTTCGATCTCCTTTGATGGGTACTTTTACCATAACCTTTTGAGTCTTGTATCGCTCAATTAACTCTTCTCGTAGTCGAATCATGATGTTTTCAGAGTGCAATCGTACAAAAGCTTCGCGAAGAATCTTGTTCATCTCATCCACATCGCATGCATGGGTCCAATACGAATCATGCACTGCTGCAAATTCAATATTGCTTGCATCGCACGCAATCGCAGAGAGCATCATGTGTGATGCATCTAATGAATGAATGAAATTGGGTGGAAAGGCCGTCGATTGCTTTCGTGCATTGACCGGTGCTGGATCATTATGATTGTAAATGGTAAATGACTGCATAGCTGTTTTGATTTCAGCTGTTTCGTGCGAGCGATATGGCTGTACAATGGGAAATCCTAAAGGTGTGGTCCAAATCACGCTTGTCATTCTTGCAGGTACTCCATTATCCTTCTTTGGCTTAATGGTAAGAGTCGGTTTCTCAGTCAACGCCATCATCATTGCCTTGTTGGACTTGGAAGAATCTACATCTGACACGGAACCTTTAGCCATACCAGTTTTTGAATCATGATCTGCTCTAACTGCCTCTTCCAAAAATGAAAACTCGGACATGGTTTCTTTTGAATCAGGCAGTGGCTTAAGCAATTCCTTTTGAAGCAATTTTCGTTCTTTTTCTAATACAATAGTGGATTTGGGTAGAAGACCCATCTGTTCCAAAGCCAACGAGTCTTGAAGCTGCTGTGGCGGAATGTCTTCTGCCGGAATACTCTTTGCAATGATATTGGCCGTTTCGTTTAGCCATACTTGAATAGCTCGCGCGCCTACATGATCAAAGATAAGTATATTGCACATTTAACCACGTACATATATTTAAGCTAGTATACCTTCAAAAATAGTTCCCATAGATTGAAAAATAAGTCGTGTAGCAAACAGCGCACATGCATGAAGCTGTTCGTCCGTAAGAGCTTTGTCCCCACTTTCTTTGACACGTGCCTCTAAAAGACGATTTCGCACTTGATCGTGGGCACCAGAAAAGGTAATGCCATAGGTATTTGTCATGACAGTCTGTTTAACAAGTTTACGATTAATACGATTGAGAAGCAACAGCGCTTCGGGTACGTTTTGTTCTGCCTGTTGCTTAACAAGCTTCATAACCTGATTGGATACACTGCTATATACATCTTGTGGTACTTCGGATCGTGTCAGATTAACTACTTTTGCACCATCCACGTCGCCTCCAAGTGCTGCATAATGCTGCAAACCGTTACAGCTACCGTCTTGATGGATATGAATAGATGACATGAACTCAAGCGGGTTATCGCATTTCCAAGCTTGATTGAGCTCTATACAAGTTGCCAAAAGCTGCCACGGATTTTCAGACTTTAACCACCATCGCTTGCCATCCAACGGATGCTCTGCTGAATCAATAATATCCTTTCGATGATCCTCTGCAAACTTGGCTCTGTTATCCAATGATGCCTTGTCATTCCCAGCCAAGTTAGATACTTGGATCTTGAGCCATCTCATGCCGTTTTCTCCCAATGGCTTTGCCACTTTAAATTTCAAAAGCCCGCGACAAAGATCATTTCCAATATGATTTAGATTGGGCGGCATGGGATAGGCACGCCCTCTAAAGTCGAGATTGTGAGGGAAAAATATGGTTTCTCCTAGATATTTTCTTGCAATCTCCATTTTATAGTTGAGATCACATCGCTGAGAATGGTTATTACTGATCTGCTGCAATCGCTTTGTGTTTTTTTTGATATATTTCCATCTGGCATCAGGGTTTGTATCGTAGTCGGACGGCTTAGGTATTTCTGGGATGACAATCGGCTTGGGAATTGATGGTGCTGATTCCTTTTTATTCCAAAACGTCGATGCAACCTTGTATATAATTGGATTGATCACCCATGCCGTTGAACCTAGTTTATCCACAGCTCGTAGAACCAAGGGCAAATGATTTGCCTCATCTGCAGCTTTAAGATACTCTCTATGCTCTGGGTTGTTTAAAATACGAACCAGTTGGGATCCATGCTGCAAATAACCACCTCTGTTGCAAGAAAGCCACGGTCGAGGCTGGACCAACATGGGAAGATGTAGTGGTAGTACAGATGCACATCCATTTTCCATCATTTCCATGACCGCCGCGTGTCGAATGATATAACCATATGTTTTTCCATAGCTAGACAAAACTTTGTGCTCAAAAGCTGGTACATCCATACTCATTTTATGACCAGGCTTGTTTGGATCAGGAACCTGGACAGCTATTTTGCCCGCTTGAACAAGAAGATGAAGAAGAAACGTGCCTATTTTGACTTTTGCTTCTTCGCCCCAGTTAGGAACCCAAATGTCATTGAGTCGAGTCTGTTTCTTGAGCATTTCAGCAGCAATCTTTCGAGTAGTGTAATCTGCAAGCCGACCAGTAGTATGTAATATATGAATTCCAAACTCGAGTTTGGCTATTTTCTGATTGGCTTTGCTTTGCAATTGAGTAGTGTTGTGTTCTCGTTCTAAAGCATTGCCAATATTGGAGACAATGGAAATTGATTTTACATGACTGCTAGGAAACCCGTTGTTTGTCTCGCTACTTTTAAAAAAAGGATTTCTGAGAGCTTCCTGAACGGTGATATAAGCAAGTGTCTTGACAGAAAATAATTTCAACAAGGGAATAATGATTCCCGTTTCTAAAGATTTATGGCCAGCATTGATTTTATCGAGCTCTTCTTGAATCACTGGTGCAAGCATTCGACTCAAAGTATCCATAAGCTTTGCTGGAAGAAGGGCAAGTTGACGAATTTTAGTGGGAAGTGTACTAATAAATTCTTTTTGCTTTTCCAATGCAGCTGCATAGGAACGTTCTTCCAACCACATCTGACGATTGTACTGCCTCATTTCATGGGTGTCATTCATTTTGGACAGAGCTGATTTCAAAATACTGACACCTGTTGTAGACACAAACTCAAGATCCGAGACACGCTCTTTTTCTATAATATCCAATTCTTGTTGAGTAAACGTGGCGGTTTTTGAAAGAGAATCTGAGCCTATAGCAGAATCCAGTGAAACAAGATCATTCTGTACCACATCGGCATTATTGTTTTTGGCAGTATTTGAAATGTTGGAATCAGACAAGACTGACATCATCAGCTCATCAAGCTCGGGGATGCCTGAAGTATTGGACATTTCATTTGTTGCATCGACAGACTTTCCCATGCTACGTAAAAGAGCTTCAAGAGGTGCACGAGCGTCCTGTGTATGAAATCTATGACTTTCAAGAAGTTTTTGCGGGCTCGATCCATCAGCCTCTAGATCAGCTATAAACGACTTTACTTTTTCTATGTCTCCAATAGATAAAAAGTAATGGCATAAAATGGCGAATGTTTCAACATTTTTCTGGACATGAAGTTCAGACATGCGTTCATACCAACGTTGAGCACGCTCTTGATGATTTCCGCTATCCTGTGATAAATCATCAGATGATTGAAAATGATTGTTGGAATCCGACTTGGAGCATTTGATCAAATGAGCTTCAATAAACCGATTGATTAATGGGGCCTGAAGTTCAGACATCATGTCAGTAGGATTAGAACGAAGACTTTTGTTAAAGACGACCTCGGCCCGATCCAGGTCACCAGTTTGAACGCATGCATAAATTAAAGTCATTTGCTCCCGAAGTTTGAATTTGGACATGGCGCGAGCAGTAGAAATAGCATCGAGAGGATCAAAGGCTGGCATAATTTTTGGTGTAGGCATACTAACAATTGAGCTAGAAAACAGCTCAGGGATCATTAGGTTTTCGGCAGTGACTTTTTGCTTGGTTGAAGTGGCAGCATGCGGATGAACGGATTTAGTAAAAGTCTTTATGTGTTGGGATCCACCAGAAATTGAATTAGAAACAGAACCAATGGAAGAATGAGCCAAAGGAGTGTTTTGAGCTTCAGCCGTAGCTGAATAAAACCTTTGAGGATGAAATTGAATTAAAAAAGCATGAGCAGCCAAACAGCGAAGATTAGCATTGGCGATCCCATCAATGTGGGCGAGAGTTATGGCATGATGAGATATTCTAGTAGAGATTAAAGGAAACCGATTATTTTGTCTTCTGGAAGCAGTCAAAGTCTTGCGATACATGAGATAATAAAACAAGCTTGAGAAGGTCAAATAAAAAATGCAACGCCAGGCTGCCAACGATGAATTGATCAAAAAAGTTTTTAGAAATAATTGACTTTCTAGCACAAGACTATTACACGTGACTAGACAGCATTCATTCCAGCTCAAGTTTTTCTAGAGTTGGAAGCCATGAATGCATCCAGTGGTCTCTATGACACTGACGAGACAGACCGGGTTAAGCGGAAGCAAAAGATCATTTTACTGAATCAGTTGAGTTTGCAGCTGTCCACAGTCAGCTCTTTACAGTCCAAGATTACTGCTCAGCGTCGTGCGCTGCGTAATGAAGAAGCCTATTGGAGAGCACAACTGCAATCTATAGAAAGCAGCCAGTTCTTGACACAACTGAAACAGCAGGATCCGTCATTATACCATGTTCCAGTTGAACCCACGCCAGTATCCACTTGCGCTCCTTCTACTGATACTGCTCAGAGCCATGCGGAGCTCGATACAAACGCTCCCTTTCATTTTGGTGATTTGGATAGACAACACTTTTTGGAGCCAATTGATCGGCCAGCAGATGGGAATGTAGATCTAGCTGCTGGTCAGACTGAACTTGAACACACTATAAATACCAGTAATGTCCCACCTTCGTCCACAGATTTGTGGGCTGTTGCTGAAGATATTGGAATGATCTTTGATTTTGATGCTTCAGATTCACCAACATAATTCATGTTTCAAGCAATTGTCCAAAGTGCTCTATTGAAACCATAAAATAAACTTTATTTTAAAGTGTTGGAAAGAATGTAAACCTTTGGACTTAAAATTGGTTTCACTGGTAATCTCAGATTGGACCATTCGCCCTTGCTCAGTATCTCAACCATCTCCATCTGCCATTCAAATAATGGCTCAATACTTATATCTTCGTATCCATTTACGGCTTCAAGTATGTTCCATACAGGTTTTCCCTCGACTGTGGCTGTCAAGTGAAAATCAGGAACAGATGTCAACAAGTAGGTGTATCCTGCATCAACAAAATCTGCTGAAGTAGTATGATTCTCATACTTGGAGTAGGTGCAGCGTACAGGAAAATGATCCGAACACTCGCCAAAGCGGGTGACGCCCGACACGGCTGAAAATGTGTCAATGTGGATATTGCATTCAAACGTGCTGGCTTGATTACCTTGATATCGTTCAAATACAATCTGATGCACACGGCTAAATGCTTCGCCACCTGGGTAATTAAAGCTGGACACATAAAGCATACCAAGCGACATAACCATGAGTCCAAAGCAGCCCATCTTTACTGCAAAAATAATCAGGGATGCAACTCTTGGAGATAATGTAGGAGGTGATCGTGGTTTAGGCTGAAGTGGATCCTTTGTAACCGTACCAGACTGCTCTTGTTTAGTTTCATCAACAGAATAGGAAACAATGGGGTTGATCCCCTGAGCCATTTCATACAAACGTGCAAGGCCAATTGCAGCTATCAGATTCAGCATTGGCATAACATAAATTACAAATCGCCATTCCTTGTGTGCAAGAATCGAATAAATGACTAAAAATGCGTAGACCACTCGCCAATACCGATGCACTGCACTTCGTGAAAATCGCCATGCCACAAAAGACATTGCAAATGACAATGGAGCAATACGAGGAACTAGAGATGTAAAATAGCTGTGATACGAACTCACACCCCAATCCTTGGATCGTTCTTCAACCACATTAAACATGAAACTTTCTAGCTCAGGCCAAACCCCAACTTCTTCCCAAAAGTAAGAGTCGATAGCTACAGTGATGCTCAACGAAGCAGTTGCAGCAACCGCGCCAATCAGTATGATTGCAGGTGGAGTAAACCGCTGTGTATCAAACAACTCACCCGTAATAATGAGACCAGATGGGAGAGCCAGCTCTGCACGGAAAACAATAGATCCAAAGGCTAAAAAATAGAGCATGAGCTTAAAGTAAGGAGTGACGATGGGTAAGCTTTTTTTATCTTTAGTTTCAAGATTAGATCTGATCCAATAGGCAAAGGCCATGTTGAAGCAGACCAGTGCAAAAATATTGGATAGAGTTCGAGATCCCCAAAACATAAGATGAAACTGCGATAGACACAAGACAGAAAACCAGCCTCCAATGAGATGACCATGCACCTTGCGGACAGCAGTATGTATGCAAGTGAGTGATGTTGCCATGGTTGCAGCCAGGACAGCGCGAACAAGATACTGGAATGCAATCTTGGTATGCGGTAGCAGCAGATGATAAAGCCCTAGGTTTGGCATATGAAGGACCGGAATAGTGATTGGCAATGTGGCTATCCAGAGAAGAACCGAACCAATAAAGGTGCGTTTTACTGGACCAGGGAAAAGTTTATGATCGAATTTGGCAAGCTGGTGTGGTCCATAAAAGATCAGGTCGTGGACTGCTTGAGTATGAAAGGATTCTTCTACTTTGGAGTAAGGAGCAGTTTCAAGATGGAAAAGCATGCTTAATAGGAATGCAGCAAACCAAACAGCAGCAGGAATACGACCAAAAAGTGACGATGCATCTACATCCTTGTGAGGAACAAAGGCAGGTATCGAAATAGTCTTTGTGGCATTAGCAGCCAAAGGAGGAGCAGCGACAGGTTTTTTTTTTGGAGTGGAAGTTTTGGGCATGAATCGGGTTAATCAAGGGCGGATAGCAGTAGATCTAGCAAGCAAAGATGATGCCAGTCGAGTAAAACGCAAAGCTGGCCATTTGACACGAAAAACTCGCATTCTGAAACACGCAGTTTGAATGCATTTTGCAGCGCGTTGCTTTGGATTTGATTTGAAATCACACGTGACTCTGTTAAAAGTGCAGTTTTGTTCACGTGACATGAATGTTGAAATAATCATTTGATAAACCGATTATGGGTTAACCATCACTATCATTAGAACGTTTGTCATTATTTCAGAAACAATAGTCGATCATGTTGGTACACTATCTTTTCTGGAGCGTCTTTTTCTTGGAGTTTCTAGTCTCTGTATCTGCTCAGCTCCCTGCAATTCTTCCTGTCAATGGCACATGTCCTATATGCTTCAATTGCGCAAACAAGGTAACACTCGAACGAGGCGTTGGCGTATTCTGCCATATTGATGCCATATACGACCTGTTTAGCAAACCTTACAATCTATTTTATTTACTGATACTCCATCACTGTAACATTGAATTTTTGCATCATCTCAACCGCAATGCTCTGCGAATAGGGTTGCTTCAACTTTGGAAGTTGTCGCGGTGGCGGCGACTGTGTCTGTAGCGATGGATTTGGTGGCCCTGATTGCTCACAGCCATGTAAGCGTAGTTTGATTTGCATCTGTTTTCGTTTGTATTGTCATCCCTTTTGTCTGAAAGCGTATCTAGGACTATCTGCCGTTGATTTTTGCTCATTTACATAGATTTCATGTTTACCATGAATATGTTGTAATATCGATTGCGTACACCAACTTACCAATACATTACTTGGTTTAGCTTGCGGATCTCCACTTGAATCTGCCAGTCAACGGCCACTTCGAGCTGTAAACACTGTCTGTACTTGCGACGCCGGATTCACTGGACACAACTGTAATATCTGTACCAACGACAATATATGCCAACGTATGCCTGGAAAACCTCTTGGGACAACTTACATATGCAATAATTCTACAAAAGTTTGGAGTTCTCAACACTATTCTATGTGCAAGCTAAAGAGTATGCTATAAGAATGGTATTTGTAGAAAATACACGAAAGATGCTAATCTATTTATTTCAAATTCAACCATTTTGATTCACCAGATAGACTGGTGGAAGCACTATATCCAGGAGATACAAGTCTGACCTTTAAACGTGACTATGATGCTGGCACATCTTTTGCTACCCTTTGGTACAAGAATGATGCACAATTCTCATGCAATATTACTGGATGTTCGCAGGCTCTAGCTCGTAAGTGCTTTGATTTGTCCTAATGTTTTTAAAGCTGATTTTAAGCATTCAACTACCCTGTTGCTTATCAATCTATACTTTTAAATAGGAGGAGAACCCAATTGGGCGTGTTCAACAGTGCAGTGTCAATGTAACGCCAAGACCTCGTTTTGTGGAGGCGGTACGATTGATCTGACAAATTCAATTAACAAAGCCTCGGGAAGCTTTGATCTTATATGCAACAACACACTGTCAGCGTGTACTCTAGACTGTGAGTGTCAATTGAATCCATGTATTATTTTATCAGATACTGACAACTACACCTTATTCTTGAAAGTTGAATTTTTGAGTGGTATGTTTCCACAAGGACTTGCTTTGCAGGATTGCCAATTCGGAGAGTGTGTTGACGAGACGGCCTCACCCACTTTATATGATAATTCACCTGTTGCAATCAGTATCAATGCATTTGGATATGCCGGCATTGCATTGGCCTCATTTATTCTAATGGGAGTTATAGCATCGCTGTTTATTTGCAAGATTGAGCAAATTCGTCGTCGTCGCATGCCACCAGAACTTGATCGCGAAGGATTGGCAGTGCATTTCAAGGATCTATCATATAGCATTGGTCAAACTCCAATTATCAGCGGTATTTCAGGACATGTTGAGCCAGGAACCATGCTTGGTGTTATTGGTCCAAGTGGTGCAGGAAAATCCACTTTTTTAGACATTCTTTCTGGAAGAGCAATGAAGGGAGTAGTCAAAGGAACTGTCACAATTGGGCACGATTTATCACAATCTACATTTCGTAAACTATCTGGCTTTGTTGATCAGGAGGATGTATTCATGCCGACCATGACAGTTCGTGAGGTACTCGAGTTTTCTGCTGCACTTCGCCTTCCAGAGTCGCTCACTCGCATTGAAAGACAACAACGTGTTGATGAAGTTCTGGAAGAGCTTGGACTATCTCATATTCAAAACAGCCGTGTTGGTAACTCTATGAAGCGTGGCATTTCTGGTGGTGAAAAGCGTCGACTCAGCATTGGAGTGGAGCTTGTTACCAATCCAGCAGTGATTTATTTAGACGAACCAACCAGTGGATTGGATTCACGCAGTGCAGTTCAGGTCATGAGTACTTTAGCAGCATTATCCCACAAATCGAAGCGTACAGTTATTTTTTCCATTCACCAGCCTCGCTCAGATGTGTTTTCCATGTTTGACCAGATCCTGTTGCTTTCCAAGGGCTCGACTGTATTTTTTGGTCGATCAGAGGATGCTGCTAGCTTTTTGGACAGTCGTGGTCTTGGTTGTCCTTCTGGATATAATCTTGCCGATCATTTGATTGACGTAGCAAGCGAACATTCGGCAGGACTATCGTCTTCTGACCAAGGATGGTCAAGCAGTGCTTCTGTTTCTGCTGTCGCCCATCACGACTTGAGGCATCGTTTACCCAATGATTACTCGGATAAATCTACAAGACCTTTAAATTCAAAATTGGATGATTATGAACATAATGCCGTTTTTGAATTGAGTACTTCTGCCAAAAAAACTAAACCCAAGCACAATCAGTTTACAGCAAGCTTTTTAACCCAGCTTAGTGTGCTATTGAAGCGATCTTGGACCAACTTTTGGCGTAACTCGGGACTGTTTGTTGCCCATAATGTAATTGCCGCTATTCTGGGTTTGTTTTTAGGGATTTTGTACTGGAAATCGGATTCTTCACTTGGTGGTATTCAAAATCGACTTGGATCCATATTCTTTATACAAAGCCTTTTGGGATTCTCTTCATTGACTGCTATTTCGGTAAGTTTCTTGAATTTAGCTTGAACATTTAACCATTTATTCTCACGAGGCTTGACATGCAATGATTCCAACTAAATGAAATTTTAGGCATTTTCGACAGAAAAATTGCTGTTCATTAGAGAGCGATCCAATGGATACTATAGTGCCGGGCCGCTGTTTATCTGCAAGGTACTGTTCAAGTGACACTTCAATGTTTACCAGATTTGTTTTAATAAGCACAATGATTTGTACTAATATCTGCGTTATGGTATTTAGATGCTATTTGACCTGATTCCACTACGCATCATTCCAGGCTTGATTTTATCGGTCATTCCATTTTACATGATTGGGTATACCTCTGGTGCTGAGAATTTTTTACGTTATATGGCGGTTATGATGGTGTTTGCAGGAAATTGTGGACTATTTTGCTTTGCGCTTGGATGTGCATTTATAGAGTATGGAACAGCTATTCTCGTTGCTGCAATCCTATTACTCTTTCAAATGCTTTTTGCAGGCTTGCTCGTCAATCCCCTTAAAATGTCACCAGCAATCTCCTGGCTCCAATATCTTTCATTCTTTAAATACGCATACGAAGCAGTTGTTGTGAATGATGCAAGCGGTCTCAAATTTGTTGATCAAATCAATGGAGTGGATATCACTATTCCCGCCACCATTGTTCTTGGAAAATTCGGTATTGACATCAATGCCTTTTGGCGTGATTTCTGCATCAATGTTGGCATCTTTGTCATGCTCTTGTTATTGTCTGCCATTTGTGTTACAAGACGCCTTCGTGAACGTAGATAGATGTGCTTTGGATCATTCCTTTATAAAATGGTATTTCTAGTTTTTAATAATAAATCTGTTTTGTTCAAGCACATCTTTATGAAACCTCGACTCGTTCAAATCCAAAGTATTGGCAATTATAGAATTTATGTATATGAGAAATTAAATTTTAAGCATTATTTGAGTGGTCTCTTGGCCTAGTGGATACGGCGCCGGTTTCCGGCACCGGAGGTCGTCGGTTCGACCCCGACAGGGATCGCTTTTTTGCTGTTGTCAACATACAAAACACCTGTATTTATTGGTAATACAAACTATATTGTCCAGTAAATGTAGTGTGAATTATCATGTACTTTGACATCTCGAGTGTCTTATTTTGCGTGAATACGACTGCGGTTATCAATCAACTTTTTATACCAGCTTAGTATTCATTTGATCATTGGCTGCGCTATTTCAGCCATAGTATAGTAGCGTTCCATCAAACAATGCACATGGAAGTGGCAGAATGAACAAGTGGTTGCAGTCATTCTTTAAATATATATAACTGCTTTTTTAAAGAAACTGTATCCATGGTCTAGTCTAAACCGCATATAAATATTTAAAAAAGAAGGTGGATATTGCCACTGTATCCTCCATATATATTCGTATTTGTTTCATTGTCAATTTAAAACCTATTGCAAGTCCCATCGTACCTGCTTGATTGTTTAAATAAATCCATGTGTCATAATATGATAAAAACTTCAACCTTTGAACCCATTCATTCAACTGAAATAACCCATCGTGTAAAATCGCGTAGCTTGACGTTTAAAAACAAACATCTTATCAGTCGTCTTTTGTCCTTTCCCTAGTATAGTTTATAAATAATAAATTCCTTACCACAAACCAGCTTTAGTCTGACCAACTTGCATTTCAATGACAGACTATGTTGTATTGCATCTGGTACCAAACCAGCAAGACGGTTCGCCTACGTTTGAGCCAATTGAGCGCAAAATGTACGAACGAGTGTCTTTAAAACTAGGTAGACAGGTCAAATCACCACAAGAAAAAGCAGAAGCGGCTACATCGAATGCAGCTAGCATCGCGCAGGCAGCCTTAACACCATCATCAAGCCAAGCCGTAACCACACCATCGCATGCTGGCCGCACATCATCCGTTCAGATCTGGACTCCAGGCACTCATTCTAGTGACAACAACTCATCTCAAGAAAATGAAGGTTTTGGTACATTTACTGCTACTGGCCAGCATGGAGGACCTTCAAATGACCACTCTCCACGGTCTCCTTTCGACCATGCACGCGCCTTCTTTCTTGGGTCAGTTGGAAGCCATCCCAAAACTACCCATGCAGCGACAGCCTCGGTCACATCTAAAGCGGCGACTCCTGCAAACAATGAATCGACGTTGGTAACATCTGAAGCTGTCCATGAGAGCAATGCATCTAGAGTCGAAATGGCTCTTTCAGCCACGATACCTGCAATTTCTCCGTCAGACGTGACTAGAGGTTCTGTCAAGGCCACGCTACCACCACTGCCAATTCAAACAGTTGAGACGGCCTGGTTCAAGAGCAAGGTGGTTAGTCGTATCCACGCTGAAATATGGAACAAGGATGGGCAGGTGGGTTATTGATGCATTTCGACTTTTTAATCAAATGTTGAAAGCTTAACCATGTTCAAATGTTCAAATGGCATATAGCTTTATCTCAAGGATATTGGTAGCTCATCTGGAACATTTTTGAATAAAATGCGGCTTAGTCCAGCTAGCAAGGTCAGTCGGCCTTATCCTATTCGTGCTGGAGATGTGATTCAACTTGGGGTAGACTATCAAGGTCGTACAGAAGGTAAATCTTTGTTTCTAGTTTAGACCCCACAATCATTCAACAAATATAAATTGACGCCTGTGTCATTTTAACAACTCAATAGATATCTACAAGGCTGTAGAGATTAAAGTACTGGTGGAGCTCCAAACTGCCTCGACTACAACCAAGAAGCGAAATTCGGCTGCAAGATTTCGCTCAGCATTGAAGGCACTATTAACAGCTACAAACCCGTATTCCACTTCCCATACAGTCAAAAAGGATAAATCACAGTCATCAGAAAAAACACACGATCACTCTGGGTCGGTTGATTGTTGCATCTGTCTATCTTCGATAGGACCCTATCAGGCACTGTTTATCGCGCCTTGCTCGCATTGCTATCATTACAAATGCATTCGACACGTTTTGAAGGACTCACTAATGTTTCCGTGTCCTGTATGTCGTCAAGTGGCTAACCTCGATGCCAGTGTTTCCATGGAAAGTTTATTCGACTATGACAAAGAAAGCCACCATTTTACCAACAATAATGAGGACAAAAACTCGGATAGCGAAAGCGATCCATCATCAGACGAATCAGTTGAAAATGGCCCGAGTACAAAAAATGTAGATCCCGACGAGACGATTGAAATGGACACAGCTGGCATGGAGCCAAACTCAAAGGCTGTAGATTCAAACTTTCTCCAGCACCAACAATCATCTAGCATACATTCTCAGCAATCACTTCCTGAAGGTAAACGGGATGTCGAGGATTTCCGCCCAATACTTTTGTTTGGTCAAAAACCATCCACAAACGGAATGCCCTTTCTAGGCATCAATACTCCATTTACTGTCAACGGAGCCTCATTCCAAAATGCAACCCACTATCATCGAGATAATCGTGTGTCCTCTAGTAGTTCTGCTCAATTCACATTACCAGATGATCGTGCTGTTCCCTCAATGTTTGGCTCTGATAAAATGGCATCTGAGCTACTTGGTATGTCCCAGCAAGGACAAACTATTCCACATACTGGCCTCTCTGGTAGTGTTGGTAACATGTCCACATCTTATAACCACTAATCCTTACTAGTTCTAGTACTAGATTTTTAGAGTTTATTTTACTATCCTCGATATCGATCTCTAATATTTTTGTCATCCTCACTCCATCCTGCCTGATTCCTACCTCTTGTCCTTTTTGTTAATGATAAACCTGTATGGACCATTTTGAGTACGGTTTATTTACATCAGTTGCTGATGAAAATAAACTACATTTTTTGTTTTTGCGATGATTGAATCCATCTTGCAACCAGTGTTGACTTGACCAGTTCATTAAAAAATGTCAGTTAGTGCAGTCGACAAGTTGGTCAGACAATCATTGAATATGGGTATTATTGTTTTGACCTTGCGACTGTATTCATATGAAATGAATTACTAAATAAGAACCAAACGAATGTTTAAAGCAGTATTCACACTACCTAATCCCAATTCTCCTTTTTCCAAACATTGTGTGGTTGGCATGGAAGCAACTGTTGCATTCCTGAGATTGTTTTCTTGAACTAGAGCGTGAACGTATCTGATTAAAACATGAGTTTCTATAGAAAAAGTAATCCATATCCAATAAAAATAAAGGGTCAACTCTTGTTTATTCTGGTGTAAAATAGAGTCAATGCAAGATAAATAAAAAAAGCTTCATTTTGTGTGAATACAGCTTAAAATAAATTTATTCTTGTATGGTAATGACATTTTACATTTTTCATTAATCCATACACTCAAACTCAAAAGTATGTCTTCTAGTCTACTGGCTGGTCGAACCCCAAAACAGTTCTTTAGTATAGGCATCCTTCTAGTTTCAATAGCTGCACTCACATATCTTGCAATCACTACCCGCGACTATGGCCCCAAGTTTCTCAAGCGACGTAAAGGTCGAACAGGCAAGGCCGCCAACTTGAAAAAGAAAAAAAGTCGAGGACCTAGTAGAATACCTGGCAGTGCAAGGAAAATCACTCCCAGACTACGAATGTTTAGGTTCTAACTGATCAGCCATATGAATCAAACATGGTTATATATCCTTTTATCCAAACTAGAGTTTTATTCAGGACTGATTGCACAACTGATTACGGTCTAATAGTCAGTGCTAATGCATTAAAATAAAGCACATGTGCTGGATTGCCCAAGATAACTTTCCGCCATTTTCTCAAATGATCAAAAAAACTGCTCCCGGCGAGGCTCGAACTCGCGACCTTCGCATGGCATAAGGACAGAAATCCATATAAGTACGAGGTGATAAACCGACTACACCACGGGAGCTGTAAAAATTGTCAACTTTTTACTATATCTATATCTAACTACTAAAAATATCACTTGAATTTGTTGATAACTACTAAATTCAAACTCGAGTATTAATTATAGCCTATTCATGTAATGTGGAACACCAAAGTATATAATAGAAATCTAGTCTCATGAAATAATAGTCCACATTTCAGTTCTGCTAAACCCCACATCAGAACCGTCAAGCTCAATATCTAGATTGAAATGAATGAATCATACACTGTATAGCTAGCCAAAAAGTGATCATCTCAATTCAAAAATATAATTTGATTATATGATGGATGTTTATAAGAATTAAAAATGCCAATTCTTGATAGAAAGTGCAACAAATATTCAACTATTTATTTCGATGCAAAATAGTGGAAATGATCACTGCAAGATAAATAAGCATTTGATTGTATGCGAATATAGCTGTAGATGCAATCCATTTAACCCAATAGCAAGCATATTTTACTCGGTTCATTCATTGTCGGTTATATCCAGACCACATATCAGTACCAAGCTTCAAACATTGGCATCCACACCCTGTAGGACATTCAGTATTTTCAGAAAACCACGCTTGTATATGGCCAACATGTCCACCGTGATTACACTCAAGACATACTTGCGCAAGAGTCTTGCATGGTAACCTACAAATACTGCATCTAAAACCAGGTACGACTGTATGGCATTTTAAACAATACTGACCTAGTTTATGGTACCTTAGTTCAGTTTCACAAACTTGGCACACATGTATCACATCTAAAAACAATGCCACAATGGTGAGCAACACAAATGTTGTAAAGTGTATTATTCAGAAAAACTTACTACCAACTGAATGTTCGGAAATGTGATCTCGGGAAACAAAAAATGACCGAAACTTGAGTAGCTCAGCACGTTGATGCAATAGACCCCATGAATACAACAGCTCAGCATATCTCCAAACGTATCCATTGTACGTATCACATAAGTGAGGATCAAGTAATCCCATTTGATAAATATCGTGATGTTCCGCCGAGCTGAGTACTCTGTTTGGCATGGATTGATCTAGACTGAGATTTGGTGTGGCTTCGGAAGGCGCCAAAATCATGTTGGGTTTAAATTCATCCTGATGATCACCATCCAAATGCATCTCTGTTATGACTAGGTTAATATTTTGACCGGTTTTGGATAGCGACGGACTGGTCTTGACCGCCATCGAACCAAGCGTGCTTATTGCCAGTGTAGACATAGTCGGTAGATCTATTGGAGATGCAACCAACATGTTTGCTGCTACGAATGGTGATGTGGATGATTGTTGCAAACTTGGTGGAGAAAGGCTATGCACAATGGGCCGCATTACAAGGTTCGTGTTAACACGGTCTATTGAAGACATGGCCGTAGGCAAACTTGCAAGTGATGTTTGAGGAAGCATTCCAACAATGTGTGAATTAGAAAGAGGAGAGCCAATCAAAAGCTTCCCAGTGACAGCTGCTGATCCTGCACCCCCAGTGGATAAAGTGCGAACTAATCGGCCACCAGATTCACGATGGCGCGATGGGATTCCCATGCTTTTGGATGCAGTGGTACCTATTAAAGCAGATCTAGAAGCAACATCAGAAACATACGACATTCCTGTGGTAGACACTAATGATCCTGTTGACGAATACACTAATGACGATAGTGATCCAATAGAAACACCTGAAATGGGCTGCATGCCTACATGTGGATAGGATTGCATGAGCGTCTGTGCTCGCGAGTTTCCACGAATAGACTGTACAGGAGATGTTTGATGATAAATATTGTTTGCTTTTGACATATTTTTGTCAATAGAAATACTGGCAGAAGTTGTATTTGGTGCTACAAGAAAAGGAAGATCAGATCCAGAGTATGAGTTGCGAGAAATTCCATATTGGTTAATTGGATTGTTCAAGCTTAAAGCAATCACAGGATCGCTTCGTCTGTGAAAGAAAATCGGTGCCTCCAAACGATTCAGTTGATAGGCTGGCACGCTCTCTTCAACCTGAATCTGATGAATTTCAGGAGTCACATCGTTCTATCCAAATAATCAGTCGAGTTAAATTAAAACCAGTAAATAGCAAAAATCAATAGTCTGCAAAAGTTGAACATCTCATAGTGCACTCATTCAACTCACGGATTTTTCGGCAAACACACACACGAGCATAGCAAGAGTCTGTAAATCTCCCATCCGTTCAAGCTGATTAAATCTATCATTTAAAAGTCAAAACTAATTCTCTTTGATTTCAAATCAATATACTCTACTTACAAGGAATGCACCATTCGGCGACCAAAGGGATGATTTTGCCAGTGCATACGCTGAAAATGAACATTGTCATCATCCTCCAGTGTGCGTCGAACAATAGCATTTTGGTTGACAACAAGCTCAGCAATGTTCCATATCTTTGCCAAGTCCACGAGTCCCATCCCCAGTGCCACATTACGATTATTCCTGCATATTTTTCCACAATCAGATCCGCATAGACTAAAACGACAATAATAAAAATTGATTGAGTAATACCCTTCAAATTGAAACTTGCAAGAGATACACAGACCCAGTAACATACGTGTATTTTTCAGCAAGATCTCTGCGCATAGGTAGAAATGACGATACATCCCAGGTATGTACAATTGTTCCATATCCATTTTGATACTCAATACCAGCAGGCATATGCACCCCAATAAATGGAGTGTGGTTTGACCCAAAATTATTTTGAAGTCCAGACTTGGCCGGTGTAGATGGTATAGGTGCATGTGTTCTTCCATAAGATTCGCCTTGGTATCGCGACGCAAACCGGAACTCAATGTCACTAATGTCTGATACACTTTCGTTTTCAAATACATCCATATCCGACTTGAGATGACGTTTGATACGATCGCTGGTATCGGATATGGAGCGGTGACGCCGGCGGGGCAAATTAAAATCATCCTCAGCGTTAAAGGGTGTTTTATATGCATCGCTTACTGGCCTATGTAAAGCTTTTACGGTCGGGCTATCAGAAGAAAGATAACTGGTATCAACATTTTTTGACGATACTGACAAAGTCTCTGGTGATGTATGCTTTAGTGCAAAAGATGGTGTCACCGAGGCTTGTAGCATCGGGGTATCGATATTCATACATGATTTAGCGCCTGACGGACTCAATGTAAGAATAGCAGTAGACGAACGTGTAACATTCTCATTCATATTAGATATTAGCGACTTTCTATTAGGGATCATAAATGGTATAGTGAACCCTTTAGCAAGCATATCGTCGAAACTTGCATCAGAAGTATTTGATGATGTGGATATCGTAGACGACCGTCGACGATGATTCTTTGCTACTTGTTTAGACGGTACTCCTTTTTCTGTTCGCTCCATGGCGTCAAATATATTATTGGGTGACGAATGATCTACATCGTCACGCAGTCTACTTTGTATACTCGGTTCAGCTTGAGTATTCGGTAAACCTTGTAAATTGCCAGATCCAAACAGGTTTGTGGCAGACACAAGACTGTGCTTTTTTTTACCAGATGCACCTGATCCAGACGTTGGTGCTGGCGAACTGAATCTTTGCAACTGTACCAAAAAATCTGGTGATGTAAAAACAGTAGGTTGAAATGATGATGCTGGCTAAACAGTATATGCAGCAGATTGATAGTCGCATGGTTAAGATTTGATATTTCTTGATCCAAACATGCATTAAATAAAAGTAATACCAGTCATGAAATACCTTTTTTCTCCAAAACAAACTGGGTGCGGTCTCTTCTTCGCCGGCAGGATCATCGTCTAGCCAAAAATCCATTTTCGATTTTGTTCGTGGCGGTGTATCCATGGTAGTCATTTCGTTACTGACAAGCTCATTAGCTAAAATATCACCAGCAGTAGAAACATTTGAACCAGCAGCTGCAACAGTGATTTTTGGAAATCGTGAAAGAACAAACGCTCGATAGCTTTCATATAGCGGATATGTTTTGGGCTGTGTTTGGAAATGCTGGGATTGAAGAACAGGCTGCTGATTTCGTGATGAAAGAGTATACGTTGTAAACTTTGTTGTTGATGGATGAGGCAAAGGTGATTTGAAATATACAAGCTTTCCTACAGGTTTAAGTTCACATCAAAAGTAAAAAGTGTTGGTAAACTGGTATGTTCATATGCAGATCAATTGTTTTCAAAACAGATAAACATACCACACATGGAAAATGATGCAGCACACAATACTGGAAATGGAACATTGCCCTTATCTTTTCCAGTAGTGGTTTCCCGCATTAGTCTCCTATCACCAATTGGCTTTACGCGCTTTCCCATGAGTGGAACCGATCCTTCCGCATCACTTGAACTTGTTTCTGAAATAGAGTAGTCATTAGGGCTTCGACCTAAACCACGAATCTCCCGATTCAGTGTATGCTCGTGATCTCTTTCGCGATCAATTGGATCGTGGTGCGAGTCAACGGAAAATCCAGCCGATGTCCCACTCAAACTACTCGGATGAAACGAATCTCCATATACCTTTACACTTGGAATAGGTGCAGTGGCATTAGGATCACCCAAAAGATATCTCACACAGGCTTCCAAACACGGAAGTGACTTTGTTGCAAATGCAGTAGCAATTTGGCCAAGTTTGACTGTGAGAAAAGTACGGTTGGCCATGGATGTCATTCCAGTCTTTTGAATTTCAAAATGAGCAGGAACGTGTGGATAGTCAAATGGAAAGTGTGCATCAATACGAAGAAAAACAAAGAGTTTTCCAGAACTTGCGACGGTTGACGACCAGAGATGATCAGACGCACTTTCTATACTAAGTGAGCAGCTCCGTTGGGCAATATTTGTCTAAATGTAGTCGCCCAACAACACATTACAAGCAATTATTAAATAATAAAAATGCATTGTCTTGGCAAATCTAGATGAAAAAGCTTACTTTGTCGATATGTACATCTGAAAAATGACGTTCAACTTGATGGATCTCTTCCTCCAACGTGACTGGAACAGAATGATCTGCAGCTGCCTTTATGGTGGTTTTGGATGGAGTGGAAGAAGCAATACGATCTGTTTCTTTTTGATTACTGTCATTAAGCCCATTAGAGGATCTTTTCAGCCATGCATTTGAGCGTTTTCGATCCTTAAGACTCAAATCTGCAAAGGAGGAAAGTGGTGCTCGCAAGGAATCGGATCGAAATTCTAATCCACCATCACTAAAATCATCATCTTCCTCAAAAGGCATCATATCCAAATCTCTTGGCCGGTTTGGAAACTGATTGCTGGTGTGTTGCGCTATTAAAGTCAAATTTTCAGGCTGAGACGAATAGTTGGATTGATTTGAAAATGAAGGTGTCATGTCTGCTCGATCACCAATTGTTTCAAGAGATAAATCACGATCACTACAAATTTCCGCTCCCTTTCATAACAATCATCCAATCAGATGTATGGTTTCAGCAATAAAATCAATTATGATGTAGTCAGGCACCAGTGATAATAAGACTCCTTTTACCTTGACAACATCCGCAGAAATGGGCCAAAGCCTCATGATCTGATCTTTGGACCAGGTGATGAGTTGGTAGTGACCATCTGAGAAAATCAAAAAAAGATTAATACAACAGTGTAACTGGTTATGCATCAAAATAATATCGCAATAAACAGTACCTATACAACGCCAGACAAACTCAGCTGGTACATCATTATCACCCGAAAATGTATACAGTGGGGATGTACGGTTTTGACAGCTCCACAAGTAAAGATCGTTGTTTTTGCGCTGAGGCATTGTAATAACAGCGTTTCCAAATGGCTAGATAGTTTACAAAAGTCAGACTACCAGAACAGTGAGATTGGATGATATAAAACCTTACCGTGTATCGAGCACGCCAGATTGGTGCAGTTGTCACGATAGTGGACTGGCACATTCGTGGTTGTGATGTGTTCCAAAACTAAATCAATATAGTATGTTTAAGCTCAAAAAAGATGACTACGTTTGAGATAGTATGTGATTGGTCTTGAAGTTTTAAACAAACCTTGACAAGCTTGTCTTGGCTGCACGTAATGAGTTCATTTTCATTGTTTCTACTCCAATCTATACCATAAATCTTGGTCATGTGTGCTGTAATAAGTGTCAATGGAGATGATCCTTTCTAAAATTTATAATAGATGATGTAAACAGACAATTCAGGTTTAGTTGAGTGTCTTTAGAACAATAAGCATAATACTGGTACTAACCCGTGCGTCCCATATGCGAACATCCGTGTCATGAGAGGAAGCAATAATCCATTCATTAATACGGTTATACTTGACTTGCGTGGCTCCAACTATCACAAAATACATTGTTTTAATTGGATACTTGCAAAATGCATTTAAAAATATCAATAGGCATTATTGCCAACCTGTCCAGGATGAAAAGCTCATTGACGGCTTGACAGTGCTTTGACGCAAATCCCATAGATGGATATACGCATCATACGAGCAAGTCGCAATTGATTCGGGATGAAATGGACTCCAATGAATATCAGAAACAGCTCTTGTATGCTTATTAATAATCAGCTCGACATTGTTTTGCGATGGTGCAACAGACTGAGTGGATCCGGCTGTCGGGGCCCCACGAGCAATGTTCCAAATTAATGTTTTTTGGTTTGACTAGCAATAAAATAATGAGTTTGAATACAATGCGATTTATATCAAGAGACTGGATTGTATACTTACGGTTGTTGCAATCCAGTTTGATCTACTATTGTGTGGATTCCATTGCACATCAGCAACATCCCATTTCGTTAAATGCTGCAAAAACCGAGGTTGCTCATATGGTCGTTCTAGATTCAATATATATAATCCTCGTTTTCTAATCATGAAATTACATATTGACGTGTATGGTGAGTATATGCAAAATGAATTACAGACATATCAAGATTAAGGATTAAAACTGAATCATTTCAACAAAAAATAGTTGATGACTATTACAGTCGTGTTCATGTGAAATCACTAAACAAGGGAACCAGTCTCATGACACAGTTGATGTTAATTCCCATGAGATTTGCTGGTTGTCGTGATCATTTTGTAAACAGTTGAACAAGTGTTTACATCTCTGCTGCAATACACTTTACACTTGTCCAATCTCTTTATCCAAACATTAGGTGAATGGCATGTATAGTTGTATTCCTGTAATCATTGTTCCTGAACTAGAGCGCGAATGTAACTGATTTTAGGATGCAGCAGAGTCTGATTGTCAACATCAAAACAGTTGAACCCAATATTTGGATTGATGTGAATCTGGTGATCGTACAATGTAGGGTTATACCAAAAAGAAAGGACAGATTAAAAGAGATGATTTCAGTTCAAACCTATCGTTTGAGCATCATATGGCGGACGTTGTATTTATAATTGAGAATGTCTATTGAAGAAGCAGCCAATTTCTAATAGAAAAGCGCAACGAACATTAAGCATTGCTCGAAAGGAAAGAGACTCAATACAAGTTGGTCTATTTTCCATGAATACAATAGTCACACGCCATGTCCAATTCAAGAGTATGGCAAGATGATTTAAACAAGTGTTTGAAATGAATGACAAGCTTGCTTTACAAGCCGAGACCAGTTAGTAGATGGCTTACGCAGCTAATACGACATCATTTCCACTGGGTGATATGCTGATGCTGGTGACTGGATACTCGAGTTTGATGGCAAGCGATTGTTGTACATTAGTAGATTTTGAATTATTTGAAGCAGCCATATGGACTTTAGACTATTCTTTTTGTATGTTCAGACAGCAGTTGGTGGGTATAGATGAAAGTAGATATTAGCTTGAATGGAAGTATTTGATGGAAATTGGGCGTTCCGAATGGCATTGAATAAAACATTTTAGTTTTTATTGCTGATGGAATGTTCATGTCAATTCAGATGCTGGCATCATAATGTGATGATTTCAAACCACTTTAGTGGTTCATCAATCTTGAGTTTATGCATATCAGGAATCACCCTGGATAGACACTGCAACCCAAACATAGTGATGCAGATCAATGTCACCAAGCAATATATATATTTGTTCCCAAACAGGCAATGGCTATACTGCTCATCCAGAATCGTAGACCCAAGTACCAAGAAGGACATAGTTTCTTTTTATGTGCCATTAGATCTCCAATGAGCATGACAGCAAACCCAGCCGCTTCAAAGATAAGACGAACAGGAATATGAGGTACCAATGCGACAGTTGCAAACGCCCATGCTGCAGGAAGAACGCTTAAAACGTATCTAGATGCTGTTGATGGAGCTATACAGAATATACAAGATGGGTTATAAAGTGAATCTTATTGCATGGTGTTGACAAGGCTTGGATTCAATCTAATGAGTATTACCTCCGAATGAAGACATGGCTAGACCCCAATGTATGGCTCCAGCAAACGACATGACTACACATCCTATAAACGAGTAGATGGCGATACGGTTGAAAGTACAAGCCAAGTCAGTATAGATTACAATATTAAATCATCTAGAATACTGACCATAAATGGCTTGAGTTTCAGAGATGAGCATGACTGCTTCAGGCATGTAAACAGCACCAGCAGCAGTACCGATAAAAGGTATCAAAGATGCAATGCTAATCAGCTTCACTGGAGTAGGAATGCTGGTCTGGTCCAGTTTGGACTGAATCTGTGATGGAGTCTGCGGTGGGATCTGTGGTGGGATCTGTGATGGAATCTGCGATGAGATCCGACTGCTGGAGGACAGCAGTCTGGATAAAGGCAAGGAATACCCAAACGATAGACTAGTAGATGCCCATCTGAGCCGAGAACATCTTGTAAAGAGTCGATTCATGATAATCCAGTTGGAATAGTTTCCCTTGCAAATACAAGCTTGTTTATGACAACCAGATCGACTGTTTCCATGCTTCGTGCTATCAAGACCATTCCGTCACTCTCAAGACCACTTTCATGCTGGCATTCACTTCCCACTGTCTGCATGCCAATCAGTTCTCTACTTTGGACTGCTGTTCCCAATCCTCTGATTCTAGCCCATCACCATTCGTTTGCTTCAATTCGATCGTTTTCTACCTCCAACGATCCTCCATCTAATCCCAAAACTGGAATTCGATTCCTCTTGCGACAATATGGCACAGTTGCTTTGGGAACTTATATGGTGCTGTCATTTACTGTCTTTTGTGGCTGTCTTACATCCATCACTTTTCTCGGTATCGACGAAACCCATATTGCTACTGCATTCAACTATGTCAAGTCACTGGTTGGCATTCAACCCGACTCATCTATACCGCTTTCCGATACAGATCCTGCTGAAAGTAAAAAAATGTTTGAATCAATGACCTGGCTGCCTGAATGGGCTCGTAGTCCTGATATGATAAGAATCGTAACAAATGTGCTACTGGCTATGGCCATGACAAAACTCTTTACGCCGTTCAAGATCGCTATTACTGCTGCTACTGTGCCTTCCATTGCTAAACGGATACGCTCCATGAACTTTTCTTGGGTACACAATGCTATCAAGAGTATCCGCAATTATATTCGCCCATCCAAAAACTAGTCCTTGGGATGATCAACTTACAGCCGTATTCACATAAAACGTAACACTATCTTGATGACTATCTCGATGACTACCTTTTCAAAATAAACAATAGTTAAATATTCGTTGCCTTTTCTTGATAGAAATCAACTTGAATTGCCATTTTTGATTCTTTCAAACACAATGTCCATGTATGATGCAGAGTATCCAATACATTCGCGTTCTAGTTCAGATTGCACATCTCGGAAATGTTTCCTTGTAATATACTAAACATTCAGCTCGAGTTTAACCCATCGTTTATTTTATATACTTGTAGAATCTCATCATATGATTTAAAGAGTATTTCTCCGTATTGAATGAGCTTGATATGTTTGGTATTGCGAAATCAGTTCAGGTATGGTCTGTGTTTTCAGTATTTACCGTTGGATGTGGCCCACTTTTTCCAACTCCAACAACAATCCAAAAGGATATACGCTGCTTTACTGGATCTTTAGTAACCTTGGACACATCCGAGGTATCTGTAGATTCACCAGCCTCGTGTGATTCTACTTTTGTAGTGAAATTTACCTGGATTGGAAAATGAATCTCGGATTCAAACTTGAGTGGAGTCACCGACAAGACTACAATTTGTTCATGTGGACCTGTTACTGCACAGGCTTCAAAATTCATGGGCAGATGACCACCAGCCGCTGAATTGATTGAAATAGGAGTTGATGACGATCTAACCACTGTTTCTGGAATTTCCCAAGGATCAGTATACGCATCTAATGTCAAGTTTGAAGTATGGAGCTGCACCTAATAGGATAAGTTGCTAGTTCCATTTAGCATTCGTTGATATCAAAATCATTTGTCTCTCAAAAACAGAGTGATTGTTTACATACCGTGCATAGGGAGGATGCTGCCGAGCGAGTTTCCAAATCAATATAGACTGAACTCGACAAGGGATTTACAAACCGTAAATGCATTGTAAACTCTCGACCAACTTCAATAGGCGACAAAGGCAATGGCGGCGTGATTTGAATTCTCGGAATTTTATCGCTGATAGTATATGATCAAGCAAGGTGAAAAGGATGAGCAATCAGACACGCATTCATGGCTAAATAGTTGATATCAATCTATAGTAAAAAGTCCATACCGTGCAGCCATCTTGATTCCAAATCGAGTGCTTGCAGCCTTGGTTTCTGGTTTCACTAAAATATGCTCACATTTTAAACATCGTTTGTTTCGTTTTGATCTGAGCTGAACTCTTTCAGGTCGGAGTTGGTTTCTGTTGTAGTTTAAATGCCATGAAATCTCACGTTGGTCACAATTTTACAACTAGATAGTGCCAATAGAACAGTGAAAATACACATACATGTCTATGATTGATGTACCATTAGATTGACGCAATCTCTGTTCCAAAGAAGTTCGTTCTACCAAAAAATCAGTCACCAATATACAAGTTTGATGAAAATCGCAATTTAAAAATAATTAGTTCATGGCAACTCAATTTACCATTGTATGGAATGCCCAAAAAAGTAGCAACTGCATCGACAGGTTGTGTAGAGGGTTTAGACTTGGGTTCATAGGCTAAAACTCGTCTATCTGGTTTAATTCTCAACAACCGTATCGATGAATTCAATAATCCCAAAGATGAATGCAGTGATCCAAACACATGAGAACCAAGAGATGAGGCCAAATCACCAGATCCCACACCACTAGAACGAAATGTCCGCATGGTTTCAATATAGTGTTCAAGAAGATGATCGTATTCCTTGATCTGAGGAGAGTCACTATCCAGCTTTGAAATATGTGCTGTGGTTTAAAATACGCAATAGATGAGCAGCAGCCATGCATACTCCATCCTCAACATCGATCACAGCGGTTTATACCTGCTAATCCAGTAGGGCGTTCAAAACGAAGTCCACACTCTGTCGAATCCCATCTACAAGTGGAGCACGACAAGTAATATGCACCACCAACAATCTGCGCATCTGTACCCGATCCCTCTTGAGCAGCTGCATTGGTTACAGTAGTAATACATCCACAAATTGGACAATTGAAGCAATTCCGCCCACAGCTATGGATTACAGTTCGAGTTGTAATACAAATCAGTGTACTGTTGAGATCACAGCTGCCGAGTTATGCCAATGCATTGATCAATTCACCTTCCTCGTTCGGTTTTTATAGAAGTGGTGGGCACTTCAAACATGCAGTTGGGACAATAGCAACAAGACACTTCTTGCGACACACAACCATCGCACTTGAGCTCATTGCAGACAGAGCAAAAAAGCAATCTGTCAAGAGTATGCACTTGAAGACCATTGACAGGCAAGAGTGGAGCAGACTGGACAAAGTCTGCCGTGGTACTGTCTGTACCATCCTGTGATGTTGATTTGGTTATGGATTGGAGTATATCTTGACCTGAGCAATGACACTGAGATTAAGAGATTAACATACAGATATGAACCAATGTTATCAAGCAATCATATGCGTGCCTGATATCTAATAAAAGGTGATTCAATATGGGAGTGATATATATCATCATATGAGGAATCTGCAGTGATCGTCATGACTAAACTGTCGTAAGCAGCAGATTACAAGTCAGAAAAGATTTCAATCCAGTTGAACTGGTTCATGTTGGAATAGCAATTCATTGCAGTGTTGATAGTTTATTCAATTCCTTGTGCATTGTATCGATACGTCCATTCACCACGAATCAATACCAAATAATCACCCGCTGTTCGCAGTGCACGCATTGCAAACAGTGGACTCTTGTCTGGCGGATAGCTTTTGAATCGATCAGAATCGATGGGGAATAATTCTGGTCTTTTATTCCCACTCATATCAAATGGTCCAGCAACATGGCCTGCTATTGTCAGTCGGGTTTCGTTGAGCAATTCCAGGTCGATGCATTTTCGAATCACACTTCCACCAGCACTGACATCGAGATACTCGACTCCTTTGGCGCGCAGCAGTTTGAAAACCCAAATCAAATCTACTCTTGGCTTTATGGTGGTATGGAGAGTATCTCCAATCATCACAGTGACGTTCGATTCAAGTTTCCCAGATTCTCTAAACGGTCGTAAACGATTCTCCAAAGAAGCAGCACCAAGAGCAGTCGTTATAATCCATACTTGCAATTTAGCACCATCTTGATTGCCTGATCCCATAAATAATGGTCGATCCAATTCAAAGTCGCACATGGATGAAACGACAACTTGAATGGGTTGAGCATCAAGTTTTCCAAGTACATTCAGTCGGTAGCGAATGAGATCGTCGAATTGGACAATGCATCCAGCTTCTTTTTCCTTGCGAAGAATTTCACCAGTGATGAGAACGGCGTCAGCATGAGCCCAGCCAGCATTGAGAAGACGCCAGTCAGCATTGCTCCAATGGCCTATTCCTGGAGCATGCTTGAGTGCTACATCACTAATATAGAGTTTCAAGACGGGTTGATATCTCAAGTTGAATTTAGAAACTCGATAGCATTCAGGACTCACCTCACTAATGAATTGTCACCAAAATGCAGAATACCATCTAGTGTAGTGACTGAATTTGTCCAAGTATATGGTATGTGTTTGGGAACAACTGCTGTACCAAGACTATAAAACGAAGCAATATCATCAATAGAGATATCAGGAGATTCAAACTCTCCTAATCGTGGAATAATGCCAAGCATGCCAGCAAAATGTTTTCATGATGGGTTCAATCCAATGACGTACAAGTTGGATGTGACAATCGGATGCTTCAAAGCCGTATTCAGGTAAAATCGCTAAATAAGGGTGTCAACTAGATGAATGTTGTGGTTGGAATAAGGATTGGGCGTGTGTATTGAAAAGCAGTCAATTTATTAGGAAGGCGCAATGAAGATTTAATCAGTTTAATCCAAGCCATCGCTGCAAGATAAAGTGGTTTGTTTTACGTGAATACGGCGGTAAAATATATTATTGTAGCTATCCTCAATGCACTCAAGTCTTGGTTAAATGTATAAAAACATACCAGATGACATTACAGTATCAGACTGTATATCCGATACGGATCGTCAGTCACCAGCTACCATTGTAGATCCTACTCAGAACCGCACTACTTCATCTGTTCGCACCACTACCGTTACAATCGATGGCAGAAAACAACAGTCTTCTGTTACCACTAGTTCAGCTACACATACTGTACATAGCGCCACTAGCAACTCATTCGAAAGTAATTCTTTCATGGCTGCGACTCGCCCTATTTCTGTGCCATTTAGTGCTGCATCGAATAGTCGTGCCCAGTCCTCCAGAGTTCAAGTCGTATCCTCCCAGACAGGGAGCTTTAATGCTCCTGTCCATTCTAATGACAATCTGATTACATCTTTATCAAAAACAACCCAATCCCGCACTGCAACTGACACTACTGTTGATTTGGCGTTTGCATCGATTGCCATGCCTGCAGCCGCTTTGTCCTCTTCCAAACATACAGCTGTAGAACCAGATCTCACTAATACAAATTCAATCCAACATAACAACTCCAACTCGTTCACCAAGACCAACCAAGTTCATACAGTTGAATCTAACTCCAGCTCGACTGCTATTCAGTCCAGTTTTTGGAAAGTCGGCACTGCCACACATCCATCGGATGATCAAGATCAGCATGTTGCTGTTCAAATGGCGGACGATGCAGTGCCTATCCAACGCAAGCCAATCGAGATTCGAGCTGTTTCCTCTAAACAGCCGTTGGATACTTCTTTGGGTATGTTGTCATCCAATCATTGATGCATGTTTCTGAATTGCCTCTTGTAATGGGTTCATACAAGACTTTCAGCCACCAATAACAATCGTAATTTACGCCTTGTTGATGTTGGCATTCTTTTTGCAATTTTCTGGCACATGTGATTGGACCAATCCATTTTGTAAACTCGTGCTGTCAGTACTATTCACTAACCTTGATTTATCATCTATATTTTAAGACACACCTACAGACAACAGCTTTAACAAAAATGCAACACTTGGAAGTCATTTTTTCAACTATATTAATAGCAGCAGCTCGCAACTACGAAATCGCTCAGCCACACCTACTGCTCATGTTGAAAGAAAATGGAATCAAGGAATGTGGGATGCAGTAATTGCATCCACCAAAGACAAAAACAGAGGCCATAAAAATTTAGAACAAATCAGATTGGATCTGATAAAACTCAATTTGGTAGACAAACCTGCAGTCTATATTCGCAACATGAGACGCACTGTTGTTTTGTTTGGTCATAAAACTGACAGTATACTTATGGACACCATTTGGGCATGGCATCTTGAAAATCTATCCGCAAACTCCATTGATGCCATGAACCATTTTGCCGGTGAAAAAAATGCCGACGCTATTGTGAAATTACTGTATTCCAAAAGCATGTCGCCGTGGGATAGTGTTATTCAGTTTGATGTGTCGGAAAAAAAAGACTCTTCGTTGAGAATATCAAAAGAAAAAGTCAATGAACTCCGAACACTTCATTTTACTGGCATGCTTCGACGCGGACTGATTTTGGTCTTCAAGGTATCCGAACTGCATCCTGATGTGCGATTCGTGAAAATCGTTGCGCCATTTGGACTATTGTGTAAAGAAGCTGAAAGAATTCAATTGCGCATGCAGTTGGATCTAGCAAAGCTCATCACCAAACCAAATTCGGATGAAGCAAAAACTCCATTGATACAAAATAGTGTCATGTCCCGCATGTCTCAAATGATTTATGCTCGTCGCCAAGCCAAAGTTCAACGTGAAATTGCATCACTAAACAGTTTGACGCCTGATATTGTATGGGAGGGTCCCACAAGTTTGTTTAGAGATGGTACAATCAGTCCTAAACGTGCAGCTATTTTTACTCGTGAGCGTTTGGACAGTTTCTGCGGTGGTGATATTTCTAAATTAGGCCTTCCCTATGTTCATTTTCATTTCTTCTCCAATGCTCGTCGTAATATGCTTGTGCATTCCATTGTATCTGCCTGCACAATCAACTTTTCCTCTAATCGGTCCATTAGATCTAATATTGATGATCTATTGCTCAAAAAGGTATATTCTGCCTTTTATGCTGTGCATGATGGCCCTCTGTTGTCAGCTGGAAGCAAAGTAGAGCACATTGAGAAAACAGGCGAGCTCAAGACAATCGTCAGCGAAACGCCTAGTATGAGACCCCTAGGCATGGAGCGAAATGTTCGTGCTGAGCTGTATCAATCGCTGAAAGACTCGTACAGCATTCGTTATTTGTTTTCGTATCTACCTGTCAATCAATTGCGTGAATATTTTGGTGAACGTATTGGATTCTACTTTGCTTGGTTGGGATACTATACAATTTGGTGTCAATCTGCTGCATTTTTTGGGATTGTGACATTTGTGTATGGTATCTATCGTTCTGTCAGTTTGCCTCGAAGCAGTATTCCAGATCCAAATGGAAGCGACACTGCCAGTGAGATTCTTATTCGTGCCATACTGTTGTTTGACAACGAGGCTACACCGGTGTATGCCTTTTTTATGAGTATCTGGGCTGTTCTTTGCTTGGAATTCTGGAAACGTCAAACACAAAGTATTGCGTTTCTCTGGGATGTAGCCGATTATCGTAAACGTGAAAAAATTCGGCCTCAGTGGTGCCCGTCTGGAACCCATATCTCACCCATTACCGGAAAAAAGGAGAACTATGAATCTCCACGCCAAAAATGGACAGTGCGATTTATCACTGGCAGTATTGTCACGCTGTGTATTCTTCTTATACTTGGGTTTATTACTGGTTTGATTGCATTCAAAGAGTACTTTTCTTCCATAAGCAGTAAAACAGTCACCAGATCTGGCAGCAGCATAAAAAGGACAATTGTAGATTCCTTGTACGCTCATTTGGCATCATTTAGTGTTGCTATTTTTGCCGTGATTCAAATTCTTGTTATTGATCCGGTAAGTTGTTTCAAGAGCTAGTGTGCTTTGTTTGTATCATGGAGGGATTGGCACAAAAAACTGTTTTATTTTACCTGGTTGCAAATACTAATGCTATAGACATGATTGTACAAAATAGGTTTACACATATGTTGCTCGTTATCTTAACGATTGGGACAACTACAAGACTGTGTCCGAATATGAAGACAATCTTGTTCTCAAGGGATTCTTGCTGAGTTTTCTCAATAACTTTTCATTGATTATCCACACTGCTGTGATCAAGGCCTTGTTTCGTGTTTACTATGAGATTAGCCAATCCCCCATTCTCGACTTTGGTAAGCTTTTCATGTGGTTTACATGGAATGGTTGTTTAAACTATTGCCACCTAATAGTTGAAATTAGATAAACTAGACTAATATGTTTTTGATTGAATTTGATCTTGATTATGGTAATAGGCAGATGGGATGGAAACTGCCAGATTGTCTCTGTCAAGTTTGGCATTACCAACTGTATGTCAGACTTGATTATCCAGATTGCTACCATGTTTTTTTTCCGACAATTCTTTACACAGATAGTTGATACACTCTGGCCACTGGTTTCCTCAAGATACAGCGAGATCATGAGTTTGAATTTTGATTTTGACAACAATAATGAGGACAGTAACACCCTCTCCCAATACGTTCGCGACTCTAAGCTTGCTGAAACCAGCGATGAGCAATTTGCAGGCGAGTTTTCCAGCAAGGTGATTCAGTTTGGCTACCTCACCATGTTTTCTGCCGCATTTCCTCTAGCTCCTGTGCTTGCATACGTCAACAATTTGGTCGAGATGCGAATTGATATATGGAAATTTATTACAATCTACCAACGACCGTTTGCACGTCGTGAGTCTTCAATCGGACGATGGGAATCGATTATGCGATCTGTGGTGACAATTGGCGTGTTGACAAATGCTCTAATTATTGCATTTGCGTCGTCATGGTTCCAAAGAGCTTTTGATTTATTTTTTCCAGCTCATTTGTTCTTGGACCCTCTGCAGGATGAAAACGATCCTGGACAAGCCCAACGAACCTTGATCAAGGTTGCCGTACAGCTTGCATTTGTGCTTGCGTTTGAGCACTTGGTTTTTTTAGTTGCCGTAAGTTGTTTAGTTTGGCATATGCTATGCAGTTATTCTGCCAATCTACATACTGACTGGTTTAATTATCATCATCAATTTTATTAGGTATTTATTGACTATCTAGTTCCTGATATTCCACAATCGGTACAGCTTGGACAGGAAGCAGAAGAGTATTTAGAACAAATGCAAAGTGCAGCACACGAGGAGCGCCTGGAGAAGAATGCCAAAGCAGCAGCTGAAGCCGCTACAGCAGCAGCCATGGCCAATGCAGCCAAAAACTCTGCACTGGCCAAAGCAGCCTTGCTACAAGCCAAGTTGGTCGAGGTTTCAAATCAAGATCCACACTTTTTGCAAGCTCAACCGGTATCAACCTTGGCGGCTCTAGACACTACCGACAATAGCATTGCCGATGATGCTAGCACTACCTCCAGTGCTACTCATGGATAGCAATTGCGATCGTGTGTCGAGATACGCGGCTTCTGAGATGTTGCATGATGTATTTAGTTTTGTTTAAGAGAGCATTGCAATTTGTACAAGAATAGTTTATCTATTTTCATATAACTTGTCAGGCTACTGTTTTTATTGAACACTTTCAATAGTGTAGTTGACATATCTCAATAAAGATAAACTATAGATAATGCCAGAAACGACTGCTTACAGCTAGCGACAATAGGGATACAATGAGAAATTGTCAGCAACCATCATTTTTGTTGTTTTGCAAATATCGATGAATTATCTACTGATTTGAATGGCAGGTGCATCCATCATTCATGTTTTCTGTACCACGGCGACAATCTGGCTTGACACGGCTAGTTTGATCTCGATTCAATATAGGGCAGTGTCACTCATTGGATCTTGTTTCAACACGTTCAACATTTCCCTATATAGTCTGTATATCAGCTTAAAACAATCGTATAGTTCCACAAACAGAAAACTCGTTTTCAAAAGGTTACAACAGCTTGATTGGTATATCAGAATGTTTCCAAAACATGGTGAAATTGAGTTGAAGTATAAACTACTTTATTCCATTCTCATTTCTGCTGTCACTTGATGAATCGTCATTTGACACTTTTGGATAGAGCACGATCCATCATCTTTTGTTGAGAGCACGATGTTAAAGTTGGTGCTGAAGCTTGAACAATCGTGTCTTATCATTATTACAAGGGACAATGCATTGTCTGTTGGATAACCCATTCTGCTGCTTGCCCAGAATACCGTGCTCCAGCAAGCATACAAGTTTGGACTGTATATGAATCCTTTCATCTCTCATTTTTGATGACAAGGCAAACTTGTAGTCCACAATGTAAACCTGCTTATTGCAAAACCTCTTGCCCAAACTCCAAAAGGACACTGGATTTGGTAGTGGGAATCGTAAAACAAACCCCCGATTGCACATGAGCATGGTTGAATGGATTACGTGAGCATCTCAAATACAAGACACTGATGGTGATGGCTGCTGACAATCTCATTTTATTTTCTCCATCCTCATCCTTATTATCACTGGCTGTGATGATCCAATTCGGTATCTGGCCAAAATTATGAGTATGAATGGGTTCACATGTCAGCAAATGCATTTCAAATCTGAATCTCCAATACCAATACCAATACGATGGCTCATTAGATGTATGGGTATGATCCGGTTTTTAGGTATTCTTTAAACTGTTTTTCCGTGATGGTTTATTTGGTTTATTCAGTTTATCAAATATGCTTTGCAGTTCAAGTCACCGCCTATCCATTTATTGTCACTATCCCCACAAATACACGAATGCTCAGCATATCCATATATGAATTAGATGTAGGCTTCGCTACTCTGTAGTGGCAGTGCATATTCCATGGTTTGCTTTTGTGTCATACCTCAATCCCATTACCACAAGCTTAAAGCAGTGCTAAACATGCCACATGTGAATTCGGGTTTTGGTAACTAGTTGTGTTGTCTGAATTTGTAGTATTTGAATTGGAATTCAGTTTAGGCAATTCAATGTTGTAAATAGTCTCGAGTTTAGGCTTGCTGGTGTTCTTGCTGATCTCCATTTCAATACACCATGCTTGCTAGCATAAGAGATTAATGCAAACCAGCTGAATCCTAACCCCAGATGATTTTACACTTTTACAATAAAATCGATTCAAAACGTTCAGATGGGTTGTACTAGCTTATTGAATTCAACCAACCTTTATACAGTTTGATCAATGCACAGGAACGCACCACTATTACCTGCATATTATTATGGGGTGGAATCTGCATAGTACTCGAACTCTAAACTATTCATTTATTCTACTGCATCACTTGTACACATCTAGATTATTACTGTTGCTTGCAATCTGAAAATAATTATTTATTTATTCATTCAACGTGTTGGTATTTTTCATGTATTTTCAATGCAGCCATTTCAACCAGACTCGCATTCAGCACCAGTGTCTGCCTCGACAGCATTCACAAATTCATATGAGAAACCTCAACTAACCTCTTCTTTGCCGACTGTTCGTCAATCCCGTTACGACCGAATACTTTGTAAAGTAAAACGCTCAGCACGTTCAGAAATCAGTCTCCAACAATGGGCTAGTCGAGGACTTTCTTCAGTCAATTTCTGGATTGATCCAAAACTTGATCAAGTAAAACGCATTCACTATGATCAAGTCTCTACTCAGGAGTTTATTAAAAAATGGGAAGCTCCTGGACTGCCTGTAGTGATTGTTGGTGCAACGGATCAGTGGAGTGCCAATACTGCCTGGAATGTCGAGGTAAATGTATTTTGCTTGCATGCAAAATTCATGTCGAATACTTGGAGTCAATGATTGCTTATATTAACTCACTTGTATATAACATTGCTTTCATTAGACATTTGCACGCAGGTATAGAAACGAAAAGGTGAAAATCGGTCAAGACGACGATGGCAAAGCTGTTTATATTGGAGTCAAGTACTTTTTTCACTATGCCTTGACTGATCCAAACGGCGCAGCAGTAGATGATTCTCCTTTGTATATATTTGATGGATCATTTGGCAGTCGCACACAGAATAATACAGCAAGACGACCGCAATCTAAAACTGTAGCAGATGAATCCAAGTTTAAACCTGCAGACGGTGATTCAATGCCACTCTGCCATCTAATAGACGACTTTGAGCTTCCAAAGTACTTTACTGATGATTTGTTTCGATTGGTTGGAAAGCGTCGTCGACCACCGTATAGATGGATCGTTATTGGTCCTGCACGATCCGGCACAGGAATTCATATTGTATGGTGTAGGGTCTAATTGAAACGTATACTTTATTACGTACTGACTTTATTCGTCTTTTAGGATCCATTAGGCACAAGTGCTTGGAATGCCCTTCTCCAAGGTCATAAACGGTGAGTAGATTTATTTTGAAAATGACCAGCCACTATCCTGTTCATTCACTTACACAATTTTGTAGGTGGGTATTGTTTCCTCCAGGTGCACCCAAAGATATTATTGAGCCCAAATCACTTCAAGATCATGAAGCAGTAACGTGGTTTACCCATGTTTACCCCAAGTTATCGGATCAGCATCCCAATTCACCAACAGGAAAAACATATGCACAAGTATTTGGCATGATTGATATTTTACAAGGACCAGGAGAAACAGTGTTTGTTCCAGGTGGATGGTCACATGTAGTAATGAACATAGGTGAGTGCCTTGAAATTCTATTCGCATAAAATGGAACACTCGCATCTAGCAATATCTGCCTCTTCTGCTTTGCAATAGAGTAGTTGAATATTTTCTGTGCTTTCTTGACAGAGATTGATTGCCTCTCAATACATAGTGTCAGTTGTTCAAAACACAATGTCCATGTATAATGTACAAAATTCCAGATACGTTCGTGCTCTAGTCCAACAATTGCATGCTTCATAAATGCAGCTGTTGTTTCCATGTCAATCACCCAATATTTACTTGTAATGTCCAGTACATTTGATATGGAATACCATTTCACAAGGCTGGCTGTTTATCATATAGTTGTATTTAGTGTTCCATTTTACGTGGATACAGCTGTAAATGTTTAATCCAAATCTAGAGTACTCAGTTTTTTTGTAAAATATAGATTTTACCGTGGCAATAACGCAAAACTTTTGCTCCAGAACCAACATAGAGTATGTATGGCTTCATACCCGATACAGTCGACCCAAAATGGCAGAGAAGCTTTTGCGTGTTCTTTCCTATTCTAGCAAGCTTCTTGCTCAATCATCCCAGCTTGAATCTTCCTCGCAGTCTACTACATGCTTGGGTAAACGAAAGGATCGCAAGCGGCGACAACAGCGTCAAAAGCGTGAGGATAGACGGATGCGACAACTACTGCATGGCACGAGCGAAGCCGACTTGAAAGTATACATCAAATTAGTGGGAAAGCTTCAAACACTAAATACTATTCCACGTGTGTATCAATCTTCGTCATCATCATCAAGCAGTAGCAGCTCAACGACTACTTCATCTGAATCTGAATCTGAATCGGGGTCTGAATCTGACGCGCCTATAGCGAAATGCATTTGCTCCAAATGTATAGCCCGACGAAGCCGCCACAAATCTAAACGAGCTCGGCTTCAAGTGTCTGGTCATTAGATTTGTTAGCCCACTGCATTTTCCAATCCACTCAACTTGAGCCCTACCACCCACACTCCAAAATAAAGTATTCACAAAGTCAAATTTGAATTTATTTCAAAAGTGGTATCAATAAAAGGTACCCAAACGAGACTTTCAGAATTATACGAGGCAGTGATAAGAATGGATTAAAAGGTGAATGTGTGATTAGAACGAAACAGATTTGTAAGCGAGACATCGCATGGTATGAAAGACTTGCTGAAATGCCACATGTTCAAGCAGACGTCTTTTGGTGCTCCGACCCAATTAGAGTAAGCTAACCCATGGCTGAAGGTGGCGTGAGAGAGCCAGCAGAAGGCGAGTAGATCTGGAAAATGCCATCCTGGGGCTCTGTCGTGAAAGAATGCTGATGAGTATTGGCCATGTGTGATCGATATTGCTGGCGAAGAGAAAGGGCTAGTTTATAACGCAAACGCTGGTTGACAGCACCAGGCAAGGCACGGATGTCTTTGGTTTGATTCATAGGTGTAGTACAGAGACCACCTGCCACACCAGACTCGGGAGTTGGTGGAGGAGTCATTTCTTTGGAAACTGATACCGATGCAGCTTTTGATCTTTCCAGCTCAAAGTGACGTGCACGGCGAAGACTCCGTCTCGTTACGGGTGCAGTCGTTTGGCATGACAAAGCACTAGGGTTTGTGGAAAAAGAAGCAAAAGCTGCAGCAGCTTTGGTGGAAAAGGCAAGAGTAGGCTGGGAACAAGCCATGTTTATCATGGCATTATGCTGGAAAGCAAGCTGCTGCTGGGGCAAGATACGACAGGAGGGAGCACTATCAGCAGCCCAAGCAGTTTCCAGCTGTCTACGACCGTGTTCTGCAAGCAATGGACAGAAATCAACCCATAGACTAAAGCGGGACAGTTCAATATTCAGTTTATAGTCTAGACTCTTCAAAGCACATGTTCTAATGCGAATCAGGTCGGCAACAGGAACACCAGATACGGCTGCCCAGCAACTCATGGGAAACGACGTGTCGTTTAAAATAGAATCTGCCAAGGCTAATGCAACGACTGTAAGCGTGATCTCTGGTGGAATCTGGCAAGCAAGTTCTGTTGAACTCGGATATACTAGCGGTATAAAAGGGGATCCGAATGGTGTTGCTTCGGTAAGTACTGCAAGCACATACAATCCATAATAAACTGTAGTGACAGAGGTGTGGGTATATGCCAGCACTCGCTGACCAATTTTTTCAAATAAAGCATTGCGAGATTGACAAAGTGGGTAGCTGGCTGCGTGGGGGATCCGGATACTGGAATTAGTGGTTCCATCAAGCAAGGCAACAGCGGTGGATGTCAAAGTAAGCGCCAAAGATCGGTTCTCTAAATAAGCAGAGCTAGATTTTGCCGCCATAATACCAAATGAGGAGGGGGTAATAGGTGTAACCACAGAACCTGCGGTGACGGGATTGGACTGTTTTTGAAGAGATGCAACACTAGAACCAGAAGCAGGGCAAGTTTGAAGAAGCGAGGAAAGATTGGAGCGGAAATGTGGTGCATCTTGAGGTCCACAAGTATCTGGGTTGTTTGTGTGATGTAATTGATTGGGCTGAGTCTTTGGAAGAAAGTGCAAGGCATCAGCATTTTGTTGTGGTTCCGCACCAGTGGCAGAAAGGAACTGCGATTGTTGTAGGGAACGAGATTCACATAGAGCATTGTCGGATGAAGGAGCAGAGTGTTTGAGGCTGCCGGTCAGTAGCAAGTTTACTGCAGGTGTACGTGTTCGGACCCAACACCCCGTATCGGTTTGAAGCAGGCTGTTCAAGCTCATATGCAAGTGTGAAATAAGTTGGTGGATTTGCAACAGCTAATAAAATTGATCAAAGAGATGAAGATGCTCCAACTTGGATATTGATATTGGATGGCAAGCGAATAATAGGGTAATGAAAGCGTCAGCAACAACTAGCCGATCCAATTATTAGGCAATGTGGGGGAATACACGCAATGTTTCGGGCACAGGTTGATGTATAGCGATAGACTTGAACGAAAAGTGGATGGCAAGAGTAGTCTATTTAAACTAAATCAAGTACTTTCAAGCAGCCGCAAAAAGTAGCGACAGATAGTGCAATCAAAACTGCAGGATTGTTTACAGTTTTGTGTAGTGATGGTGGAGCAGAGAAAACCGAGGGTGTTGGGGTGCTAAGTGACCCGCAGAGGTGCAAATGTGTGTGTATAGTATACCAAATGGGCGTGTTGAGGATTCGGCTGAACTGTAGTACGAGGGGAATGAGGGTTTGCTATGTTGCACATACAGATTTAGTCATTTGCCCATCCACTTGTTTTTAAACACTAAACACAGCAAATCTTCTTTGTGCAGCTCTGTTCGCCTGGTTTTTATTATAGCCCTCAACATGAGCTGAGCAACATGTTGGTTGGCGCGATACCCTTGTTTGGAGATTTAGTTGCTAGTCCTTTACAAATGTGACAGTGAAGGGTGTTTTGAATGCAGGGGATCTTGTGCATCTTCATGGTGATGCTGTATAAAATAAGTGGCAAAAACAATATAAATTACATCTGTAAATTGCTTGGCATAGATTAAGTGTGTGGTTTCAAATAAGCCAATGGTAAATGACGATGAGGGGATGGTAGTTTGAGAGTGCAATAAAGTATAGCCGATTCACGCAGACTGGAACATTGTATTTATCTGTAGTCACTGCCTCTATTTTCCCGAAAATAAGCGAGTGAGTCCTCATTGCACTCGACTACAAATCGACCGTCTCAATTGTTATTCTCAATTCTTTTAAACATCCATCATGATAACACACGAACATAGTTTTGAACCGAAATTATCTTTGAATGTGCTCCTTCTTCACTTTTGGCATAGCCATACATTGTACGATCACCAACTTTGAAACTCAGCTCGCTCATTGCAATTCACATGTTTTACTTGATTGTTTGGTGCTCTCAATCAAACTATACAACCACCCCTTTGTTGTCCTAAAACTTGTACGTTCGCGCTCTGGTTCAGAAATGGCACATCTCAGGAATGCAACTATTGTTTCTATACCAGCCACCCAATCTTTATTTGTAATGTTTGGTTTGGGTGGAAAGAGAGTTGAAGATTGAGCAAGAATCAAGAATGTGGGATTTACCAAAACTGTGATATGAATGCTGCTTTAACTATTCGGTATTTTTATACAAAAATAAACAAAAACCAGCGGAATAAAGTTTAAAAGATACAATGCTGTTGTTAGTAAATTTGGTATGAACCATTACTAATCATTACTAATCATTGCTAATCATTGTTAATCATTTTACAAAACTGGCTATTTATTACACTTTGACATCCCTGGTATTTCATTTGCGTGAATATAGTGGAAAGTGCAGTCCACTGACCGCTGATTCTAGGGTACACTGTTGCAAAGCAGGCAGCCACCATCAATTCGTAAGCTTCTGAAACATCTTTAATATCTAAACTCTTGAAATAAGCTAATTTTAATAAAAGGCGATAAATACTCAAACTGACTTTACAAACTGGTAGCACTTGAGGTGCCCTCTGCACCTCCTTGGGCAAACTTTGGTACAAAAATAGCATTTTCTATTGGATCTGTTTTTTCAAATATTGGATTGAGCGTATTGGATGGAGGAGGCTCAGGTGAAAGTACTGATGCTGCGCGTAAAGAGGAAGATGATCGTCTGAACAGGATAACCCCAGCAGCAGTAATACCCACGGCACTTAGCATTCCACCAGCAATAGCTGCTGTATTGGATATAGGGGGAGAAGAGTGTGCTGATCCTACCAATACTGTTGCTGTTGCTATCGCAGAAGCCGTGGCAGTTGGGTTGTCCAAAGATATTGTTGATGTAGACAGTTCAAATGTAGTTGAAGCTGTCGACAACATGGTAGTTGAGTTGTCAAAAGATATTGTTGATGTAGCCCATTTAATTGTAGTTGCAACCGTTGATGACGTGGTAGTTGGCAAAGGCAGTGGCGGCAAGGTACATCTAGGAAAATCAACCATTCCACCTAGCAATCCAGCATCTATTAACCCATTTGCATTTGGATCTGCATCGTTCACTGTTTGAAGAGTAAAAACTCGCATGGGTGCAATGGGTCCACTCAAACTGTCATGAGCCATTTTTTCAACCTTGTAAAGTTCGCTCAATGCTTGTGCTTGAAGAGACTGTCCATATCCATTATCCACCAATCCATCAAGAGTGCCTGTGGCATTAAACCCTGTGTATACAATATGCTGGGGATTGGTCGAGTTTATCACATGAAGGTTTAGTTCAGCATGACCGTACTGTAGCAAGGTAGTAAATGACATATCCCGATCCGAGTTGTTTGCGTACTGATGCGTTAGTGCAAGACGATACGCGTTTGCATCAGTCCACGACGATATTGGCCCCTTGGAGTTACCATTAAAGTCTGATTTGGAAAAAAGAGACATGCTGATTCCTGCAGATATCATCTTGTGTGCGGTTTGGTCGATTTCTTGTTGCCATGCATCAGAAAGGACCAAAGGTTGATTTGCCGATCTATATCGAAGGTATCCGGAAGTAGTTTGGTAAAGAATCGAAGGAGAAAAAGGTGGTTCGTAGAGCTGGGTAAAATATTCAGACTCGTTTTGAGTCAAGATAGACTGGTTTGCAAATGCAGTTGTTTGGTCAGCCATCCTATTAAAACTAAAGAAACATTCACAAGTCAATTATATGCAAGTGAAAAGACATGATTAATACAACGCCGTGTTTGTAGGAATTCGACTCTAACTTGCTGCACTTACGGATGAATCGGCATATCACTGTCTTCATCTGTCACCATAATTATATTTCGAATTGATTTTTCACGCCATGATATATAGCATGCTTGATTGGATACACCTGAATAAAGTTGGCATTTTTGAGCAAGTATCGAATTGGGTACCACACCGTTCGCGTCCATATTTATGACAGATCGTATTGCTTCAAGCCCAGCCTCTTGATCTTCCCATCCATAACTTGTTCCAGTTTTTTCAGCAAGAATCGATAGAGTATTCATTACTTGAGTAGTATTATCCTATTGTACAGATTCCATAGAGTTGAAAACATGAGTTTCTAAATAATAAAATTCATGTCTAGCATCATGCTTAATCCCTCAATGCAAACGCAAATATTTGAAAAAGCATTAAATGTTTTCAAGTATCTGCTTTACATTTTCAGACATTGAATTGCCAAAAAATACTTTACTGTAAAAGGCTGAATCACGGCAGAAGCACCGCCAAAGGCTACTACGCTGTAAAGAGTATCTGTATATCCTAAACTGCTCATATGTTTAAAAAGTGTAGGAACACGCTTATTTAGAGTGACAAGATACGATTCCATTCCATTGCTTGCATCGATTAAAAACAGCGTGTCAATCGGCTGAGAACATGACTGTGGACTATCAGTTTGATGAGATTGAACTGGCGAGACTGTTGGAAGGGATTGTACAATAGTAATAAAAAGCGTATAAAAAGTGTAAATATGGCCAAGATAACTATAGACCATTGTTTTTGATAGGTTTAAATAGTTGATTGCAAGTATGGTCGAGATTGATAAAATTTAATTGATGAGGAGCGTGTCAAACAGCATAAATCATTTTACATGGCTATAATCATGTGATGCTCGATTGAGTATTGAGCATCTAAACATAGTCTGTTGTTTGATAACCGACTGCGCCATGCTATTGAATGCTGTCATTCATTGACCAATAGCCTTTTGTATATTTATAATGTTATTGTAAATGCATGTTTTTATCCAACGTAGCCCAATGCAACGGCTACAGACTAGTATAGACTATACACGCATCAATGACTTTATTTACACATGCTTGTATGGAATGCAAACTCGGATCTTATAGTCACTCTAGCCTATCTGGTAGCTTGAGTATTTGTTCAACTCACTTGCTATTGCCATGTAGATATTCGGTCCAATGCTCATACCATTGGACTGCTATCACGTATTTTGTATACACCATTTACAATGTGACATTTGGTTGGACTTTGTGTTCAACAGATGCTTTACTATTCATCAAATAACCAATTGATCAGTGCATCAGTGCATCAGTAACAGTCTAGCTAGTATGAATTGGATGCAAATGTTGCAAAATGATTGGATTGCTAAACAGATTACACCTCAACACATGACATAAACCAAGTCCATGCTTTCTAGCCATCCAATTGTACACGTATATCTCAGATCAAGCTTGAAAACATACACCAATTGTTTAAACAAGTATAATTTATGTTTATACTCAAATTCACTAGCTCTACTAGCTATCTACTTGTTCCCATTATGACAAACCAATATATCCAAACAGCGCCATCCAACCCCATTATATACTATATTAGCAACCGTCATCTCATTACTACTAGTTGTAAATCCCAAAAAAAACGTAAATAAACTATTCAACATAAACGACAAAATTACTATAATTAGTGTTGACCAGGCCAATAGCCTTGGCGTTGTTGTCCAGCACCACCAGATCCATAACCACCAGTTCCAGCATACTGCTGCTGTTGCTGATGATGCATCATATGTGGTTGGTAGCCCGGATGAGGACCACCTTGATATTGTTGCTGCTGGTTGTAGTAAGCAGGCGCATTGTGCATTTGAGATGCTTGAGGATTTCCGCTATTTCCGCCAGATTGAGCATGACTACCATTGACAGAGGTTGAGCCTTGAAGTGGTAGGTTTGAAGTATTTGGAGAATTTTGCTGCTGCTGCTGAGACTGCTGTTGCGAGTATTTTTGGCCATCGTAACCCTGACGAGACTGACGATTCTGTTCAACAGTCAAAAATCAATTAAGTTTAAAAGTCCATGTACAACTTACGCAACCTCTTACCTGAGATTTGTACTCATTTGACTTGCCACCAGATCCAAGAGAGTTGGGTGCAAATCCTCCAAAATTGGGAGGAGCAGTGCCATAACCATTGACACCCTTTCCATAGTCCATTTGTTGCATGTTGCTTAGACCACCGGAAAGATCGTCATATTGGTAATAGTTGGGATGACCCGATTGGTAAGGATAGCTGCCCCCAGATACAGATCCTGGAGCACCACCAGCATTGGGTGCTGTAGGACCTGCTCCACCTGAAAGACCTCCGGTAAGACCAGCTGGAGCATTGCTAGTATTTTTTCCAGCTTGTCCACTTGCAGGAACAGGCACGCCGTTAGCAGCACTTTGAGCAGAAGAAGCTGGAGTTGGCTGAACATATCCAGGATAATGATTCTTTCCAGCATATGGCTGAGAATACAATGGGTTATGATTTTGGTATCCACCTGTATACTGATTTTGCATGTAGTAAGCAGGGAAAGGATAGTTTTGAAAATAGTACGCATTTTGCGCCTGTTGCTGCTGCAATAACTGCTGCTGCTGTAAATGATGCTGGTGTGAGGTGGGTTGTGAGGTTGGCATAGTAGTCTGAGGTCCGGCAAGAGTGGTTTGTTGGTGCGGCATAGCCAAGTGCTGTTGCTGTGGAGTTACTTGAGAAGATGGAACAGGTGCCTCGGATTGATACTTTGCGGTAGCAATACCATGTGCATAGACTCCTGGATCAGCGTGTCCAAAGTGACCCTATAACAAATAATAGATACAACTTGTAAGTAAGACTACTCGATACAATATAGCAAGCTCAATGTCCTAGCAAATGTAAAATTAAAAAATCACAGCATATTCCAATTAGACAGAACACAAGCACGTTCTGAGAACTAACCATTGATGCAGCACGAGCAGGATCAGATACATATGGAGTGTTATAGTCAGTGGGCATGGCTCCGGGATGACCAAATGCATTAGCATGCTGAGATGGAAAGTAAGACCCATATGCCATCATTCCAGGAAGGCCTGGAGCACCTGCACTGACGTGTTGGTGTGGTTGTTGATGTAGTCCAGCAGCCGAAACAGCATGGTCAGCATCTGACTGCTGTTGATGATGTCTGGAAAACGAAGTGGGAGCAGTAGTGGCCACAGAGGCAGCAACAGGAGCAGTTGGTGATGCGGCATTGGAAATACGGGCAGAAGCAGATTGGTGTTGATATTTTGGAGATGAATGCGATTGTTGTTTATCAGATCCAGATAAACCGGCAGTGCCAAAAGTAGTAGTAGTGGTCGTAGCTAAAGCCGATTCCGGTTCAACATTGCCAACACGAAGTGATCCAAATTGAACTCCAATGGACCCAAGCTGAGCATTAGACGGCATAACAACTGCTTGGTCTTGTTTGAGTTTACGAGGAGCTTGAGCACGAGGAGCGTGTTGTTGACGAAGTCCGAGAGGTGGAGCAGTGGAATGGGTAGTCGTATCAGCTATTTGGGTCGGCGCTGACTGTTCTAAAGCCAAAGCAGTTTCGACTGGAGCTGCAGGAGATCTACACGCATCTAAAGTATTGACAGCGGTGGCAGTAGTAGCTTTTGGTTCTGGCATAGGACTGACTACTTGCTTTGCAACAGGAGAACTGTGCACTGAGACAGCAGCCGAAGCGACTACAGATGCAATAGCCGATGTTGCTGTGACAGATCTTGCAGGAGAAGCATCTTTTTTGGATGTGAAGGCTGCAGCCTTTTGCTTGCTGGGCAATTTTTCTGAAGGAACTGGAGCAGGTACATGAGATTCGACTGGCTTAGATACAGGAACAACAACTGGATCAGGACTGCACGATAGAATCATCAAATGGTTGATACAATCAAGTTAGTACGAACGGTTTTCTTGGCATGTGCATCATATGTCCATTAATTTAATATATTGCCATCGTATGTATAGTTTTACAATGGCACTTACCCTCGAACTAATTGAGCCCAGGAAGTCTTTGATTGTACTGACTTTGCTGAAGTAGAAGCAAGTGCCTTTGTAGCTGAAGCAGATTGTTGTTTTGCAGCAGTTGTGGAAGCAAGTGATGACGCAGGTCGAGTCTTTCCAGTTGCAGCCGGAGCCCATGCATTGACTTCGGTTGTTTCAGTATCACATTCCCCACTAGATTCGGGTGCAGATTCTGGCGGAAATGATCGTACATTTTCATCTGTTGAGCCCCAGGCATTGGCAGCAGCTCCACCTTCTGATTGGACTGGCATCGATGAAAACCGATCGCCACCTTGAGTATTAGTGACATTGTATTGAAATTTCCAGTTAGTCCAAGTTCACATGCAATACTATACAACTCACACAACTTTTACCTGAACGAGTGCTGCCACCTCGGCCTCCACCACGTCCACCACGACTTCCGCCGCGACCACCACGACCACCTCCGCGACCACCGCGAAAAGCTGAGCTACCTATTTGGCATGAGCACAAATCCATACATGTAGTGAGCAAGTACAGTTGAAAAGAGACGAGTGTTGCACAACAAAGACGGTTTGGTAAAGTCCAAGTCAAGGATTCACACAAGAGTATGAAAAGTCCAAAAAAAAAGAAATAGTAATGTGGATTAATACCAGACCACAGAATAAAAACAAATGGGACAAAAACCATTGCACATGTAGAGATGAATCAACAAGACACAAGTATGACTACAGTACTTGCCTCTCAAATTTTGACCCTCAGTATCGTCACCAGTAGGTTTTGAAGGTCCACGACTATGGAAGGCAGTAGACCGATCGTCAGAACTAAATTGGTCAGTCGTGAAGCGCGATTTACCAGAGTGTGAAGCCGAAGCAGGAGCAGTGAATGCAGCAGGTTTGTCCTTTTTCTTGGAAGACTTGACTTCACCCCATTGTTCGGCATGGCCTGGAGTGTGTAATGGATAGAGTAAAATGAGAGTGAATAGATCAAAAACATGGAATAAAAGAGTCAGTAGTCATTGATATGGAGCATCCAACATGACAATGCAAGACAGAGCAGACAATAGATCACATATGAGCATGAACCAGCAAGAGCATGGCAGATGGTTGCATTCAAACGGAGGAATTGGACAAGTCCATGCAAGACCAGTTGACTGCAAGCAAAGCGACACACAGGATTCATACAACAAAGCCAAGACTTGATAGTACAGTCAAAGCACCGACAGCATCAACAGTACCTTCAGTAATCCTGGACACTGCCAGGTCAAAGTCGCCTTGAACTTCCTCAAGAATGTATAGCAAGTCGACTTCTGCCCATGATGAAAAGATGTCTTTAAGACTCTTTGCTTCAGTAGAATATCGGACTCGAAGTTCTTGTGCATGTGCATCCAAGGACTTGCTAGAGGTAGATGAGGTGGAATTGTGCTTGCCATCACCACTAGGGTTGAGTGTGGATTGAGCACTATGTGAGTTGGATAAGTGTTTTTGCTGTTTGTGGCTCACCATTGTGGTAGAGAGAGATACAGCAGTAAGTAGTAGAGTAGTAGATGGATTGACCAGAAAACCAATTAAACGAATAAGAAAAGGTTACAAAAACCACTTGAAAGCGGCGCCGTGATTTTATCCAACTTTTGGAGTTTGTCAATCGTGTCTTGTTCTTGTTGTTCTTCTTCTCATTTCTTCTTATTATCAAAAACTCTTCTTCTTATCAAGTTTCATTTTTAATTTAACAAGTTTAAAAATGAATGAATTGGATTCTACTACTGTATTCTCGGAAAATAATGATTCTATTCATCATCGTCATGGTCCCATTCATACCTATCCTATAGATACTATTAAAGTACCTTCTAGATCCATCGTGTGTCAAAGAAGTCTTGCCAGGGAAATTCATGCTTCCTTATATTGGTATGTCTTGATGCTTGAAATACTATCTTTTATTCATGCTAAAATAACCTTTTATTCCATCAATCGATAGCTCTAATATACAGTATCAACATACTGCCATCAATCTCCATTATGCTCGAGATGCCGTTTTTGAAGATCCAATTGTATGATATTGAATCATCCCATCTTTTCTAGTCTTGTCCATTTCAATACTAATCTCTTTTTAGATCTCTATTATAGGCATTCCTTCGATTCTTGCAAAATTCAGAGCATTGACCTGGTTTCCTTGTATCAACGTAACTGTCAATTCAATTTACGAATCCGTGTCTGTACGTCCTGAACAGCATTCTCAGGCATATGTTGTCGTCATTGATGCCTGGCTCATCGTCACTCTTGTTCCAAACTTGATCAAGTTTCCCTTGCGTAATATTTCTAGACTTGAATTTGACGACCATAATCTTATCCGTCGACATGAAGATATCTGGTCCTTGAGCGATATGTTTGCTAGTTTACCCATTGGTCTTGGTTGGATGTATGACATTGCTCGAAGTGTCAATGGCATAGTAGGCAGTGTAGTAATCGATGGTATTACCTGGGGTTTCAAAAATATCCATCAGGGAAAAAAGGGAAATATCTACCAAGGCTACTGACACTACATGCTACTGAATCAAATCTTGCTATCATAGTATTTTTGTATACTGTTTTCTCGACCATCTATAAATTAAATGCTCGTTTCAAATGCATTTACACTGTTTTTATAGTGTCCAACTCCGATACAAAATGTCAAGCTAATAAATTATTGGCGATTCCTAGTCGAGCAACTCGCAATTTAATATCAACTCCAACCCAATCCATTACCTCCAAGAATCGAAAACATCCATTGACTGCCTCTTGCTAGACATTCAAGCCACCTGTTAGTTATAGCCATGAGTCTCGATACTGCATCAGCCCTTGAATTGACATCCCACATCACATCTAGTCAAACCAGTGGGTCGCTTCCTCGAAGCCAACATGGTGGTGAGCCTACAAGCCCCTCTGTGTCAGATGTCGAGTCCATCACTAGCTCATCTAGCAGTAGACCCCCTGGCACCACTCCTATTTCTAATGCTCCTTCTCCGCTTCGTCAGTTTCCACCCATTACTTCTGGACACCTTGTAACTGGTGCTGGTGTTGGCGGCATGGCTGCCGATAATGGCATTCCTCCCGTGGACGAGATTAAAACAATGCTCGAACTATTAATGGTAAAATTTCAAAAAAGTTGGTTATCAATTACCCATGCCATCTACTTTTCCCTGGTTCTGGATTTATTATAGACCATCAAATTTCATTGGCACTATTGTGTCAATGCAAAACTGAGGTGGATTAAAACGTGCTGGTCTCTGGGCTTATCATGTACAAGCTTCGTCGCGCTTAATGCGTAATCATAGTCCCTGTGTTGAATGCAACCCTATAATGCTTGCATTGACATTCTCATGGTTTGAGTCTATTCAACATTAACTTTTTGTTATTCTACTCAACAGGAAGACCTTAATCTGACAGAGGATAAAAAGGAAGTGCTACGGAAACTTCCAGATGATCGCAAGTGGATGATGCTCCTCCAACATCTCAGTGAAAGATATCGGGCTGGACCGCAAGAAGTTTTGCATGAAATTCAAGAGATTCAGAAACTAAAGGATGGGGCGGATCGTGAACTCTTGACAAATCTGGTTGTGTCATTGCGCTCAAGACCTATTCGATGGATTAGTGGTTTTATTGACCATGGCGGGTTTGCAGTATTGTTGGATAATTTGAACGAGCTGGAAACTGCTAAAATGTAAATGGTTTGGTGCATATCAATGGGTTATACTATGTGCATTTTAAAAAAGTGCTGATTAGAATCCATCTTTAATATAGACACAACGACTTTGAAGAACTGTATATTAAATGTCTAAAGTCACTCATGAATAACAAAATTGGTCTATCAGCTGTTTTGGACACGGAGGATGCACTTAATGTGATTGCCTTGTCGCTTCGATCCCCATCTCCAAGAACTCGTGCGCTTGTATTGGAGATATTCGGAGCAGTGTGTCTGATTCCAGGCGGACACAGTTGCGTGCTGCATGCAATGGATGCTTTGAGTGAAGAGGCAAATACTCGCTTTAGATTCGAAATTGTCGTGTATTCTTTATGGCAAAGCTGTCGAGCCATGACGCCTTTAGATAAAGAACTTCAAGTATGTATTGTCAATTTGAACTGATCGTGGGAAATATTTAAAAGTCAAATTCTCATTCAAGGCTCATGTCAAATTTGATTTATAACTAATTTAGATTGTTTTGTGGGTTGGTTGATAATAAATACTATAGGTTGCATCCATGTCATTTATCAATGCAGTCATCTGTGGAGGTCCAGGTGTCGAACTTGAGTTTCGTATGCACATGCGCTTAGAGTTTATTCAACTTGGTCTTCTTCAGCTTATTGAAGTATGAATCTGGTACACCATGGCATATCCATTTCTGCATGTTTATTAATTTGTCACTATCACTTGAATAATAATAGAAAATTGCCCATCTAGAGAACGACATTCTTCAAACTCAGATTGACGTATTTATTCGTGCAAACGAGTCAGACGAACTAGAATGGTTTGATCGCATGGGACAAGAACCATTTAATAAGGATAATATTGATGAATTGTCTCGCAAGTTAGTTGAGACGAACAAAGTGTCGTCATCTCAAGCTCAGTATCACTCCCTTTTAAATCACATTTCGATGTTGCCTGCAAATCCTATTGAGAGGTATGTCATGCTTTAAATCTACTTATAATACGTAAACATGCACAGATCCAAAAACTGTATGCTTGATTTAGAGTTTAATTATTTTGTTGGTTGAACTGGAAAATATAGATTAAGATATATGATGATCATTGATAAAGTGGTTCAGCAGATAGTGTTGCAAAAAGATGGGGAAGATCCTGATCCAATCGCTGCGCTGGCCAACCTTGATATGAGACACTTGGTTGGTGACATGACCAGCACTTCAATTCTCAAAGATCAAGAAGACAAGTATCAAAAACAACTTGAAAAATCTAAGCGTTTAGAAAAAGAAATCACTTCATTGAGCAGAGGTTGTTTTGCTGATATGTCTGTTTGAATTTTTCAGTTTTAAAAATTCTGGCGCTTATATTTATATCGCTTGCATGCACTTTAGGTGGAGAGCCTATTGCTGATGAAGTCAAGATTAAGATCATGAATGCTCAAAGACAGATCAAAGAACTCGAGGGAACTATGAAGGATAAACTTGCATCTGTGGATGGAGGCGAAGCATTATTGGAGCAATTCAAAAATATAGCTAAAGCAATTGCAAGTGTGAGTGTATCGCCTGCTAAATGGTTGAAATATGATTATTATTAGACTTTGGGGTGCTTTACATTGGTTTGAATATGCTTTTGAAGTTCATATAAAATTTTATACAATGACTAAATATAGGTCAAGGTTGAATCTGTGGCTGGTACCGGCGGAGCTGCTGTACCAGCGAGCGGACCGCCTGTATCTCCTTTGCCTGGATCTGGCCTTGGTGGACCCCCTCCTCCTCCACCACCACCGCCTGGATCTGGGTTTGGTGGACCTCCTCCTCCTCCTCCACCACCGCCAGGATCTGGGTTTGGTGGACCCCCTCCACCACCACCACCACCTGGAATGGGAGGACCTCCACCTCCTCCACCACCTCCAGGATTTGGTGGACCTCCTCCACCTCCACCACCACCTGGAATGGGCGGACCTCCACCGCCGCCTCCTCCACCTGGAATGGGGGGACCACCACCTCCACCACCACCTGGAATGGGAGGACCTCCGCCTCCACCTGGATTTGGTGCATATGCTGCTCCAGTAGCAGCAAAAACCAAACCAACAAATCTTTCATCCAAACCTCTTAAATCATTCAATTGGACCAAATTGGCTCCAATGAAAGTTAAAGAAACCATTTGGGCCAACATTGACGATGAGGAGGTCCATAAACAATTGCGTGGTGACGCGTACCGAGAGTTTGAAGATATGTTTGCTGCGCGTGAAGTCAAAACTATGGAGAATGCTTCCACCAGCAAAGAAGATATTTCGTCCAAGGAAATTACATTTTTGGATGGAAAGCGTTCCCAAAACTGTAATATTATGCTTAAAGCAGTTAAACTCGACCCAAAGTTGATCAAACGAGCAATCTTGTCTGTAGATACAGATACTTTGCCGAGATTTGTGCTTGCTGAGCTGCTCAAATTTATTCCTACAGATGATGAGATGACTGCCCTGAAGCAGTATACTGAAGTTGATTTACCTCTTTTGGCCAGTGCAGAGCGTTTCATGTACGAGATTTCTGAAATCGACAACTATGAACCCAAACTTAAAGCTATGCATTTTAAAACCTGTTTTGGAGAGTATGAGGATGATGCCGAGACTCTTATCACTGGATTACAAAAGGCTAGTGAAGATGTAATGAATAGTAAGAAATTTACGGAACTTCTCAAGGTAAGTGTTTTGCTTTTGATGGTATTCTATCTAGTGTGATTGACTTGACATTGTATGGGTTAGGTTGTGCTTGCTTTGGGTAATTATCTCAACTCTGGTGCACGTGGTGGTGCATATGGATTCAAACTAGGTTCACTACTTAAGATGCTCGATACAAAGTCCACTATACAAGGACGTAAACACACACTTCTTCACTACCTTACCGAGCTAGTGGAAAAGTATTTCCCTTCTATCCAAGGGTTTGAAAAAGATTTAATTCATGTAGAAGAAGGTTCAAAAGTAACCACAGCTCAAATTCGGCAATCTCTTATTCAAATTCGCGATAACCTCAAAGTTGTCGTGGACCTCTTGGATATTCTTGAAAAAGAAAATACAAAAAAGGAGAATCAAACAGTAGAAAAGAAAAAGTCGACCTCGTCCATACTATCCAGTACTTCATCTACCACCTCTGCACAGCTCAATGTCAAGTTAGAATCCATCATGAGATCTTTCCATGCCAAGTCTACCAAAATTTACACGGATTTGGATGAGCGATTCAAGGTTGCAGAAAAGGATTTTGAAAAAGCCTTGTTGTTGTATGGTGAAGATGTCAAAAATGCCACACCAGAAGAATTTTTTGGTACGTTTGCAAAATTTACATCTGCCTATCTGGCTGCCAAAAGTGATAACGAGACTGCTGTTGCAAAGGAGCGTGAATTGAAAAAGCGTGAAGAGGCCAAAAAGGTATTTTGGATCAATTTTTTGTTGTTTGTAGATGCTTTCAAACTGACTGAGCTGTTGAAATCAATCGGTAGGCGAGTGAAGACAAGCGCAGAAAAAAGAGAGAGGATGGAGGCGAGAAATCTAATATGGCTTCCAAAGACGGTGGTTTGGACGATCTCATTTCAGCTATTCGTACGGGCAAGGCGTTTGGAAATGGTACAGATACAGCACCACCACCAGCAAGTCGACAGCGTCGTGCTCAACCTCGCGATGGCGGTCGTGGTGGGGAGGATGAAAAGGAAGGGCTTACGGGTATAGATTCTGCCATAGGTCATGATAGGCAATTTTCGCAACAATCCCGTAATGCTACTCGCGAAGCACCCAACTTTCACTTGCGCGACAAGTCATTTCAAAATGCTGAGCAAGGTGCAGTGGGTCGTTTAAAGCGCCAGGGATCATTCAAAAGTCGTGCAAGTCCGCTAGTCAAAGAGTCAAGTGTTGGTGCAAGTCCTAATTCCAATAGAGATGGGAAATCCGGGCCACGTTCGTTACACAAAGACCCCATACTACATTTAAAAGCCGTTTCTACAACGGAAAAAAATATCGCAGCACCACAAACTCAGCTCAAAGCTACTGGGATGTCTAAAGAAACGCCTCGCGATATTAAAAACCGGCTCGATGCTGCAGCAAAATAGATGTAGTAGTGGCCATTGTTGCATCTTTGTAAAACTTGCTTTCAACCTTTTGTTGCTTTTCAAAGGACAACTACGTTGCTTTTTACTCTGGATATGCCTTTTTTGAAAATTTCTTTAATATATGGTTTTGCTAATTTCGATGCCCAATGTTTGGATATATTGGTCTGTCATAATGGGAACAAGTAGATAGCTAGTAGAGCTAGTGAATTTGAGTATAAACATAAATTATACTTGTTTAAACAATTGGTGCATGTTTTCAAGCTTGATCTGAGATATACGTGTACAATTGGATGGCTAGAAAGCATGGACTTGGTTTATGTCATGTGTCGAGGTGTAATCTGTTTAGCAATCCAATCATTTTGCAACATTTGCATCCAATTCATACTAGCTAGACTGTTACTGATGCACTGATCAATTGGTTATTTGATGAATAGTAAAGCATCTGTTGGACACAGTCCAACCAAATGTCACATTGTAAATGGTGTATACAAAATACGTGATAGCAGTCCAATGGTATGAGCATTGGACTGAATATCTACATGGCAATAGCAAGTGAGTTGAACAAATACTCAAGCTACCAGATAGGCTAGAGTGACTATAAGATCCGAGTTTGCATGCCATACAAGCATGTGTAAATAAAGTCATTGATGCGTGTATAGTCTATACTAGTCTGTAGCCGTTGCATTGGGCTACGTTGGATAAAAACATGCATCAATAACATTACAAATATACAAAAGGCTATTGATCAATGAATGACAGCATTCAATAGCATGGCGCAGTCGGTTATCAAACAACAGACTATAAAATGATGGCTTGATTTGCATCAAAGCAAAACTAGTATATTTCACACTTTATTCCTCAGTAACAGCAATATTAGCAGGTGTTTCCACCACATCAACAGACTTGACTGTCTCAATAACGGCTTTCTTCAATGTAGGCTCTGCTTCTTTCGTATCGCCAGGTGCAGGCTCAGACTGTGTATGAATAGGATCAACATCGACAGATTCACCCACCAAGGATTTCAATTTTTTGCCAGAAAGGTTACATTCGGGATCGGTATCAGCAGCACGCTTACCGGATATAGTTTCAAGATAGCTCAAACGGTGCTGATTTGAGTCGGTTTTTTCGGAACGATTGATGGGAGTCCATTTAGGATCCTTTAAAACAGCGCATTTAAAATGATTAGGTCAAACAAGGAATATAGGATTAGCATTAAAATACACCGATACTATTTAGCCAACTGCTAATTCAAAAAGTAACCTATATCCATCAGATAGATGAATTACCTCTTTGAAGAGACGCATTGCCTTGATAAAGTTGGTGTCATCAAGAGTGAAACGATGGTAGCTTCCGGCAGGCTAAATCAAGATGGATGAATCAGTGCACTTGATTCCACATAACACAACCAACAATGACTGGCCGGATTACCAGAATAATCATATCACCCTTTTTGGTGTGAATGCGAATCCATCTATCGTCCTTGTTACGGATATCAAAGTATCCTGAACCAGAAAGAACATAGCGAATCTCCTCGTCCTCATGAATGTGCCTAATAGAATCAAACAATATCCATGAATCGTATTCCGGCTCAATGTTGGAATGGTATTGATTGGTTCAGAATCACCTACTCGGTAAAGAAGATCTTGAGCTTTTCTTCATAGTTGGGCAGAGTTTCTTTGGAAATGCTAATCTATATTATACAATCAAAGTGATGAGTATACATTACTACAGGAGTATAGCAGGCATTCTTTGGGTTTTAATCGTTTGGCTTGAAAACCAATGCAAATAGTTCAAATGCTCCATCGATTGTTTGGGTTGAACGGTTCTGGAATATATTACAAAGGCCATTGAATACCAGCCAAATGCAACCGACAGGCTACATATTAAACATGCACTGCAATGGCAGGCATCATAGTGCATGGTCAGCAGTTTTGAGTCTTTACTTGCCAATCCCACAATGAAATGGTTCATTATAGGAAGCAACGACTCTGTTTATTCATTCCGAATAAAGGATCATCACAATAGCAATCTTGATTAAAGAGATCCATACAAGGCAACTAGTGTTCAGTCAAGATTACCTCGTCACGACTAAAATAACAACGTTCTTTGGAGAGTTCATTGACCTTGTCCAACTCAGTTTCGGGATCGAATGTCCAATGAAGAACACCAAGCTTGGCAAGTTCGTCAAGAGAAACATCCTGACTGGGCTCATACTTGTGGAGAGCACGCTGGTCCTCTTCGGTCTCGTTGTAATACCAGGCAGAAACCATTGAATGTCGATAAATGTCAGGGCAAGTTTTTCCATTAAATATCCGAATCACGACATGAAGCCAATCGTGCCATTAGCATTTGATCGGTCGTTGAAGTGATTCTATCCAATCCTGAGCATCAATATTTGCTTTAGAATGGTTTCAATTGTTGACATTTCTGGTCTATTGGAATGACAGTCATTTTTCATGTAGAGTGACTTGCTTTTTCGATCTTCTTTATATACACTAGATTCAAAGTATAGTCCCGTCAAACCAATATATATACTTGAAAGGGATTCAAGAGGTTCTGAACGGAAAGCTTGGCATGATTTAAAGTGTTATGGAAAAACGAATTAGCCATGCTTATCTCATGGAAACTGGATTTGGCTGTAGTTGACAGGGAATACAGCTATGCCGTAGCTAATAGAAACTGCAAGAAAAAACAGACGGAACCGGGACAGTTGATCCAATCAATTCAATCAGGAATGAACAGTTATAGCAAGTTGTCGAGTACCGTCATGCTTTTCATATACTTTGATATTTATGGCGTTTTAGAATTCATTCGACTTTTGCCGCTCGATTGATAACAGAGATGAAATATTTGGCAGATGCCATATCAGGTCTTGCCCGCAACATATCACAGGTCTTGATAGCCGATTCACAGTCAGAGGCTACGCCTAGTCAATCAGTAGCACCAGAAGCATCCGCCTCACCAATTGATCCGCCTATAGCATCGGATGTTCATTTCACTGATTCGCCTTGCTATACTTGCAATGATCCATGCACAGACCATCCTCAACTGCCTGGATACCTCGCCAAGAACATTGATGTAGAAACGCCTTTACATGGCACAATGAAGCCTTATCGACAGCATATTCTTGTACGGGTTGGTCTAGGCACCAAATGGGCAGAAAAGCTTGGCCAGACTCCCAATGCTTTCTTTACCCACGTAGATGATTCCATTTCCAACCTGCACCCACCATTCCGGTCTCTGATTACTGCTTTTGAAAGTAGTACTGGGGATGATCAAGTCGAACCGGAAGACACTGATTGTACACAGGTCTTGCTGTTTCCTCAAAACATTGCGTTGGATCGAGTTCATGTGAGCGATATTGGAACACTTGCCGATTGCATTATTGCATACCACAAAATGATGGATCAAAGCAGTGATGCTGGAGAATCTGGATTACCGGTTGAAGGTGAATCGCCTGAAATCATGCTTAAGCTGCTACCCGAAGCATTTGCCGCAAAAACACTAGCAAAGCCTTGGGGCCACAAGACAACTGTGATGGTGTGTACTCATAAACGACGTGATAAACGATGTGGTGTTGCCGGACCACTGCTCATGAAAGAGTTTAATGATGCTGTTAAAGAGTTTGACATGGATGCTGATGTGGGTGTATATGGCGTAAGCCATTTTGGTGGTAAGTCGAATACACTCACTATTTATCTGTCAATGAGATTTGCACAATTCTAGATTGGCTAAACTCTTTTAAACACACTGTTTTGATATAGGACACAAGTTTGCTGGAAATATCATTATATACCGATACAATTCAGGAGGTCAAATGGTTGGTGACTGGTATGGACGTGTTCGAACATGTCATGCTAGACCAATTCTTGAAACTACGGTTAAACAAGACAAGATATTCAAAGAACTCTGGCGTGGAAGGATGGATGCTATAGTCCGCAAGGATAGCAAGAGCAGCATGGTTTGGTGATTATACTAGAGATGCTTCGTACTTTAAATACTATGTTTTAATGGGCATAATAAACTGTACATTGATAATCTGAGCTCAATATACATGTCATTCGCGATAAAATTGTGGAACAGTTGTAATAGAATGCATTTCTGTTCAAACCATGCAAATTAGACTCATTGCTATGAGCAGATACAAACCATGGCCAACTTCCTATCAGGACACGGTATAATAGGCTCCGCTTGTAATTTATGGTGTTTTGTGCACAACAGTGGCAGTTTACTTTTTATTCATGCATTGAACGCCTGGCTTGTATAAAAACATGGCCAATCCATCAGTCTGGGGTTGTTACTCTGTGCCACAATACATCATCAACAAAGGCACCCTAGTACATGGATGCTGCACGCCTTGAAATAAACAATGTGCAGGTAGTGTGGATAACCTTGGCGGATGTGCACTGCACATCTAGTTATAGCCGTATTTATGTAGAATGAGACACTATCTTGCAGTCATTATTTTGCTTCGGGATAAGCAATCGCCGAATATTTGTTGTCTTACTACAGATTGGCTTTGATGAACATTATCAATGCTTCAATCAACAGTGTCCATTATATGCACATGATTAAATTACAATTTTAAGCATAGATTATCTTGGAATAAATCATTGTACGGTCACCAGATTCATTGACTGCAATCCAAATATTGGGTTAGATTGCTGCCAATACAATTCATCTCTGATGTGTTCCAAAAGCTCGGATACGCTCGCGTTCTAGTTCAAAAACAAGGATCGCATGTATGGGTGACTGTGTTTCCATGCCAATCAACCAATTTCATAGCACTCGATTTGTATGAAAGGAGACTGAACAAGTGTCAGAGGTGGATTTACTGGAACCGTGATGCAAACGCCGCTTTGAACACAGTTTTTTTTGTATAAAAATGAGCATGGATGAAAAACTCCAGTGAGCTTTGTCAAGAGGTTTAGAGGGCACAATGTTCAGTAAATTTGATGGGAACTGACTGGTTACTATGCACCTCTTTATTTCATGTTCCATTCTACGTGAATATGGCGATAAATGAAATCCACATGTTTATGGAATATAAATTGCTATTCGTCTGCCTCGCACTTTCTTGCCAAGAATCACACCTACTCCAAGTGACCATTGATCATTTGGCACCAGCAAACGTTTTGACTTGAATCTAAATCTGTAAGCTACACTGAGTGCAGCTTGATTGTGATGTAGATTCAAACGCCAAGTTTGCACTATCCACTCGGTCTTGGCCCTGCTACCACATTTAATAATTTGAACCCCCTTATTGGATGGTTTGTTCTGCTGATTAATTGTTTGATATGTAATTGTATACTGAATGTAGAACAAATGGCTACTGTTGAAGACCTCTACATGACTTTTGGGTCGTTTTGCCAATTCGGCTCGTCTCGCAATCTCTCTGGTTCAATGACGGATATTTCTGGTCCAACCATGGATGGTATGTGCTATTGGATACGGTTTTAATGGTTTGGGAAATGGCTGTAGACTCATGGCTTCATGGTCTACTCCATTATATGGAATCAAACCTGCTCATTTCAGCCACATTTGGGTTTAAATTTAACCTGTAAATCATTCAATCCATCTGATTACGAATAGGTTCCAAGTGGGCCAAGTTCTGCCGTGACACTGGGATCATTGATAAGCATATTACTACGACAGATATCGATATCTGGTTTAACAAGGTCAAGGCCAAGACCGTCCGTAAGATTGATTTTGAACAATTTCAAGCCGCATTGCATTTGGTTGCAGCCAAGCGTTATGGTTCAAGCAAACCTCCTACCGAAGCCTATAATCTGCTTGTAAGAAGCATCCTCAATAGCGGAGCCCGTCCTGTTGCAACAGGAACTGTATGTATTGTACTGGATGCCAAAATTATACTGTTTCTGTGTATTTTACTGAATATCTAACATGTGGATGCTTCTATTTATCACCATTTTGTAAATGGCAAGATTACAACCAGTGACTCGGTTACCCAGCGATTAACCGACCACACACACTATACTGGCACTCATAAAAACCGGTTTGACGAAGCCGGCCAAGGATTGGGTTTAGCAGGACGAGACACTCATTCTAGAACCAATGAACTTTCCAAGATTGTGAACAGAAAGGAAGCAGATATTCGCGGTGTTCCTCTTGCTGCCTCGCCAATAGGATCACCGCGTGGATCTGTTACTATGTCCTATTCACCAAAGTCAAAACGAGCCCATGCTGCAGTGACTACCATGTCTACTGAAGCGCTAGGTATGTTGCTCTATAATTTGCAATGCATCACTGTACTACACGCTCTAGTACTGTTCTCATCCATATCTAATTGGAAATGTACCAGATGCCGAGGCCAATAGACCTAAAAAAGCAGTCACTTCACAAGCGCCTCGCACAGTAAAACCCATTGTCAAGTCGTCTGAAACGCTTCTGAATACCACTGTATGTCATAAATCCGCCTGGAAGTGAATTTTCATTTCCTACTGATACTCTGCATTTCAACGCAGTACTGATATCCTGCTTTTTCATTCGTATGTGTGGATCTATGTTTGTATTGTAATTTTCTTGGATATTTGGCTTTTGAAAACAGACCAAAAAGACTGTGGGTGCTAGCTCTGGAAATGTTTTTGATCGTTTGACCAATACCAAGGGCTATACTGGTACACATAAGGAGCGTTTCCATGGCAGCAGCAACAGTATTCATGGTTAGTTTTAGTTTATCAGACGAAATAAATTTAATTTTCAATAGAGCCATTTGTAATTATCACTGCCATTGGCGTGTAGTAGATGTAAAGCACAAGCATGGTTGCAATTTCACACATTTGTGTATCTGGTGAGATGTGCTAAGCGATCTCTTGCTATAAAAGCATCAAACAACAGTAGCAATGGTTTTGCAAAGGCTGTACAGTACCGTTTTTCGATACATCAGAATCTAATATGTTAGTGGTTATTATATTTGCCATAGCTGTGCATACTGACGTGGCAATATTTCAATCAACATCAGCTTATAATCTTGTTTATTGAGTAATATGGCAAATAAAATATGCCGCGTCAGCACGGAGATTTAAAACTACAACATATTGCCGTTTATAAACATATGGATAGCGGCAAAGTCGGTATTACAATATGCAGTTTATTACATCATCTACAACCGTATTCATGTAAAGTAGAGCACTTTTCTGTATCTTGCAGTGACTGTTTTGCTTTGGAATAAACAATGCTTAAATATTCGTTTCTTTACTAAAAATGTACTGCTTATTCAATCAACATTCTCAATTCTTCAACAAGCATAATAGCCATCATATGATGCGCACACAATTAAACTATAGTCTTGAATTGAAATTGTCTTTTTGAATATCCCTTTTTCCACTTTTGGCATAGCCATACATTGTACGATCACAGATTCATTGTAATCCAGATATTGGGTTCGACTATTCTCAATACAACCTGTGCAAGCTTTACATTGCTGTATTTACAACCTTATGCGTTCGCGCTCTAGTTTAACAAAAAATACACATCTCGGGAATACAATAGTTGCTTGCATGTCAAGCGTCCAATGTTTGGATAAAAGGAGAGTTGGAGATTAAACAAGTGCAAAGGGTGTGAGTTGAAACAGATGGGAACATTTATTCGGTATTTTTATACAGATAAACACAGAAAAACCAATCAGCTTTGTAAGAAGTTCCGAGAGCACAATGTTGCTCGGTAAGATTAGTATGAATTATCATTTCATGAGATTGGTTGTTTATTATGTATTTTGGCACCCTTATTTAGTGTTGCATTTTACGTGAATGCGGCTGTAATTCCTGCCATTGTTACGCATCCAGTGCTAATCTTATTTTTAAACATAATCCTTTAGCCTCAGTTTAAAGGTTGGACACTACTATTTTAGATTTCAATCCTGGATCAAAAATAGTCGTTTTGAGACATATCTTGATATGTAGGTTAATCTGTGCCTTTTGGGGTTGGATCTGTTGGTTTAAATCTTGACATTTTTGTTTAGTGGACTACATCAACGTAGAGGCTATTGACCCACTCTTGTCGTTTGCAGTACCATTACACATACTGGTTTCTTGAAACAATACAGTTTGTATACTACTCTATATTGCTGAGCAGTATCTCAAGTATTGAGAATTAGGTAGGCATATCTATGTATGTTATCACCTTGACAATGAAGCCAGATCTATGCGAGTTTGGTTCAATCTCGTAAATGCCAAACCCCGACCACCTTTATTTCTCTGGTATATCTACTATTCAATTCATTTGCTTCTTTGTTGACTGTCTTGCTCCTTAATGCTACCCTTGCCTTTTGCAGTTTAAAGATGGTCCAAGCTTCAAACGTGTAGAATTATGCGATTGTGTGGTAACGGGTTCAGACTGATACTTTTAACAAGTGTTTATCCGGTGAAAGAATTGCACCCCAAACTGTTTTCCCTAGTCTATTGGCTCGAATAGGTGCTATGGTTTGATTTTTTGAGCAGCCGAGCTTAATGTACCAGCATCGGGATATTGTGGCAAGACTGCATAATGCTTAAATTTAAAGTATCGGTTGGAAGTTTAATTTTTGATTTGCAAACTGAGATTGACAAGAGTTTGCGCAGACAGTATTTATACAGTCTGTTCAGTGGTGTTTGGGTATGGTTTCTTGTGCAGTTTTTCAAGATTCTTTAGGCTGTTTTGAAGGTGGAGAATAATCTTTGCGCTTGACTATCACCGCCTTTGTATAGCCACACTCCGATCTATGGCTGTTTTATAATAGCTGCATGCCACATACGTCCACTCCACTTGTGAATCTACCTTGAAGCAATACATTGACTCATACTCCTTGCTTTGTATATTTCCAGTTTAGTAATTTGCTAGCGTTTAATTGTCGACACCAATTATCTAGCAGTCTCGAGTGGATTTTAGTCAGCAGCTTGCAGTATCAGACTTTGGGTGATTTACGCAAGTATCCACTATCAGAGTGCCTCTATTGACGGGTTAAGAAAGGGTTGCCACATTTGTCAGACTTTGTGCTACATCCACTGTGAACTGGACTGCTCCGTATTTTGCTGTGCACCCATTCTGGTATGTTGCAACTGCTTGTTAGGCTCAATGTAAATCTTGTGATGCACTGGATTGGGCATCACAGTGGGAACAGCGGCAATTCGTCTTGTTGCCCAATTTTCCTCCAATTGATAATCGAGTGTTTTATGCTTTTCTTTACAAGAATCAAGTGTTTTAGCTATCAAGTAGACATTTTAATCGACAATTTTCTGTGATTCGATTTTATTTAGCAAGAACACTATCCATCTTATCCAATCATTTCACATTCAAACAGCTTTAATCTGCTTCCAGCTAGTCCTCCAATCTCACCCAACCATAGCATTCCATCTACAGTCTTTGTGCAACAAAAACCAAACACTACCCAGGTCAGTGATTTTGCTGGGCATGATGATCACTTGCTTCACTTCTCAGCCCATTAGAGTTTCTGATTGGTCATTTATACCAATATTGCATTCTGATACTGTGGTGAAAGAATGGTCCAATGCCAACCTTTCCATAATCCATAGCCCAATGATTCAACCAGAGCATTATTTTTATCAACTTCAACATCGCGCTGTTTATTCCATCAGTCATACCTAGTCATTATTAGACCGTTGTGGTGTTTTGTAAACGGCCCTGTGCAAAGTTGACCGGGTAACAAGGCATATAAGCAGCACCTTTTTGCTGTTGGCTGCCAGACTCCGCTTTTACTGTGACTGCAAATGATTGGTGAAGCGTGAGAGAAGGGGTCAAAGGTGCGGGCCAACTCCCGACCTATGTTTTAGACTGAATTGGCTATATCTCAACTGTACCCCTTAGTCTCCAGCTATTCCTATTTCATGACTTTGTATTTTAAACGTGGGAAATAGAATCAACCACCTGTCACTATATTTTTGAAACTTTAGGGTTTAACTTTTCATTTGCATCGATACACTATTCTGCACCATTTTATAGTCGAGACTGACCTGTTCAACTTTCTATTTATTTCCTCTTGATAGGAAATGGTGAGTCTGGAGCGTACTACAAGTGGAAGCACTCTTCCTATACTCCCCAGCCCTTACGACCTTGCTAATCTATATAACCCACAGCACTTGGAACTCCGGCAGGTCAAACCAGTTGCTGTTTACAACACGACCTTGAAGCGCTCAAAGACATTCCCACCATTGGTTCGGTCTTCTGTTACGCAGAAACACAAGTGGACACATGTCAAATCTGGTCCTTGTTCTCAGCACTTATCAGGCCCCATACAGCAATCTGATCAAGAGTCTGATGGTCGCTCTCAGTGTGCTTTCAAGACACATCAGCTTCAGATATGGCAGAATCGTGTCCAAGACCCAAATGAACATCGTGATATTGAGCATTTCGAGGAATACGACAATCACATGGATACAGATGAAAGCCAACACAATATTATTCAGGACTCATTTTTAGATGAATTGACAGCTGCCAATCGTCATACAGATGATCCTCAGTCTGTTGTGCTTTCTGCTCAATCGTTGGCTACTCAGGTGTTTGCACATGATTTTGCATCTAGCATTGGACGGTCCTTGTCAACTCCACCGCAGTTATATTCACCTCCGTCGTCACCTCCGCGTGAATCATATTTTGCTACGGTTCGAGAAACTACTACGTCCAGCAGTTCGTTATCTCGATTTCCCATTGTACATATCCTCCCTTGCGCATCCACTTCATCTGCACTATCATCTTCTCCTGTTGCTGTTACAGGAAACTGCTTTTCAGAGCCAGCTTTTACCAAGACTATTTTGCATCCAGTGTCAAATCTACTTGACTCTGTTCCGTCTGGCTTGAGACCTAGTCTTGTACATGTTGACAGTTTTGACGAGGAGAATGAAATGGACGCTTCAGCTTTGTTTCCCGAACAAGATCCATCACAGCCAGTTCCATTTTTACAGCATGAGCCAGAGCAATTGCCATGTGTAGATTCGGAGCACCATGAAGCTATATCTCCACACCACCTTCGATTGCCGGGTTGTAGGAAATCCATCAAATTCGCAGAAAACATTGAGCATATCTGTCATTTTACAAAAACAGATTCGCCCTGCATTGTTTCGGACACTGAAACGCTAGATATCAAGGATAATGGCGATTTGGATTTAGGATCGGTTTCTCTTGCTTTTGCACTATCAGATAAATGGCGTATTGCATCAAAAAATCTACCGACTCACTCTTACTTTGGAACCCATTCAGTAGTGCTGGATCAAATTGAAATAGATGCAAAAAATCAGTTGTGTATTTCGATTCTCACCCGAAACATTGCTTATGAAAAGCATGTTTCTGTTCGATTTACTATCAACAACTGGGCTACATTTCGCGATATTAATGCTACTTTTCAAACTACTGTTACTCCCAACATGGGAGACTACAAGGGTGTTGATCGCTTTTTGGTCACTGTGGATTTGGACAGTGAGTTTGGCCCTGGTGTTACTACTGGCTTTGTTGAGTTTGCAATTCGACTTTGCGCCACGGAAAAAGTTTTCTGGGATAACAATGGTACATGTAACTATAAGCTTAAACTTGTGCTTCCTCTGCTATTGGACACAATCTACAAATCAAATCTTTATGAGCCAATCAAGTCTGGTTTTGAATGGCCTGATTCTTTTGGACGGGTTGCCAATTGCCGCCGCCATAGTTTTGATCTGAATACCTCATCCTCTGCACAAGCAGCACGACAAACTGTTTCCAATCTATTGGCTTCCAAAAAGCATTCTGCCAGTGCTGATCACATTGCCTCTATGTCTGCTACGAGTGGATTATCCTCTTTGTATAACAGCGCAACTAGTGTGTTGCAGGGTACTGATCGTTTGCCGTCAACTACTTCTTTGCATAATACAGCCAGACCCTCTGCTTCGCGCAATTTCAGTAGCAGTGTTGCACCTCTATCGCCTCCATCTGCAGCACCTGTTCCTTTACCCACCAATGCAAGATTGACAAAGCTTTCCAGACCATTGACTCCGTTGTTTTTGCCAACCTCGGCATCTCGAGTCTCTCCCTTTATCCAATCCACATCACAGTTGCGTGGAATAGAGTCACAATCTATATCCCCTATACCATCGCGATTGTCGCCTCCACAATACCACCAGTCACAGACCTATTCAATGACAACTTCGAATGCCGAGATACCTTTTTCTAACAGACTACATTCGTATTCATTTTCCGCTCAGACATCATCCTACCCATACTCCATTTCACCACCGCTTGGATTGTCGTCTACTTTGGAAGCCAACGCTGGATCTAGCGGTGATCCATCAATGGGGTCTGCATTCTCTACTACTTTACCGATTCCAATTATACTACCTGCTCGTGGTCAAAGAGACAGTACACCGCTATTTACCATTGGTGGAGGGTTTCAAACAAGCATGAATGATTTATCTTCAATGGCTTCCAAAATGTCATGTTCGCCGCCATGTCGAGTGTAATACCAAGTAATAATAACAAAAGACGTTTATTTCCATTCAAAAGTTTCCACAACTCAACTTTTACAAAGCTCATTGGTTTTCTACAGTCTTGCATTTCCTGTTCTTGATTCACGTCATAATCTATTTTCCATTACTTTTAGACTTTTTATTTACACTGGATTGTTTTAATCATGAACAATCATGGTTTGTTTGCAAGATCATTCCCATCCTCACCATTAGGCCACCGTCGTATTCATACAGAACGGAGCACTAAATAAGGGTGTCCAAATACATAATAAACAGTCAGTCTCATGAACATTTCAAAGAATTCAGAATATCAATTTCTAATAGAAGAGCGCAGTGAGTATTTAACCATTGTTTATTCTGAAGCAAAATAAAGTCAATGCAAGATAAATACAAGTGTTCCATTTGATGCGAATACATTTTAATACAACATTTAAAACTGAGGATGGATAGAGCAAAAGAAGTTTAGTCAACAGATCTCCAAACAGCCATGTTTACATTCCAATACGTGGTGGAGCCCAGAAACGAGTAGCATTCAATTTGACACCAGATCGAGCACATCCATCAACCATTCGTGGAGGAAGTTTCATGGTTTGTAATTCCTTGCCAGCAGTAACAAACGTGATGCCAAGACCTTGCATAATGTGCCATTCGATGTGGCAATGGAACAGCCATGCACCAGGATTGTTTGCTCGGAAACGGATCGTGACATATCCTTTGGTACCACCGCAGGCACCTCCTTCACCGCCAGTGTTGTTGGCCTTGATTTTGCATGCTGGAACAGTGACAGTATCGCGCTCTGGGTACATCACTTTAGCAGCATGTTGGGCGGGTTTGAGATTAAGCTGAACACCCGTACCAACAATCTGGAATGTATGACCGTGCAAGTGAAACGTATGCTCCATTGGGTCATCATTATAGATAGTCAGTTGGATGGTCTGACCATTAACAACAGGAACCACATTGGCACTTGGTTCAAATGGCTGGTTGTTGATAGCGCTCATCAAAGTTGGCGAATTCGCGGGCATCTTGTAAACAGAATCGGTGAAATGTCCATCAACGCTAGTGAATGCTTTGAAAATATTGTCCGTGTCTGCAAGAATACCAAATGACAGAATCAAAGACTGATTCACTCTGGGAGAAATAGGGTCTTGAACAACAGGCATCAGTTTGTACTGGTTGAGCATCACTGCATTGGCAGCAACTGGGCTAGATGTTGGGTCGGCATCACTCTGAGTGTACGAGACAATCGCGCGGATAGTGGGGGTTAAAATACCCTCTTGGTAAACGGTGTAGAGACCAGTGTCAATATCGGCACGCATCCAAAAATTTCCTGGGGCAGCATTGGCTTCGACAATCACAGAGTAACGCTGAGCAACACTGATACGGATACCATCTACTACAGTCTTGGCAGTATCGACACCATCGGCCTCAATCACGGTCATTTTATGACCATCGATAGAAAAGTTGAACACTGCCATGGAACCAGCATTGATAACACGAAGACGATAACGCTTTCCTGGGGTAAAATCAAAGCGGGTTAGCGGAGCATTGCTAATACATGGCACCGTCTTATCAGTGGCCATGGAGCAGTTGTATCTGCCTTTGCCATTGATTAAGCCAGAGTCTGGAATGGGTTCGTTTCCAGTAGTACTGATCATGAAGGGATCAAGGATATCTGAGCTATGTTGCGCATGGAACCAATCTGTCAACATGACAATGTACTCTTCATCGTAATCGGCAGTATAGGGCTCGTTGGAAGGATCTTTGATAATCAGAGGACCACGAAGACCTTTGACATATTGAGCCTTGTGATGAGCATGCCACCAAAAGGTACCATGCTGGTCAGGAACACTGATGTCGTATTGCAGTGAGTCCTGATCGGCGATAGGGCATTGAGAAACACCGGATGCACCATCATAGTAAGGAGTTCCTCTCTAAACGTTGGATGATTTTAATAATTGAAATGAAATTAGCATGCTATTAAATAGTTTTCAATACATAAACAGCCAATTCATGAAATGATTGAGCTTGCAGTACAGCATTGTATCGATCAAACAAGCCAATTGTACTAGGAAAACAACCAATGTTTCATCATTGCATATTCCAAGCAAATAATGACCGCAAGATAGTGTTCCATTTACATGAATACAGCTGTAAAAGAGTTGGGTCGATACATGCAAGGCCGAGTCAAGGCACGGACGCGTCCATGCACCAATACCCTTTTGCTCGTGATCAAGGGTTTTGACAACAAAAGGTTGGAAACCCCATTTCAATGCATGACAATCAAAACTATTTCATCCCATGAAACTAGTAATGTGATGAAGCAGCGTCATGGTCATAAATGATTTAGGTGGAAAAGATTAAAAATATCGCAATTGTACTATACCTGGAACAGACCGTGACAGTGAATAGCGGTGGGCAGTCCAAGCTTGTTGTTGACCTTGAGGCTAAGCAAGTCTCCTTTGTTGATAACAATAGGGAATTCCATTTGATTGTTGGCACCGTAAATATTGGTTTGGTAACCATCGGGGGATCCAGTGAATTGACCAAGATTGAGCTCAACATTCTGAGTAGCAGCTTGAACAACAATCGGAATGAGAGCGACAATGGTAGCAAAAAGTGAAATCATAGTAGCGGCTTTGATTTAGTGTGTTGGCTTTAAACAAAATATATATACGCCCGAGTTACAATGAAAGTCGAATTTCAAGTGGTAGTTTGATGAGATTTAGTTGTAGATGTAACAATATGATGAACCTGTCTAGCCAAAATGAAAAATGGATCTAGTAAAATACAAAGTATCGTCGAATTTTAAATATAATTCAAAGTGGGGTCTGCTGGTGTTATTTAACCAAAGGAGAGTGTAAAAATGTGATCAAGGCATTTTTGCCGTTGCAAATTGGTTCCGAAACGAGCATGCGACAGTAGTTAATTGTATAACCTATATTACGCTTTGACTTGTATGAGCATATCAAATTACAAGAATTGGTGCATGGTTGGGCGTCATTTTGCGTGGATTACCATCCTGATATTTTCAGCCTGAAACACGGGCCTCTGTTTTATGGATAATTGCTAATTAGTTCGGTTGTGTGCGTCCGTGACCTCGAATTCTCACTATAGTCCAAATACTGGTCTTTTCCGACCGCATGTATATCATGTGCATATCATGCGCATATCACTTTGCACTTGGATATCAATATTCACGTAAAATGAAACACTTTTCTATATTTATCTTGTAATGATTGTCTTGGAATAAACAATCGTTACATATTCGTTATTATTGGAAATTGATTGCTTTTTCTATTGAAGTTAAAAGTTGTTTGGTGTCTGGAATTACTCGACGCACAAAGCCATTCCAAACACCAAAGTAATTGTCAGCAGGGTTCAAGAATGGACAGTATGATGCTGTATAGTGTAGTTCCAAACCTCGCGCTGTTTGTTGAATAGTTGGTAAACCATGTCTAATTAGAGTTGTTTTGTGGAATGGAATGTTGTCTAGAATAAAGTGACCGTTTGGGAATGTTGCATGTCTTAATATTACAGCATTCATTGCTGCCTTGATCAATCTCCAAACACATTGATTGTCATATGAAGCACATAAGATTAAATTATAGGAAACTCTGTTGTATCCTAACATCAGATACGTTCGCATTCTAGTTCAAGAATATTTCAGAAATGCAACTCACATGCTAGTTACCCAGTATTTGAAGGAAAGTTGGAAGTTGAACCAATGTCAAGGATGTGGAATATATTGGAACAGAAATGTAAACATTCGCTCTGTATTTTTGTACAAAATGAACATCAAGACCAGTAAATTAACGAGTTCAAAAAACAATATTGCACATCAAGATTGACACCAATCAAACATGACTGTTTATCATATATTCCGACTTATTTAATGTTTCATTTTACGTGAATATGGCTGCAAGTATCAATTTTAATCAACCAAGCATCTCGTCATATTAACTGCCATCAATCTGTTGCCCTCGTCTTGGGCTTCTATACACATATTTTTTGATTTTCAAGAAATCACCATTAAACTATATTCAAATTCTCACTTCATTGCCGATTGTTCTTTGCTTCCAAGTTGCTTCAATAGCATTTGATGCCTTGATCAACTTTTATACCAATACCATAGATTCACCCATTTAGATAAAAATGCAAACAATATTCAAAGTTAATTTTTAAATGTGTCGTGCTTTTGGCATAGGCTATAACTACCAAAACACTTACATCATCTTTTTGAACATTGTCATTGATGGATATCATGATGCTGTTATAAGTGCTAATATGATTTGCCGAATCCTTGTCATCCCGAAATCTAGAAAACCGCCAATTCAATGGCCAATTTGGATCATACCTGCATTCGATAATTCGTCCCACTGGTGGGTTTTTGGCCCATCTTTCAATATAAATGAGATTACACATGTTACACTATTTAGTATTGACCGCAAGTCAATATTGAATCGTTAAAAGTGTTGAATCAACATACTCTTTTGAAGTCTCTTCGCTCAAGGTGATGATACCAAAATCAGAATACTGGTTACGATTCTCTAGAATCCCAATACGAAACAATGGATATGATCCGTCTAATTTCATATCAAGTATTTTAAAATCTACCGTGTTTTCTTCTGATGGTTTCCATTTGAGCCTAATGTTTAAAGTTAAAATGTCAGTATATTAGGAAACGACAAATGAATCATTGTGCAGTATGAAATTCAAATATATCAACTCACATTTTGGAGCATGTTCCAGAAACATATGGTGCAATGGAGGATGTATAAATAACACCATCTGTCTTATGGTGGCATTTGCTCATCATATCGAATACTTTTTGAACCTTGTAAGATAGCTCGAGATGCTTTTGAACAATTTCAAATGGATAGTTGTGTTTTTGATTTGGGTTACGTTTTAGATATTCTAGATGTGGTATGAGAACAAATTCTCGTAGATACTAATTATGATAAAAGCATAAAATAAGACTTGGTTAGTTCATCATATATCGACAACTCGAAATCAGCAAGTATCCACTTTAACATTTATACTGGTGGTCTCATTTCAAGCTTGCGTAAAGGTTGTTGCTTACCCCCAATCGCTTGGTATAAGGTCTATCGCAAAGATTCTTTCCGTCAACTACCATTGCGTCAAACAAGAGAAACCATAGTTCTCGACTTTCCTGGCCAGACTAAAAATCAGATGAACGATCAAGGTTAAAGATCTGGTATATATCAGTAAACACCCACATAATATTCCAGCCTAGTATTATACCCGATCTTTCTTTGTCTCGAATACCAGTTCTCCGTCTAATACTGTATCAAAATGCATGTCATTGAATCCTTTTCTCCACATTCCAAACTCGAGTAGATAGTACTCATTTTTGCGATCAATCTATAACCAGCACTAAATTTGTCAGCTTCCATTCATCCTTTGTCATAAAACAAGCACTTTTTAACCTTGAAAGGCAAGTCGAGAATGTGAGCTGTGGCTATAATCATGGCAACGGAAACTAACCAGGTATGATTCTACTTGACCATCTTGTAATGTTGTTGTAAACATCATGCATCGCACACCGTCAGCCTTTTCACTGACAAAGTAGTCTTCTACCATGAGCTCTTCCTCGATATGTCTTGAAGAGAAGCTGATGGGTTGTGCTCCAGGAAATCTACATGTTTATTGTCAGCTTAGAAACTCTAGACAACTACACATGATTGGCATCTAATAAAAGGATAGATCATGCCAGATTGTTTAGAGTAACTGAACACTCGACTCTGAATAATGCTAAAGCATTGATTCAGGTTCTTTTATGATCCATTCAACCTGCAATATTGATGGCGAGTCAGTTTAGCAGACAACAAAAACATGCCTGCTGATACTGGCGTTTGTTTGCATCAACATTGAAACTCTTTCCCGTAGGTTTCTGAGATGTCTTGTATTATCTATTCGTCTTCCGGGTATTTGAGGGAGCATTCTTGAATATCAGGTTCAATATTGAAGTTGGATGAGCAAAATGCAATTTATGTTTTTATCCAAGCTTTGGTTGATGAATATCCGCACCACCATGTTGACGTAAAATAGACCACCAAATAAGGATATTTAATAAACTGTCAATCATGGAATGATGAGTGACAATATTATATTTTTGGTCTTTTTCTTGATGATTGGCATGTATAATTCATTCCTATGACTGCATGATTGAACTAGAACGCGAACGTACAAGATTTAGAATATAAAGTAGACTCGATAAACCCAATATCTGGTGATCGTACAATGAGAACAATCTCGATTAAAAACTGTAATTTATTAAAGAATGTCAAAGTCAATTTCTAGTAAGGATACGTAACAAATATTTAAACATTGCTTTTTCGGAGCAATGACAGCATGACAAATACAAATATTCGATCTGATGCAAATACAACTATGGATAACACCATCAATTAAAGTATCAGTACTGGCTATTAAATGTCATATTATTCAAATTTGTTGAATCGACAATCCATTTTCTAGTCAAACAAGTATATAGCTTTACATTGATGTGTTTCAAAGTTCACTCGATAGCAAGACTGTCCATTACACTGCCTAGCAGCCACTTGAAATAATACTTTTAAAACCATTCTGTTTAGCAAACGCTTAAATTGTTGAAATTTAAGAATACATTTTAGTAGTAAGACTGCAATCGCAGAGTCTGATGGTTTTACCATCTTGCAGTTGTGCTGAAAACTACCAAATTTTATATGCCAATTTCTTGGTGCTTCCAATTTGCCCAAACTTCAACATCGATGTCGAATGGACCAGCATCACCCACTATATCATCATTAATACAACTGAGTGGTATGGAGAGAGTCATCAATATTGCTGATCAAGTCAGATTGATTATTCAGCCATGGTTAACAAAGATCATTGAGCAACTCACTTCCCAAAAGAATCAGCGCATAGCTTTAAACTCGCTCGTCTTTGGAGGTATACTGGGGGTTATGGCCACCTTGGCAATCAGTATCTACAGTCTTTTCTATACACTATACATGCCTCAGGCATCAATTGTTATTCCGTTTTATCTGCAGTATCCAACAGTTTTGAATTCGGATATGCATCCATTAAGGTATTTTTAAATGGATGACTTTACAGCTGTATTCATATAGAATCGAACACTTTTGTATTATGCAGTGGTTCTATTTTGCTTTGGAATAGACAATGAACATTCATTGCGTATCCCTACTACAGACTGACTTTTCAGTTGACCTTTTCAATTCTTTTGGTTTTAAACAACGTCCATATGATGCACAATCAAAATATAGTTTGAACTGTATTGATCTCTTTCTCCCTTTTTTGACATAGTCATGCATTGTACGATCGACAAGTTTAAAACTGGATATTGGATTCGACTGTTTGATGCTGTCAATCAAACTCTACCTTGTATTCTAAACTCGGATGCGTTCGCGTTCTAGTTCAAGAGAACAAGATCAAGGATGCAACTGTTATTTCCATGCCAATCACCCAATATTGTAGTGCTCATTTTAAAAAGTTGGAAATTGGACAAGTGTGGAATTTACCGAAGCTGTGATGTGAATATTCTTTTGGTTGTTTATACAAAAATGAGCACAAAGAACAAGAATCAATGGGTCAAGGAGTTCAGAAAAGACAGTGTCTTCCAGTAAACTGGAACCAATTATCTCATGAAACTGGCTGTTTACCATGCATTTTTCATCTTTATTTGATTGTTCATTTACATGAATATGACTGTATAATTGCTCAATCATTACATGCGAAAACTCATGCAACTCAATTTGCTCCGACTCGCGAATACTTTCAAGCGTCTTGTTTTTTATCAATATACTAATTGATCCACTTGTTTAGGATTCCGTTTGCCCTTATCAATCTAACAGAATTCAAGCCAGCACATACGCCATTTTTAGTACCTACTCAGCACTATAGTTTTTCAGTAGATCTCACTATCCCAGACTCTAATGAGAATTTGAAACTAGGTTTGTATTGAAAACAGTTTGAAAACATAAACTATTTTGTATTTAATTATTCATCTCATTTTGTTCAATGTGTCTCGATATAGGCAATTTCATGGTAAGTGTTCAGCTTTTTTCCAAAAACCTCACACTTGGATTTTCCAGCAGACCTGTAAGTCAAATTTGGTATCAAGTTTTAGTGCCTGATTGTATCTTATTGTTTGGATTGAATCTAAGCCGATTAATTTTACCAATAGGGGATAGTACAGTACAAGTCGCTGTTGCAACGATCTATGGCTTTAATCTGGAATTTCCCTTCCATTTTTATCAGCGTACCTTTAGAAACTCAGAAAATATCCATCAAGCTGATTGAATCATATGCAGAGAAAAGAGTATGTATTCATGTAATTGGTTTGCAGTTTGATTTTCAACATGTTTGTCTACTACATTTCAAATTTATACTTGTAAGCTTACTCAATCATTTGAATGAATTAGGCTACACCACTTGATAGGGTTTCAATCTTGTTATCTGAGCCTAAACTTCAGACATACGGAACGAATCTGCGAGTTGATACGCATTTCCAAGGGCTTAGTTATTTCATGTACCATTGGTGGCTAGTAACATCAATAGCGTTTATTTCGTTCATTATTTTTATCGAAACGATGATTCTCTCGTCATTTTGGAAAATCATTGAAGTTCTTTTTATCAACGACGATGAGGACGAAACGCAGTCAGACGAATACGAAAATACCACTGGCAATACTGGTGTGTTTAAAACTGAGCAGAATTTGGAAGAGACTGACAAAAACATCTTGGTCTCAAACCGCACAACTTATGACGACAAAAAAGATGATGCTGATTATCTTGATGGCGGCAGCAACACCCGACGCGAGTTTAAAGGATACGATACGAGAGATCAGCCATCTGCTCAATACAAAACACATGACTCACGGCTGGTTTATCGCAGAGTTCAAACTAATGAGTCATTGGAGCCTGCAACACAGCTCAATACAGATGATCCTTACTTTATAAGCAATGGTGTCACCACGAGAACCACTTCATCACTTGCGAATTCTCGTTACGGTTCGCTGTATTCATTACCTTACGAATCAGCCTTTTCTTCCCAATATACAACTCCAATTCGTTCATTTACTCCTGGTGAGTCCACCTATACCCACACAGCTATGTCCAGATCATCACCGCGTGGTCGTGTAAATCATTTATCAACAACACGCACCTCATCACAGCTTGAAACAACAAGAGACCAAATGGATTTGCATTCTACTAGACGGACAGTTGAAAATACAGCATCACAATATAGCAGTAATGCAGAGTGCACTTTAGAGCCGATTGGACTTCAGCAGCAGGTTGTTCCAAATGAAAATGTAGATCAGGACAACTTGACGCGGTTGACTAATGAATCAATGGTTGAGCCAGTCAAGAACTTAGAAAACCAAAACAAGTATGAATAAATTTGGAATATGATTTGCATTTGGCTACTTGTAGCCATATTCACTTGAAATGAAACTTGTATTTATTATGCAGTGACTGCCTCTGGAATAAACAATAGTTGAATATTTGTTACACTTTCTAGTTTAGCAATTCAGTCACAGGAATGCAACTATACATGACAATCGTCAAGATAAATACCAAAAGACATAATATTGTTGCTCATTATTTCATGATTGAACCTTTAGTGAGTTGCATTGACGTGAACACGACTTGACTCGGTGTTGTAAATGCTGAATTGATCATTTCATCAACACGTGACTTGTTTTGCAATTTCAACAACAGACATTTCCAGTCCTTTAATCAAACTCGCATTATTTGTATACGAGATGAAGCAGCTATCTACATTCGATGCTGGCCATGAAGACCTTATACATGATGTTGTTTATGACTATTATGGAACAAAGTTGATTGTATGAGTTATTTCTTGATTTGGATCTTGAAATATGAATCTCCTCTTGATATTCCAGCCTTAACACTATGGAATATTGCATTAGACTGTTTCTTCTGACCAACGGATCAAAGTATGGCAGGTTGAAGATACAGGCGCATGGAGTCTCAATGATGTTTGGAAGGTATTGGGTTGAATTTGAGCTAATTGATTTACAACTTTTTGTTTAGTTGGTACTAGTTTATCCTTGAATTGAGCCTGGCTATTGTTTAGAATATTTGCTGTGTATGGATGATACTTATAGTTGATTTTGGTTACGTACAATTAGGCCCACGATTCATCGATCGTCAAGGCATCTTGGGCTCATCCAGAGTTTGGACAAGTCTTTGCATCTTGCTCATTTGATAAAACTGTTAAAATCTGGGAAGAGCAGGAACAGGGTAATTAGAGAGCAACTCATCTAAATATTAGATCTTGATTGGCAAAATAAGACTTGAGAGTGTCTAATGAATCTCTTCATTTGGTAACAGAGCAATGTCAGAGTGGTCGACGATGGACTGAATGTGCCACATTGACAGAGAGTAGAGGATCTGTACACGATATTGAGTTTGCACCTAATCATTTGGGACTAAAATTAGTAAGGCTATTGTATTGGATGCTCTGCTTGACCACTTGTTTGAAGATTGCTTTAACTCGTATTCGATACGCTTATTTTGAATCCGTTTTGTAGGCTGCGTGTGGGTCTGACGGTGTATTAAGAATATATGAAGCCATGGATGTTGTTAATCTGACTTCTTGGACTCTAATGGAAGAGATTGAGATTGTTTCTGGGGGATCCAAGGAGTCGGATGGTCTTTACTGCGTATCGTGGTGCCAATCTCGTATGGAGTCCCAAATGCTTGTTGTTGGATGCGGTCGTGACCATACTGCCAAAGTATATCGTGTTGATTATCATGGGAAATGGCAGCCATACGAGGTACTTCCAGGACATGGTGATACTTTGTGTGATATTGCATGGGCACCAACTATGGGACGAAGCTACCACTTGATTGCAACTGCTTGTAAGGATGGACATGTAAGAATTTTCAAATTGACTGATGAAACTAATCGCTCGGGCGTCGTGGGACTACATGACACATCTGTAAGTCTAGCTTGTATTCAACTACTAGGATGAACTTTGATTGCTAAATTAATATGGATTTAATTAACTTGACTATATTGCACTTATTTTTAATACTATAATTCAAGATGCAAAAGCATTTTCGAGTTGATTTGATAGCAGATTTTGACAATAACGGTGCAGAGGCATGGCGGGTAGAGTGGAATGTTACAGGTACAATTTTGTCGTCTAGCAGTGATGATGGCAATGTTCGATTATGGAAAGGTGAGCACTGATTTTTGAATTGACAGGTAATGTCTTGAAAGGTACTAACATGAGCCTACTATGATAATATTGTGGGTTTTTATAGCATCATATTTGGATGATTGGAAACTTATCAGCACTATATGCGCCGAGCAATTTGAACCCACATCCGAGACTAAATAAACTGCACAGTTATCTTTACATCAATTTTACTTTGAAACTGGTATTTGACTTTATTTCTTTCATTTTTAATTCTGATTTTCATGTTCTATTCATTTAGCGAAAATTTGCTAGATCTTGGATCAGCATGTTGTTTGTTGTATGATTTAGATCACTTTTGTAACTGTGTACTTTTGTATCTGCAGAAATACGTGCAATGGTAGCAGCATCCAATGCAGCACGTTGTAAAATGATCTGCGCATCAGCATATGTAGCCCGATAGACCTTGCGATTTTCTTCCACTGTGTCATCACATTGACCAATTCCGTATGAACTAGAATCTTGACTGTTAAAAAGGTTTCGCGTAAGCAAATCAGATGCCTGCTGCTTTTTTGATGCAATGAGTTCACGCACTCGATGAAGCGGTGATGCTATTTGGCTGGATTGGAGTTTTAGCATCACAAGAAAGTTGGAATCTTTAAAGCTACTCACAGGATCACTTGCTGGGATAGTGAAACTATGCGTCAGGTGGTTATGCTCAAATCGGTACTCGACCATCCATTTGGTTTTATCCTATTTTCAAAATGACCGAGTGTAGTAAATTAGATGCGTTAAACACTCGATTGTGAATTCACTCAAGCTTTAATGTTTATACATTTCCAAGTCAATGCAATATATTTGGTGACGTAGCTTGAATCGTTGTCACAATATAAGCTTATTGGAATTTACCTGAGAGAGTGAAACTTTTAGCCAAATGATGCAAGTGGCAAGCGGAATAGGTTGGATCCTGCACGGCTGACAAAATATAGCGCAAAATCCAAAAACACACTTTGATTTATCTGCATAACTAGGTTGCAAGTCATAACTCCACGATCCGTCTGCTTCATCAACAAGATTCGAGTTATTGCTAGCTTTCTTGACTGTATCGGTATGATTGGGATTGCCTGCTAGATTTTTCAAACTTTTTGAATTCTCATTGGCTAATGAAATACTGCCAGTTTGATACAAAGCATCGGGCGAATCAAGATCGGCACTGATTCTATTTTGTGATATGCCGCTTGCTACTAAAGTGTCTGGTATAGCATCAACTTCCAATTGATTTGACGATAAATCTACAATCGATTGCAGCGATCCGACTTTGATAGAGTCATTATTTTGCCGAGTTTGTGAGAAAGCGAGCGTTGAAGAGTCATGCAAGTCTGTTGCTTCTGCTGTTTCTTCATAATCAATATCCTCTTGCTCTATCTCACCCATCTGCGAGGTTTCCAATGAATTCGGCACATCTTTTGTCAGATCCAATGACAGACTGTCAATCTCATTGCTGTCTGTAGCCTTTTCGTCACGGATTGCATTGGCTTGACTGATGGCGTTTTGAAATGAAAATCCTTGTGCACTACTATCGTTGGTAACCTTTTCCGTGTTTATGTCCTGATTAAACTCTTCAACTTCAAAATCTTGTTGAAGTATAGATGGTTGCATAATTGATTCGTCTGTATCGTCAGTAATAGCATTTGATAATACACCATCACCATCCAACTGAGTGAGAGAAACCATGTTCTGTTTGCTCTTGGTGCTGAAATCAAAAGGCTCCGTCTGTGACAGTCTTCCACTAACAGAATCTAAATTCTGGTCCTTTTTTTTGCTATTGATATCACTGTCAAGCACATTGGAACTATCAATTCTGTCTTGCAGATCAGTCATATTGGATAGCGTGGGCAGAGATTTCGCATTAGAGCTTGACATGACCAATTTACGTAGCTCAATGCTTTTTGGCGCAGATATAAAGTACTGTTGATTCCAAAACTCGAGCAAGTGCTCAACAATATCTGATGCTGTTTTGTGTGTGTCCGGAACCTCCATCTATGGTATTAACAGGTATTGGTCAATAAAATGAGATTAGCTGGCACACCTAGAATTCTATTTTTATAGTATGCATGATAAAAATGAATATTTATACTTGCTTGATTATGTAATAGTCTCGAGTAAGTTTGATAAGCGAATAAGCTTTTCAACTTTGGTACTCGCGTGATTTAGTGTGGATGTTACTAGTTATGCTAGCCTAATACATGGCTAGTTATCGGGCAAATCCATAGTACTATATATAGTCTGTATTTAACAATTTTTTTTGAATTGGCATACTTTAAGCAATATGAGTAATCTACAAGGCTGCTACCCAGTTGTAGTATCTGTAAATAGTCTTGCTACACCTAAAATTGAAAAGCGATTCTTCATGCCAATCTGATAAAACGATGGCTTGTGTGCAATGTCCAGCAATGCGATTAAAGAGTGAAATGTTTGAATCTTTGACATTTGAATCAGCCCAACAAAGACACGATGGACAGAATTGACAGTTTGGAATCAACATGACTGGCCAAGTATTCCAATTCCAACAATTTTACTCAACATTTAAATCTTGATTTTGCGACATTGCAGTCAAACTCGACTTAAACCTCATTCAGCAATCGTGTTCAATTAAGCAATGTCACTCAAAGTCTATCAGGCAGAGACTGGAATACTACTTCCACTCCAACGTCTGGTACCAGGGGATACGTAAGTGAGCACTGTTTGGATCAGAATCTCTGCTGTGGTGATAGTGCTTTCGTTCATGGTCATAGGGATAACAAGTATAATCCAACCAACCAAAGTTTCAGCTGTGGTCTGGCTGTATTGCCTGAATAGGACTGTATTCCAATCACAAAACCAGTATTATTTTCGGAATGTGTTGATTCCATATTGAGCTGACAATGTGTGGTCAACTGTTTATTCTCAATTTGCTCATCAAACATCACTTTGGATCTGGATGGATTGGGAATACTGACACAATGGATCAACTGGAAATATGCCATTCACTATTACGCACAACTATTGCCTTTTATCTGTATTTTCTCACACCTAAAACTGGTCTGATTCTACAACTGAATCTTAAAAATCAACCTTGTAAACCGTTTGGCATGATAGTGTAGATATGCTTCGAGCAGATATAGAAGCCGTTACTTTTATTCCTCAAAAGTTTCAAGTTCTTTTAGGCTCAAATGCACAGATAGTTAAACAAAGCATGTTGACTACTTTGCTATCTAGTCAAGTACGTTGAGTTTTTAGCTGCGGTCTGTCAATTCAAGTTTTGCTTGTCAATGCTTAAACTAATGTGGTTTTAAATATAGAAAGACGAGCGTATTTTTATTTTCAATCGATTGGCACTCATGCAGCAAACAGGAAATAAACCTGTTCACATGTCGATTGATATTGAACCGCCAGTTCCATCAGATAGTAAGAATTATTAAGAATGTCACGCTTGGCCATTGATGGAAATTATTTAGTGTCAATACCAATAGATTTGAATCAATACCAATTGTGTACTGGTGTAGCTGTTGTGGGATTGAAGGTGATATCACCATTAGCCCCAAATCTATCTTCAAAAGAGCGAGTAATAGCTTTTAAACGTGCCTTTTCAGAGCATATTTCATACGGACAGGTAAGATTTAGTTGACCATGTTATCTTTTAGTATGATTTCAGATGTCTTGAGTCTTTAATGCCAACTTTATATGGTGCACCATCTACTTTTGATGAATAACAGGCACTTCGAAAGATTGCCAATAAGCACGCCAAAACATGTGAACGACTACTGGAAGGTATACATCAGATCAATCCTATATTACACAAGCAATTGTTTGTAATTTATTGATTGGGTTTTGCCACAATTTTGATCTATTTTCAACTAGAACAATCTATTCAAGTGGAAGGCCTGACAATGGCACTTTGTAATCTTTTTACACATCGCAAGTAGGGCTATATTTCTCGTTGGATTGCAATATTTTTGTGCGACCGGTTTGTATCAATATCTAGTCTAAACCTGACTCTAATACTATGTTTTAAAGGAGTGTTTTGGATTCATACGACAGTTTTATTGCACCAGCTCAGATTCAAATATCCTCTCACACAGAGTTATTACACGGTATTGCGTCAGATCTGGATACACTTACAATGATTCCTATTCATGAAGCTATTGTAAGCGAATCAAAAGTTTTGAATGACTATATTCCAAGAGATAAGCTTCTTCGTTGGATCAATGACTGTCGAGTTGCACATGGTGAGTTTCTAATTTGCACATGCATTATTTGTGCCATGGATATCTAAGCGTTACTTGCTGAAAATGCATTGACATGCCAAACTAATTGATATTTGTATCCAGATGAACTTGTAGACAAAGTACAATCAATTAGTGTAACCATGAACGATGTTCGAGCCGGTGCACGTATTGATCAACTAGAGCCTGAAGATTTTGAGTAGGTCTTGGTTTAAACCTTTTAAATTGCAGTTTTTATACAAGATGAATTTAGGCTGAATGCATCATGCTTACAATGGCTTGCTCTTATTGTGTTTGACTTGACAGTTTGAGTAAACTAGATCCGCTATTGGACATTGTACGAAAGCTTGTGGGTCAAATCGAATCCCGGCAGAATATTTTGGAACGAGGTAATTTATATTATATTTTGTAGAATGATAAGCCAAGCTAACATGTCAAGCATTTTATAACCAATCTTTTTGAAATAGATTTTACTAGAGTAGAAACTATTTTGGCCGATATTTCTAATGGCCCAGATGATCAAGCGGGCGATAGGTTTGAGGCTCTTGAACATCTTTACAAAATCCATTTTGAAGAATATATACCCGGTAAGTTGCTAAGCCTGGCGTATATCTGGTTTTGGTTATAAATCTAATCATTTAGCTGCGATTAACTTTGAATTCTAAACTTTAGAAATCACTCGATGTGATAGACAAGTGCGAGAAACTGTGGTTCAATTTTCCGACTCAAAGGTAAATGCTCAGTCTATATCCAATGTACTGCTTGCATGACATCAAGATATTTTCAACATGTAATAGGTTCATTGAGCAGTATTGCTTTAGATAAATGAGTGAAATATATATGTACTTTGATTCTAATCAATTGATGGGATTGAATAGGCACATCTTACTCAGGCGTTGATGGAAAAACTGTTGGAGCTAGCTAAACAACAATCGACAATTTATATAATTCCCCAAGCCCTGATGGCTTTGGACAAGGAACTTCGAGTTCAAGCCGAGGCTTTTTTGCAACTGCTCCATGTTCATCGCATGCCACCAGCATGGGGTGCAGCTTTTATTGAGATAGTTCGTCGAAGGGAACATTCCAAGGTTGGTTTACATTTTTAATTGAGTGATATGATGTGTACATTTGCCAATGACTGTTGTAAAATTATTCCATCAGTCTTAATTTATTCTTGTAAATAATGGCAACTATAGGTGCTTGGTGATAAAGTCAACCAAATAATGGGTATACTCACTAGCTTCCAAAATCAAGAAGAAGCTCGCCGAGATACTTTTCGTACAGAGATTGAGCGATATCTACCAAAGGGGCTTTTAAAAGGTTTAGAATCAGCTACTCCGTCCATCAAGTTGTCTATTTCAGAAGACGAGATACTTTTACCAAATCTTACAAAAGACGATGTTACCGGTAAGTTGAGCCAACGTCTTGCCTTTTATTTGTTCCGTGACAATTTAAGCAACATTTTTTGCAAATAGAGGATATTTTTTGATTTGATGATTAAGGTACTAACAGGATACGAATATTTTGGGATTGTGGGGGTAGCATTTTCGCAAATGGTGGCTTCTTTACGGGCTATTCAAGATCCCAGCACTGTTCAAACTTCTGGATCACTCTCCAAACTGCATGCAATGATGGTACAAATGAGTCCTCAAGTCGATTCACCTTTGCTAGATTTTGAGGAGTTGATTTCTAATTCTAGTATGTAACTTGCAAATCTATTCGTTGGTTTAAAAATCCAGCGAGTATCGATTACCAAGTTGAGCATACTACTGACAACATTATTTGCAATGCGTTGATATGCAGCGTTTTGTGATAGAATAGTAAAGCTGGAAGCAGAAAATGCTAAATTAAGAAAAGAGGTCGTCGAGATGCGAGCTCAAGGTAGGTTATATTTGACCAAGATTGTATTTTACATGGATTGCTCACTACATTCGCAATGGTGCTGTCTAACACGTTTTTTCTTGATTGATGGAATGTACTGCCTTGTAAATACAGCAGCACCAGTTTCACAAACTTCTACAGCTTTTCGGCATCCATCCATGAACGATGTTTTATCATCATCGCATAGCACAAAACAAGAAGAAAAAATTAAAGCATATGAAGCGCGTATCAAGAATCTTGAGCAACTCCTTCAACAAAGTTATTCCACCAGCGGAGCCGTTGAAAAGACGCATGTGACTGATAGACGGCTGATGCAAGAAATGGAATCCACTATTCAGACCATGACTCTTGAAAAAGAAAGAGTAAGTTTAGATTTTTGTGACTGTTGTGGATGTATAGAGCACCAGCTCGAACAGTCAATTTTTTTGAATTGCTATGGTTGACTATTATTTTGCTGATACTATTGTTTATAAACCTTTATTTTAGATTTTGAAAGAAAACCAGCAGTTTTGCGATCAGCTGCAGCAGTCAACTCAGCGGATTTCCGAACTGACTACCTTGTACCAAAATGTGAGTTTTTATTTACAGCGATCATTGTGAAATGTACAGCATCTGTATCAACATCAACAATGAAGCCAACGTTTAACCTCATGCCATGTAGGTACGCGAATCACATGACAAACTACGCAATGAAAAGCAAACGACAGATGTACAGTTGAGCAACACTCTTGTTGAGCTAAAAAAGGTAAATACTAGTCTGTCAATTTTTCTTGAAGTTGTCTTTTTGGTGGTGGTTTACTTTATTATGCTGCTAACTTGAAAGGGTGTTGAATAGCTGCAAGATTTTTTGGTAGAAGTACGCGAGTATATGGAGGGCTGTTGTTTGTCTTTGCGTAGGGATACTGGCTCTGAACAGAAAAGTGATATAGAAGAGCAGACTCCTGTTCAGTTAAATCACATACGGAGCAAACCAGCATCGATTGATGAGTTGCGTCGATGCATGAGAGTTCTTAAAGATGATATTTTATGGCATGCAGCAATGATGGAAAGCATGAAGAACTCTATGCAAGACAGTCAAGATGGGAGTGACGTTACCCAGGTACATTGTGTATAATTCCAAATTGTTGAACATCTTTATCAAGCAGATACTGATTAATAAGCCAAACTTTGTCAATGCATGACTATGTATTTTATCGAGTATAGTCAGTTGCTGCTGAAATGGTAACACTGATTCAACGACTTGGAGAGACGGAAGAACGACTTCGGATAGCAGAAAACGATCTGACTGTAGCACAGGCACATGAGGCAGTTTTAGAAGCAGATTTAGAGTCACTAAAAGTGTTGTATGAACGGGCAGAAGGACATGTAGCAGCAGCCAAAGTGCAACGCAACGAACACCAGGCACAACAAGAAAAAAACGCCCTTGAGCTTAAAAGATTGCAAGATCTGCAAGAAAGTCAAATTGAACAGCATAGAACTTCGGAAGTCGTTCTACAAAAGCAAATAGAGCAGATTAAAAAAGAACTCGAGCAGACACAAGCTGATTCAATGGCTGACATTGAATCACAGAAACAAGCACACACCAAAGCGATAGAGCAAATGAGACTAGACATGCAACAAGATTTATCTCAACGTGAGTTGTCGCGTTTGGCTTTTTCACAGGTGCAGCAGATGCGTGAGCAGATTGAGGACTGGAATATTGTGTGTCGGTTAAGTCTACAGCATTTAACTGGATGTTTGGATGCATTGGTGAGATTGGTCCAACATACTTTGAGTGAGGATGTTGTCTATGCACTTATTCGTAACAACGGTTTGACTGGAAGTACTGAAAACTGTTGTTTGTCGAAATTGAGTGATACTTTTTCCATATCCGATGCTGGTGCACATTACGACGACACCAAGAGTTTAATCGAAGGGTTTGGAAATGATGATGATGCTTTGGGTGGAATGTCAAAGTTTATCGAGCACTATGATTTGCTATTAAGAGAACTGTATTCCAAAGTTGTCTCTGCAGGTGCATATTTAGACGTAAGCGATAGTGTTGATCGGATTGAGAAACGGTGGTCAGATTTGACAGGTATAGTTTATTATGCCATCGACGTTCAAGATTTTTTGAAAAACAACTTGTTTTAAACATTAATGCTTATTAGGTCAAGCATCTTTTAGAGTAGCGTTTCAAAAGTATGTTTTTTTTGATTTATAGCAGTTTGTAGCGCATTCAAAAAACTAACTAGCACGTCCATCTCAATCTGATACATATCTATGCCAACAGCTTTAAAATCAACGACTTGGTATTATTTCTACCTACACGCAATCCGGCTGCATGGACTGCATTTAATGTCAATACTCCACACTTTTTCTTGGATATTCAGCCAAACTCCGTTTTTGCAGATCGAATTCAACAACGTGGATGGATCTTGGCTTACATTACTGGGATTACTGACAAGACTGCCACTGATATCTCCTTGTCTCCAACCAATCCATTTGGTCTGGCTGAAGAAACTCGTTATCATATTTGTCAAGCCACACCCTATTAAAACCAGACTTTAATGAGCCTATATCTACAAATCTTTCAAGCATACATGACTAAATAAACTCTTCTAAACCCAGCTATAATTGAAAGTGATACAATTTTAAAATTTCATTCAATCACATGAATACTAATAGAACATGGAATAGCTTTTTCCTCTACTGTAAAACTCGACAAGGAATAATACAGATCAACTCAAGAAAGAGTGTTTTAAATGCTTAGTTGGCGGAACCGGTTTCGGTTGGAGTCTCGGAGCATGGAGTGGTTTCAGTTGGAGTCTCGGAGCAAGGAGTAGTCTCAGTTGCAGTCTCGGAGCAAGGAGTGGTCTCGGGTGTGGAAGTCTCGGAGCAAGGAGTAGTCTCTGGTGTGGGGGTCACAGTTGGGACGGGAGTAGATGCAACAGTTGGGACTGGAGTCTCGGAGACAGCTGGTGTGGATACAACGGTTGGGACTGGAGTAGTCTCAGTTGCAGTCTCGGAGCAAGGAGTAGTCTCTGGTGTGGGGGTCTCGGAGCAAGGAGTAGTCTCGGGTGTGGGGGTCACAGTTGGGACGGGAGTAGATGCAACGGTTGGGACTGGAGTCTCGGGAACAGCTGGAGTGGTCTCGGGTGTGGGAGTCTCGGAGCAAGGAGTAGTCTCGGGTGTGGGAGTCACAGTTGGGACGGGAGTAGATGCAACGGTTGGGACTGGAGTCTCAGGGGTGGGAGTCTCGGAGCAAGGAGTAGTTGGGGGAGTGGACACTACAGTTGGGACGGGAGTCTCGGGGACAGCTGGGGTAGATACAACAGTTGGGACTGGAGTCTCGGGAGTGGGGTAAGCCGGAGTAGTGGCAACAGTTGGAACCGGTGTCTCGGGAGTGGGAGTCTCGGAGCAAGGAGTAGTTGGGGGAGTGGACACTACAGTTGGGACGGGAGTCTCGGGGACAGCTGGAGTAGTAGCAACGGTTGGGACTGGAGTCTCGGGAGTGGGGTAAGCCGGAGTAGTGGCAACAGTTGGAACCGGTGTCTCGGGAGTGGGAGTCTCGGAGCAAGGAGTAGTTGGGGGAGTGGACACTACAGTTGGGACGGGAGTCTCAGGGGTGGGGTAAGCTGGAGTAGTGGCAACAGTTGGGACTGGTGTCTCGGGAGTGGGGTAAGCTGGAGTAGTGGCAACAGTTGGGACTGGAGTCTCGGGAACAGCTGGAGTAGTGGCAACAGTTGGGACGGGAGTCTCACCACCGCCATATGGTGCAGGTGAAGGGATTTCCGGAGCAGGAGTCTCGGGACCAACTGGGGTAGTGGCAACAGTTGGGACGGGAGTCTCACCACCACCATATGGTGCAGGTGGGGAAATTTCTGGAGCAGGAGTCTCGGGGACAGCTGGAGTAGTGGCAACAGTTGGGACGGGAGTCTCACCACCCTTGGTCTTACGATGACGGCACTTCTTCTTGGTTGGGTAAGCTGGAGTAGATGCTTCGGGAACTGGAGTCTCGGGAACAGATGGGGTAGTGGCAACGGTTGGGACTGGAGTCTCGGCAGTGGGGTAAGCTGGAGTAGTGGCAACAGTTGGAACCGGTGTCTCGGGAGTGGGGTAAGCAGGAGTGCTGGCAGCAGTTGGGACTGGAGTTTCACCGCCACCATATGGAACTGGTACAACTGGAGTAGTGGCAACAGTTGGAACCGGTGTCTCGGGAACGGGATAAGCAGGAGTAGATGCAACAGTTGGGACGGGAGTCTCAACAGGTGATTCACATGGTGTAGAGACAACAGTTGGGACGGGAGTCTCGGGAACGGGGTAGGCTGGAGTAGGGGTGGGAGTAGCCTTGGGTGCTGGAGTCTCGACAGGTTTGCTGTGATGAGCAGTAGTATGCTTGGAAGCACTAGAATTATGGTGATAGCCGTGCTTAGTAGTAGTAGTAGTGCTGGTAGAAGACTGGGGCTTAGGAACGGGAGTTTCAACTATCGATGTGGTAGTCGATGGAACAGCGGGAGTGGTGCTGGGAGAGTTGTTACCATAGCCAAAAGGAGCGGCAGTAACAGCGGCAGCGAGTGCAAGGACGAAAATGGAAACCTTCATATTCTATAAAACATTGGTTTCATCCATAGTTAGTAAACTGAGTCGTAATTGTACTATAGATGCATTCATGTAAATGGGACATTAAAGAGTGCATAATACAATGCCAATCTGATGGAATCATCAATGCCGGCTTCCATCAATTTTACTGGATAGTATTATCGTAATGGATGAATTTAGATTCAAACAAGTCGATCGTACAATGCATGGCTATGCCAACTGAAAAAGGGGATAATTCAATTCAAAACTAGTCTGTAAACATCATAAACACTGCATATTGAATAGACCAACAATGCTCAATAGAAAAGCACAACGAATGTTCAATCGCTGGCTATTCCAAAACAGTGGCTTCAAGATAAATGCAAGTATTCCATTTTACGCGATTACAGCTGTAAAATCTGCGGGTGCATAAATTTGTATTGGTATATGCAAACCCCTACAAATTCAGTAATTCATCTAGACGCAATTTTCCAACAGGACACGGATCAACCAAATGCCATAATTAGTGCTCTTGTAGTCCAATACAAAACTACTGAGGCTGCTGGATGTTGCACAATGTAATACTGGAGTGTAGAATTGCAGATGATTTAAAGGTTAAAATCATAGTTTCCTGTAGTGTATTGTTTGAAAACACACATCCTTTAATTGATTTGCAAAACTACATACGGTCCAATCAACACTGTGCTGCTTAAAAAATAAGTCTAGTACTATAGCATAAAATGGTGGGTGATGGAGTGAAGTTCTATCAAGATGACTAGATTGAAAACTCGCTCAATTAGTTTGACAATCTAACAGCACGGCTTACCTATAGTATGTAATACACAAATTTGTTGAGTTAACAAGAGTAACGATGCGATATGCTGCTCTTTATGAAGAAAGTTCAACATTGCCTGCAACAGGACCCCGTATATGCTTCGTTTCCTTTTTGGGTAAATTAAACCCACGTGGCTCGGACTGCCTATAATTCTAATGCAAAAATAGCGTGGCGTTTCACTAATGTATACAAAAGCACCACCAAGATTTATTGCTGACATATTTCTGTTTTGAATTGATCATCCTTGCCAACAAAGCCCCGTAATTCATTGCAATTATTCATTTAATCGTATTATGAAACGCATGATCCCTATTCTTTATACTTGAAGGTTATCATTTTTGGCGGGTTGTATCATTTGGCCTGACGCATTTATTTGCATGTTAAACTGCATATAAACAACCTAAATATACCCGCGCTTTTTAGCATGTACTCTACCTTCCATTACAAGCTTAATCACTTCAAGTGAAAAGTACGGGTTGATTCCATTCTCCAACTCTAACCTGGTATTTTAGTCTTGTTGATTTTATTAAATTGTGGAATATAGCTGCAAAAGTATGGATGCGGTTTTTAAATAAATACCATCTAAGCCAGCTTTTAATGGTCTCTTAATCTGACTAGATATTGTCTCGCATGCTACTATTATACTCTACCAATTTCTTGTAAAGATGGACCCATTAAGAGATCCCGACTTGACTAGTATCATGTCAGATTTCAATTGGCGCTTTTTAATCTATTACTTGAGCCTCAAGCCATGTGCTTTTTCTAGTCACTATCCAACTGTCTTGCTAAATTGATCCACTACATTAACCTACACTGAGAAAGCAATCAGCATTGTAAAAGATGGCAACTCTGAGATTTATGTTTACAATGCAGTCAATGCCATTCCAGACATTTCAATGCAATTTGGCAAGGCCACAGGATCAACTTCAAATCAAGAGTATATACGCCAGTGTGAAGGATTCATATTTACTGAATATACTAGTACAATCTCGATTCCAGTTTGTATTTCGAACCTACCGCCATATTCACGTAAAATGAAGTACTAAGATATCAAGGTATGATAAGCAGTCAGGATCGTGAAGTGATTGATGTCGGTTTCCATCAAATTTTACTGGGAATCATTGTGCACTCTGAACTTATTGATTTACTGGTTTCTGCTCATTTTGTATAAAAACTAAACGAATGCTCACACTCCAATCTTAATAAATTATACATCCTTGACACTTGTTTAATCTCCTTTAATACAAATCAAACACTGCGATTGGCAGCAAACTACTGTTGCATTATTCAAACATGCAATCTTGTTTTCTTGAGTTAGAACGCGAATGTATGAGATTCAGAATACAACAAACTTCTTTAGTTTCATACTCGTTCCAGATATTCCTTGGTTGTGTGTAAAGACAACATCCCCAATGACAAGCACAGTATCTGGTTGTGGTTTGTAGTAGGCGTTCCTTGTTCGTTCAACTTTCCCAGCCTCTTTAAAGTTTGTATATTCTCGTTCATTTTCACCTTGTCGCGATGTTCAGGACCTGCTACCCTTTCAATCATTCTGTAAGACTTGATCCTTTCCAATCATTGTCCTCCATCTGTCATGCCTACAAGATCCATTAAAGTATCCTTTGAAAGTAGTTTTGGATACAATCAAAAATGTCAAGTCGATAAGAATGTTACATTGTAGAGATCAGAGTTGTCGTTGATGTTCGAGGTTGACATGCTAATGTCTTGATTTGTGATATGGACATTTAAACTTAAACAGAAATGGTTTGTCTCCCACACTCTGCATTTCGAGGATTTCAAGTTCAGATTTTGGACTCGAAGAGGACATGGAATGCTGTATCTATTATACTAATTATGGTTTACTCTGTATCTTCAATCCCCAATTGTTGCATTATAACCAATTGCAAACTTTACCAAACAGCCAATCTAAAGTACAGTTGATATTATCGAGCATAAAACTGCAATCGATCGAATGTTTATTACACTCGCTATGCATTGATTGCCTCGACCATCTCGATACTATCAGTAATTTAAAATCCCTTGATATTTAGCTCAGCTCGAATCAAGTCTAGAAAAGACTTTGTTGAATACACAGAGGCATGTTTGCATCGTATCTCTTTCCGATCCATTGCGCTGTTCTAGAATCAGCATGTGGGTCAGAGGAGGCTCTGTGAATTAATTGAACATCTGTTATGATCCCTTCTAGTACTGTTATGGCAATGTTTTTTTCAGCCTGGCCAGATGGTATTGTGTGAACAAACTGCGATGTTTCGCCAAATGTCCATTCCCAACTCTGCATATAAATTGGGATTAGTTAAATACTCATCCAGCAATAGATTGATCGCGAGTATCATTCATGCATTTTGAATTTTTCAAACATGTAGTTACTTTGAGAGTGTGGTAAATGTCTTGCACTTCTTTAGATGCATGAAAATCATCCATTGTTAAAAAAGTCGCAGGAATGGGATTTTCAGAATACTCCATTTCAAACTCCTGTGCAACACATTTGCAGAACCCATCGTGGTCTGCCGTGTAGGAGTGATTCAATAATGATGTTACTTGCGACTTGACACTCTCGACACCACGACCCACAATCTGACCCTATGAAAATTCCAAACATCAGTTTAGTTTATATTGTTGGTACTTTGAAATGGCAAGCTTCATTAGAATCTTATCACATACCTGTTCTGGTCCTTTTAGATATGCTCCTAGTTTAGAAATATCTGTGCTTATCAACATTGTACCGTGATGGTATGCCCTATGGTTGACCAACTTGAATGCAGAACCGGATACTTTGCGATCACCAATAACAATGTCGTGTCGAGCATTCACTTGACTTGGAACATCCATTTGATGCAATGCACGAGATACAAGATGAGCATTTCGTTTACGATCAAACTCATCTCTAGGCATCATGATGGAGTAGTTTGTATTTCCCATATCCTGCAAAAAGTTGATTCATGCATAAAAAGCAACAAGTAAACCATCTGAAATTATAAGAGTTGACTTTATATGCAGTGCAAGTTGTACACTTTACATGGAATACCGTGCCTCCACCACTTTTACGCCGTATAATCGGTATATTGTCTCGATCAAGTGCCAAAACGCTACATTCTCTCCATGGATTCTTAGTAATAATAGTTAGCGTATACAACTAAATTCAAGCATCGTATTACAGTCGTATTCACGTAAAATGGAAGAGTATAAAAGCGGTTTCATGACATGATGATTCACTTTAAATTGACCAACATTGTTTTTTAAACTCGTTAATTGACTAGTCTTTTTCGGGATGATTGACATGTATAGTTGCATTCCCAAAACTGTTTTCTTCAATTAGAGTGCAAATATACAAGTTTTTAGGATACAACAGAATAGAGTTTGGTTGTATAATGACAGTTTGGAAGGATTGAGAATATTCATCAAACAAGTCAAATTCTATTAGGAATACAATGATTATTAAGCATCGTCTATTCCAAAACAGAGACAGTAAGATAATGTTCCATTCTACGTGAGCACAGCTGTACATCATACACTTTAGAGTGACTTGAAGTATTGTACGCACAATGATCTTGGACAGTACTGATGCGGTATAATCAGCCAGTTGGCGAATTCAAATGATATTTATACCTGATTCCGGCCAACAATGACACTAGAAACATTACGATACAGCATGAGCTGATATTTGAATTGCTTTTGTGTATTAAATAACCTATTAATAGGGTTGAATGCAGTGACAAGATGTTGAGCATTACATTAGCAAGCGTTGGATGAGTTGATCAACAAGTCAATTATGCAGTAGATTACGACGTTACCAATCTTCAAATGCCAAGTTGATCCAAGGATCGGTTACTTTTGATACAAACACTGCTGATTGTCGTGCCCAAGTAGTCATTTCTGTCACTAGTAAACTTGAGATGGTTCAAGTTGAAATTGAATCTGGTTAATTAACCAGATTCACGTAGAATGGAATCTGCAATGACTTTTAAAATCAGCATGAATCGTATGGTTTTCTATTGGAAATCAACCTTGATTAATACTCTTGATTCTTAATCCAATACAACAGTTGTTTTCATGTCAATCTCTCAATGTTTGAATATTAAGTCAATGCAGTATGCGAGATTGATCGCAAGAAATAGTCATGAGTTAAAGAATGCATTCTGACAGACTAAACAAGTGAATCCACAATAACAGTTTCGAGAGTCGATCTTGTCGTGACTGACAGTCGAGTTGAGGTTGCAATTTCCACAGTTAACGTGGTTTCCATCAACTACATCAAAGATGGACATGGATGATGGTGATTTCAACACCATGTCAGGCGTTGAAGTAGAGGAAATTGGTAATGCTGCATTGTGTGTTCCGTTGCTGCATTGTGTGTTGCTGTTGGAGTCGGCATGGCTTGAACAGTCGCATTTGGACAAGAATACTGATCATGTGTATATGTATGACTGTCACTGGTCTTATTCTCGCACTGTCTTAACTGCGTAAACAGGATATGCGCAAGAGGAAGAGTACGATTATGACCAGTTTGGTGATGAGGATATCACTCAGGAGGATTGTTGGGCTGTCATCACTTCGTTTTTCAACGAGAAAGGTCTTGTCAGACAGCAACTGGACTCTTTTGACGAGTTCATTCAAAATACTATGCAGGATATTGTCGATGAAAATGCACAGTTGCTATTACAAACTACTACTCAGCATACTGGCCAAGAGAATGATATGACGGTGTGTTTATTTTCTCATAACATCATCAAATTGCCATTTTTGGAGCTGTCCAATTCATCCAGTCGTTGTACATGAGCGTATCAATAGATCTGGTCTATATGTTACTATTGCTTGGATTCTGAACCACTTTAGTCCTAATTCAACATCTCTATTGTTATTTTATATTGCTTTTTAGAAACAATATGTGATCCATTTTGGTCAGATTTATCTTAGTAAACCTACAATGACCGAGTCCGATGGTAGTACTGCCAGTATGTTCCCTCATGAGGCTCGTTTGCGTAATCTAACGTAAGGGCAGCTGTTTAATGTTTTCATCATCTATTCGTTTGAATTCAACCGTATCGTTTATTCATGCCCTTATATATACTATTTAAATACTTGCATCCAACTAGATATTCTGCTCCCCTTTACTTGGACATGCGAAAGGAAATCCGAGTGGCAGATCCTACACATCCTGCAAATGTTGGTGTTACCAACCCCAACGATCTCGAATGGGAAACAGAAGAGTCCGATCCAAGCTATCAAAAGGTGTTTGTTGGAAAAGTACCCATCATGTTGCGATCTCAGTACTGTATTTTATTTGATCTTGAGCAGCGCGACCTTATGCAAGTAGGAGAATGTCCACACGATCAAGTAAGACTGCTTTTTTGAGTATCTTGTTCAGTTTTTAAATATTGACAAACCAACTATCATTAGGGCGGCTATTTTGTGATCAACGGCTCAGAAAAGGTTTTAATTGCGCAAGAGCGCATGGCAACCAACCATGTGTATGTATTCTCTCGTTCACAGCCATCGTCCTATTCGTTTAGCTGTGAAATTCGTAGCCAAGGCTCAACAGGCTCTAAAGTTCCGTCAACGCTTTTTATTAAGAGAATGTCACTCAAGAGTGAAGACAAGGGCGGTCAGCCCATTCGAACATCGCTTCCTTATATCAAAGTAGATATTCCTATCATTGTTGTTTTCCGAGCTCTTGGTATTGTAGCAGACCAACACATTCTTGAACATATATGCTATGATTTTAATGACACTGCAATGCTGGAACTTCTTAAACCCTGTATCGAGGAGGCCTTTGTTATTCAGAATACAGATGTTGCATTGGATTACATTGGAAAACGTGGCACTACAGTGGGTGTTTCAAGAGAACGTCGTATTCGCTATGCTGCTGATATTCTGCAAAAAGAAATGCTTCCACATGTGGGTGTTAAACCTCATTTAGAAACCCCAAAAGCATATTTCTTTGGATACATGATTCATCGACTCCTGTTGGCTGCATTGGATCGCCGAGAAACCGATGATCGTGATCATTTTGGAAAAAAACGTCTTGATCTTGCTGGTCCATTGCTCGGTGGACTGTTCCGTATGCTGTTTAGAAAACTTACAAAAGACGTGAGTCGATATCTTCAAATAACAATGGAGTCTGGACGCGAGTTCAATCTGTCACTTGCTGTCAAGTCTAGCACCATTACAAATGGACTCAAGTATTCGCTTGCTACGGGCAACTGGGGTGACCAAAAAAAGTTTATGCAGGCTCGCGCCGGTGTCAGTCAGGTGCTGAATAGATATACATTTGCGTCTACACTATCCCATTTGCGTCGTCTAAACACTCCTATTGGTCGAGATGGTGAGTTTATCTGTTAATATTGCATAGTATCAAGTCGAGCATATTTAATTGCTGTTCTCGAGTCCATTTTAATTTTTTTTACAATTCACTGAATAGGTAAACTTGCTAAACCTCGTCAGCTACATAATACACATTGGGGCATGGTCTGTCTCAGCGGAGATACCGAGGTAGTTTTAGGAAATGGCATGGATGTTGTGCTACTAACGGATCTTGTCGACGGAGCGTGTGTTTCGACAATCGAACCTCGGACTGGTGTGGTGTCGCCTTCGCTTATTGATCATTACTTTGCCAAGGATGCTACACGGGTTCTTAAAATCACACTTGATGATGGACGAGTCATCAAGGCTGATCCAGAACATCCATTGTTTGCTGCCAAAGTTGACGAGACTACTCGAGGGTTGACTGGGCAATGGCTTAGAGTTGAAGAATTGACTGTTGGACATCATGCGCTACTAGTAAGCCCGCAGCAAGCGTACTGCACTTCTGAACAATGGACACTTACTCTATCCGAGAAAGAAGTATGTACAGCATCCACTGCTCAGCTTGCCAAGCAACTTTCTGAAATTGGCCTGGTAGATGTGCCTATTCCACTGTCCAAAGTCAAATCTGCAGCTCGGTTATTTGGTCTCGTGTTATCTGCTGGTGATTTTAGTGGCAAGCTGTACGTGGAAAAGGATGAAGATGTAACTGCAGTGAATTCAGATTTGACGGCTCTTGGCTTTAGTCCTGCTCACTGGGTGCGATACCAAGACGATCAGCAAAAATGGTTCAAATGTGACGATAGCAACGGTAAAGCTATTTGTATCACATTAGTTCCCACAGCAAATGCACTTTTGCAGACACTTGGTGCACATGATGCAGAAAAGCAGCATCGATACTGTTTGCTTCCAAAATGGCTACTGGACGCACCAACTAGCATAAAGCGCGAGTTTCTTGGTGCTCTTTTTGGCGGAAATGGTGCTCACATTACTATCTCATGCAATGAGGGCAAATGGGAACCCACCATGTCTGCTCTGACACAACACACTGATGCAGATCATTTGGAAAGCACTGTGGTGTATTTGAAACAGGTCGCAACTCTTTTAGGCATGCTTAATATTTGTTCGTCGGTAAGTAGTGAAAAACACATTACTGCTGAAAAGACTGGCTATGCAGTACATCTACACGTTGACAACACTGCTGAAAATCTTGTGCGTTTTTATGAGCAAGTTGGTTATCGCTACTGCTTTAATAAAACGAGCCAAAGCTCAGCACCTGTGCAGTGGATCAAGGGCAGTTTATTTTTTATTGAACAGCACAGATCCAAATGTCAACACGCCTTTGAATTGTTGCATACCGGACTTGGCACAAAAGCTGCAGTTTCAGCAGAAATCAATATGCCACATCATAATCCCTCTCATATGCTGAATGTAAAAGAAATTCCGACTGCCCCAGCTGACGAATATATCACATGGATCGAGTTCAAGGATCGGTACGTACATAAAGAATCCCCTCGGTTTGTATGGGTCACCATCCATTCAATTGAAGAAGCACCAGCAGAGAGATTGTATGATTTCAACACTGTTTCGCAAAACCACTCGTTTTTTGCCAATTCTATCGTATCACACAACTGTCCTGCCGAAACACCCGAAGGCCAAGCATGTGGTCTTGTCAAGAATCTATCACTTATGGGCTATATTACTGTTGGCTCACCAGCTCCTCCCATTTTGGAGTTTTTGGAAGAATGGACCATGGAAAGTTTGGAAGAAATTTCACCTAGCACCATTCCTACAGCAACCAAGATTTTCTTGAACGGCCAATGGGTTGGCATTCATCGTGATCCTGATCAGCTTGTAAGCACTCTCAGAAGACTGCGTCGTAGTGTTGATGTGTCACCAGAGGTATCAGTTGTTCGTGATGTGCGCGACAGAGAACTCCGCCTTTGCACCGATGCTGGTCGTATTGCACGTTCATTGTTTGTAGTTACACCTGAGCAGTCGCTAGTTCTTACTAAAGAAATGGTACAGCAGCTCCATGAAGACCAAATTCAATGGAAGGATCTTCTATCGTATGGTGTTGTAGAATATATTGATACAGAGGAAGAAGAGACTGTCATGATCTGCATGACGCCTGACGATCTCGCCGAAGCTCGAATGGCAGCAGCAGGTCAGGTTGTAGAGCGTCATCAAGTAGGAACTGGCCGTCTCAAGTCTGCTACTGTGTATACTCGCAATTACACTCACTGTGAGATTCATCCAAGTATGATTTTGGGAATTTGTGCTAGCATTATTCCTTTTCCAGATCACAACCAATCTCCGCGTAACGTTTACCAATCTGCTATGGGTAAACAGGCCATGGGTCTTTTTCTTACGAATTTTCAACTTCGTATGGACACTATGTCCAATATTCTTTTCTATCCGCAAAAGCCACTTGCTACGACACGTGCGATGGAGTTTATGCATTTTCGAGACTTGCCAGCTGGTATCAATGCAGTTGTTGCTATTGCTTGTTATTCTGGGTATAATCAGGAAGATTCTTTGATTATGAACCAAAGCTCAATCGATCGTGGTCTATTCCGCAGTTTGTATTATCGAGTTTATATGGATCAGGAAAAAAAAGTAGGAATGATTTCCACCGAAACTCTTGAGAAGCCTTCGCGTGATACTACGTTGCGACTCAAGCACGGAACGTACGAGAAACTTGAGGACGATGGACTTATTGCTCCAGGTGTTCGTGTTTCTGGAGAGGATATTATTATTGGTATGTGTCTATGATGCTTGTATAAACTTGGCGACAGTCTTATGTTTTTGGTTGAAGCTGTATTGAACTGTTGTTGAACTGTTGTTGAACATACTACAGGAAAAACGGTTCCGATTGCAGCAGATTCGACTGAATTGGGGCAACGCACCACTATGCATACCAAGCGAGATGCTTCTACACCTCTCAAGAGCACAGAAAATGGTATTGTGGATCAAGTGCTCATCACCACAAATCAAGATGGATTTAAATTTGTCAAGGTGCGAGTGCGGTCTATTCGTATTCCACATATGGGAGATAAATTTGCATCTCGTCACGGCCAAAAAGGAACTGTTGGTATTACTTATCGTACAGAGGATATGCCGTTTACTGCTGATGGTATTACACCGGATCTTATTATTAACCCACACGCTATTCCATCCCGTATGACGATTGGACATCTTGTCGAATGCCTGCTGTCCAAAGTATCTACATTTACTGGAGATGAAGGAGATGCTACACCATTTACAGATGTGACAGTTGAAGCGATTTCGCAGGCTTTGCAAGGGTATGGATATCAACGACGAGGGTTTGAAGTGCTATACAATGGTCACACGGGCCGCAAGCTTAATGCACAGGTGTATACAGGACCAACTTATTACCAACGTCTCAAGCACATGGTGGACGACAAGATTCACTCTCGTGCACGTGGGCCGTTGCAAATTCTTACTCGCCAGCCTGTAGAAGGAAGATCTCGAGATGGCGGCCTTCGATTTGGTGAAATGGAGCGTGATTGTATGATCTCTCACGGAGCAGCCAATTTTCTCAAAGAGCGTCTTTTTGATGCATCGGATGCATACCGTGTTCATGTCTGTGATCATTGTGGTTTGATGGCAGTAGCTAATCTTAAAAAGAACTCGTTCGAGTGTCGATCGTGTCGTAACAAGACACAGATTTCACAAGTTTATTTGCCATATGCTTGCAAGTTGCTATTTCAAGAACTTATGGCGATGAACATTGCGCCTAGACTGATGGTAGTTTAACGTGTTGGAGAATACAATAAGCAATAAAGAGTGTAAGAATTGAAGAAATCTGTGAATAATGTCACGTGATGAGTGCAACTGGTTTTTTCGTCCAGTTTTTCTTTTAGAAACAATTCAATGGCGCCAAAAAAATTCAAGATCCAGTCAGGCCACAAGAGCAGCGAGCAAGAAGCAGCTCCTGCGTCAAGATCCTTGTTTTCAGGCAAATCTGATTCATTTCTTCGACTGTCTCTTCCTTCTTCATCTGCTGCACTCACCTCCACTCCTTCCAGCTCAAATGTCTCTCCCTTGGTTCTTCTCTCTATCCTTGACCACTACTTGCGTCGGAAAGAATCCCAGTCCCAAATCATTGGTGCTCTCCTCGGTGTCCGTACCACAGACTCGTTTGGTATGAGCCAAGTCCAAGTCGTTAATTCCTTTCCTTTGAGCTACTCTGAGACTTCGGATCACAAGGTAATCCCGGCTCAAGTGTTGATCTTTTGTCAAATTCAGTCTTACAGCCCTATTCATGTAAAATGGACCATTTGTATCTGTGCATGTCTCTTGCTTTGGAATAGATAATCAATAGCGAGCTCAAAAAACTGTGTTCACTAATTGACACCAATCATGACTGGCTGTCTATACACTTGATGTTCCATTTTACGCGAATATGATTGTAAATGCTTGATGCTGAGAAACAAAAGCGAATGGAATACACGTTTTGCTTGTTAGCTCAACTGTTCATATCAACTCACATCTAACCATCTCTGACTACATGCATACGATTTTCTAGGTTTTTGTTGATGCGGATTTCTTCACCAAGATGTATGCTTTGCATTTACAGACAAATCCTAAAGAAACAATTATCGGGTGGTATGCGACTGGAAATGAATTGAATGAAAATTCCGTTTGGATTCAGGAAATGTTTTCTGGTGAAAACAGCTCCAGCTTCTCCGCTTATGATGCTGGTTGATCCATTGGCGTTGGCTGCTGGCTTTAGTTCATACGCCTGAA